GGTTAAGGCATTCGCTATTTATTATTAAAGTAGGAGATATATAATATTATAAATTAAATATAATATTTAATCTGTTCTCGCTTTAATGAGGAATAGAGATTAGGAATAACTTTATGTAATTTATTTAATATCTTGATTCAAATTATCATAAATAATACATGTTACTAACACCTATAAAATTGATAATTAATTATTCTAGTTCTTATATTGAAGAACAATTTTCAAAAGATTGCATTTTAAGAAGTTTCAATATTTTCATTTACTATCTAATAGAAGTTGGAGTTGAATTACAACAGATAATAAATATAGTCTAGAATACTGCGAAAAAAACACTACTTATTTAAGAGATCAATTCTTATGTATATTAACTACAAGAAAGAGTAAATGATATTTTAATATAATTTTGGCGAAAACACGTTATCAAATCATGCAATTAAGGCTAATAGGATAAACGCACCCAAAATGACTGAATTACTAACCTCATCATTGTTGGTTAAATTATCACAAGCAACACATTTATTATCAGATGTCCATTTGTAATTTTTATAGGTTCGTGAAAAGCAGGTATCTTTTGTAAAGATTGAAGAATCAACAGCATCGTCACAAGCACCATTCACCCAAGCACATAAATAATAGTCAGCAGCCTCTACTCTGATAGAACCACATTCTGCTTCGGAGCCAAAATCTGAACATTTTATAGAACGGCAAATTGATCCGTCGTATCTGCAACCATCGCGGTCATTACAATCAAGTTTGAAGTTGTTAAGATCTGAGCAATTGCTGACACCCGTCATTGTTTTACATGTATTATCGTTAGCCCAAGAACACCATGAGGTTTTTGAAGCAGCTCCAGTACATGTATCAGCAGTTGTAAATGATGAACATGTTACAAAAACATATGGAGCACATGATCCTGTTTCTGGTGAACACCATTCATATATAGGGCAATTCTCAACTGAATAATCAGAACAAGATGTAAAGAAAGAACACTGATTTTACTTATTCCAGAGACATCCAATTCCAGTAGGACAAAGTTCTGCGCTTGTTCCATCTGCACATGAGGGATAATATTCTTCACAAGTGGAAGTTTTCCATTTGCAGAAGTCTTCAGCATCACAAAGGACTTAAGATGATATATCTGCACAAGTAAACGTATGGTCTTGACATTCAGCAGATGACGTATTCCAAAGACACCAAGATTATGCTTATCCGCAATCTTATTGATTTAGTTCTGAGCAGACACAATGTTGGGAAACATCTACATTCAAAGTTGCTGTTGCTAAACCGATAAGGCAAAGTGAGAATAGCAGTTATCTAAACATTTTATTTAATTAAAAAAGAGTATCTTTTATAAACCCCTTTTAAATAGCGACAGGTAAATTAAAATGGCAACAATAACTAGGATATTTTTAATTGATTTAAAAATAATTTATTGTACGTGTTTTGTATCTTTTTTTTCATTAATTTTTTTAAATTTTTGGAAAACAATTTTTAATTTGAGCAATTTATGAAGATATTTAAATTTAAAATGGCTCGAAGCATCCATTCTCTTTGCTTTTGATAGTGATCTGCATTTTTTTACTATTTCAACCAAGTGCTCATTCCTACTTTTAATGAATTTGATCTTAATTTAATTATTTCTGAACTTAGGAATATCATATCAACTACCCATATTTTTTTCTTTACTTTTTACTCAATTTATTGTTTGCATAGACAATTTAAAATTGACACTGGATATATGAACTTTTCATTACTCATTTTAATAATTTTTGCCATTTATGCAATATAATTTGATCCTAGAAAATAAAAAAAAGTTCTAAAGAGAACATTATTATCATAATCTATGCCTGATATTATAAAAATCAATAATTTGTAGTCAATATTGCTTTTTTTTACCTTTCAATATTAATATTGATTCTAACAGCTACACATCTAGACATGAAAAGAAAGTTCGGCATAACTGATAAAACTTAAGAATTATAGCAAAAATAAGGGAATTATATTTAAACGATTCTATAAAGACCTCTATAGGTCTATTAGTAAAAATACTAACATGCAAATTTATTTAACAGAAAAATACCATATATTTCATTCAATTAAAAATGAAATATATAATTTAATATATTAATAAAGGATTTTAATTGTCTAATAAAATACGTTGCTTATTTATTCTTAAGAAGAACAACTTAAGTTTTGAGAGAAATTGCATTTTACATATTTTCATTTTTTCGAATGTTTGTTAGTTAAGATGAATAATATATATCTTGTCTATTGACTAGTTTTTTTTATTTCAGCAAGAATTCTTCTTTCAATATTTTATCGGATCAATTAAATTTTCTTTAATTTTAAAATTGAATAATTTCAAAAATTGAATTTGTATTTGTTAACATTGAATAATTCTTTCTTAAATTTTCACAAAATAAGGAGAGAGTTTTACAATTATTCTAATTCTATTTTTGGATTAATACATTATAAATTATAGTTGGAGGTGAAGTTTGATATTATTCAATTTATGTAAATAGTTTACTTAATATGTCTGTAATTTTTAAGAAACATAATTCCCATTCTCCTTTTTTTAATAATATAATTGATAATCTTTACTTAAATTTGACTGCTTTCATTTGAGTTATTTCTTTATTGATTTTAATTTATGAAAGAAATACAAAAAATGAAAACGCTTTATTTACTAAAATTCTTTTTTAATCCGCAGAGTGGTCAATTCTTGTATATAATTAAAGAATATGCCTCTTAAAAACAAGAATTAAAATACCTATCTTATTAATTATTATATAATATAATTCATTATATATAATTATCAGCAATGATAATCGTGATCAATTAACTGTACTCAATGTTTGATTTATCACTCTCTACATTTAAAAAAGGATAATATTTTTCTACTCTTGCGCTTCTCTAGAGCAAGCTCCCACAAATTATTTAAATGATATTTTGTCCTGACGATCTCAATAAGAAGAAGAGGATTCAAAATTTTTATCTTATGAATCATTATATCTAATTAATTATGTTTTAAGGTCTTTAAAAAAGTTTAAAAGTAATAAATCCTTTAAATATTTAAATACCATGATTTATTAATTAAAATTAAATTTTATGTCGATTATTTCAAATAAGAAGGGAATTCTTTTTTAGAGATTTCTAGACTGCATATAATAATCTCTTTTTTATTTAGGTGAATTCCTTTAATATTTATGATTATAATGATCAATGATGATTTATTAAAATGATTATGTATTAATACTATAAAAACCCGAAGAATGTATTATTTATAATAGTAAATTAATTCGGTCTTTCTTAACAATCGTTTGAGAAAGGATATCAAAAAAAAGATTCCTATAAATTAATTTGTAATTCTGTTCCTAATTTTGGCAAACCCTCATGAAATTAAAGGAATTACTAGGCCTTTGGTTATGAATTAAAGAGATTATTATTAAATATAACTAGAATAATATTCATAAAATAAGTGATAAATAATAAGTTAGAATGTGATTTCAAAGGATAGAGAAGCATTTAGATGTAATTATTTATTATGTAAATAGTTATATAAGTAGTTGAGGTTTGATAAGATAAACAATTTCAAGTGTAACAACACTCTAAAGTCTGAATTATTATTGCCAAATAGTGATTCATTTCATTTTATTACTGATCCAAAATCATTTTAAGAATTGACATTATTAATCAATTCGAAAATTAAAAATCAGGTCTTGATAAAAAATATCATCTGTTATTTTTTAAAATAATTTACAAACATATAATTATTATATTTGTAATTAGAATAAATATCACAATCAATTAAATATGTATCTAATTTGATGGTAAAGCCATTTACTTTTAATAAAGTTGAAGATAATTCTATCAAATAAAATGAATAGTGTTGGGCACTTGTTTTTTAATAAATATTGTTCGATTGTTGTAGCATAATCTAAAATTATAATAAAATTATATGATTGAATGAGGAAAAAGATAAGACTTTTATAATTATTTACAGTACTCAAATAAACTATATTGTAGAAAAATAACTTAAATAGGATAGTGTCTTTAAAAAAATGATGATCTATTTTATTTAATGATTTTTGAAGTAACATCAATAAAAATTGTAAAATTGAATCCAAAGATTTCAATTAATCAATACAAATAGTTTCATTTACGATTGATAAATTGATAATCTTGTTTAATTGTCATATAAAAGATGCATTAATCTGAGATGATAATTTTAACAATAAATATTTAAAACATATTATTAGATAATTTTAATTCTTAATAATGAATTATAGATATATTATAATAATAAACTAATATGTTTAAAATATTTTGTTTAAATCATAACAAAGAATGTGTTATGGTAGATATTAATAAAGAAAGTATTTTAGAAGGAGATTTGGTTGTTCAAAATGTATTGAAGAATCAATAAAATCTAATATAGGTAAGTTTGATTAAATCAAAAGTTTGGATTCCTTTTGGGCATAATGGGAAATAATTTCTAAAGATAACAAAAGTTTTATATAGGAAACTATGAAAAAGATTGATGAGCATACTAAGGAATTATCAACATTCAACAGCATAATACTAAATAGTATAATTGAAGTAACTAATTTCTTTTTACAAAAATTATAAGACTAATTATAGGTTTTTGAAGTAGAACCTCAATATTTATCAGAAGAACACATTTTTTAAATTGCAGAGAATCTAAGTAATTAAAAGGATTATTTGGATAATTTTAAAAGTTAATAACAAGATTATTACCATTCATATTTAAAAGAGATTTAAAATATATTGGATTAAAATAATATTACAATAATTTAGAAGGTAAGAAAACATAATTTAAGTATAGTTCATCAACAAATTAACATTAAAATTAAACTTCAAAAATAATCATCTAAATAAAAAGGAATAATTGGTATTGGTATATTAATAGGTTGTTGTATAACAATAATGATTAATTTTAATTTACCAATAGGTTAGATTAATTAATATCTAAAAATTAATCAAAAAATCATAAAAAATGAAAAAGAAGTTAATGATTTTTAATCAAAAGAGTGTTTATCAATAGATTAAATTAATTAAAATCAAAAAATCATCAAAAATGAGATAGAAGTTAATTAGTTTTTATATTAGCCTATGTAATCAAATCTAAAAGATATACAACTAAAATGTTAATTATTTGCTTTTAATTCAAATAATTCAATAATGATAGCTGGTTGCGAAAAACAGATTTAAGTATTTTAGTTCGTTGATGGATAACTATATTATAAATAAACTATCAGTTCCCACAATGACAATCTTACCGCTTTATACCATATGAATAATTCTGAATAATTTGTTTCAGGTGATATGAAGGGAACAATGATGATTTGGAAATACAAGATGGCAGATAAATGGGAATAGAAAGAACGATTTGAGTAATTACATAAAGGTAGAATAAATGAAATCAGAATGAATATTAAAGAAGATATTATAATTACATGCGGGGATGATAAATCTATCTAAATTTTGAAAATTGAAAAAAAATGGAAGCCTTAATAGAGAATCGCTTAATTTAAGAGTAAGGTATTAAGTCTTATTTTGAATGAAGTTGAAGATTAATTAATATCCTCTGATTATGACGGGATTATATCAGTGATGAAAAAAACAAATTAAGACAACTGGAAGGTAAACTAAAATATTACTGCAATTCCTGGATTTAAATTAACTTTAATCGATGCTAATTAATTTGTTTATCAATCAAATAAAGGAGATATGTAAGTATTTAAACTGAAAGGTGATTAATACAAGGAAATTTAAGCTATTAATTTGAAAGGAGATGGAGGCGAAAATATTTGCCATATCTCTTCAGTATTTGTAAAATAGAAATCCATTCTGATCAGTATTAATAATAAATAATTACATATGATCAAGAAGAAGTAGAATGGAGATCTTGAAATTTATAAATCAATTGTGCATTAACAAAATCCTGTCTATGGTGGGTTAAGCAACGATGGAGAATATTTAATCACATTGGACGAAAAAAATTAGGGGCAGTTACAAAGATTTGTTCAGCAAAATTGAAATTATTAATTGCTAATGTAATTTATTATAAGTTTTCAAGTAAACTGATTGTATCTGTCTGAAAATCATGATCAATTATTCTTAAATTTCTATATTTATTAATCTAAATTATTAATTGACATTTAGTATATCTGTTGACTATATCTTCATAAATTCAATAAAATCACAGAAAACATATTTTATCGATTCTATCTGAACATTTTTATAATAGTAATTGACATATATTTTTTTAGTTTATTGAAATGAATATATTTTCCTTAATTATTTCAGACTTTGGACTTTGGATTAATTTAAGTTTACTTAATGTTAATTGTATTTAAATTCTTATTTAGTATTTTCTCGACATAGATAGCAAGATTATATTTTCAATAAAAAAGCCTTTTCTAAAAGTATTATATTTATTGACTATCTATGTCTAAAGGACATGAAGATGCAGTATATTATCCACTTAATTATTGACGATTGCATATAATCTAATTATTTAATTGATGGGTATCATTCATATGCACAACTAATTTTAGAATTACAAGAATTAAGTTATATTGACTATTTTTAAATTAAAAATATCTTGATGTATTTTTATTTTGGCAAATTTAACTTTATAGAAGATTCATCTTTGAAAATATAGTGTTTTTTTAATTATAATTTCATACGATCCTAACCTCCCCCTTCACTTAGGGAATAATTAAAAACGTAATTAATAAATATAATTGTTATGTAATTTTGACTCCTCTTTGTAATAATAAAAATCTGAAGATTATGGAGAAATCTAAAGCGAAACCAATAATATAGTAAAAGGCTAGATCTGGTAGTAGGAATAATATAATAATGAAAATCTAATATTGATTTTCAGTTCTATTAGAGAGAATTAATAAAAACCAAGAATAATATAGTTGAATCAATATCATTGTTAAATATTGTTAAACTCAGAAATTACAACATTGAATTAGCTATGTTTATGAATTTATATAATTTATTACATTGTCATAATTCCTTTGAATTTAAACAATTATCAATACTTTATAAACCTATTCGCTATAATTTCATAAATGATCATTAGTAATTTCACTAAAAACAATTATGGATTTCTAGGTTTAACTTTAGCATGTTCTACAATCACTTTTAGAAAGTTCTCTTTTGAATTTACCCCATAAAATTTTCAATAGGACTCAATTATTGAGTATAAGGAGGCAAATAAAGGTGGTTTAGATATCTCAAAAAATTATTTCTTAAATTTGTTTCTATATACACAGATGCATTATCAAATTCAGATACATAATTTCTAAAACCATTTTCTAATTACAAACTTGATTGGTTTAATTAAATAGTTTTAAACCAAAACAGAATTTAAATTATATATAAAGCACTAATACTTTTTCATGCTACCAATGAGATATATTCTTTTTTACTCTATCAATATATATAATATGTCCAATTTTTCTTATACCACAATAATAAATTCTTTAAAGTAAGGTCCAAAACTATAATAATCATTTAATAGGATACCCTAGCATGGAAGATTTTAAATAATTCCAATTCTCTATCATTGTTAATATCACTTTTTAGCTATTTAATATGCAATTATTATAATAATGTGTTTAGTATTAAAAAATTTTGTGAAAAAGTTAATAATTAATTCAAAAATAAACTATTAAGTTTTATATATAATAGCTTGGTTTTAATTTTCATCATTATTTAATTAGAAGTAAATCTTGGGTTCTTGATGTATATATCTACTTGTAAAGTAAATTTTAAAATTATAAAATAAAACCCAAAATTCAGAATTTAAATAATTTATATTTTTTCTTAACAATTATGACAATAACCAACAGACTACTTATTTAAGTAATGACCAATAGAATATTTCGGATAAAAAAAAATGCTGAGAAAATTGGTCAGATGATTTAGAAACAGGCTCTTTGAGATTATAGGAGAGTTTATTAGAAATTGAAGTTGGTAAGCCATAAGGCGCTGATAAAGATCAGTTTCCAAACAAAATTGGATGCTAAATTTATTCTATACATCGAAACCAAATCATATATTATTTAAGAATTCTTTGAATGAATGTCTCTCTATCTCCCCACAGAGAACTTGAGGTAATTGTTCATTAAATATTTACAAGAATTATTTAATCATTTAAAACCTCCTTTAATAGAAAGCAATAAAAACAAATTCTTCAAGAGGTCACAAACAAATTAAATATAAATAAATAAAAGAATAGAAGCATTTGCAATTCAGGAGGAGCAGCAAGATTAAAGTATTACTATCTCTTTATATATAGAATTCTATTGCTTTACATTATTAGTTTTTAATACATAATTGACTAATTAATGTAGGATAATGATAAAAATAAAGTGAAAAATATCTATCACTGGAGCCGCATAGAGCAACCTTATTTAATAATATATTTTCAAGACCTAAATATTCAACAATAAAAATAATTTAATGTGTTGTATTATAAATGCTTAACTTAATTATAAGTCTAGTATTTAACCTATTAATTGCCAATATAATACGATGATTCGAGGGGAAATCACAAAGTTAACGAAAAATTTTTCAAAAAGAAGAAGATGATTGAGATAAAAAATTTTGAGGTAATATTATGGTGAATGAGTGAAATTTCAAAATGTATTTTAGATATTCAGATGGATTTGAATAATTCTATATATAGCATCAATTAAAACAAATGGTAAAATAGTAAACAATAGCAACTTGCATCTAAGAATTATATATTTAATATTTATATAATTCAACAATCAGTAATCATCTGTTTCAGTACGTTGGTCATCATCTTATTCAGGTTAATCCTCAAAAATTGAGAATTCTGAAAACTCTGAAAAATCATATGTTTATGAGGATGTTATTGATTCTAAATCATTAATAACTCTAATTATCAATTATCTAATTCTTTCAATTTAAAAATCTTAAGAGGAGGATTGCGAGCTCTGATGTGAGGTATGTGAGCGTTAGGAAGAAGATTGCAATGATTATTAAGGTGAAGTTTAAATAGATTATGATAATGATTAAGATTCAATCGAAAATTGTTGATATAGTTATATCAATTATGAATATTATTGTTACAGTCTTGATATTTAATGTACTGAATCAGTATTTATAATGTTTGGGAAATTCAATTCAATTCCTTCATATAAATTTAACTTACATATTTCTACCGCCAATTAAATATCAGATTCCTAATTTCCTTAAACTACTTCATATTTATTTAATGGCGACATTAGCCCGATAAATTGATTCGTTATCTTAAAACATTCATCCTCTTTATATAAAAATAATTAATTCTCTTTTTGTTATGCTTAAAATAGATTTCTTTTTTCTTGAAAAATTAGATTTCTCTACATCTTCCTAATTTTATTGCTATAAATTTCTCTACGATCGTAAACAATTTCTAAAATATCTATTTGATAATATTTTTAGAATGCATTTTCTTATTGCTTGATTTAAAAATTGAAATTGATGTGATTTATATTGTTTAGTGCTTAAAGTTTGCAATACTCTTAAATTTTTTATTGTCGTATCATTTCGAATTAATCTATAATCAACTACTATTTATGGTTTTCCATTCTTAGCCAGAATCAGGGTTATTAAAAATAATATTAAATCTTGGAGTTAGCAAAATGTATAATTTAAAACAATATCAACCTTTCTCCTCAAAAAATTTAATTAAGTATTCTATACAATTATTTTACTTCAATTTTATATATAATTTATACCCTTTTATTAAATTCATTAAATAAGTTAGGTAGACATTTATGTATCGAAAGTTTCTAGGACTGAAAATGCTTTTAAAAAACTACCTATACCTCAAAAGAAATTAAATTCAAATTATAGTCCTTAAAAATAATACACTCCGAGAAAAAAAGTCATATTTAAAAATGACAACTAAATTTTAAGTAAGCTCTTTTTATTACTTCTAATAATGAATAGCTGATTTATTCAAATATTACAAAGTATATAAATCTAATTTAAATTTACTGGAAGATCAAAAGATCAAATTTATTTTATAATGATAATAATCGATCACACTCAAATAATAGTAAAAACAATTTTTTCTATAAATCTTTTTGTATATTCTTAAGGATTTTAAGCGGAAGTATCAAGATCTATTTTTACATTTAAGGCTTTTTTTGTGACTTATTCAATCCTTTTTTCAGCATTCCATTCTTGTAGGTAATCAATAATTGCAATATGGTAGTATACCCCTTATTCTTTTATTGATGGTATACAAGATAATTCTGAATTAAAAAATTTGAAGATCTAAAACTAATATTAAATATTACATCTATTTAAGGTTATATCTATAAGTAAGATGACCAATTCATTTTTATAATTAACAAAGAATAATCCATTAGATTTAACTCTGAAAAAAATTTGGAATCTTGAATTAAGCTGTTTTTTAATCTATCTTTAAATTTTTCAGGAATAAATAATTTGCCTTCTTCCTCTTTAAAGTCAATATCTTTGAGAGTAGTCTTTGTCAAATCCTTAGTGAAATCATTTTATTTCAAAACTTTTCTTTAATACTCAGATCCTTTTAGGTCATAGGTTCTCATTACATAAGATGATGGAATTTGGAGAGCATTTCTCATCACAATAAATATTTGAGATTCTTATCCCTATAATTAAAACAAATTTTACATTTTGTAACACAAACTTAAAGATTCCATAAATTGGGGAGATTAGGGACTCATTTCTATTTAAATGTAGGAAGTACCTGCCCAAGTTTTTTTGAATTATTAATAATTCTTATTCAACAATTGTTTTGATTAAAAGTTTATTGTCAAAGGTAAAAAAAAAGAACGCTCCTCCCTTTCCACCATCAGGACCTTTAAAAGAATTGATTTATTCTTAATTAGATATTGGATCAAAAGACTAAGAATAATTATTTATTTTCCTATCTTTTTTTCTCAATTTTTGAAAAACTTTTGGAGCATAAATAATAATAGTAGAAGCCATCAATCTGAGTTCAATCTCTAGGTCTTATTCAGGTGGAATAACAAACTGAGCTTGTTCATTAATTTCCTCCTCAGTTATTTTATCTTGAATTTCTTGAATCTACTTGGATTAAATTTCTGACGTTTGATTGTTTACTTTGTGATTTTTTTTTAATAAATAGCTACCTTTTGAAGCATTTTCTATGTAATTATCTTATTAAAATATTTATTATATGCTATAAACAATTGTATTAACCTTATCTATGAGCAAAGTTTTAGCTATAACTACCAAATTCTGCTCTTCAGATACTAAGGATAATTAATATTAAAATACATAAAGAACTGCCAACTTCCGATTTGGATGAAAGTCGTTTCCAAATTAATAAGATTTACCTGTTTATAGTTGGGTCTCGAAGCCTTAATATTGATAATACAAATGGGGTGCATAATTTAGCAGAATTTTCAATAGTGATAAATATTAATAGCCATCCCTTTTGAAATTTTGTGCAATTAAGTCCAACTAGAATATAACTTATTGCTTAAGTTAGTTATATACAAAATTAAGCCGTTATGTATGAAGAATAATATCGAGTAACTTTTCCTATCAAATTTAAATATCTTTGATTTTCAGGAACAGCCTTTTTAATATACAGCATTGTATAAACTGACATAAAAGTATTTACAAAAACCAAAAACAAACCAGCAAAATTGAATCCAGGATTATACTTTAAACTACAAGTGCCAAATAAAGACAATCCATTATAATTAAAAATTTTTGCTATCAAGGTTACAGATATCATGGTAAACCAAGCAATAACATGAAGAATGAGGCGTAGTTTTTTTTTTGTTGCAAATTAATCCTTTAGAGTTATTCTTACATAAAGACAGAATATTAAATTATAGGTGATTTCTCCAGCTCCAGCAAATATGCTTACAATTGAATTAATTTAGCAAAATATATCATCACTTAGAGGACTACTCTCATTTATTATAAAGTATATGCATGTGCTAAACCAATGAACACATAGGATGGCCTCACAAAAAGAAATAAAGAATATGATATCGCCAGGCATTTTCCAAGTTTTTGGATAAATCATAAAACTTAGCATAATAATCATTGTTAAAATGAAAGCTATTATTGCTAATAATTACAAAAATTACTTACGAAAGATGAGAAAAATATATTAGTCAATAGTCTAAAGTCTTATAGCTTACGATAGCTCCTCATTACTTAAGCCTGAGTTACAATCAACTACCTCTGAATCACTATAAATTCCCTTAACTTAACTCATTATTATTAGAATTAAGGCTGCATGCATTATTTACATTTTCTGTAGAATTTTGTATCGAAAATATTATATGATTTTATACTAAAACCAAAAGTGATAATATGGAATACAACCAGAAATTATCAAAGTATTTTAATGAGTGTATTTGTTTTTTCCTTAATGAGAACTTTGTAAATAATAAAATCAATATGAGCTAAAACTCTTAACCTTTGCTTTTTTATTTCGAAAATACATTAAATAATTACATAATAGCCCAATCTTTCCTCGTACTATTTTACATTAAATGATAAGGGGAAAGAAAGAGTAATAAATTGATATCTAAGTTAAAACACTAACAAATTATGTAAAATCTAACCTTAAATTGATTAATTTTATTAAAGTATTTATTTAATAAAATGAATATTAATAAGGCTTGCACATTCAAATTTATGTTGTAAAACTCTTTCTATTTGATTATTAAACAAAAAATAAGTTAAGGGAATATTATAAACAAGTTTTGTTTGCTAGATCTAATTAAACCTATAAAATAATTAAAAGAAATTAAATTAAATAATCGGAATAATGGGTTAAATTTCTTGTTTTTAAGGAAATGAATTAACAGAGTTTAATGTATTATTACTTGGCCCATCTGGATCTGGAAAGACAAGAATTGTGACAGAAAAAACTTTAGGACCTACAATTAGTAATGAAAAATTTAATTTTATAGAGCTATAAAAGCACTTAATAAAATTGAATGATAACCATGGATTGAATTTTTATGACACCCCTGGGATTCTTAGTTTATTCAAATAATGTCTGAATTAGGATATTATACAAAGTGTTGATATCATTGCGTGTTTTCCTAATTCAGAACAATACAAGGACTATATAAAAGAATTATTACAAAATAATACAAAGTTATTCAAATAGATTCCATTTTATGATATTCCAGGAGATTTAGACTCAAAGGAGATAAGGAATAAGATTTATTTGTTTATTTTATCATAGAGTAAAAGAAAATCAAAAAAACCAAGTTATAATTAAGAAATTGTCTGATTTTGATCAATTTATTGTTTATGTTTCTTATATAAATGATAATCCATCATTTTTTTACCATAATCTTATGCGGATCAACATTTGATCCACATAATACAATTAAACATGAAAGACGCCCTATAGGATAGTTCATAAAGCCAGCATAAGCTAATGCTGCAGCTCCTTCAACAATAAGTTTGTGCTCATTTAATAATTTTAGTTAGGCTTCTAATATTTGATCTTCTTTCACTAAAACCCAATCATCAACCAGATGCTTGCAAATTTCAATCGTGATAGCATTTTCTTCAACTCCACCAGAGGTTCCATCAGATAGAGTGTCAAGCAATTTGTATTCTCCTTTATTACGTAATATCTAATTGTATTTTTAAATTTACATTGTACATAGCTGCATTATCTTTTGGTTAAACTCCAATAATTTTAGTACCCTTATTTTTTAGATACTTAAAATATAAGGCAATTCCTCCTATCAAACCACCGCCCCCGCATGAGACAAATATAAAATCGAGTTCTTCATTTTAAGCGTTAAAACTACATAAACATATAGAATTACTATTAATCTATTTCTTCTCCTATAGTGCAACTACCCAAAATCATATTTATATCATTATAAGGAGAGGCATAAGAGCAATTATGCTTTTCTGCGTATTATCGAGCTTTTTATTCACTTTCAACACAGTCCTAGCCTGCATAAATTATGGGACAAGTAATTTCTTTTAATTTATCTCTATTTACATTTTTAGGTACAAATATGATTAAATTAGATTTATCAAGTTCTTCTTAAGAGTATTATTATTGTTATTATTATAATTCCTAATAATCAGGTTGAGGAGTTGGAGTATTGTATTCGTTTGATTAAATCTATTAAATTTATTTGTAATCCTGTTAAAAAATTTCACTCTAATTCTTTGTTTCTTCTGAACAACTTTTGTAAGCATAAAAACAAGCTTTTGCAAAATTACCTGTACTAGCAACGACAATTTATTGATTTGGCTGATCTTAAAAGTATAGAAAAGCTCCTCTAATTTTAAAACTTCCAGATGTTTAATGACTTTCAAGTTTTAAATAAGTTTTATCTTTGATTTTTAGGATTGGTGTATTGATAATTGGAGATATATCTGATTTAAGCGTCTGATGGGCCACTGGAAATTTCTTTTTAACTTTTTTAAGGAATTCTTATGAGATAGTATCTAAGAGAGGTTTTCTAGAGGTAGAACAATCTAATCCCATTTTTAATTTATATATTAATAATAAATTATGAGTGAAGAGGAATAAGTTAATGGAAAATTTGATTATTTAAAAGCCAAATATGTTTTTAGATTCCCTTTTACAGTAACTGCATTAAAATGGGGATTCGGATTATGTATGATATTAATAAATTGATGCAATTTATACATTTTTTGGAATTCATCAATATATAAAATCAAGAGATGGATGGCTAGTATGAGATGGTTTATTTGGGGTAATGTTTTAACTACTTTACCTATTTGGGGTTTCTTTATGATGAAATATTCATTCTATAGCAGCACATTAAGGAAATTTGAATCTGAATAATCAAGATAATATGAAATTTAAGGTTAACGAGAGTTTATTTGGCTAATAAGATGGGAATAGATCCAGAAAGCAGTGATGAGGATCTTTTGAAGTAAAATATATATCTATGATTTAGAGAGTATCAGAAGAAGAGTGAAAAAATAAAGGAAAAAAATAACCTCTTGGACAAATTGCTAGTTGGAGTTGAATTTTCTTAATTTGAGTTTCCTAAGTGAATTATTAAATATTATAATTGGTTTAGAAGCACTATAAACTAATTAACATCATATAATTAATATGAATAATTTATTAAAATATTTCATAATTATTATTATCATTGCGTAATTTTACTATTTAAAAACATTCTTGTAAATTATTATGGCACACATTTATTATTTTGTTTAAATTAATATCTACATGGAAGGAATTTTAAGTTAAGCTAAACAATATATTGGAACTATCAATCAGGCTGCGAAATACTATACAGTTGACAACATTTTCATCCACACTGGGTATAGAATCAACTATTCTACTCCTTGGCTAATACTAAAATCACTCTTTTAGAAACATAATGAACTTATCAATGTTTGGACTCATATTATAGGATCATTTCTTACCCTCCTGTTAATAATATACATTGTTAGTTATCATTATGATTATAGAAAAAGATTAGAATAAGACATTGATCAAATATTTAGTTTTAATTCAACTCAATATTCAACTTCAATTAACAACCAAAACATAGAGGCAGATAAACTCAAATACGAAGAAATTTTTAATAAAATTGATCATTTTCAAAATTCAATGCTTACTTCTGAATCTTACAAAGAGATTGTTCATTTAATGAAAATTACAATAGAAATACTCCATTTTGAAGAAGTAAAAGAATACACAATTGTATTCTAAAATAAATTTAATTTATTTAAAGATAAAATAATATAAGAAGTAAATATTATTCAATATCATTAAGATCGACAGTGAACAATTCGATTGGGTCGAAATCTACAAGCATGACTATTCCCATACTTCTATTTTGAAATAAGAACAATTTCTCAGGAAAAATTCTGATCCTTATAATGTTTCAAGATGGCCCATAGTTGTATTTTTGATCAGTGGTTTGATGTGTATGACAGGTTCAGCATTATTCCATCTTTTTTATTAAATGAGCGAAGCAGCTAATAAATATCTTATGAGAGTTGATTATGGTAGTATTTCACTGCTTATTTTGGGTTCTTGCTTTCCTCCATTTTATTATGGATTTTATTGTGATACATTTTTGAGATACTTTTATCTGATTACTGTTGGATCAGCTTGTTTGGCAGCTTACATTGTTTCTATTTTTGATTTCATTCATACTGAAAAGTGGAGAAAAATTAAAGGCCTTATGTATGGATCTTTAGGGTTATTCGCAGGTGTTCCAGCTTTTCACCTTTACTTAAGAGAGTATAAATTTCTTTTAATTTCAAATAGATTTTATAGAGAGGATATTTCAGATTATTTACCATTCAAACACTCATTTATATTTTATATTTTGATGGGATCAAGTTACTTATTTGGTTTGGCTTTGTATACTTTAAGAATTCCTGAGAGGTTTATGCCAGGCAAATTTGATATTTTTGTAATGATCAATTTTATTTTAGGGTCATAGTCATTAATGGTGGCATTGTTTTGTTTTTTTAGGAGTCTTTTTCCATTATTTTGGTTCTATATACAACATGGGAGATAGAAAATTTACATTTTGTCTAATTTGAATTATTTATTATTATATTATAGTATTTATCAGTTCTTTAAATTCTAGTATTGAAATGATTTTGAATTAGGAGTGATATTTGAAAATGTCATTTCTCCAGTACTTAGTCTTTGTTAATTAATTTTTTAAAGTCCTTATAAGACTCTCTAGCCGTTTTCTTTGCCATTGGATCTTCCTCTTCTTTAAATCTCGGCATTCATCACAAATATCTAGTTTTCCAAATTGTTAATTATTATTTTATACTCTGCCACTTATTCTGACAACGCATTTGCTTGTTATTAAAAGTCTTCTGAATAACTAAAAATGATTAATAATGAAGGAATACTTTTATGCTAATAAATCTAGTTGATTTTGTAATTACAGATTTTCAGAATATAATTATTATGCTTAATTTTGTAAATCATTTACTTAAATTTCTAAATGATGAATTATCTCATCTTTATTTTCTTATTATTATTCAAATTCTTCTTATAACTCTTATTTTTCTTTAGCGAACTACTCTGCTAAATTTGACAATTATTTCTAAAAGTTTTACTCAATTTCTTTTTCTTTCTTGCTTAATTGATCAAATAAATAATTATTTTGCTCCTTAATTTCATTCATTTAAAGTTGTAATTCTTAATAGATAGATAATTTTGATTCTTAGAAACTCTTACTTTATAACTGAGCAATCAATGATTATTATTCTTATTCTTTAATTAAAACTTATAGTTTGTATTCTTAAAATTATTATTATAATGACTCTTATTCTCTATTCAATTTTTATAATAATCTCTTTGTTTCATCTAATTGATTATTATACAATTCATTTTATTATGTTAAATTCTCATTCTGTAATTATAGCTCTTCTAATTTTTATTCTAACTGATGAGTTTATTATATGGAATCAAGATTTTCTTGATAACTGTGCTTCATAATAATTTTTTCTAATTTTTCCTAGAGTTCTTTCTTATCATTCAATAATTTAGAGATAGAACATTATTATTATGCCAAGAGATTTTGATACTGTTCAAATTTCATCTCATAGTAATATTTATCAGCATATGCTTAGGACAATCTTTAAATCTCATTTTCCTATAAACAAATAGATTTTTGAACTTCTGGATCCTTACTAAAAATGACACTTTATTCATTAGTTTCTTGATCATTGTAATTAGTGCTATTGTCATCAATATTTGAAAACTAAGAGGTTTTTTCGAATTATTATTGATGCTCCTCAATGTAACTATGATCATAAGCCTTATTTTCATAAGAATGGGTTTTATCAGTCAACATTAACGAATTTATTTTATTAATTAAAAATATATTAAATGAATCAAATAGAAATGTAGAAATGTTATAAGTCATTTTATTGCTAGTACTTTGTTTAAATATATACAAGTATAAATACATGAAATTATCTTATTTTATATAGAAATAAAAATTATTAAAATATGTCTGAGAATATCTAAAATAGAGTGTCTTCTATCTTTGAGAAATTAAACAACATTTCCTCTAGTGTTCAGGATGAGTAATAATTTATTTGATGATTAAGAAAGAACAATCGTTTTCATGCAATCAGTTAATTGATCATGGCTTTTGAAGCATAATTACAACATTAGTCCGATTAAAAGGAGGAGAAGTTTACTTACATTGCTGCCAAAGTCAGACAGATAACTGAATTTTTAGAATAAGAACAGGAGAAGTATTTGAATAATTATACATTAAGTCGCGAAAGACAAGAAACAGAAACATTCAAATTAATTACAGACTTGGAAAGGCATGCAAGAAGATTGATTGAATAAAACTCTAAAGAGAGAGTAGAGTAAGAAAAAAAGGTTGTGTATTCAATTGGATAATAAATTGAATCCTTGCAATAGGATGTAACTAAAGAAGGATTGGTAACAAATATATTAATTTAGGCATAATCAATATCTCATGAATATATTGATTCTTATTTGAATGAAGATTTACCAAAAATTGCTGATGAATTGTAAAATGAAATCACAGAAAGAAAGGATGTAGAGGAAAACATTTATCATTAATTTGTCGAATAGTTAAATGATTTAAGATCACTATTTGAAAAGTAATTAAAAATTTATATTTAAAGAGAAAAAAAAGAGAGAGAAATAAAAGAAGAGGAAATTGTGGAAAGTTTAAGAGAGATCTCAAATAGAATCTAAGAGTAATTGAGAAAAACAAGAGGAGAAAGGGAAAAGACAGAGGAGACATTAGTCACATTAGTTGAAAAAGTTATTGAAAAACTGAAAAGAGAAATGTTAGAAATGAATTTATGAATAAAATATAATTCAGAGTTTATAAGAAAATATGTTATTGAACATTTTTTCTGGAAGAATAAAATATTTGATTTTAGTTTTAAAAGGGTCAAAAGTTTGACTTCCATCAATACATTACTGATTTCTGTGTTGAACAATAACACTTCTCACTGCTTTATCTATAATCATTTATTTTTTTCTCATTTGAGTTTGAAAGGGGAGAATAAATTTTTGAATTTATGTATTATTTTTTAATAAAGTCTAATAAATGGTCAACTGAAAGTTCAAGTTAAGATATCAATATGATTACCAAATTCTATTATCATAAAAACAAAGAGAACAATTTATCTGATTTCTTTATTATTAAATGAAACAACCCTAAAATATAAATACATTAAATATGCTACAAAAGAATAAATTTTTTGCTTTTAGTATTATTTTAATATTCATAATTATATTAAAAATTAATGCATCAATTAATTAATGTTTGATATAGTAATTGCGTTTTTGAAATCCCATTATCTTCGGTGCTTTTATAAATAGGCAGTTATTAAGATAATTGAAAAACAAAATTGCTTTTCAAACTATGAAATTTTAATATTTAATAATGCAAAATATTTTATTACCATATTCAAAGGAACTTTAAAGTAAAATAACTTCTTTATAAAAGAACTTGAAACTAGAATTGAAAATAAGGTTTAGAGTGGAGTATATTCAAATCCACTATAAGGTAAATACATAAATAACTTAAGAACAAATGCAAAGAGCAAAACTAAATATCATTCGATTAGAATCCATTCATTTGAAAAAAAAAAAATTAAGTTCCAATTACAATGAAAAGCTTTAGAAATTAAATGAAAAATTATCTAACCAAATGGAAACAAGTTAGCAGAAAAAAGAAGAAAAATTAAATGCATTACAGAATAAATTGAAAAAACTTAATTAACCAAAAAAACCTCTTTAAATGTCATTTCAAGAAGAGACTAGCAACAGATAATCAGAGTCTCCAATTAAGAAGGAAATATTATAGACTCCTTAAAACAAGGCTGTTTAGAAATAGGAGATTCATGAGCATAAAATTCAAAAGATCAAATTAGCTGAACCCAAAAAGGTTAATGAAGTAAGATTAATGGATTATTAAAGAATGAATTATTCGATTAATTAAATAGGAGTATGGATGCAGCAAAGTAAAGGAAATCTGAAAGAATTGATATTATTAAAAAAAAGTTGCATGGTCAAGATGAGATTGTATTGAGTGTTATAGACTTTAGGTTCATTAACATATGGAAAAGTCGTAAAAAAATAAAGAAGAATTAGAATAGTAAAGATTAAATTAGATTTATCAGAAATTATTGCATCTAGCATAAAGGACTTAGGAGAAATAAATGAAACAGCAGAGTAAAGAAAGAAGAAAATCAATGCATTAGGAATTATCGAATAGTGGATCATAAAATAAATATAAGGAGTTGAAATAGTAAGATTCAAAAGCAGAATCAATTAGAACAGCGAGATCTGTTTAAAATGATTATAAATTTATATAAGTGAGGCAGAGATTAGAAAAATTAAATATTGAAAGAGAAATGTAAGCTTAAAGCATTCTGGACAAACATTAGCAATATTCAACTAGAATTCAATAAAATAAACAATTATTAGATGAATTAGCTAATACGTGTTAATATTATAATTTTAAGATCAAAGAATAATATTTGTTATGATTTATTTATTTATTATACATATAAAAAATTGTCGAAGATAATTTACGCCTTATCAATTATATAAATAGATTGTTTTATTATGCTCAAACAAAGCTCAAACAAAGCTTTGTTCTGATGTAGCTAAAATGAAAGTTAAATCCATAATTAATTTAAAAACATATATTAGATTTTTAAACTTTGGAGTACAAGGAAGGTAATGTACTTTGAAATTAGAATAAATTAGCTGCCAATCGATTGAGAGAACAATTGTGGAATAAAAAATAATTTAAAAAAATTAATAGTGAATAATAATGGAAGTAAATTAAACACCTGCAAATTAGAAATTGCTAGGTGCTTTATTCTAATATACCTATAAAAAGTAAACAAAACCCTTATTTAAGAGTAAAATCTCTTTCATAATAGAAAGATAAAAATGGAATAATTACACTTGATTGGTTGGACAGGAAAATTTCAGAATGTTCCTAACAAATATGATTATTGCACATAGTATGCAGTTTAAATTAAATCCGTTTTTCATTATAGATTTTTTCATTTTAAAACTGATTTACACCATGGAAATTTATCATTATAATTAATGAGAATCGCCTTGTGCTTATTAGTCATTTTAGCTGTTGCTAGTGCTACAACAAAATTCAATTTAGATTATTCTAAGAGGAAGGTCTATGACAGCTGTTTTAGCTGAAGTAGAAGCTAAATTGAAGAACAAATCACCACTTGAAGCAATTTTGAATGTTTTAAGAGATTTCAGAGATGCAGTCAATACAGAATAAGTCAGTCATGATGAAATCTACAATATCTAACAAGTTGAATGTGATTCTGAGAATTAATTCAGAAGTGCCGAAGTTCAAGATGCTAGCAATGTTCTTAGAGACTCAACAGCTGCTTTAAATGTTGCTTAAACATCAAAAATTAGAGCTACAAACCAATAAGAAGTCAACCAATAACAATATTTCTCAGCTCAAGAACATTTGACCTCTGTTTAAACTTCCGCTGAAGGTGAAGCTGGATATTTCAAGAAAAGAGGAAGAGATTATGAAGATGCTCTCCATGCCATTGATGAGGCTTCCGATATTTTGGCTTCCATTTATAGTGGATCAGGATCATTCCTTGAAATTAGTAGAGTTGCTAAGAGTATGCTCCAAACAGCTTTCAGTATCAAAGAAACCACCAGATTCGCACCAATCTTCTATGCCTTTGCTTAATTGGCTACATAAGAAGGATAACTTGATGAATCAGCTCTTGAAAGAGTCGCTTAACTTTTGGAAACCTTAAGAGCCAATATCTAAGAAGCATATAATGATTATGCAGAATCAAATGCTGTTTCAGTTGCAGCCTTTAATGACTAAAAAGAAAGATTAGGATAAACAATTGCCAGACTTGAAGCTTAAAATGAAAGACTTTAAAATAAATTAGATTCATTGAATTAACAAATTGGATCCTAATCAGCTATTGCTTAAAGAGCTTCAGGAAAACTCTAAAGAAACCAATAACTTTGGGATTAAGCATAAGCCTTATGCTCAACTTTTGCTAATGAATACAATTTTGCCACTTAAGCTAGAAGAAATGAAATCTAATTGGTTGCTTAATTAGAAGAACTCGTTGAATCCAGATTTAACTAAGTTGATGATGAAAACCATGAAAGAAATTAAAGAATTGCTAGCCATGCTTGATTTGATTTATTTCATTTTATTTCCATTAAATTTAAATTTATAACAGAAAAATGAGTATGTAACTAACACAAAAACCGAATCCATTTTTTTAAGTCCGCTAACATAGCTAAAACCACAACACAAATACCATAAACTGTTAAAAAATGAGAATGTATGTAAACTTCTTTTCTTTAGGAGCATAATTGATTAAATATCACCCATCAAAGGATAATAATAAAAGAGCACTCAAAGAGATTCATTTTATTAAGTTAAAGGTCAATCTGGATCTGCAGCCTGTCTTCTCTCTAACAAAACATTCCCAAGTAGATTCTTAGATAGTTTATATACATCCTTAAATTATACTCAGGAAAGTAATGTTGAAAAAAAGAATGGTACTTTGAATAAAGGACAAAAACTCAACTTTGAAACACTCAAAGATCATTTTAAATTTGTATATGATTACTTAGATGATTTCAAATAACAATTCGATAAAGTTATATAAGCATAAATTGATTAAGTTGTTTAAGTTTTGAAATCAGCTTCTTAATTATCAAATGCCTTAATAGAAGAAAACGCTTAGATTAAAAGCTAGTTAAGCACTGTTGATATAAATAAATTTTAATCACATCTGGAATAGTAAGAATTGAAGATTTCTCAAATTAACAGTGAAAATAATCAACTAAAATGTTAAATAAATAAATTATAGGAGGAAAATTAAAAATTAAAAGATGGAATCTTGCATTCTGAAAAAATGTAGTAAGAAGCAGTCACAAAAAATGATAAAGAGAATGTAATTTCTAATAACAATAAAGGAAAATACACTTAAAGAGAATTAAGCTATAAATTTGAATAAGCAGAAATTAAATTATTGACTCTTTAAATAAGCAACGATTAACTTAAATAACAATTATAACATTACTAATTAGATTAGCAAACTATTTCATAAATGAAAGATACCATATCTACTCTAGAACTTAAATCCTAAAGTTTATTGAATCAAAAAGATGCATTACAATAAGAAAATGATCTTTTAAATTAAAAAGTAGAAAATCTCGAAAAATAATGTAAAGACAAATAGAAGACCTAGGAATTCTTGATTTATCAAAATTCGTTAGAAAATGAATTAATAAAGTTTAAATAAGAATAGGCCCAGAGTCATTAGACTATTTTATCCTTAAACAATACGATTTAATAGTTAAAGGAATAGATTAATATATTTAGAACATAAAAAGATTAAGCCGAAGTATCAATATAAAATATAGTTAGAATGCTTTTCAATTAGAGTTAGTATAATCATAAAATGAATTATAATAAGCTACTGCTAGATATTAAGTTTTGTGGCAAGAAATATCTGAAATGAAGGATAGATTAGAATAAAGAAAAATTGAAGAAGATAGCCATTACATGTTATCTAATGCAGAAAAAGTATTATTTGAAACTTAAATTACTAATCTGAATGACAAGATCAAGGAATATGAATAAATTTTATTACAAAATGACTCAAAAATAAAGTTTAAAAATTATTAATCTTTTTAGGTCCTTAGAATTATAGATAAATTAGATTTAATAAGAGAAGGAGAACTACAAATAGCAATTAGAAAAGAATGGATCTTTAAGCAGCAAGTCTTTAGATTTCTAAGAGCAATAATGGAAGATCACACAATTAAGTAGATATTATCATATAATAGATAAAAGATTTAATCATTAATAAAAAAGATAAAGAACTATCAAAAAAGTCAGAAGAATTAGCTTAATTTAAATAGGGATATGATTTGCAGATGAAAAAGAATTAAAATTTAGAAGGAAAGATCCTTTAATTAATGGAATAGGAGATTAAGATCAATAGTAATTTGATAAAAAAGCCATGATGTTATATATATTATCCTTACTAATAATAATCACAACAATTATTTTTTATATTCTTAAATTGCACTGTTAAAAAATCATTCGAGATATTCAATTAAGATTCAGGTGATATAATTAATAAGAATTTCAATTTTAATAAATGCATAACAGTATTCAAACATCATGGATTGACTACATTCTCTTTTGCTTTACAGGCTTTGTCATCTGATCAGTGATGTGAATTGTATTGGATCTAGTCTTAATTGCACTCTTAGGTTTCTTCTTTCCATACAAGCTTGCTAATTCCTACATCCTGTCTATCGTTATAGTCTACCCTAAGACTGATATCGAATTTTTTCTACGGTTTTAATTCAATTAAATACAGATTTTGAGATGTCTTCTTTTTTGGCAACTTAATCATTGTTTTAGGTTAAACTTATTATTTCTGTTATGATATTATTGTTGATAATCTATCCTATGTAGTATCAGTCATCAATCTCTCTTGACTCGAAATTTTAATTTATTTCTTCATTCTAACAATCTCTTTTGATAATTGCTTCCGAAATATTAATCATTTCAATACTATTATTTATGAATTAGATTTCTCTAATTGTTTCTACATCTCCTCACATGTGTCTTATAAGTCTTCGGCATATATTTTTAATTGTTATTAAATCTAAATGTGCTTTCTTGCCTCGCTCTCTTTTTGAATTAATTGATCTTCCAATAATTTATATTGGTTCTTAAGATCATGGTATCCTTAGAGAAACGAATCCACAATTTGGCACATTATTCGGAAACAAACCTAAACATCTTCAACCATATTGTCTTGGCATGGTAGCTCAGCACTCTCACTTGTATTCTCCATCAATTTTTTATAATAGTTCAGTATCTAATGCGAATCGGCTAAGGGTATACCTCCTTAAATAACTACTTGATTATCTTCTCTTCGCTCTCCTTTTACATTTATATATTATAATAAATTATCGATATTATTATAATCATCTCAATCCAATAAACAAAATTTAATAATAGTATTATTATTTATCTTATATTTAACACCCAAGAAATTGCATTTAAATAATTATTGCAAAAATCTATAAATCAAATTCTGTTAAATTTTGCAATTTAGGATTCATAAGAGTATAAAATTAATAAGTTAAGAATCTCTTATCAGAGATGATTCTATTTTTGGAGAACTAACCGAAGATCTCCTTTGGAATATTAAATTATAATTCATAATTTCTAATTTAAATCTATACCTTTAGAACAATTCTCTTGCCTAAGATATTAAAGGATACTAATATTTTCATTTAATATTATGTATATATGTAGTTTATATACCTTTCCAAAATTTTAATTTTCTAACGTAAATTTATCATTTAATGAATTAATTACAAAAATAGGATCAGATATCTAAAATACGTTTTAACTTATTTCTAATCTAAAAATTCCTAATGAAAAAAATTGGCAAGGAATATTATATTACTCATTATGAATAATGATATGAGGAAGTGCATTAACAATATTTCAAATCTAGAGTCAAGTGTTTTCTCTACATTGATAACAGAGTGATAAAATTAACAAAAACAAAACAAATCCTAAATTAATATAGAGATTCATTTCAACTAATTAGTATTTGTAGACTAATCTATTAACCGAGTACTAATATTTTTTTTAAGCTTTTATAAAAATCATACATAATTTAACCAAAGAAAAAATTCATTTTATGAATCTTTTATTAAAGAAGAATACAATTGGGATTTTGTTAGCTTTAATTTATTATCAAAATATATCTAATATATAAACAAATTCTTGTTTTATCACTTTTAATTCTTTTTATACTTCTAATCTAATTGTTGAATAGTAGTTTTGGAAAATTTGTATTTGCTAAGCATTAGATTAATAAATTAATTAGAATCCAAATGAAGTAAATCCTCATTTGATCTAAGATATTATAAACCATTTTCAAAATCATTTAATTGAATTAACTTTTATTCTTTATAATGAATGATTGCTAAGGCACATCTAAAAATAGTCTTTTCGCCTTCCACCAAGAAAATCTCGAAAACTCTATAAAATAAATTAATTGGTAGGGCAGTTGAGAATAATGTAATGAACCTAAAATTTATGAATTATGAATAACCATTCAGTTGTAAAATAGAACAAATCAATATTATGACGTTTTAGTATTTTTGAAGTAATTGGATGATATTATTATATCAAATTATCAAGAATGTAAAATTCTCTATAAAGAGAATTGGGATCTTTGTATTTAGCTGTTAGATTGTAGTGAGTCATCAAGCGATAGAGAATCCAGAAGGCCTCAAAATTATTAAGGATTCTTACATTTTCATCATTTGTAACCATAATAAGAGCTGCAGTTAGAAAATTTAATCCTTAACAATATCCCATGTCTGGAATAGCTTCAGATAAAGCTTTGAGCACATTGACTAGAGATTCAGAAAGGACTGTTTAATCCTGAATTTAAAGAATAGATACTTAAAAGTTAATATTGTCTGGGAATGTGCGATGAACGTCTAATCTAATCTGATGCTCGAATTTAAATTCATTTTTTGTTAAAAAATCAGAGTATTTCGATGTTTTTTAAATGGTATTTGCTGTTTCCTTAGCCTTTTTGATATTGGCTAGAAGTGGCCAAGCTAGAATTCTTAAGCCATCAGGTATCCCCTAAAATAAAATTAGGAAATACCTTTCGAGTTCTTTCTTTGATTAATTAAATATTTTGCTTATCAAACTCATTTATCATTTATCTCCACTTTTCAACTCTTGCATTAAGTGTTTTTCTGTCTTTATAATGTTTTAAATTTATTTATGATTTGAATCCATATTAATCAGTTTGCTCAATTTAAGCTTAGTGTGAGATTTACGAATGAACCTCATTTTGCTTAGTAGCCTAGAAATCAGGAGTCTATAAATTTTATTAAGGTTCAGATTGGTTATCAAATTCATATTAAAACAATTCATCTTCATCTTCTTCTTTTTGTATGCATTATGTTAATTAGGTTGTTCTCATTATATAATAATAAAATGATTATACTTTCAATTATTTTTGCAATCGCGTAATCTCAATAAATCAAGCCTTACGACTTTGCAGTATCTTTAATATAAGGTATCAGTTTATTCCCATTGATAGTATAGTCATCAATTCATTATGATATGAGAGTAAACGAAGATGCAATTCTCTACACATATCCTAAGGGAGCAATTTATAAAAGCAATATCTCAACTAATAACGAGATTTAATTGTGCAGTGTATAACATGACACAATAACACTAACAAATAACATTACTAAATAGATAATTAATTCATCAACAGATAAAATTGATTAGTAAAATGATCAAATTATAAATGCATTTTACATGAATAAAAATTTGGGTTTAGTGACAGAATTTAATAATTATATTGTATTCTGCTTAGATAAATTAGAAATTATTAAGAAATACGAGTTATCTGATTTCATAAAAGCAAAAAAAGAATAATTTTAAGAAGGAATTTTTAGTGCTGAATTGAATATGGCTTTTCTATTTTATTAAACAACACTAATCATTTAGGAGGAGAAAGGCATTTTGGTGTCTTAAACTATTACAGAAATGGCAATTAAAAAAGTATTATGTAGTTTGGGACATATCTTTATTGCTACTAAAGATGGAATGTTAGTCTATTAAATAGATGTAGGAAATCAAATGATTACGTTGAAAAGTCATATAGAATAGAATCATACTATTAATGATATTGTTTTAAGTGCAAAAAATTAATACATATTTCTATTGGAAGAAGATGGAATACATATTTACAGAATTCTCTTTGATAATGAAAAATAGATTTAAATAAAAAAATATTCTATATTGCCATTTATACCTATTGAATCTTCATTTAATTTTAATTAAAATAATGATTCAAGCTTTGCTGTATTGAAAAAATCTCAGAAGTCAGTGATCTTCGTTGATTTAGAAATTAATTTAGATTAAGGAGTTTGGTTTATAGTCAACTCTCATGTCCTCAAAATTGCTGCATAGAATTTAGAAATAAATAACAATTTTGTTGTTATCAAAGGTTCAGAAACTCACTGTATAATTAAGCATTCATAACCAAGTATCTTTACTGTATTTAAAATTCATAATAATAGAATATTTTTAATTATTATCCATTTACCTTAGCACATACAATTTATCTGAATTTTTATTAATTTAATGTTGAAAATTCATTAGATATTTTATATGGCGTTGATTCAGATTCAATAACATTATTTTAAATAGATCAAATTTAAGGTAACATAGTATGTTCAACGAATGACACTGGCTTAATTGGATAGGTATTTTTCATTTAAATTTAGAATTTTAATTATTAAATATTTTCTAATTTAAGCGATTGTGAAAAAAAGTAATAATATTCTTAAGAAATTCAAAGTAAGGATTTAATAGTGTGTTAATTTAATACTGAAATTGGAATTAATATAATTTCAGATGATATAAATCCTTTTAATAGGCAACTTTTAATTATACTGATTGTTTGTTTGGGAATAGCTTTATTCTTAAGTATTCTAGCCTTGATTTGCTATGGAAATAAAACAAGGAAGCAGCTTAGTTCATACTAATAAAAAATTAAATTATATTAACAATTTTCAGGTGATCAAAATGACACTATTCGTACAAAATAGCCTCCGCCAACTATTGATAACAAATTTAAGATAGACGAGTTTGAATAATGAGTATCTTTTCTATTTAAATCATTAGTATTTTATAAAAAGGTTATCAAAAATCACTCTTCCCTAAGTTTAATCATTAATTATCTTTACTCTAATTAATTGTTTAAGTAAGTAATAATTCACGAATTCTACTCAAAAGGAGAATAATTGATTAGGACTAATAAATTATATGACAATTTCAAATACACATTTAGGTTCAGCTAATCATTTCTATAATATATTGAAAATGGCATTTTGTAATAATAGATGTATAGAAAATATTAATTATACAAAATAAAAATAGACTAGAATAAGATATAACTGCAGAAACAGAAATCGAATTGAATTCCTTTTTAAATTAGAATCTCTTTGAAACTTCATTTATATTTTACAATTCTATCAATCCAAATCTGTGACTCATAATAGGAAGTCCACATTAAGTACATTAAATTAAGAATCTTAAGTAAATAGAGTTGATAAATAGGATTGATCGCTCCTGTATTGGGATTGTGAAAACAAGTTATGGATCAATAACTTTTGCTCTTGAATTTATCAATCGTTCGAAGTGCAAATTCTAAATGTTCACTTCAATGTAATTCTTAACTTGTCCATATGTAGATTACTCCTTTATAAATATATATTAATAATGAAGTAACGGAAATTATATATAAAAAAATAATATATCATGATATTAAATTGGTCTCAATACTATTATTCTTATGGTATTTATAATCATTAAATTATAGTCTCATCACCTATAATTCAACCTGAGTATTTAATATTATATTTATTTATTCATGTTCTCTGAATTACAATGTAATGTAATTTATTGAGTTAAATGATACTTAGGCTTTGAGTCTCTCACCACTAAACAGTAATTTAATTAGATAATTATCAATATTATCAAAAAAAACTTCAATAGTTTTTATAAAAAAACAATTGAAAAATTATTTAATAATTAATAAAGCGAATAAACCGAATTTGTATTGTTAATATATTAAGGCTTACGGTTGTGTTTATTTATTTTAAAAAAATTGATGCTAAATCCTAACTTTAATGCTTATTATGTACAATAACCATTGTTCTATCCATTTGGATACTAATATTTCATAATGCCAGCACCTCTTACATTAACTAGCACTTAGATAATTAATCCTCAAATACAATTTTATGATAATCTAACTTAAACAAATAATGTATCTAGTGGGTTGAACTAACAATAAGGAGAGCATAAACTAAAAAATATCTCTGAAACTTAAAGCTATCTCAATTCTGATAGTGATAATGATGAACATAGAGATACTCCTTTTCATCCTAAATCAACTAAATCCAATCTAACTAAGAACATTTAGAAACCAAACCTTTTGGTCAAATCTACTAATATCCAGAAGAATTATGCAAAAGCTATAGTGTCCTATGCATGCAGATAAAGAACAATAATTTTTGAAACTCTTGGAGAAGAGAAAGGGGAAGAATTCATAAAATTGATGAATCGTCTCAAAAATAAGCTTAGAAATATTGCACACATTACGAAGTATACTCATGCAGAAGAATTTTTATCATTATTCAGAATTTTAGGGTATGTTAAGTGATCATAATTTTAGAAACAATTTCATTAAAAAGGACTCAGTTAGTTATATCTATAACTCTAAGATAATGTAGAAGAGTTGTCATTTGTCCAACATGACAGTAGTAAGGAATTCTCTATTAAAGTATTGATATCATCAAAGCGATAATGAATTTTTATAGTGTTTTTTTATTTCATATAATGAATGAATAGAATTAATTATTTTGATTGATTATAAGATTGTTTTGCAATTATTAGTAGTATTTCATTATTATATATTGAAATAAATAAAAATAATGAATATTAATTAAGAGGCAGTAAAAGCACATATATCTTAAATGCTGGCTCAGTTGAGATAGTTGAAGGAAAAGATCTAAAATTTAGAAATACCTGAATTGGGAAATCAAGCCAGTTATAATAAAAACACTGATTTAATTGAAGGTTCAAAATAACAACTACATCATATAATTACTTAATATTTCAAAGACATCCAAAACATTTACATCTATTTAAGTCGGTTCTATCCAACCACAGCCTTAAAATGTATTGAGTTATTTGATATAATTATAGAATATATGAAATAAGAAATTGAGAGTATATTTGCCTAATTATCAGAATACAAGAAGAAAATGAATGAAAAATAATTTTCCTAATTGGATTATGAGGAATTTTAGGCTGCTAATTATCCTGCAAAGAAAGATGAAATACAATAAGAATGCATGCAAATATAAACTGAGAGCTATCCCAATCATACAAGCGAATGTATGCCAAATATCAAGGTTCAAAATAGAATTACAGAAAGCCTTTACTTTGGTCTCAATTAATATGCTTCAGTCTATTGGCCAAGCAAAAAAGGAAAGGCCGAGAGTCTTTTCATTAACAAACCAAATTTCTTTATTGAAAACACTATGTAAATTATAATTGTTTATCTCTTTCAGTTGCATACCATATGCTCAAGATAATAAATTATATGCCTATGATTATGCTTCCTAAAAGATATTCTAAACAGAAATGAACGAATAAATACCAGATCACAGTTCCTTTTTGAATTTACCTGGTGGAAATTTATTCATCAGTGGAGGTGTAAATGCATAAGGATAGGTCTTAGGAGAATGCAGATATATTGACATCTCAAAAGGAACTGTATTGAAATTACCTGACATGCTTGTAAAGAGAGTAGGACATACTTTGGTATACATTTAACCAAATACATTTTGGTCAGAAGCACCAAAAGGATATATTTATGCCATTGGAGGTAGAACACATAACAATTTCAGAACAAAATTATGTGAGAGATTCAATATAGAGAATCAATAATGGGAGGAGATTGAAAAATTAAATGATGCTCGATCAAGGTCTTCTTGTGCTTATTCAGAAGAATAGCATGGCATATTTGTATTTTTTGGAACATCAAGCTAATAACTAAATGTTGTAAGTGCAGAGAAATATGATTTATTGTCAAAGAAATGGGAACGGTTGTTAATCCATAATCAATTGGAAGGGTTTGATGTGAGTTGGGGAAGTGCAATTTGCATTAATGAAGATTAGATTCTGATTTTTGGAGGATTGAAGGATAGCCAATATTTTGAAAACAATCTTTATTTCAGTAAAAAGATTTTGGTTTACAACATTCAGAATGAAAAGTATGAATATTTGATGAATTTTAAAGTATTACTGTAAATGATAGTCAACTTCCAGTAGATTTGTTACCTTTAGCCACAGTGATTCATGAAAACAAAGTGTATAGTGTTGGGAAATACATGAGTTGTGTTCAATTACCTCCTCATTAGAGTTTGGGAGAGGGAGCGTTCTTGGTTGAATTGGGAGAAGTCAATTCAATCATTTGCTTTTTTGGATGATTATAAATAATATTAATAAATAAATAGATTATGCAAGAATAATATGAATTGTATTATACTACATATAATCAGGAGAGAGAGAGGATTAGAGTAAGAGAGTTTCATTACATTAGAAATTTTACAGTAGTTTGAAATCTGAGGAATCCAATCGATTGTTGAAGAGTTAATCTCTTAACGAATCTTTGAAGAAAGCTGAGGGGTATAAAAATGAGAAGAAGTTGCAGATTAAACAAAAGGCTCACAAATTTAATATTAAAGCTAAAATTATACAGAGAAAGAACAATTAGATGCAGGAGCATCAATTTCTGGGTATTATTAAATAGAAAAATGAGTTGTTCAAGAAGGAGATTGAGCTGTAAGATATAATTTAAATTCAGAGAACATCGTCTTAATATTTTGAATGCGGAATAAAAAGAGTAGATCAGATAAAATTAAATCTATAAATCGATGAAACACAAAATCTATTTAGAGAAGGTTGAATAACATCAATTAGTAATAAATTAATAATAAAATAGAAAATAGAATAGGAGCATCAGCAAATGTTGGAATAGATGAATAACAAATTCTAGAAGGTCGAATAATATATTCAGATTACAAGAGATTCTTAAAAATAGAAATTTAGAAGTCTTAGTTACAAATATCTGACTTATAAACACAAAGCAGAGAATCTAATCTTGGAAAAAACAGAAAACACCTTTTAAGAAGCCCTTGATAACATGTCTAAGAGAGAATAAATCTATGTATTCATCCTTATTTAAGTTAAAAAGGAAAAATATCTTGAGACAAAAGAAAAAGAGAGGAAAAAGATTGTGAGAAGAAACAAATTGGAATTAGTCAAATTTAAAAGAAACAAGAAAAGACAAGAGTCTATTGAAAAAGCCTAAAAGCAATTGTAAGAATAGGAAAGACAAAGAAGAATACTTAATAACTCTACTTCCATACCAAAAATCATCATAACTGAACATGATGATTAAGGTAATAATGATGTTGAAGTAGAAGTCTATGAAGTACCATAATCTCATGAATAAACTTAAACTTATGAAGAAAAAGTTACATCTTCAAAAAAGAATTAAAAGGAAGAATAATCTATTTTCACTAATATTAACGAATCATCTATGCAAGTTACTTTGCCTGAAACCAAAAATATTGAATCTCCCAATTATAAGAAACCAAGGAGGGAATCAGAAAAAGAACGATAATATTAAATTTTAATGTAATATAATTTAAATAAGGACTTAGGAAATTAAGGTTGAATCTAAAATAAGAAAGAGAGAAGTTGGATAGAGAATTGAACTCATTCTTCATTAGTCAGCCAATAAATTTAAATTGATATATATATAATACTTATGTGATTATTAGATAAATTCTTTTTGGATATATCTCATTGTTAATGAATAAATTTGAATTAGCCCTCCAAACTTAATAAGAATTATTAAACTATATTCTATCAACGTAGTGGAAGGATGATTTGGAGAAATAACAATTAGGAGAAATATTTTCGAAAGTCCAAGTATAATTAATATCCTATTAGACCACCTGCAACATTAAATTGGAAATCGATGAATTCTTTTCTAAAGACACGTAGGAATAATTAAAATCCTATATATATGAGAAGCAATAGCAAGTATTTACAGTCTTAATTTTTTAAGATCAGATAAATTAATAAAAATCTACAGGAAACTCTTAACAAATAGGCTCAAGTGAGGTAATCTCCAACATGTGTGATTGCTTAATTGCCTCCCAGATTCAAAAATAACAAAGAGTCATATCTCTAATAAATGTAAATATATTGGAAATTCATATTGTAGTAATTATTTCAAAAACAATTTGATAGAAATGAAGAGTTGCCATACAAAATTATGTTTGGAGATAGAGATAAAATAATAGAGGGAGGCAATCACAAAATAAATCGGATTATTATAAATAGCGGAAAATTTTAAATTTGAACTAAATTGTTTAGAAAGCGAATTGATGCAAAATCGGCTTTATTTAAGTGAATAATTTGAGAGTATAAGAAAATTAATCGAAATTACTATTGAGGACAATTTGCTTCAAAATTTAATTAGTTATTGCTCTGCGATATCTAAGGCGAATATTCTTTTGAAGAAATAACTTATTATAATAAAACAAATATATTCATTTGACACAAAAGATTTGTAATTTGATATGAATTTATTTTAGTTATTTATAGATGATGGAAATGGATAAGGAAAATAAATAAACTAGTTACTCACAAGATACTGATGTTACAAGTTAGTAATCACCATAAAAAAATTATGATTAAAATTAGATCATCAACAAAAATCTTAGGAATCAAGAATGTTTGTGTGTAATCTTTTGATGAGGTTTTAATTGTGTATTATAAAAAAAAGAAAATAATATGATCATTTAATGTGTAATTTTAATAAAAAATGTTAAATCAAAAATGTCTTATGGCAAATTTTATACACTTCATGATAGTCTCATATTCAATATATTTCTATTTGATAAGTTCCAACTTACTTAATTTGATAACTTTGATTGTTACTACTTCAATTACAATAGTATTTTTGATGCTTCAAATTTTATAAAACAAGTTCGTGTTACAAGGAACTATTATATGTCTTCAATTGGATTCGGTTTGTTTGATTTTGATGAATGTTTCAAATATATCTAGAATACCCTTTTCATAGCTCATCATTTCACAACTTTTAACAAAAGACTTATTTCTTGATTTAAAGCAAACCAAAAAATCCCCTATTATTATCCTCCAATTAATGGTATCAATATTTTTGATTATTTATTCCTTTATACAAATTGAACTTGACATTGAACACCCTTAGTTGTTAATAACCTTGTGTATATCATTATATTGCTGCACTATATCTCTTAAACCTCAACAATCTTAACCCAATGTATTATTGACTGAAATAAGCAATACGAATAGACCAGACAATTTGAAATTCAATAAGAATACCTCATAATTTGATTTAGATTAAAATCTCAATTCTGCATGTCTAAGAGAAGCAGCAATCAATGACTCAACTATTTTAGAGACCACTTATCACTGTTTGTAATATTTAAATGAGGGTTTAATAATATTGGGTTTTGATTCTGAGAATACTCACTTTCCATACTCAATTAAATACTCTAATCAAGCAACCAAAACTATATTTGGAAAGGAAATGGATTCTGAAATATTAAATTTATTAGAGAACCTCACAATCTTCACTGGAAATGATCACACAGAAGGCTTATAATTTACATCCCAATATTAAATTAGACCCTCATATAATTGTTTAAAACAAATTGAATTAAAAGATCAATTTACATCTTAACATAAAAATTCAAATTAAGATTCCTTATATGATTAATTACACAAATATCAATTTAAATAAGTATTGGAAATGCTTTTTAAATAGTAAAATTGTGAGTAATTAGTCGTTTAAGCACATTTTGCAATAACGATTTTCAGGTCCAACAAATCAACCATAATAGACTTCTTAAACAATTATTAATACTGAGAATTTCTAATTACTTGAATTAACCTTTACTCTTAATAAGAACAATATCATCATCATTTGTAGAGATATTACTCATAGATAAAAAATAAGATATCTTAGGGAATATGATAAATAAAAGTCTAAAATGTTATCATTTGTTAGTCATGAATACAGATCACCATTGAATTGTATAATTTAAATGCTTGAAAGTGTAATTAATGATCAAGTAATTCAAGAAAATCAAGATTTGACTGAGCAATTATAAGTGGCATTAGATAATTCAAGTTACATTCTTAATTTATCCAATGATTTATTGGATTTGGCATAAATTAAAAATGGGAAATTTAGAATTGATAAAGTACCTTTTAATTTAGAAACATTGATTTATGAATGTATGAAAATGTTTGAATTGAAGGCTAAAATGAAAAAAGTATAATTAAAATTTAATCTTGGTAGTCAAATACCAAAAGTTGTATTTTCTGATAGAAGTAGAATAAAACAAATACTAATCAATTTGTTAAGTAATGCATTCAAATTCACTTAAAATGGAAAGGTTACGATCAATGTTCAGAAGATAAATTTAAATATTTTAAGAATAGGAGTTATGGATGAAGGTATTGGAATCTCAGATGAAGATTAAATGTAATTGTTTAAAGCATTTTCAAAAGTGAATTCAGAAGAAAGCAAGAAATTAAACCAATAAGGAGTTGGCTTGGGTTTAGTGATAAGTAACCAAATTGCATAAACCATAGGTTCGACTGGATTGAATCTCGAATCTAGCAACAAGAAAGATAATCACTATTCAAATTTTTATTTTGATCTACCTTTAGAGTAGCCATTAAGAAAGAAGGTTTCAAGTTTCAAGATACCTGAGATTTCACTCTAAGTTTAAGAAGTAGAGGAAATTGCAAGTTTTAAATAGATTCATACTCATATCAAGGAGGATTGGTCAACATAATAAATATGTTAACATTATTTAATAGTGGACGATGATTGCTTTAACATCTTTGCAATGAAAAGGTTGTTTTAATAATTACAAAAGAACAACAAATATTTATTTTAGAATGGATTTGATGTCGATTCAGCTTTGTCAGGGTAGGAATGTATGGAGAAAATAAAAAATAAAAAATGCAGTAATTCTTGTTAAGGATACAAAATTGTATTTATGGACATAGAGATGCCATTCATGAATGGTTAAGAAGCATCATAGAAAATTCTAAGTATCTATCCTAATTATGTAATTGTTGGATGTAGTGGGTACTCAGATCAATAGGAATATGAGAAATGTATAAGAAGTGGAATGTCAGACTTTATAGTTAAACCAATAAATGAAATTTAATTAATTTAGATAATTAGAAAGTTTCATTGATTTGATTATTATTTTTATTTTTAATGAGTTAGTGTTACTATGGAATTGTTAATAATAGTTTGAGTAATGTTAATTAATAGACTTTAAATAGTTATTTCTAATTTATTTTTGAAAATGTATTAGTAGTTTCAAATAGTCGAAGAATTCTTAAAAGATATTTAAGTTAAATTCTTATCTCTTGTAATTTGAAATGACGAAATTTGTAATAAATTTATTCATAAAAGTATTATAATTTAAATTTATATATAATGTTTTATGCTGGCATTGACAAAAACAAAAATGAATTTTAAATCAAGAATGCTCAACAAGAATAACAAGGAACTCCTGTTTAATCTAATAGAAAAGCATAAGGCTCTGATTAACCTAAGCCTGTAAGTGCAAAACCACCAAAAGTCTTAAAGGATGCTGGTTCAAAAGCTATTAATTATCCATAGATTACTCATGACATCTTAGATTAATAAACTGCAAATTTGATTTTAAAGGATCTTCCAATTGGTATTTAATTATAATAATAAAATTCAAATAGGATAACCATCGCAATAATTTGATGCTGTTGAGGCTTTATTAAATCAACATAAAATACAAAATTAAAGTCCAATAAGGAGCAGTTAAAAGGATAGTGGAAATTCAAAGGATTTAAATAGTGCAATGGCAAGAAGATTGGCAGATGTAGAAAAATTAGCATAAAATCAAAAATTAGAATTGAAGGAGAAATACAACATCATTGAGTAATTGAGAGAGAAAGTGCAGGAATTAACAGAAATTAATAGGAAATTGGGAAGTGGGGATAAATAAGCATATATGAATGAGATTAATAATTTAAAAGAGGAAAAACAAAAGTAGTAAAAGAAGATAGAGGATATGGAGAAATTCTTATAGAAGTATGGAGTAAAATGGGTTGGTGATAAAATAAGTGATGAAGATGATAAAAAAATGAAATAGATGGCATCAGACATGAAACAAATGAAACCATTATTTAATTACCATCTACCCAAGGAGATCTCAATAGATGTGATAAAAAGAAGAATTGAGGAGTTGAATTATATAATGGAGAAGGATGGAGCCAATTAAATAGTTAAGAATGCAAATGGAATGCATCAATTTTAGAAGATGGAACCATTGCCTATTGGATTTTATAGGAATGGTATTGCGATGAAGGGACATAAGTTTTTCAGTTATGGTTCAAATGATGCTTATTAAATATTGGCAGATATTCTAGAGGGTTATTTTCCATATTAATTGAAGTAAGTAAACATATATATAATAGATAATAATTTCCTAATGGGACACCATTGAAATTAATTGACAAAACTGAAGAAGTCTATGAGGCTAAGGCTGATGACAAAAAGTAATGTGGATATGAAGATTTGGCAGAGAAATAATTGAAACCAATGAAGAAAGAGTAGTTTTTAGAAGTATCCAAATATATCTATCTTAAAGTAATTGCCTGAGTGTGTAATTAAGAATGGAAAGATAATACCAATTAGATCAGATATTGAAAAAAGACTATCAGGATAACCAAATTTAAATGCTACATAATAATTGAGATCAGCTGGATGTAGATAAGATCCAATTGATGGAAATTGGATAGTAGACACTGAAGCTCAAAGAAGAGTTGATAATGGAGAAGATTTGGAGGATGTTTGTACTTTGAAATTCAGAACAGAAACAGGAAAATACAGTTTGATTGCTTTGATGTTTGGAAATCAAAGGATATGTGATATGTATTAATTGGTTTCAGGATTGAAAGAGTATTAAGATAGAAATATTCAAATTATATTGAACTTCCCTAGAACAGTATTTTAGAAAGATGACTAAACAACTTTAGAAGAGGCAGGATTGATGCCCAGTGCATAATTATTTTTTAATTTAATATGATTATTGATTTAATTTGATTTAATTTTGTTGTTTATCAAATATCTTATTCATTATTTAAGAATGATGGTTACCCAGTACCTGCTAACAATCTCTACCATGCTATATTTGATGGCTAAATATATATAAGATATGAATTACTGTAATTCTATTGGCATAATTTCCTGAATTCATTTCATTCAATGGAATCATGCATGTCTTATTGCTGACATGACCAACTGCAAATCCAGTGAAACCAGCCATTGAAGCGTGAATTGCATTTTAAGCCAATTAACTGCATAGTTTAGAATCTAATGAATTGGCTTTACCAGCTCTGACCATGTATTAAGGATCGATGTATTTGACTTCAGCATTTAAACCTTTTTCTCTGGTGAACTCTAAAATAGCATTCTTCAAGAATAATCCAATGTCTCCTTACTTAACATTTCCAGAAGCATCTCTACCTTTGTCATTGATCTTGCAATCTCTCAAAGAAGCAGCAGCTCCTTCAGCTACTACTATCACACAAGTTCCTTTGAGTTACAGTCTTGAATACACGTATTATAATAATCCTTTTTCTCCATAGACATCGAATTCAAATTCAGGAACCAAACATATATTCACACTTCTAAAGGCCAAGGATGCATTCAAAGCCAAAAATCCTGTATGTGAACCCCAAAGTCTCACAATTCCAACTGAATATTTTTTAGAATGAGTTTCTTGATATGCTGCTTTTAAAGGATTCTAAGCTTCCTTTTAAATGGTTAAATAATAAGATTACTTCAATTGCAGTCTCAAATCCAAATGATTTGTCTATGATTGGTATCTCATTTTCAATACTTTTGGGAATAACTACAATACTAATTTTGAGATTTCTGGTTTTAATGATTTCATGTAATTATTCAGCACTCTTCATACAACCCAATCCACCAATGAGATAAACTTAATTAATTCCATTTTTAGCCAATTCATCCACTATCAACTCACCATCAAATTTAGATCTGGCTGTTCCCAAAAAGCAACCTCCTTAATGATGAATAGTCTTCACTATTTTTGGATCTAATTTTAACCAATCATTATTGTAGATTCCATTGTATCCATATTTAGCACCAAATATAGTCTATACTTTGTAATTGTAAAATAAACACATTGTTAATTCTCTGATAATGACATTCAATCCAGGCAACAAACCTCCTACGACTACAATGCCTGCTTTGACTTCATCTGGACTAAATAATAAATGTTTTCTTGGACCAGATCTAAGCCATCTCTTTGTTCTTGATAATAAATCATTGGGTCCAAAGTTAGGGTGTTCTAAATTAATGAGATAATTTTACAAAGGATATAGCAATCATGATTGACAAAAGCAGTCTCAGGGAGAAAACCTTCACCACCAAACACACTTCTATAATTCGAATTTCCAAGCATGGGATTTACATTCAATGGTAATACTTAGAGTTTGAGATCATAAGCAAGATTAGAAACTCTTTCAATCTCACAAGTAATTTCTTCTAAATTTTTTAATTCTTTGACTAATTCATTTTCATTTGCATTTTTTGCCATCAACTTATTAATTGCATGTTTTTTAATTGGTCTTTAAGGAGATGAAGGAGCAGATGCAGTTGCAGACATATTCTCTTCAAAAACATGTTGAGCAGTTTCAGAGCACCCTTTTCTTAAAGCATTAAAGGCAGCAGCCCCGATTGTACCCAAGGCTAATGAGGCTAATAAATACAAGGGATTGATGGTTTGGGTAAGATTTTTTGATTCCATTAATTAATAAATGTAGTCGATTTCATCTGAGGTACTAAAAGCAGGAGTAACTAAATCTAACATCCGTTCTAATGTGACAGCCAAGAGGTACACTCAATATGTATATGTAGACCGAATCAATTAGGTGGAGGCAGAACTTAATTGGGTCCTCCTTAGACTGGGAAGGATACTCAATAATCATCATAGGATAATGTGATAGTGAAGTATAAAGATAGCATAGTAACACCAAAAGAGTAAGATATTGATATGAAAATAGATTGATTACTAAGAGATTCCTATAATTGGCTGAACAGTTGAAGTAGAGAGGAAGAATAGAAACTAAAATAATTACAGAAACCGGCTGATACAAAAGTGAGTGCGAGTGTTATGGATAGCAATATGAAATCATTCCATCAGAGTGCTGTACTATTAATAAAGTATAACAGGATAAATCATCGAATTCAGATTTGAAAGTTTCATCTTCCAATAATCCAGAGAGGAGCAGTTTTGTGGAATCTAAACAGTCAGACACATACTCTGATTCAGATTCTAAAAGAGATCAATCTGAATAACAAGAGAAGAAACCCAAATAGAAGAAAGGTTTGAAAGAAGAGGACTTGGAAGAGAATATCCCTATTAATTTAAGTGAAACTCCAACTCAATGTTTAATGTTTATGTAATTAATGATTATAATGTATAGACCATCCTCATTTGTGAATAGTGAGTAAGGCAAGAAAACTGGTTAGATTCAAAGAACCCAATAATATGAATAATTCATCATTGAGAAAATTGGAAGTGACAATTTTCACAAAGAGGTTTGCTTAAACTTTCAATTACATACAAAAACATAAGATACAGTAATGTAACAAGATTGAGAAGAATGACACTGGAGCATTTACAGCAGTTTGGGATTTGTATGATGCTTCAATAACTGATCAATTGAATGAATTCGAAATATTACAAGAAGAGATCAAGTCAAGCATTGAGAATGAGTATAAATAATTGAATAAGAACCCTTATTTCTTATTGCCTACAGAATTGGAAGCAATTAAAATACATGCTGAAAGACCTGTATTGGGTAAGGAAACAGCTGAGAAATCATAAAGGTAAAACAAGAAGTGGAATTGCAGCCCAATACTAAATAATAACCTATCAATAATTTGAGTGGTGGATTAACTGGACAAGGGGGAGATGAGAGAATATAAGACAGTTCATCTAGTCATACTGGTACTAAAGGTGTTACTAATATGGGATCTTAATAAGTGAATATCCAATAGCAAGTAACTAAGAGTCATGGAAAGACAAGCAATCCTCTACCTGAATAATAATAGAAATAGTATGAATAAAAATAGGATGAATAGGATGTTAAGGAGGAAGAATACATGAAGTAATATGTCTAAAAAACCAATTCTCAAATTAGTGAACAAGAATAGATCATTTATTAGAGTCAATAAGTGCAAACCAGTTTGAAATATGTGGAAAGAATTCTTAACCAGAATCTCTATCATAAAATAATATATTCAATATAGAAACTATCCAGAAGTCAAGTTTGAGAAGATGACATTGAATGAAGATCCTAAATAGAGAGGAGGAGCATTCAAAAAGGAATTTCTAAAATAAATTAGATGACGAGGAAGTTGTTGAAAAGAAATAATAAGATCCCATTACATAATTATTTTCATATAAATGCTAATTAAGTGAACAATGCAAAGTAACCAGTGCCGATTGGAATCCAGTCAATAAAGATTTATTGGCTGTTTCATATGGCAATAGAGAAACCTCAGATGGACACATTATGTTTTGGACGCCTAAAGAACCCTACATACCCTGAACGTATCATTACTTATCCATCCAAATTTAATTGTTGTAAGTTCTCAGAAAGCTAGCCCAATCTCATTGCTGCAGGAACTGTTGATGGTATTGTAGCTGTATGGGATATCAGAAGAAAGTCCAATAAACCTATTACTGAAAATAAAGAAATGGCTGGGAAACATAGTGATTCTGTTTGGGAAGTTTAGTGGGTTGGAAAAGGAGCTAAAGGAACAGATAAGGGAGAATCCCTTGTCAGTATTAGTTAGTGATAGTAGAATTGTTGAATGGTCAATGAAGAAGGGATTGGAATATACTAATTTAATGAATCTCAAAAGAGTTGGTTCAATCATCTTAAAAGGAAAACTTATAAGAAGGAGTCAATTTTAGAATGTCAGCTGGATTTTCCTTTGATTTCTTTATAAAGAGAATCAGCCATGTATTTAGCTGCCACTGAAGATGGTACTGTTCATAGATGCTCAAAATCATATACAGAATAATATTTGGATAATTACTTTTGGACATTCAGGACCAGTTTATAAGGTTAGATGTAATCCTTTCTTTGGTGATATCTTCTTAACTTGTAGTGCCGATTGGTCATGCAAATTATGGAACTGGACTGAAGGGAGTTACCCAAAGCCAATTTCTAAGTATTTATAATTTGAATTATTAAGCAATAAAACTTATAAGACGAAGTGTTAGACTTTGAATGGTCTCCTCACACTTCTGTATTATTCGCATCAGTTTGCAAGGATGGTAGATTGGAAACTATGGGACTTAACCAAGAATAATATGTTAGATCCATACTTTACCATTATGCCCTAGGATTAATAAATTTGGCCAGCCAAAACTATGGTCAGATTTGCTCACAACAGTCCAGTGCTTATTACTGGGGATGCTAGAGGTGATATTAATGCTTATAGATTATATGGTATATTCGTATTTGTATTGTGTTAGGCTATGAGGATAATGATCCATTATAAGAGGAAGAGAAGTTGAGAAAATTGTTATACCCCAGTGGATATTCAAAGGGGCAAAAGGAATAAAAGGATTGAATGATTGAATGAATTTATATATATAAATCAGTGTAACTTCATATGTATACTGGACTTCACATACTTCTTTCTGTTTAGCAATTGGTCTATTTTGATATTCATTTGACCTGATTAAAATATGCTTTATAATCTAATTGGTGATCTAGCTGACACACTTAGAGATTAGTTGGGTGGGAAATCATCTTGAATTTTGATAGATTTGAATTATTTCTATTGTCCAAGATGTATTCTATGTTCAGTTAAGAAATTGTCATATAATAATGGCAATTATACATGTTCAGTAGTATTAGACTTCTTGTGTTGTGATGATGATTTCTTATTCATTCTGTCTCTCCCTAGAATCTGAAATAGAGTGACTCTTCTATTTTTATTGAAATTCATTTTAAATCATTATTTTAAGAAATGCGTCCAATTAAATTAGGATTACGACTAATTTTCCTTCTCTTGTTGAATTGGACATTACTTATATTCTACTTTGCTTACATTACATAAGATTAAGATTTCAGTATAAATGAGACTAAACTATTCATAAACAGCATCTTTGAACATCACATCTAAGAATCTAATACACAAGATTAGAATTAAATTGAAATCTAAATTGAAATGGGGGGAGAAGAAGAATTTGAGTTTGCAGGAGAAGATGAAAGAGAAATTTAATTTATTGATGATCCAAAAGGAGATCTCATAGCTGTAGGAGATGATAATCTAGACACTAATTATGATTATACTATATAAGCCATAAAAGACATCAACCCAATCGAATAAAATATTCTGGGTACAAATGAACCTATTCGTTAACAAACATAGCTCAATATCCTTAAGGATAATCATTATTGTGAATTGAATAATCTCTACGTTATTACTCATCATCAATTACCAATCAATATCATAACAGATTATCCAAATGATAATGTTATCACTTTTGCCTTAGGTGCTGCAGGTTAAGATCTACTACCAGATGTAATACTAGAAAGTAATAAATTATATCATCTTCCATTCAATGCCACCATATTCTTTATGGAGAACCTTAATTTTCATAAATATTTTGAAATAGGCTCTTAATTTCTATGTAATTTCTAAGCATACAATCACATCCCTGGTATAGAAGTATTATTCAAAAAATCATCTCTTTATGAAATTCTTCAGAAAACAGAAGTACCTATACCAGAAACCTTCATCATGAATAGTACATCTTCATTTACTATACTTAGATACTACATAATGTTAATAATATTTTAAGCAATATAAGAATCTAGAAGAATCGGAATATTTGATTAAGAATCATATTAAACGATAAGTTTAGTAATAGAGTCTTGATCATAAATTCATCAGAAGGAAATATCAGGATGGCAAAAATTGTGGGATTGTGATAGATGATCTTATCATACAAAAGAAGGTTGAAAATAGACAAAAGAGATTCTTTGCAATGCTGTTGATTAGTTTTTTAGATCCATTCTAATATCAGATTTTCGATGGCTTCTATTATAAGATATAAAAAGTAAATATATTCACAATTAGGGTGTTCCTGTAGATCATCAAAGATATAATGAGACAATTAGTAAAATGATCACCGGTCAAATTGAACAATTTATTCACAAAATTCCAATCCTCAAGGATAATAGATTCTTCTCACTTATGAGAATGGAGTTCATTGAAGCAGATTAAATCTATCTTATGTCTATAAGTATCATTTTAATTAGTATATAGCTCCAAATATCGACAAAGATGCATAGATCAAAGATTATATGACCAGTCTTATAGTTTCTACGTTGTAATTAATTAACTTCCAATAAATCCAAAGAGTATCCCTGTATCAGATTGAAAATCATTATCAATATTGAATATAAGTTAACAGATTATTTAAATTAAACAAAAATGGATAAATTACCAATTGGTTATATCAAAGGGAAGGGAAATGTATTCATTCATTCTGATATCCTCCTAGCCTTTAGATAAGAAAGTACCTAGAAATAAAAAATATGATTATGTCAAACAAACCCTTAACACTGGACCAACTGTACGAGATATTGAAGTTATCAGTAATGCAACAATAGCAAAAAAGAGATCTGAGATATTCAAAAGAATTAAATGCTCCACTCTGCTCAAACTGATTAGTGTAATTAATGCTTAATTTCTAGGAAGAACCTGCACAGGAATCAATACATAATATCATTGATCAATAAGAATAAGATCAATTGAAATAATTTGATGCTCAAAGTCAATACAGCTAGAAAACAAGATTCACTGAGGTGTCACAGGTTTCAGCAATTACATATGCCACTGAATAACTGGGTCTTACTGATTAATCTGAATTTCTTCTCATTGATTTAAGAGATCAAGACGAATTCTAAATGTATCACATTAAAGAAGCTGTCAATTTCCCTGCTCCTTTACTTCGATAGGATAAGTTAACTCAATAAATGTTTCGATTTGTAAGTGTGTTATGATTAATCCATTCTTAGAAAAATCAAGTAGGAAAACTAATCATCATTTATCATTTTGATGAAAAAAATGGCATACCATCTGCAACACTCTTCGCAGAAAAAGGCTTTGAGAATGTCTACCTTCTAAGTGGAGGAATAGAAAAGTTTCTCCAAAACTTTCCAGAAGCAGTTATCGGAACTAAAGTACCCTCATTTCCAAAACCAGAAGGTAAATGTTTATAAATAATGCGCAGAGAACCAGAACAAAATTATAAAGAGATCAAATTATAAAGAAGGTGAATCTTAAATAAATAAATCAGAAAAAGCTATTAGTGACACAAAATCATAAATTAGTTAAAAATCTAAAATAACTAGATAATCAAGTGCTTAAAGATAGCAACAATAATAATAGTAATAGCATTCATAATTCATAGATAAATGATTTTATTAATAAATTAATTATGTTGTAATTATAGGAATCAAATTCTTATTCAGAGATCAAGCTTCCCTCTATCGACATACATACTACTCATAGACTTCCTATTAAAATGAACCCTAGTTATAGATTAAAACACACTAATCCGATAAGAGTGCAATACTTAAGATATTTAGATCGCAGGAGTTTGGATTAAAAATTGAATGAGCCATTTTGTTTAGAAAGATTTGCTAAAATTAACAATTACTCCTATGAAACCAGCTATGAATAGTAAGGCAATCTATTCTAAGATTTTAAGTGAATTGAAATGCAGAAAACCCTAGAAAAAGACTTAACCTAAAGAGAAAAAAGTATATCAAAAGCCAACTCTAAGATATTTCAATCCAGAAGACTCAGTAATCCGTTAAGACGAAATGGATTTTATATTGAATCCAAAGCCTAATAAATCTGTAACGTCAAATAGCAAAGTCTATATTTCTGAATGAATTTGAGGATTAATGATTATATTGATTTGATATATTCATTAAATTTAAATTATTGTTGACTATTAAAGTGTGAATTGTTTTCACGAAATAGGATTTATTGTTGTATCTTAGTATGAATTCAATATAATAAATTGGACTTATTTGATTTAATTTCAATTTACTGGTATAAGTAGGTTTAAATAATCCAAGAATTCTAGAGGATTAATTGGAAATACAAATACTTAATTAATAAATTTGATTGTTAAGTGAACTTTCTCGAGATTAATTTTCTTAAATAATTTTTGGTATAATGATTGGGAAGGATTGCTTAATTAAAATGTTTAAGACTTGGAGAATACGAACATAAATACTGGTTACTCAATTGATCACGATGATTGTGTCTGTTACGATCTTGGGATTATGTCTATTTCTAAACTTTGAGGGGATATTTTAGGCTTTGTCGAATGATGCAGAGAAGAAATTCATTATGAATTTTATTTATCGACAAACAAACTCATAATTAAATGCTTATACAAGGAATCTCGAAAACAGAATTCGATAGGGTATTTATGCAATAAATGATATCAACCTCTTGAATTAATAAATTTACAACACGAGCATGACTTTTGCGTAGAATTCTGACAGATGTCTATAAGAATCATATCTTAATGGAAGTTTTGTTTTAAAATGCTAATATTGTTACGGTGTTTTTGATTGTTCAAATCAAGTTCACACTCCTGAATAATACAGTTAAGAATTTCTTTAACTTTCTAATTTATTAACATCATTAATCCCTATGTAAATTTAATTAGACATGTATTTCACTTCAATCTCAAAAGATTGCTACTTTTCAACATATCCAGGTCAACCCTTTGGTGATTATGTGCCATCCTCAAGAAGTTGGTTTCAAAACCATATGGCCAATGTAAATAAATCTGAATATATAATATCAGAACCTTATACTAATTATTTTGGAGGTGTCTACATATCTGGTACGACTAACTTGTACAATGGAATAGATAAGGAGAGAATAGGGATTGTTGTGGTGGATCTGAATTTCTCAGATATTCATCAATTCATGGAAGAGGATCAATAGATGTTAGCTATGGATTCAAAGGGAAGGATTTTGATAAGTAAGTTGTATACTATCAATACATCAGAAGTGTATTACTTATACAATCAAAGTATTTTCGGTTTCGATTAATCAGATGTTAATTTAATACTAAACCATAGTAGTGGATAGAACGAGTAAGCATGTGAAATATAAATACCTCAAACAATTTGCATTGAAAATAAAAACACTGGGGTTTTGTGGTATTTCAGAGTAAAGAGAATGACTGGTGATTATTATGTTCTCTCAATGTTTAATTAATCAGCCTACTCGAACTATTTTTCAACTTTGAGGACAACACTTTCGAAAATCTATGCAGAAATAGTTACAGAATTTGTATTGGGTTTACTTTCAATCATATTGTCATGTTTTTGTATATACATAGGTTGTTTTGTTATACTCTAAAAACCAATAGATAAGTTGATAAATAGTTTCAATAAATATTTGCTTTATGGTAAATAATTGAGTTATCTTATGTTAAAAGTCGATCATCATGATTAGTTAGATAAACTAAGTTAGGCCTTTATAAGAATTATGACGAGATCTATGTCAAATAAGGAGAACAGAAAGAGGACTGTAGACTAATACATGAGTTAATCTTAATATCCTATCAATTTTTATGTAAATTCCAAAATAATGAATGCACAAACTAAATTACTTCTTTAAGTAAATTTTTAAATATGATCTTAAAAGAAATTAGAAATGAGTTCATCAAGAAACAAATTCATTGATAAATTCTTTCAGCGATATAGAGAGGAGAATTCTTACCAAAAATCATTTTGATTAAAGTACTTTTAATTCTCTAATTCAAATATTTATTACAATCTTTATTTTATATTATTATGATATAGCTAATTTACATACAGGAATTAACCGTTTTAATTCTTATACTAATTTGTAATGTTTTAGTATCCTTTAGATTCCTATCACAATTTTTGTATATAGATATCAAATAGAAAGTAATTAATTTTTAGGAGTTTAAAAACCATTTCTTAAAATTTAAAATAAATATCTACTCTTTTTAATAAACATCAACAACAGAATTGATATTCAAAATTAATTCACTTGTTTGTAAATTCATATGAAATTATCAATAAAATTGTAATTCAGTTTATAAATAAATGTCAAGAATTAAAAGATTCCCTATAGATAAAAGTAGAAGAATTGTTCTTAAAGATTCTAATAAATATAATTAGATTTATAATATGAATTGTTAATTAAAAATACAAATTTTATGAAATCCGTTTTTTAAATTGGTTATTTATATTGGAAATGAGATGGGTAATGAGCATTAATAATAAAAATGAAATTGATTGCAACATTATTAGTTGTGTTAGTTTGCGTCAGTGCTGCTCCAAGAAATCCATTTGACTATTCAAAGAAGAGATCTTTGACAGCAGTCATGGCTGAAGTTGAAGCAAAATTGAGCAACAAGTCACCACTTGATGCCATCTTGAATGTCTTGAGAGATTTCAGAGATGCAGTCAACACTGAATAAGTCAATCACGATGAAATCTATAACACATAATAAGCTGAATGTGCTTCTGAAAATGAATTCAGATCCAGATAAGTCTAAGATGCTCAAACAGTCTTGAGAGATTCCACTGCTGCCTTGAACGTCTGCAACACATCCAAGATCAGAACAACCAACGTCTAAGAAGTCAACTAATAATAATACTTCTCAGCTTAAGAACACTTGACCTCAGTTTTGAGTGCTGCTGAATCAGAAGCCGGATATTTCAAGAGAAGAGGAAGAGATTATGAAGACGCTCTCCACGCCATCGATGAAGCCTAAGATATCTTAGCCACCATCTACAGTGGATCAGGATCATTCGCTGAAATCAGCAGAGTTTCAAAGAGCATGCTCTAAACTGCCTTCAACATCAAGGAAACAGCCAAATTCGCCCCAATCTTCTATGCCTTTGCTTAATTGGCTGCCTAAGAAGGATAACTCGACGAATCAGCTCTTGAAAGAGTTGCCTAACTTTTGGACACCTTGAGATCCAACATCCAAGAAGCTTACAACGATTATGCATCCTCAAATGCTGCCTCAGTTGCTGCCTTCAACGACTAAAAGGAAAGAATTGGATAAACCATCGCCAGACTTGAAGCCTAAAACGAAAGACTTTAAAACAAGTTAACCAACTTAGTTCAATGCATTGGAACTCAATCAGCCATTGCTTAAACCGCCTCAGGCAAACTCTAAAGAAACTAATAACTTTGGGACTAAGCCTAAACCTTATGCTCAACCTTTTCCAACGAATACAACTATGCCACCTAAGCCAGAAGAAACGAACTCTAATTGGTTGCTCAATTGGAAGAGATGGTTGCTGAAAGATTCGACTAAGTTGAAGATTAAAATCACGAAAGAAACCAAAGACTCGCTTCATCAGTTGGATTTTGATTTTATCAAACATAAATATTTTAAACAAAGTATTTCTTATTGCTTTTTCTAATCACAACTAAAATTACAATCATAATCACATTTCATTTTTTATATTTCTATTATTCCAATTAGCTTCTCATATATATTAATAGGCCTAAATCTAAAAAAGATATTATAATACTTTGTATTATATTGGTTACAAGAAAGTTAATCATTAAGACCATTTTTAGGAGATTATTATTAAATATTTCCAAAATTATTGATAATTGTATGTTTATCTAAACTAAGACTAAATTAATCAAAAAGAACAACGTAATTATATCAAGTGAGTGTTTTTTGTCAGTATGAATCAATAATATTCCAAAATATTAAAAAGAATTAATACCACATTAATACAAATGTAATGCAATACAATACTATAATTTAATAATTATTATTCATCCACCTAATAAGAAATTGGCTGCTTGTTCTTCATCATATCCGAATCTTAGTAATGCTTCCTATGAAATTAGAATATTGAATTACTTTGACTTTTTATTCTTCTAAACCTAGTGCAACGAGATTGGCAATTTTTTCATCTTGTTTATTTTTTGATGCATAATTTAATGTCCATTCTCTGACTTATTGCAATTAATAAATACTTTGCTGTTTTTGTAAATAACTCTCTATTCGTCTTGTATTGATTGGCTACGACAGCATCCTATGGAGAATCTATTTTATGAAATTACTATATGTACCTGGCTATGGATCACATAATAAGGCTTGTAATGACAATAAGGCTGTGCGAATTGATAAGGCAGGTGACCATTCATCCTTCAAAATATCAAGACAGATAGCACCAGTTTATCTTAATATAGGTTTAAAATACGATGAGATATTGGGATGCCAGATGCGTGTATCAAACTTCATTTTGGGTGGTTTGTAAGGATAATCAGCAGTTAATACGATATCAATTTAGAAATAGCCACCTTCATAGGGAGTATCTGGTGATCCATTGATGAATCCCTTCCAATGTGTGATGTTGTTGTCAACAACCAAGATAGAAATCCCATTATCTTCACTCTTTTTAAAATAAGCATATCATATACTTTCTTTTATCTCTAGTCGAAATCCTATATTTCTTTTGTGATTCTATTCTTCTGAACTGATTACATTAAATATTATTTTATATATTTGATTCAAGCATAATAATTTAAGCTACTTTTCTTTTTAGCTTGTACAACAGCTATTCCCTCTACAAAATCTTCATGAATCAAGAATGTTCCACCCCTATTCAATGCAATCATACCTGCTTCCACACTTACATAATATTAATTAATAATCATACCAGACAGCTTTTAACTATGCACCATTAAATTCATCTGTACTTCTAGCAATTTCCACATAATTAACTGTCTCTTTAGCAACTGACATCTTTCTGGAATGAATTTTCAGGATTTGAGCTCTGGCTTCTTCATTTGGTAATGGGAATTCAATTTTTCTATCCAATCTACCAGATCTCAATAATGCTGGATCCAAAATATCGGGTCTATTGGTGGCTGCAATGACCTATTAAAATAGAAATTATAAATACTTTGATTCTATCATCAGGACTGAAACCATCAAGCTGATTTAATAATTCAAGCATAGTTCTTTATACTTCTCTATCACCATTCTTATCACTATCATATCTTTTAGTTCCGATGGCATCTAATTCATCTATGAATATAATGGCAGGTGCTTTTTCTTAAGCCAATTGAAATGCATCTCTAACCATCTTAGCTCCATCACCAATAAACATTTAAACTAATTAAGGACCAGCTAACTTTAAGAATGTAGCCTTGGTTTGAGCAGCACATGCTCTAGCCATCATAGTTTTACCAGTTCCAGGTGGTCCATGCATCAATACTCCTTTTGGTGGTCTAATTAATTATCATAATATTACTTACCTAATACCAATATTTTCAAATCTCTCTTTATGCACAATTGGCAAAACTATGGCTTCTCTTAATTCTTCTATTTGTTTATCCAATCCACCAATATCTGTATAATCTTCTTATGGTTTTTCATCCACTTCCATTGTTTTGACTAAGATAATAAATTTCAAGTACCTCTTGCATCGTATTCAGTTGGTAATTTCTCATATAACATATATCCATCTTTATTAACTCCAATCAATTCTGCAGGTTTCAATTAAGATGCATTTAATAAACCTGTGACTGGCAAAAAGATTGTCTGTCTAGTTGTAGTCTTAATCACAACACCTTTTCCAGAAATTGTAGCATAATCATCTGTCACAGATTAATCTTATTAATCTTTATCAATTGCTTCAATGTCTAATATTTCCACTACATTTGAAACTAAATAAGGGAGTGTTGTCATATTGCCACTTCAAATATAAATGATTGCATACACTCTCTTTTTAGTGCTATCCAATTGATCTTCATATTGCTTTTTATAATTAATCTCTCTTGATTGCATCGTTTTCAGTTCATTAAGTCTCCTATTCAATTTATTGATCTCCTCATGCAATTATTAGTCTGTCAATGCAGCAGCTTATGCTTTATAGTCTGCATCTGTTTTTGGTGTGGGTTTCTCTGTTTACATATTAAATTTAAATTAATATTATACTGATGTATAATCAAGAAAAAAGTAAAATTTGCATAACAAAATTACTCAAAAGCATTTCTTCTGCCATCTACATCTTTATAGCCTTATTACTTTCAAAATTTAGACATAATTTAAAGATTACTATTGTTATTATTTAATTAACTTTGACTTTTTCTATTTGAATAAATATCAGATTGATTATATAACCATTTTACAGGATTATTACTCATGTTATACACTAATAATGTGAAAGAGGGTATTCAATTAATTTATAATATTAATATAGTATAAATCATTGATTACAATCCTATTACAACTACAAATAATATATAGTCCATCAATCAAACTATAATAGCAAGATTTTATGTAACTACATTCATCATTTTTTTATTTGATTACAACCAACTCTCCTTTCTTAATATTAATTGCATTTATTATTCTGTATAGACTCCATCAATTAAATCATCTGAATTTAATTATTAGTTTTATACAATAATCAACTAGGATTATTTCCTTCCTAGATGATACTGTGAATATTTAATAATTTAATTCTTTATTTCAATTATTGGATATTCAGAAAATTGTAGTACAAAGAAATATTAAAAGAGGGAAATCATGCATTTAATCAAAAATTCTACACTTGGTTTATTACAATTTAAAGAGTCTAAACTTGTTGTTAATTTTATAAAACTGGGGATTAAATTATTAATTATTATGCATTCAGAGAACACTATTTGTTTCTCTTATTCATTCATTTCAGGATAATGGTAGGTTATGTAATTTGCTCTTTAACTGACAAATTTACTGAAGTGCTTTCGATATTCAAAGTATTAATCCTAATGCATTTAAAGACTCAACTCATTTAATAGATTTTTACTTGTTGCCATCACTAAAAGATTGGACATTGCAAATGTAAAGCTGTTCTGAATATAAATAATTGCCTAATCTATTTCAACGGGTTTCATTGTATCTGGACAGTCCTTAATTTGAATAATTAAATATTTACAATAAAATTCAATTGTTATTTTTGTAAATTTATCTACTGAATAACTGAAATCATTTTCGTAAATACCATTTACGTCCATTATTTAATTTTTATTTTTGTAATACTCTCATTATAATGTAGAATCATCTAATTCTTTTTGAATGCAGCAATCTTCAAATCCCAAGTTTATTTCTTCTAACTAGTTCTTAAACAATAAAATTTACTTTTATAACATTTTCAATCTAAAAACAGCCCTAATAACCTGAAAACAACTTCGTATTGGTTTGAATTTCGCTATGTCCATTTTTTGATTTGTTTGAATGTCATTTTTTGAAATTGGTTTATTTAAAATACTAATACTATTTAATGATCTAGGTGTATTATCATTACTATCGCTTTCATAATGATCATTCAAATTTTCATAGGAATCTTAATGATTTTGAAATGTTTTTGTATTCCTTTAGAGAATATATGGACTTTCAGACTTGTTTACAAATTAATCATTATTATTGAGAATTTCAATACTCTACCCACTTGGAATGAAGAATTACTGAATTTAGTGATTTGTAACTTTACGAACAGATTATGTTTCAGTGGAAACAAGGCTTGCTTTCGCAATCTATTAGTTCAGATCTTAAGAAACTGAGTAGCCAACTTTTTAAAATATGGTCTAATGATATGTTCTCACATCTTAAGAATTTAATTTAAAGAATACTTCCATAGAAGTTTGAATTTGCTGGAAATTAAGAATCTAATTTGATACTAGCTTTTCCAGCAATTTTAAACCTGGCTTGATCTTGATCGAGATGAGAAATTAGTCTATCAGTCTTTGTTATTTCATTATCGCTCTTCATAGGGAGTGTTGAATAAAATGAACCCAAATTTTTGTTAATAAATTCTAAGAATAACCACTTAAATGTTAATTGAAGCTTATGATGTCATGTAAATATATAGCTTCTTCACATGAAATTGATTTATTATTAAAATTTTTATATAATAAAATATAACTGATACGTACATTATAAAAAATTTCATTTAGAATCAATTTATCCTATTCATAATTCATGTTATTCAAGATTTTAAATAACTTTCTTAAAGATTGACTTCATTTACAACTTCCATCTTTAAGATTCCAAAATTGGTTTTAAAGATTCATAATTGTATATTCCGATAATCAAATCTTAACTATCCTTACTTGAAGGAACATCAATCAATTAGACATTTTAGTTGATGATTAATTGTTTTTATATTAACTGTTTTTTTGTTCTGATCTTAACGATTTCTAATTTTGAGAATATATTCAAGTAGAGATAGTGTAGAAATGAAATTAGTAATTTTAATAAGTAGCTTATGGTATTGTTTTCAGTATTCAGTATTTTATCCTGATTGATTAGTACTTAGATATTTTGAACTATTATCCTCATTATTAAAAATTCAACAAATATCATAGCTCTCTGCATTGAAGGTAATTCATCTCTTTTATTTTATAAATACATAGTCCTCAAACTAGTAAATAAATAAAAACAGTTCCTTTAATCTTAAAATTATGATATGTACATTTCCCCTACCAATTCCTTTAATAAATTTGGCTTATTTGTCATTACCAAAAAACCTTCTAACATCAATTAAATAAAATAGCGTAATTTAAGTACACAAATATCGTGCTCTTTTGGGCTTAACTATTGGTAAGGGCCATCCTAATTGATAAATTATATTATTACTATAATATTCAAATTTTAATATTATTCTAATCTCTCCTTTTTAATCTAATTAAATACTTTCGAAAACACCATCTAAGTCCATTGTTTAAATTTGATTGCTTTGATCTAATCGTTATAAATTACTTCCTTAAAGCAATTACTATAAAAAAAAGAATTCAATCTTTTTTTCTGAATTAGAGATCTTGAAATATGAGGATGAAATACTTCACTAATTTTGCCCATCTAACTAAAGCTTTGATTGCTAAAAAACAAGATTTTAATCTTTGCCTCAGTTTCAGCTTAGGTACTTTATCAACAAATTTTATAGTGAATTTGACTAGTTGTTTTAATTGTTAATTCTCTCTCTCTTGAACACTTGGTAATGGTGGTAAATAATGCTCCCATTCACCCTTTTTATCATATCTCCCTGCAAAACCTTTTCTCATATCAATCTAAGGCTAAAATTTCTATTATTCCTTAATGACGTAATTTGATTTTTCTGGCTTATCAGAAGCCTCCCCAACTAATGAATTTTCAATTGACTTAGTCCTATCAGTTGTGCGACTTGATCCTTAATTTTAAATTTCTTATTTTTATTTTTACTATACCATAAAGGCTGCTGCTTTTTCTCTGATTTTAATTTCTTATTGCTTCTTAAATGCTTTCAACATTTTGACTTGTATTTGATACTTATTTAAAATCTGAGATTGTTTATTCTAATTCTGTTCGTTTCTTAATTAATGGGAGCTTCAACTAAAATGTCATAATATAAGTTATTATAAAATAGTTTATCTTAAAATTATTTGTAATTATAAAAAACAATATAGTATAATTTACTGAGATTGATAAATTATTCGCTTAACCCTTTTAGATAAAATCGAAAATACTAGCAATCTATTGAGATGAATATATGAATAAAATATCTTATTTATAATTATATATGAGTTTTATAAATGGAATGATTTCAAACAAAATACAATCTCTTTCTATCCATTTTTGTTTTTCTCATCCTTATGCTTAATATTAGGATTATAATAAATTAAATTGGAATTAATTAATTTATTCTAGTTATTATTTCTGTTTATGCAATTCAGCTAAATAATTCTTCCTTAAATGAAGATTTTTGCGTTAGTCATTGAGTAAGTACCATGATCTGACTTCATCTATTTTTGTAATAACTATTTTAATCTTTTTAACAAGATTATCAATTTTAATCTCAAACGGTGCTATTTTCTTAATTTTTTAGCAATATTTTGATATTTTTAAAATAGATTTCATATCTTCTATGTATTATTGTATGAAAATGTCATTCTTTTGTAAGTAAGGATTACCATTAACCCAGTTTGATAGCTCCTTAAGAATGATTTCACAGTTATTATACGTTATTAAGTTAATCATTTGCTTTGTATTTTAATCTAACAAAATGCTTTATATTTTTTCGAATTTTTCTTTCTTTATTTCTAAATTATCACTACTTTCCAATATATACTCATCTAAATCCTCTAGAAAGAAATTTAGAATACTCTCTAACTTTTATTTAACCTTAGGTATGCAATGTTCATAAAGCGACTATACTTTAGGATCAAGGACACCCTGAAATTTTGGTGTAAAGGCTTGATTTGATTGAAGTTACGAAGATGACATTTTGATAATTTAATTTGTTAAACTTTGAATAATTTGTTCAATATCTTGTGTCTTTGGTTTTTCAAATTCTACACATCTGTTTTCAAATAATTTTTTATAAAAACTATAATTTTCATCCAAATACCCTTTATACACTTACTACCAATTGTCAAGATAGTATTATCTTTATCCTTTCTTTGCTTTTGTTAGAATTATATTTGTCCATTTGTCAAAATGAGTTACTAGGTCATTTTTTTCTCTTAAAATTTAAGTTATTGGATCAAAAGTATTCTTAACTTGTTCAATTGATTATTGAGAAATATCAATGACAAAAAATACAATTATATTTTTTGTATTTTTGAAATAATTATATAAGCTAATTCTGTGAGCTATTCTCATTAATTCATTAATATTATCATCAAACCCTGGGCAATCGAAAACGAAATATTTTTTAGGTATTTTACATTTTTGAATTTATTCTTAGTCTAATATTTCTTCAATACTAAAAACATTTTTTTCATTTTAATCAAAGATTTAATTAAGTTCTTCCCTTTTGCCAATGTATACTCCATTGATATGTTATGTTTCACTAACTCCACCTTTACCAATCGCAAATTTTGTCTCCGTATTAATTCCATAGCATTTTTATGATACAAAATGATCTTAAATAATGTTATCTGGATTAAGAAGTGAATTAATAATGGTCGACTTTCCTACTTTTGTTATACCGATAAAATAGATTCCATTTTCAATTTCATTTTTTGGTCCATCTTAAATTCTTGAAGTAATATTGTATAACGTATTTTCTAAGGTATCATTACAATTCGCACACCATTATTTGAGATTTAATATTAATTTCTACACTTCACATATTTTCTCATTTTTGAATATGTTATTATGATATTTTTAGAAAAATTAAATTATGCCCTTAAGTTTATTAATTGCTTCATCACATAATAATGGTTAAACTATTAATTCTTAAATTTTAACTTCCTCCTTAAAATTTTTCATTTAATGACTTTATGAATTTTTTTATCTGATTTTTTATCTGTTATTTATATTCTAAGCATTTTGCTCTTAATTCACTTTATTAATAAATTCATAAACCTCAAAAATTTGTGAAGCATTATCAGTTAGAAGATTCTTTTCATTCATGAAACCTTTTTGTAAATCATTTAAATATTTTCCAATTTCCTAGACAACTTCGAAATTATTTTTGATGATTGGCATTTATTATAAGCGAAGGAGAACCATTTAAAATTGTTTAAGATCTTCATTTATCTATTCCTTTAAAGGGTTTAATTCTTTTGATAAATATGACATCATTTTTCCATAATTAATGGCATCTTCTGATTACACTGTCTTTACATATGTATAATTATCAGATTTAAATATTGCCTCAAGGACTTCATTTTTACTATAAATTTAATTTTTCAATTATTAATTCTAGGAAAAATAAGAAAAAATTCCACTTGATTTTGAGAATTAGTATTAATCCCACTTATCTTCTTATAAATATCTTAACAAGAAAAAGTTATTTTCATTGAAAAAATAAGTTCCAAAGAAAAAAATTGAATCAATACAAACATTATCTAACCATCCTCTAACATCATCTCCTCTTAATTGTTGGATATCTAATATTAAATAGAATTGACAGGTTTCCATTTTTTTTAATGCCATTTCAGCATAAATTTTGGAAATGCATAAATTTTATGCTATTTCATTATTTTGATCATCATATAATAAGATCTAAGGCAAATATAATAAATAACTAGTTTTTCCTTTATTTTCTATTTTGATTAGCTTAAAGTAGTTTCTATCTAAAATGAATTATTTATTTTCAAAATCTTTATAGAAACTATGAAATTTGTTTTAAAATTTCCCTAAAAACAAAAGTACTGAGCTCTTTGGCGGAATTTAAGAAAACTCATCAAATATTGATCCTCTAATGTTTTCAAAATTTTCATGAATATTTATGATTCTTTGCTTGATGCTTATTTACTGCACTTCATTTGGTTATTATTAATCCATGTTATTATTATTTATGAAAAACTTGACGATAACTCCTTTAAATATCAAAATTGTATTAAATAATTATATCGAATTCTATAATTTAAACTGAATAATAGAATTTAAATGTATAATAATAATCTCTGATAACTTGATTAGTTGGATATAGTCAACAATGGTAAATATAAAGAAAATCTCAATTTTTTTTATTCTATCATTTTGGAATATATTATATTGTAAAGGCAATCAAAATATAGAAACATAGCTTTGGGAATATGGCTCTAAAATGTTCATTTTGAAAATACTACAGGTAAAGTCTACTGACTCAAAATTCCAATAACTAAATAAAAAGAATTTTATATCATTTACTCTTAATTAAAAATTCAATATAAGTGTAATTAACTATCAGTCTAATTATTTGGAATTAATGAAATTTAATATTTATAAATAATCAAATAATCTAATGGAGGTAAATAATCTAGATATCATGAACAAAGTAAAATTTTGATAAACTTCAATTTTCACATTTACAAAAATTTATGGTGGCAATTTTGAAGTACCAGTGTTGAATATGAATTCTTCTGAAAATGATAATATTCTATATATAATTAAGATTGAAATATGCAACATCATTTAATAATAATAATAAGAGATTTTAAGATTAAAATGATTCCAAATTTTTGTTTTCGTAGAACTATTTAAATCACATAAAGCTGAATTAACTAAAGGAAGGTTAAAAATATTGAAGAGAATTTAGTATTTTTTAAAACTTCAAAAATTAGACAACTAAAAAGCACTCTGAAAAATGGTTTAGATTATGTTATCAAAAGTTTTATGTTGAAGTAACTTCAATTAACTATAAATTATATGGTTCGTATCATCTAATTAATATAAGTAAAAATGAGTTATATTATATAGATGGATGAAGTAAAAGCAGGTAAATAATTAGATATTTTGAATAAAAGTAGATAGATATTAATATTATAAATACAAAAGTTGAAATAGAAAATAGTTAAACATTGAAGAGTTATGGTTATAGATTTATTATATGATAAACGTTAATAATTATTAAATTTTGAAATATAAATATTATGAGTATGTAAAAAACTCCTGAGAAACAAGAATTAAGTTAAGCTTTACTCTTATCTATAAGTTAATATTCATGGGATAAATAAATTAGATTAACAACGGATGAGGATGTATTATGTAGTTATAGTAAATTGTCAAATGATTAAGGAGTATGAATTTAATGATTAAATTCTTTAGAGTTATTTAGAAACAAAGAAAGATTAAGGAAATGTATTCATTAAAAAATGCAATCAAGTTTAAATTGATGATGTTTAAGATCAAGAACATAAATAATTATTATAAATGTTGAAAGAAAAAGATAAGAGAATAGAACAATTAGAGCATTATTAAGTATGGTTATAAGAATAGAATGAGAATTTGAAATTAAATTAACAAATGATGATGTAAATTTCATCTGAATATTAGTGAAGATTAATCAATGAATTAATTGCAAACAAATTCAGCATCAAAATAACATTTATTAAAAATAGAAGATCTAGAATTCTAGATTAATTAATCAGAACAACAATACCATAAGAGTTTAAAAAGTCTTGGATAATTCGAAAAAGAAAATTCTACTCTAAAAACTAAAATATTTGAATATGAGCAAAAGCTATTTTAATAACAACATCAATAAAAAGTCGCTGAATCAATTAATGAGGTAATTCCTACTTCATTTATATATAGTAATCAAAGATAAAATATGAAGAATAACATTAATTAAATTAATCCAAAATTTATAGAAATATTTAAATATAATATAATAAATGAGGCCCAATCATCCTTATACAATAACATTTCCTATCTGGTAATGTGATCAATGGACTGCGTTAAGGGGACGTCTGAAACAAACTGATAAATAAGTTATCATAGCCAGATGGAGCAATACTATGTATTTAGATGAAGAATTGGCATTATTTGACTAGCATCATCGAATTTAACCATAGAAGGATATTATAATTCATAAACCTTAAATATTATTACTTCCATCAATATTATAGATAGTTAGAACTAATACATATACAGATGTTTTAATAGAGAATATTTCTGAATGGTTTTTAACTAATGGCGATCTTTCTAAATTATTGCTAATATATTTTGGATATGATCTTTATTCAGGTTGTTCTCCACGTGATTGCACTTTAGAGAATATAATTAAAAATGGTGATTCAATAATTATTCTAGATTTTGGTTTGAGAAAGCGAACCTAAAAATACTGTGTCTATTGGAATCCCTTAATCCTTAAAGGTATGCCTTGTAGATCTTCTTATTAATGGTCTCTAGGAATTATTTATTTAGTTATGACATAAGGGACATACATTCTGAATGAGGTTTAAAAGCATATAACTGCATGGTTGAAAGGAGGAACATTGGACATTGGGTTTTTGATTAACAATAAAAAGTAGTCAATCCAAGATTTAATATCTTCACTTTTGGATCTGGAGAATCCTATAGCTTGGAATGAAATCCCTAATCATCCAGCCTTTAGAGAAGATAATGCTTGTAAATAAATTTTAAAGGAGTTTAAAGGAAAATTCTATAATAATGAAGTAAAAAGTCGATCTTCATCAAGAACTAATAGTAGAAATGAAAATAGTAATTAAATTAGCATTATGCCTTGCCCTTATGGATTATAGAATCCAAAAATTAGCGAGTAAAATAATCATAATCAATAACTTATAACAAAGGTTAGCAATTTATAAAAATCTCATCAAGATAGAGTTCGTAACGCTTTGGGCAATTTGTATTCATCTGTATTAAATAGACATGCATCAACATCATAAACAAATAGATAAACAATCTAAATAAATAGCAGCCCTAATAAGTTTAATCACTACTTTAACTCTACAAAAATGTTGCCAAAATCTATAAAATCCCCTTCCAACCTTGGTTTTAAAGCTTTAAGGAGTTAAAATTAAGCTAGTAATTAAAATACCGGTTCTGATTCTCATAGATAATCTGGTGATGCTTCGATAGAAAATATCATTAAACCGTCTTAAAAATAAGATTCTTTTAATGTTACTATGAGAATGAGGGTTTCCTCAGCAAAAGAAGACATAACCAGGTTATAATAAAGACCGAGAAATGGCTCAACACATTCATTTTTGCATTTAGAACCTAAATAATAATAATAAAATCATCAATATTAGGCATCTAAGAATTACAAAGAAGTTTAATAAATTTATTAATAAAGTGAAATTTAGAAGGTTGAAGGAGTACAATAATCGATTAAAAATAACGATTAATCAGAATAATAACAACAAAGATAATAATAATAGCAAGAATAAAAAAAATAGCAATAGCAATAACAATAATAATAATAATAACAGCAACCTCAATAACAATAACTTCAATAACAACAATAATAATAATAAGCAAAACCACAATCTTAATAATCGCAATAATCTTAACCATAACTTTATGAGAATTTTTTAAGCGATACTGAAAATCACATAGAAATAATTTAAAGGAATTTTGCATTATTTTAATAAAAATATAATAGATCTTTAGAAGCAATCAATTTGATTGGCTAAACAGTAGCAAAATGTTTAACTTTCTTTAATGCATTATAAAATGCTTGGGTAATTCCTCTATTCTTAGTCTTCAAGCGTATGCTATAATTAAGAAAGTAGGTTGAGAATTTATTATAAGAAAAAGTAAATTCCTTTAATATTAATTATTGGGAAGAGATAACTTAAAGTGTTGAATTTGAAAATTATTTAACTAAGGTTTAGTAAGACAATTAACTTGTGTAATCAGAATTAAGTATATTGCTAAACTCAGCTAAAGCGAAAGCAGAAAAGTTAGATAAATCTAGAAGGGATAAAGTTGAATGGTTTTTAAATGATGATCTGGAGGATAAAATAAAAGATGTTTGTAATACATATTTTCATGGATAGATTTACAAGAATATTAAAGACAAGAAGGGAATAGCACGACCAAATATAGAGTGGCTGAAATTACAAATCTAGGCTTAAGCTTCCATAATCATAATTGAGTTACCTATTTTCACATGTGATAAGGAAAACTTTACTTATGAAGGCTATTTATCAGCATTTGAATTAACAGATGAAGCTTAAATTTACTAATACTTAAATAAATATGAGGATTATCTCGATCATAAATGAAAACGAAATTCTTAGTTTATTAATTATATTCATTTATATTGAATTTAAATATTGGAGACTTCTTGAAATTTTGGTGAACTATATTTTCTTTATATTGCTTATAATGACATAACTTTTGCTTAACATAATTATTAGCATATCTCTTTTGCCACTGGCCTTATTTGATTCTCATTATATTGTGAATGTATTTCTAAATAGGTAGGCCAGCAATTCTAAGATCTATTCAATAAATTTTGATTTTAAATACTTTTTATAAATCTTCTGTACTAAATATAGTACGCTGGATGCTTGTAAACTAGGGTTGTATTATATAAATTTATGATCCAACAACATTAATTCTAAAATGTATTTTCCTAATTAATATGACTTTTAATCTAGTTAAATTAATTGTTAATATCTCTCATAGAATTAATGTTGATTTGTAAAACAAATTTCAAATTATAATTGCATTAAAATTTTACCCTCCATTTCTAAAATTTCTTCTTTTGTATAGGTTTTATCTGTTACATCCGAGTAATAATTTAATTTTGGAGGGTAGATTTCACAATATTTCGATGCAATGAACAGAGCAGATACTCCAAGTAATTGAAATTTATTCCTAGATATTTGGATTTGCTATAGATATGCATCGATTATGTAAATAGTTAAGTATAATGTATCTGAAACCAAATTAAATCTGTGATGAACATCTACTAACCAATCTATGAGTATTGATCTCATTTTATAATTGATCTCAATTTGTTTGTCAATATATGTATGATCAAGTGCTTTGTCCTTGTTTCTACAATATTTATAGATATCTTTAGCATAAACAGACACTAATTAGGGATTGTTATTATTTTTATTATCAATTTAATCCAATTCATCAAATTTAATTCTTTGAGTTTAGGATTATGATTTACTTTATCTAAAATTAGATAAATCTTTTCCAAAACATCTCTCCCCCATACTTAATCGAGGGACTCTACTTTTTTATCCCATTTCATTTTCATCTATGTATTACATTTAGAAATTTGAATAAATTAATATTACAGTTAATAATTATATTAATATATACTCTTTAAATAATTTTATCAAATTTAATCATATAAAATAATCCAATCAAGCATTCTAATGGTAATATGAATCATGAAAATTGGATATTTCACCAACTAAGTATTTATCTGCAAGGAATTCAGGAAAACCTTTATTCTCAGAAGTGAATTCTTTGTGATATTTTATTAAGAAACCGAGTATTTTTATTCCATCTAACAATCCTATTTTACCACTTTTGTTTTAATATGATTCATGTTGACATTTCGATAAAAACTCAACACAATATCGATTATTTAAAGATTTCTCATCTTGGATCAGAGTCAAAATCTTTTCGTTATTTAAATTAATAATTGATTTGACAGAATTTATCATTGAAACTACCAAGTCATTATTATCTTTCTTTTTTTTACAAATTTTTTGATTATGCCAAAATTACATTATGGGAAATAATGTATCATCAATTAAAGTTAACTTCATATCATAGGATTATCCAATTAATTATTTAATCTATTCAAAATGTTTCTCTAATGTGTTGAATCTTTTTTTTAAATGCGCCTCCATCAATGTCAATAGAGTTAAATATTTTTGATTTTACATTTTCTCAAAATCTTAGGATTTTGGATCCAATTAGCAACATCCAATAAATGTAATCAATGTAAAAAGTAGACTATTTCTATAATCTTGTAGAAATGATTTTTCATTTAATAAATTGTCTAAAAACAATTCATTTTATAATTACCTAATGCTTATTTATATAAAATATTCGAAGGTTGAATTTTCACAGCCTATTCAAAAGATTCTTTAGCTTCATCCAATAATTTATCTTACTTATACACATTTCCAAGTTGGTAATGTGCATCAGCATTATTAGGATTAATTTTAATACAGTTTTAATAACTTTCAATAGATTCATCAAACTTCAATAAAAATAGGTTAGCTGAACCCATCTACAATGAAATTAAATTATTACTATACAATAAACCTTCTCTAGATTTTCTTTTCCTGATTTAACATATTAATTTAAGTGATTCAATACGTTGAAGTATTCCTTTTTTTCATTGTAACATATTCCAAGATAATAATTTAAGTCTTTAGCTTATTCAGTTTTGTTCAACTAAATAAATATCTCTAATGATTCACTAAAATTATTTAAATCAAACAATATCAAACCTAAATCATTATAATAATTGAGACCTTTTTCATATAAGCAGAGCTCATTTTAAGGTTGAATAACCAAAATCTTTTCATAAATTTCTAGCTCTTATTATACTTTCAATGTAATTTTATAAATTAGTGCTAACATATTTAAAATTTCTATGTTTGATGGAAATTTAGTAATTCCATCATTCAGACAAGTAATGGCATCATCATATTTTTTTTGTGCCTAAAGTAACTTACCTGAATAAAATATTTATTTACCTCTAATAATAAATATCTTAGGGTCATCTTAGCTTGATTAAGAATATAAATATTCATAAATCTCAGATGCTTCTTGAATTCTATTAAGCTTAATCAATATGGAGGCTAAAATAATAAGGAAAATGACCTTTCTTTTCCAATATATCAAAGCTTTTTTCTTGGGCAAGGATTTGATCATAGCATTTCAAGGCTTCCTCATCTTTGTTCATGTATTCTAAGATTTTCACTATTTTTCATTAATATGAATTCCTATACCCTTTTCCTTTAATGCATTTATGTCGTTGGGTTGAATACTAAGAATTTAATTCAATGTTATAAGCGAGCCGGCTTATTATTTTAATTCAATTTATATTGAAGCTTTCGCTTTTAAGGCTTATAAATGAGATGAGTTTTTTTCCAAAACTTAATTTAAGTTGCTTAAAGCTTCAGTGTACTTCTATTCTTCTTATAACTTTTAAGCTAAAATATTAGGATTTGATTAACCTTCCTTCATATAATCCTCAACAGTCATTAAAGTTTATTAGGGTTGTGATTACTTTTATAAATTGCTTTGCCCTTTTCTTTTAAATTTTAGAGCGAATTAATTTTGGTCATTTAATTTTAAAATTATATCACAAACTTGTTCTAATTTATCATATTACTTTTATTAATTGTATACATATGCTTAAAAATAAATGTTTTAAATTACCTTGAGCCTAGTACCCGTCAATGTAATTAGAGTCAATTTTTAAGGCATTTTAAATAGATTCCAAAGCTCTATCAAATTATTTTAAATCTGTTAGAGCGGTTGCCTTGCTAATATAATAATGTTTTTAGATTTTGTCCTATTATATCGCCATATCATAATATCTAATGGCCTCTTCTTTTCGTTCTAATCTAGATAAAACATAACCTCAAAATTTAATTGAACTGTACCTAAGCCATAATTTAAGTCTGGTATGTTGGGATTAATCTAAAATCCGTTTTCTAAGTAAGTTAAGGCTTCGTTATATTTTTTTTCGTTAATCAAAAAGCTGGCTAATTTATAAAATATTAGAAAAAACCAATTTCATTTAGAGCTAGGGCATGATTTGGTTATTTTTCGAGAGTAAGCTAGAATTACTTTTTTGCACTATCCAAATTCCTCTTATGCAATTCAATAATTCCTATTCTAATAAGTCAAGTAATAAACCTTTAGAATAATAAGCATCAATAAATTCAGGATCAGTCTCTATAATTCTGTCTAATAACTTTATTGCTTCATCAAACTTCTCATTTTTAATGAGATAGTTGGCTAATTCATATATCAGTAGAAAAAACCTCTTCTGTATAATTTATTGACTTCTGTTAGACTTAAAGAAGCTGAGCTGGGATTTCTTGAATGATTTTTAGATGATTAAATTTATTCTGATTCGTTTACATCACCTGATTTAACAGATGCACATCCCATTATTATTATTAAAAATATGATTTATTTCTAAGATTATCCTAGAATACTCTATAGAAATGGTTTAAAATTAGTAGGAAAATTTAAGTTTAAAAATAACTAATATTGTTGTAAATTGATGTATGAATAATCAAAGTCTTCATCCTAAAATTGGGAAAGATGGAGCAGCACAGATACCGCAAGTATCACCTCCGGCAAGTCTGATGTGACCAGCTTCTCCCCAACTAGATCCCCATGAGTTTCTAATCTTCCAAGCTCCATCAGCTTAAACACCAACAAGGACGACTCCGTGATTTAAGTTTTTAGTACATTTGGAGAGGACACCACTTCCTAAAAAATTAAATTAAAATAATTACTGTAGAATTACCATGGATTGGCATCGACGGCAACAGCGACTGTTCTTTCTTAGATTGTTTAGGCTAATTCATCGCATGAGTCAATATCCTTGAATCCTTAGACGTGAGTGTATGGTCTTTTAACTGAGGTCTTGCAGGTTCCATCTTTAGCAGTGTATGGATAATCTTTAGCTTCAGCCAAACCGTTGTCAGCAACATATTCAAAAGCAGAATCCATCCATCCACCATTGCATCCATCATTGTCATATGGTCCTGAGCAGTCAACCAAATCTTATTCAGATAATTCGTATTTTCTGTTGAGTTCAATGTCTGTGTTGATTTCAAGTGCTCCGACTGCAGAGAAGGCCCAGCATGAACCGCATGATCCTTAGTTCTTAACAGCTGGATACTTAACCTTCTTATTGTCAGTCCAATCGACTTCTGCACCCTTGTATTAGAAGTTAGAATTGGCGGCATTAAGTTTGGCTGTTCTTGGAACTTTGAGGCTCAAATAGGTTTAAGCAAATTCTTATTAGCTCATATCAGCAAATTGATTCAATTCCAAAGTGAATGTGGCTTCTTCTGGACTTTCATAGAAAGCTCTGATGTAGTTAAGGTTGTCTGTGAAAACCTTGTATCTGTACATTTCATCTCTTTAGTTGGTATATCTTCTGTTATATTTCATTTTCCAATTTGCATAAAGATTTGCTGTATCGATTTCATCAGATACTTCTTATGTGTTGTTCAAGTAGAGGCTGGCTCCCAACAACATCATTAAACCGACTGCTAATAATGACTTCTCCATTTTAAATATATATTAATCTAATTAGAACTTTGAATTGCATAAATATTATTATACGATGACGTAATTATCACTTCCTTCATCACGTATAAATATATAAATTAATAATCAGATTTCTATAATGTACAATTAATTTCAGTTATTCTATAACTATCATATTATAAGCTTTCTTGAATTCATTTATAATGGAGTAATCAATGTTTGAAACTAGAGGAGATTATCTATTTTTTTTCTATAGAATTAAAATGTATAATACATAAAATTGTGTTTTAAAAATTATTATATATATATATAAAAATCTGATTTTCTAAAAACTATCATTAATATTGGTAATTCAGAATGTTTAAGAAGATGATTATTATTTAGTGGAATCTTAATACCAATTGAAACTACTTGCTTTTTGCAATATTTAGCAGTATTTTCAATTCTAATTATTATTTCTAGATCTACTTAATTTTCAATAACTACTCTAAGTATTTCAGCTTAATTGGACACAATCTAGTACAAAATATCACTTATATTGTATTAATACAATTAGAAATAACTTGATATTTAATATTTTATAAAATTCTCTCCATTCTATTATGGTGTTCTGTAATGAATTTAGAAAGTTTTATATCGATTGGCCCCTTCCTATGTATTCAGAAGTACCATTCTTTCTTTGTTTTAAATTTTTGATTGTTCTTCCAACCAAATTAACTTTTTCCAATTAAATTACAAAGCTTTAAGAAATATAATTGCTAATTTGTTTAATGATTTTCAAGTTTCATTTATATCTTTAAACTAAAACTTAGGGTATTTTCAGAGACATTTTCACAAAAATAATAATTGCGAGATAAGAAATACTCTGATCTTTTTGAATTAAAATCAACAAAGTGATTTTGTTATTCTCATATATTTTTGAATCATCACTTCTAAAATAAACTCACTATCATTTATTTCTTCCATTAATGTATGGCTTGTTAGAATAATTAGTTAAAGTTGATGCAATCTTTAAATATAAAAATAATAAAAATACAACTAGTAAAAATTTAAATTTAATATTTATTAGAATTTGGAAGAATCCTTTTGTTCAATTAGATTGATCATTCTGTTTTCATATCAATAAAAAAATATAATATAAAAGACTAATTTATTATATTTTTTTCCTAATTTAGAAAAGCAATACCCTATCTAAATAGGTCTTTGTACTTGACTTTGAACCTAAGTATTAATATTATACTAGTACAATATTCATTTACTTTTATAATTCGATGGCTAATAGATATATTAATAATTTAAATTACTATAGCAAACAAATATTTAATTTATTATCAAAACACCAATATAATCTTAATAAACTTAGTTATTTAAATCTAATTCATTCTAAAATTTAGAATAAATCTCTACCTTTAACAAAGTTAAAGAATATGAAATAAGTCATTAAATAATATTAAACTAGATTTGGGAATTATATTATGTTGTAAACTGCTTACAAATTTGTCAATAACTATGACTACATTCTTCTAGTTGAAACTTAAAGAGAGTCTAAACTCTCTCTTCAATATTGTTGAAAATGATATCATAGTTACATATATTAATTAATTTTTTCTATATTATCAGTGTAATTCTGATAAAGAAAAGCCTAGAACTATTTGATAATATGGATAACAAAACAATATAAGAAAATGATATAAGAATTCTGGGATTTAAAGTAAACTACAATGATTTTATTTTGAAATATGATATTAACATCTCCATTGTATTTAATTGAGAATTGATTTTTGGTTAGAACAACCCATATAAAAATATATAGTTATCAAGTTCTCTTTTTAAACTATTTTCAATGTGCCTAAGATTCTCTTCCCTCATTAGTTGGCTAAGAGCTAAGTATTGTAGCTTGATTTTTTTTTTCGAACAATGGTAGTTTGGCAGCTGGACAATCAATTTGATTAAGTGGCAAATCAATTATATGCATAGAAGAAGGTAAACTTGGAGGAGGACTATCAATAATAATTAACAAGGTGGCTCTTTTTGGTTTTGCAGTAGCACATCCCATTTAATGTATAATAATAATTGAATTAATATCTATCCAAATAGGTGCAAATTTAGATTGTAAAAGTAATCATATTTGATTTTTTGATAAAATATTATAAATTGTCTGTTAGAACTTTTACTTATATGTCTTAATAGTAAAAACTTATATCAGCTTCATCACCTTCCAAAACTAGAAGTGCAATATCATTACACACTTAATCAAAGAGTCCCCATTATAATGAAATGTAATAAGGTAATTTTGCAATTTTATAAAAAAGGGTCTACACATCAAAAGTCATAGTAAAGTTTACGAAATTCTCATTATATAAGCAAGTTCGAGAAGAGTATTGATTTAGATATGAAACAGAGTAATAGTTTTATTAACCCTGAATTTGAGATAAAAAAACTAATGAACTTAGTTGAATTGCAATAATATGAAATAAATAATTGGAAACGTCGATATGAATAAGCAGAATCACGAGTATCTTATTAAATTAAACTAGTGTATATCTTCTAATTCATCAAAACCAATAAAGGAATATGAAATACATATAGATTAATTAACTAAAGAACTCAAAAATTATATGTCTATGAACGATGAATTAAGTAATGAAGTGAAAGAAAAAGATAGCCTAATATAAAAACTGAATAAATAATTAGATATCTACAAATAATAGTTAAATGATTATTAGTCGGAATTAAAGTATGCATAGAAAGAAAAGGCTAATATGGATAAAGATGCTTCACTGCAATTCTATTAGCAAGATTAGAGATTCAATTAGAAATTATAAGATATTTAATAAGTTAATTTTGAATAGATGTAAATTAGGGATGATTAAATCTAAAAATTGTAATAAGAATTAATAAGACGTAATTAAGCAATTGAATTTTAGAAATAAGAAATAATGTAATTAGATAAGATTATTAATGAAATTAAGGTTGGAGAAAACACATTGTTGCAATCTTAGGAAACATATAAAATTAAGTATTAAGAATTACTGGATGAAAAAAAGAAGGAAATCACTAAATAAGTTTAACAATTCGAATTAAAAACTAAACAATAAGAAAAGGAATTTCTTGATGAAAAGGAATGCCTTGTTCATAAAATTAGTTAGATGGAATATGAAATAGAATTGCTAAACAAATAAAGCTAAGAATCATAAAGTATATAAATATAATAATAATTTTAAGATCTGATTTCAGGATTGCAAGATGAAATTCAATCACAAGTGGATTAGAATTGTTATCTTTAAGAATAACATCAAAACATTTAATATGATTTAGAATAAACATACAAAAAAATTATTTAAGATTTAAAAATTGAATATGAATCATAAAAAAATAAATTATGCTAAGAAGTTTCAAAATTAACTTCTTAATTAGAAATTACTTCATAATAACATAGTGAAAATTAAGAGTTGATTCAAGAATTATAATTTAGTTTAGATAATTTAAACAAACATAATGAAAATATATCTTAGTAATTAAGTAGATTGCAAACAGAATTTGACCAACTATAATTATAATATGAAAATGATATAACTGAACAAAACTAAGAAATTGAACAGTTAAATGATTAAATTGCATAATTAACAGAGTTATTAGAACATAGATCTAATGAACTTGATGATGTCAGATAATTAAGAGGAGAATTAGCACTAAAAAATAATGAAAATAACGTAATTCATTACAGTAATATTATAGCTATTGATCTAAAGATTATAAAATGAACTAGAAACTTTGAAGAAAAAATTATTTGAACTTCAAAAATAACATCAAATTCAAGGATAAGTCAAAGATGAAATAAATAAATCACAATTTGAATAAATGAGAAACCAAATGGAATCTGAAATTGAACTATTATAAAATGAAAATAAAACGATACGATATTAATTATAGATGAAATCAAGAGAATGTGAAGAGTGGAAACAGTAGTACAATAAACCTTTATGATAGTATTTATAAATTACTTATAAGATATTAAAAAAATATTGTATTATCTTAAATAACAACATAAATATATAATATTTCTAAAACAACATATTTGAAACTAATTTCCTTTGATAAATAAAGTTAATATATTGAATTAAAGGAATTCAATTTTAATTATTTATAATTCATTAATTAAAACTTTCATCTATTTTGATGCAAGTTTATTCTAATAATTTTAGAATGCTTTCATGAGACTTTTCTTTCTGCTATCTTTCAAGTTAAATTTCTGTTTGAATCTTCTAATGTACTTCTTCTATCATAGAAAATATCTTTTTTTCAGTTTCCTCTCTTACTGATCTTTCAATAGACATCATTTCCTAGAACTTATTTAACTCTAGATCCATTTATTCTATTAAGTGTGCCTGTGAGTCAGATCTTAAATATATCACTTATTAAATACCTTGTTTGTTGTTCATTTTCAATTGTATATCTTAGATCCTTTAATTGATTGCTTACATCTCCTATTTATCTATTCAGCTTATCATAATAAACTGAATTATTTTTTTCAAGCATACCATGTACAGTATCAAATCTATCTTCTATTTATTTTAAGAGCTACATTTCTACTCTTCTCTTACTCTATTTAATTTCATAGGTATATGTACATTTTTTTCATCATCCAATTATTTGTTAATTAACTCTTCGAATTATTATAATTATTCTTAATAACGAGCATAATGTTCTTTCCCAAATTTTTCATTATTGATTTGATCACTTAGTTTTAAAATTTATTCTTTGAGTGTCTATTGAGATATATTATAATATACTTTAAACCTATCCTCATCCTTAATTTTATCATAATTTAATAAACTATCAATCTTTTAGAGAGATGCATCAATAATTTCTTTTTTTTCAAATTTATCTCTATCTATTCCAGCTTTTAATTAAGTCCATTTATCTGCTAATGCTTACATTTTTTAGAATGATGGAGACTCCGATCTTACTTATGAGTTGCTCATTATTTAGGATGATGAAAACTTCATTTCTTCAAAATTTTTAAATTAAATTTCTTTTTGATGGTTAGAATTAATATTAAATAATCAATATATTTTATATGCAAGCTCAAACAAAAATATTAATCTTTCTATTTCTGCACTTTTTATAATGAAATAATCTCTCTAAAGTTTAATCAGCATTTAAATTAGTAAAATCTTGATATGCTTTTTAAGACTGTTTCTATTTAATTTTATGAATTAATAACAAATCGATATTCTATTTAATGTTAATTTAAGCGCATTTTTCTTAAAAATTAGGTCTTTTATTGCTAGAGCTCACCTAGGTAATTTAATTATTATTTTCATATCTATTTTGATTTATATAATAGGGAAATCCATTTAGCCTCTATTAAATATAGAATTTTAACAGCACAGCTATGATCTTAATTATTTGCAAAATTATATTTTGCTTTATTAAATCAATAATTTTTATTTTTTGAATTTGAATGAATAAGGGTAAAACCAATCATAGACGAGCATAGTCTAATAATGATTTTCAATAAATAATAAGTTCTAAAATAATTCAAATGGTTGAATAAAATTCTCATAAAAATTTACTGAAAAATCAAAGCTTTGGTAATATGTTATTCCAAATCCCTGAATAGACTGATATCTGTTCATCAACAGAATAATCTCATCATTCCTAAAAGAAGAGTTGTATAAATGATTATTTGCTATCATCTAAAAAGAACTTTTCACAAGATCAAAAAGAAAATTTAATAAATTCCAATTCTTGTACAAACATTATCTCATCAATTTAATACATGATTAAAAGTAGCCATCCAATAAAGGAAATAGCATAGAAGTCACTAAATAATGAAAGTTAAAGCAAGAAAAAGCACCTTAGTTTTACGAGTGAATTACAGAAGAAAAATAGCTAAATTCTCCATTAATCAAACAAAATAGATATTTCATCAAGTTTGACTCCAGATAGAAAAAAAACAGATAATAATAGTAAATAGAATAGTCATAAATATAAATCTGATTAACAAGAGGGTCAAGAGAAATAAAAAATAGAATTATCAAATTTCTTATTAAACAATTTATTAAAGGTGGACTAAAAAAAGAAATCGAATGTAGAATAGTAAGACTCTTTTAGAAGAATGGAATTTCAGATGAATAAGATCTAGAAAGATATTTCTAAAATTAAGAAAAGACAAGATGAATTGGATTTGTTTAATAAGAATATATAGAATCAACTATTTGATTTTATTTCGGAAAGCAGAAAATATTAAGATGTAAGTTTTAGTTTAAGATTTAGTATGGCTATAAATCTCTCTAAAAACTCGAAAAATTAGAACAAATAACCAGAAGGAATGAAGAATCAATAAAAATGTTAAAATAAAAACTATTCAATAATGAAATTTAGTAGATTACTACTAAAACTCATGATAATAATATCAATTTTGGGTATAAAAATTATATTTATACTTTAGTAATATTTCTTCTTATAAACAAGAACTTGATATACAAAAAAAATTATCTGATTTTAAGTATATCAATAAATAATGCAATTGAAACTTTATTCAATTTTGAATATATAATTATAATAATTATTTTACAATTAATTTATCTATGTGAAGTAATCTTTTCAACTTGTTAATTTATTAACATAAAATAATCCTATATTTATACAAATTTTAATTAAAACAGCAATAATAATTAATTCATTTTTGAACTCTACTTAAAAGAGTGTTAGATCTTAAATATTTGTTCTCAGAATCTTCAACAGATGTCTAAAATCTCCTATTTAAGTCATTAAAAAAACTGTGATCTCTTTTTCTCTCTCCATTGATTTCCCTTCCTACAAATTAACTGGATTTAGTAGAATGAGTTTTATTGGTATCTTAAAGGATTTGCTTTTTCAATATCATGTATTCTTCTAATATATTTTTAAGCCATTTCCAACATTCTTTCAAACTATTTAATTTAATATTAATTTACCTTGGTTTAACTTAAGCTTGACTCAATGTACAGTTCATCACCATATCGACAATACATTCAACAAATTTATTGATCTAATGTTGGTCATACTAATTCAATTGAGGAGATTTCTCTCTTAACACAACAGACTTGTATTATTTACTAATGTTTTCCTTAGAATTCTTTCTTGATAATTAGACCTAAAAACTATAGTAGTAATGAGTTACATCATGTTATAATTTATTTATATAAGATTCTTGGTTTTGTATGTATTATTGTAACTCATAAATTTTGGTTTAATTTATTTAATGTTATTCTTCATATTTTATCTTTGATTACTATATATAAATGAAGTAGGAATTACCTCATTAATTGATTCAGCTACTTTTTATTGATGTTGTTATTAAAATAGCTTTTGCTCATATTCAAATATTTTAGTTTTTAGAGTAGAATTTTCTTTTTCGAATTATCCAAGACTTTTTAAACTCTTATGGTATTGTTGTTCTGATTAATTAATCTAGAATTCTAGATCTTCTATTTTTAATAAATGTTATTTTGATGCTGAATTTGTTTGCAATTAATTCATTGATTAATCTTCACTAATATTCAGATGAAATTTACATCATCATTTGCTAATTTAATTTCAAATTCTCATTCTATTCTTATAACCATACTTAATAATGCTCTAATTGTTCTATTCTCTTATCTTTTTCTTTCAACATTTATAATAATTATTTATGTTCTTGATCTTAAACATCATCAATTTAAACTTGATTGCATTTTTTAATGAATACATTTCCTTAATCTTTCTTTGTTTCTAAATAACTCTAAAGAATTTAATCATTAAATTCATACTCCTTAATCATTTGACAATTTACTATAACTACATAATACATCCTCATCCGTTGTTAATCTAATTTATTTATCCCATGAATATTAACTTATAGATAAGAGTAAAGCTTAACTTAATTCTTGTTTCTCAGGAGTTTTTTACATACTCATAATATTTATATTTCAAAATTTAATAATTATTAACGTTTATCATATAATAAATCTATAACCATAACTCTTCAATGTTTAACTATTTTCTATTTCAACTTTTGTATTTATAATATTAATATCTATCTACTTTTATTCAAAATATCTCATTATTTAACTGCATTTACTTCATCCATCTATATAATATAACTCACTTTTACTTATATTAATTAGATGATACGAACCATATAATTTATAGTTAATTGAAGTTACTTCAACATAAAACTTTTGATAACTTAATCTAAACCATTTTTCAGAGTGCTTTTTAGTTGTCTAATTTTTGAAGTTTTAAAAAAACACTAAATTCTCTTGAGTATTTTCTACCTTCCTATAGTAAATACATTCTTACATCATTTGAATTGTTCTGTCAAAAACAAAATTTAGAATTTCTTTGTATTAAAATCTCTATTTTATTACTATTAAATGAAGCTTCTTATTCCAAAATTAATTTTATATAATAATAATAATAATCAGAACAAGAAGAATTCATATTCATCTCCGGTACTTAAAAATTTACACTTTGAAATTTTAGAAATCTGTCAAATATTTTTTTTAATTTACTTACTTTGTTCATATGTAGATTATTTACATTAATTAGTGTGATTGATATTTATATATATTGATTTTTTTTTTGTTATAAAAAGGAAAAGACATAAATTTTGTTATTTAGATATCTGAAATTTAAGTAAGAAAACTACACCTGTTATATTTCTAGTATATTAAAATTTTATTTTTATGCCTTTTAAAACTTTATTCTATTTAGACCTTTATACTAATGTCACTTTCAGATTATTTTAGTATTTATTAATGAATGTCTATATCCAAATATTCAATTTATCAGAGATTTTATACTCATTGATAGAATTTTGATTATATAAAAAGGAGTTGTCATGAAGTTCTAAAAGTAATAATAATAAAAAGGATTAAGAATAACCAAATGAAGAGAAGTAAACAAGCATCACAAAGCAAATCAACACTATTGATAACAACTTAAAAAAAATTCAAAATTCAATAATTGATAAGTCTCCTAAAATTTAACCAAAAAGCACAGTGAGTATATTTTTAGGGTACTTTGAAAATAAATTTGATTCCTTCTATAGTCATTTTGAAAATAAAGAAGTCATGTTACGTAATGACTACTTTAAGTTAGTCAAAATAGAAAAAAAAGGAAAAATTAGTTATTTGTTAAATTTCCCTTTGATCTTATTATATGATGATGAAAATGATGAAAAAATAGCCTAGAATTTATGCATTTCAAAAATTTATGCTGAAATTGCATTAAAAGAAATGGAAACCTGTTATTTCTATTTAATTTTAGATATTTCATAATTAACAGGAGATGATGATAAGGGAAAGTTAGATAATATTGTTTAACATTCAATTTTTAGATTTGGATCTTTTTATTTCGAAGAAAATTACTTTTTCTTTCTAAGATATCGACAAGATGATAAGTGGGATTACCACTAATTTTCAAAATAGTTTGCATTATTTACTTATTTTTCAAAGAATCAATAATTGGAAATTTAAACTTATAGTTAAAATGAAATCTTGAAGACAATATTTAAATCTAATAATCACACATATGTAAAGAAAGGGTAATCAGAAGATGCCATTAATTATGGAAAAATGATGGCATATTTAGAAAAAAATTTACAGCTTTTAAAGGAATAGTTTAATGAAGATCTTTAACAATTTTAAATGCTTCTCCTTCGCTTATAATAAATGCCAATCATCAAAAATAATTTCGAAGTTGTCTAGGAAATTGGAAAATATTTAAATGATTTACAAAAAGGTTTCATGAATGAAAAGAATCTTCTAACTGATAATGCTTCACAAATTGTTGAGGTTTACGAATTTATTAATAAAGTGAATTAAGAGTAAAATGCTTAAGATATAAATAACAGATAAAAAAATTCATTTAGTCCTTTAATGACACAATTTAAGGAGGAAGTTAAAATTTAAAAATTAATAGTTTAACCATTATTAAGTGATGAAGAAATTAATAAACTTAAGGGCATAATTTAATTTTTCAAAAAATATCATAATAACAAATTAAAAAATGAGAAAATACGTGAAGTGTAGAAATTAACATTAAATCTTAAATAATGGTGTGCGAATTGTAATGATACCTTAGAAAATACGTTATACGAGCTAAAATATATTACCTCAAGAATTTAAGATGGACCAAAAAATGAAATTGAAAATGGAATCTATTTTATCGGTATAACAAAAGTAGGAAAATCGACCATTATTAATTCACTTCTTATTCCAGATAACATTATTTAAGATCATTTTGTTTCATAAAAATGCTATGGAATTAATACGGAGACAAAATTTGCGATTGGTAAAGGTGGAGTTAGTGAAACATAACATATCAATGGAGTATACATTGGCAAAAAAGAGGAATTTAATTAAATCTTTGATTAGAATGAAAAACATGTTTTTAGTGTTGAAGAAATATTAGACTAGGAATAAATTTAAAAATGTAAAATACCTAAAAAATATTTCGTTTTCGATTGCCCAGGGTTTGATGATAATTGTAATGAATTAATGAGAATAGCCCACAGAATTAGCTTATATAATTATTTCAAAAATACAAAAAATATAATTGTATTTTTTGTCATTGATATTTCTCAATAATCAATTGAATATATTAAGAATACTTTTGATCCAATAACATAACTTTTAAAAGACAAAAATGATTTAGTATCTCATTTTGACAAATGGACAAATATAATTCTAACAAAAGCAAAGAAAGGATAAAGATAATCATATCTTGACAATTGGTAGTAAGTGTATAAAGGGTATTTGGATGAAAATTATAGTTTTTATAAAAGATTATTTGAGAACAGATGTGTAGAATTTGAAAAACCAAAGACACAAGATATTGAACAAATTATTCAAAGTTTAACAAATTAAATTATCAAAATGTCATCTTCGTAACTTCAATCAAATCAAGCCTTTACACCAAAATTTCAGGGTGTCCTTGATCCTAAAGTATAGTCGCTTTATGAACATTGCATACCTAAGTTTAAATAAAAGTTAGAGAGTATTCTAAATTTCTTTCTAGAGGATTTAGATGAGTATATATTGGAAAGTAGTGATAATTTAGAAATAAAGAAAGAAAAATTAGAAAAAATATAAAGCATTTTGTTAGATTAAAATACAAAGCAAATGATTAACTTAATAACGTATAATAACTGTGAAATCATTCTTAAGGAGCTATCAAACTGGGTTAATGGTAATCCTTACTTACAAAAGAATGACATTTTCATACAATAATACATAGAAGATATGGAATCTATTTTAAAAATATCAAAATATTGCTAAAAAATTAAGTAAATAGCACCGTTTGAGATTAAAATTGATAATCTTGTTAAAAAGATTAAAACTATAATTCTATAAATTCAAGAAACCATTTAATATTATTAAAATTGGAAATATGCTGGGGGTGCTGCATGTTTTCTATCAGGAATAATGACTTGTGGTACATCCCTTGCGTTATTTGAAGTTTAAGCTTTGGCAGCTTTGGCTAGGCAATTTTTTTTAACAAGAGGTGCCTTGTGGTTCACAACAGTAAGCTCTGGATCTTTTACTGCAGGCACTGGTTATGTTACGGTTATTATTGATACTTGGAAAAATTAACATTTGAAGAAGAAATATTAAGATGAATTGAAAAAATAGAAAAGTTTACAATAAGAATATTAATAGAAGGTTGATTTATTATAATCCTAATATTAAGTTTGAAGATGAGTGAAGCAAAAATTTAAGATAATGATATTTTATTTTATTCAAAATTATTCCATTTATAAACCCTTCGATAATTTAACAAAGTTCCTTTTAAAAGTGATATCAAACTTCAAATTCATTTAAATCAAATGATATTTAGAAATTAATTAATCATATAAATTTCTCAATTTCACAGAATTTTGAATAAGCTATTTTAAATTTCTAAATAAGCATTCATCTAAAATTATTATTAATTAATTATTTTTACATTATCAAAGAAAGATAGCTATATATTAATATATTTGATTGTCTATTTTGATTATTTCAATTTATTAGATTTGGTTTGATGAAACTACTTTAAAAGGTTCTTAATACTGAGATGGCTGCAATATTATGATGATGAAAATCAATATGTATTCAAAAATCTACTATAATAATTATTTCAATACTTATTGTTTTTAGTATTAATAGCAAAGATGAAAAAAAAGAACTTTGATGATGATATCAGATTCAAGGTCAAATAGAGATATGCAACAATATCAGAATGGGCATTTAAGACAATCGAATCTGAAAGAGTACCAGAATCAAGAGCCAAGTCATTATATAGTGGGCCTGTAAAAGTTCCAAATCAAGCGATGTATTTATTGCATAACCCGTAACATCAAATAAGTATACTTAGATTTAAGAGTATTGATAAAAAGAAACCCAGACTTGCTATCTCTCAATAATCTACTATATAGCAATCATCAAAAATTTATAGAAAATTCATTGACCCAAATTAGATTACCAGATCGCTTGATTACTCTGATTTAGCAGATTCTTAAACAAATACAACAAAGAAAAAGGTGCTGTAAAATCAAAGACTCAAAAAATAATTTTAAGTAATTCATAATCGGATGAAATTAATTTTGGATTCCTACAAAAATAGAGAACGAGTTCTGTTGAAGTATATTGCCTCTTTGCAACAGGAGATTATTGCTCTCAAATAAACTCGGTATTAAACAATATGAATATTATTTATTTTCTTGCTTTGCTTTTTATTAAATTCACAAATTTGGAATTATTTATGTCCGAAAGCATCAAAAGAAATGCCAAATCATTTACACCTTACATAGCAAAACCTTCCGATATTCCCTCAGTTGAAGCATCTATTGATCCCCTTAGATAGTTTAGACCGCTGATGAGAGTTCAAACTTCAACAGACCCTTAGGTCTAATAGATGTCAACTGATCAGCCATTTTAAACAAACTTATTTTACAATCCTCCATTCACTTCCTTCGATATTTCGTAAAGAGTATCATTGGATGGAACTAATGATTACTTGTTAAATCATTCAAAAATTGTAGGACCTCTTGTTAATAGTTCTCTTGATAGTAAATCAATGTAAAAGTAACATGAAGTCTTGCAATCTCAAAGTCGTTTTTTCGCTTCGATGATGCCAATCTTCTATAACTCACCTATGCAATCTTGCTATCCTTATTTACATTAGCAATGCCAAAATGATCTGCCACGCCATTCAAATAACAGCTTGGATAAATAGGTTAAAATCAACAAAATCAATATGACCTAACCATACATTGTGAATCCATCCTCTTTACAATAACCATAATAAGTGTAATCCTAGATGCATTTCAATACAGAAGATAAGTGGTTAGGTGATGTTAGCTCTTGTCAAAGTTTGTTTGTAAAGAAAGAGGAGGATGATTAGAGTAAACCAAAGGAGACCAGAAATGAATAAAAATTAGCTAAACGCATTAGAAAGAGAATTCCAGTTGAAGAGAGTTCGGATTCATTCAGAGTCAATCGAAAGAAAAAGGGACCCAAGGTCAATGATACCAAAAATATAACCAAAAATTTTTCAAAAGCAATCATCTCTTACATCATAAACGAAAAAGAACTTATTTAAAAATTCATGACAAATGAACAGTATGATGGTTTCATTACTTTATTAAAGAATAAAAAGAATTAAATGACAAATATCAAATAACTTCGAGACTTGTGGGTAGACACAGGTAGAAATCCAGAATTTAATAAAGTTTTTAGAATAATCAGGTATTTTTAAATATATATTTATAGTCAATACTTTCTAAAATGTTAGGCTGTTCCATACGTTTACAATTCAAGAATATCAAACACAGCTTGGCATCTCAAATATAGATATAACTTACTGAGAGCCGTAAGAGAACCAGAAAACTTTAAATTTATTAAAGATATTTGATTTATCTTGATTAAATTAATTAAGATTATATTATTATATAACTAAAATTGATCTAAAAAAATAAAATTTCAAATACAAAACTAATCGCATCATCTCAATCCTTCTTGGTTTTTCTCATCACTTTGAAAATACCCTATCTTCAATGATTAACTGTAAATCTATCAGTCATATAACTAAAACTACTTATTTCTATAAATTGATCAACCTATTTTTTTAAGAGAATATATGTAGACATTTTCATTAAAATAATACATGATTGAAAATTTTATTGAAGTGCTTAATAAATGTAGGTGGTTATAGGAAGATCCAGTTTTAAAATAAAATAAAATCCAATTAATATAAAGCATTACAAATTATTTATATTAATACATCAACCTCTTACTTAATGGTTCAAAATCTAAATCCAAAACTAATATGATAATATTATTAGTAAGAATTTCAAATTACTTGATTACTCTTATAGAACTTCATATTTAGACTCTAATTATCAAAATAAATTTACATTGATATATTTTTAGACTCCCAATATAATCCTTCAAAATAAGGCAGAGGGTTCATAATTGATGATTTTTTCAGATTAAATTGATCATAAACAAAATTTTCGGTTATATTGAAATTAAAAATGCAGTAAATATTTTAAATAAATTTTCCTGATATCTCATTAATTTTAATTATTCTTAATAGTTCAAAGAGAATTGTTTTATCAAATTATAATAAATATAAGCATAATATTGCTAAGTCGTAATATGATTTATTGTTAATTTGATTAAACTATTCATTTCAATACAATCATCTAATTTATATAATAAGTTGAAGGTATTTCTGAAAAATCTAATTCACATTTGATTGAAGAGTCAACATGAGAATTTTAAAAATAGTTCGACCATTTTATCAATCAACTTATATATTGATAAAACATAATAATAAGAGCAGCTATTTGAAAACCGTAGTTCCAATTAAATTCTAGTGATTGATAATTTCCTTATTCATTCTCATATATATTGGTTGATTTAATTCCCTTTTTAGTCGAATTAAGAGGAATAGAACACACAATGGGAAGTGCTTTAGGGCTTAGTAATGAATTTAAGAATTTATAAATTTCATAAAAATATTTATGTGTTGTGGAGATAATTAACCAAAGAATCAACCCAAGACAGGAATCAAAACAAAATCAAATAATCCTGGATAAAAAAAGGATATCAAAGTTGTAATGCTTGGGGATAAGGCTGTAGGAAAGAGCTCCATTGCAACAAGATTCTGTTTTGATAAGGTATGTAAACCCATTAAAATATAATAGTTTCAATCAGAATATGAAATTACGATAGGAGGCGTGTATAATAGTGTTGAATTAACAGTGAAGGGTATTTTAAATAGCTTAATAATGGATAGGTTAGAACTTAAAGATCCATTTGTGGGATACTGCAGGAGAAGAGAAATTTAGATCTCTACTTTCCCTGTATTATAGAGATGCAAATATAGCTGTTATTGTGTATGACATCACACAAAGTGAATCCTTTTAATCGGTTTCAACTTGGCTGAAGGAATTGGAAGAAAAGATCTAAAAGGATGGTAAGAATGACTTCCATAATTGAGGAATGGCTCTGGCTTTAGTGGGCAATAAGTGCGATTGCTTGGAATCGGAAAGAAAAGTGTCAAAAGCTATGGCTGTTGATTTTGCAAAGTAGAATGGTATGATATTCTATGAAACTTCTGCCAAAACAGGAGAAGGTGTAAAGAATTTATTTTAACATTTAATTGAGACATATGTAACAGAGAATATGTGAATATTAATCTTAAATATAATTTGCATTCCTACTGTATATTTAAATAGATATATTATATCAATCTTCTCTATCTCATTTAATTAACTAAGCATTAAACACCAAACCATCTGTTTTATGCTAACATTTATTAATTGTCAAATGTTTAATTCTTATTAATTTAATTATTTGTAGCTTACAAATTAAAACGATGTAGCAATTGAAAAAAGAAGAAGGAGACCAATTCGTCAACAAATTCGTCCGAACTATGTTATAAATTAACGATTAGTTTTATTGCTATGAACCCATAAAAATATTTCTATTCATGTTGAGTATGAGCTAAACCATATTTTACCTCTAATTTCAAACCTATGAGTTGTGTTAGAATAACTTTGATGAAATAAGTTAAAGCAAGAAGATTCTCTATATAATTAGACCTGAGTTAATATTACTTAAATATTTGAATGATGAAATGCTATTTGCCACACCTTACATTTTAGTTTTATTGATACTAATCATGAAAATCGTAACCTGCCTAAATATTCACAATTAACATTTAAGATATGCTAAAAGATGGAATAAAACGACGCATTTATAAATGATAATAATCAATATTATCTCGTTTTACTAGCAGTTATTTCATGCTGTATTACATTACCCTCTGCAAACTCTTGTTATTTGTGCTATTAGTAAAGCATTGTAACATATTTAAAATTAAAACTCTAATTACATAGCTTCATTGGTTTTTTGCGTTATTATATTTTTGCTTTTGGAAGCTGAATCAATATCATTAATATTTATTTGTAGAAAATCTACAACATTATAAATTTTCGCTTTTGAATAATTTCTGATGTCAACTTTTGATTTTATAATATATGCCTTGCAAATATCATAAATTATCATTTTTGGAATTTCAGGTCAAAATATTGTGGTGATTTATGCGCAACAGTTTCTTATAATTTGTATTGCAATTCTGAAAATTTTAAATTAATTGCACTACCAAGGTTACATCTATCAACATCAAAGATACCTCCTTTACATTATTAATTCTGTTATCCTTATGTATTCTCTCTTTTAATTAATTGATCTTTCAAACAATGCAATTTTGATTTGGCCATTGTTCACAAGTGTGGTAATCTATGCCGATCGTCAATTCTAATATAATAGTATTTATTCCTTATTCCTTGAAAACTCAACGAACCTCAAATATTATGTCCATCAACTCATGAAGATATCTAATAATTGCTATTAAGATGAGATTCTTCCTATTCAATATACTATAATTTGGATACAACATAAACTTAAGTGCAAAGATACTACATGCTTATGCAAGGAATTAATATAGAAAGTCTTGAATCCTTCTCAAACAAATATCATAACAGAGCCAATTTTCAACTCCTTTGTTTACACCAAAATTAATCACATTAAAAAACTTATTTATTCTAATTAAAATAAAAATAAAGTTGATGCTGCTTTTTATGAAATTGTGTAAGCCACTCTCTTTATGAGATCCGGTTTCATTTTGATGGCAATCAAAAATTATAATAAAATTTTATTTTAAGCTAACGATTTACATAGAAGGAGAGTGATTTCATAAGAAAAACCACTTATTTCATAAAGGAGAGCCAAGAAAAGTTTGATTGATTCATAATTATAGGAGATAATCAATAACCAATAGAAAAAGGGTGAAAAGTATGAAGTTTAAAGCAAAAACTATCAAATATCTAATCTTGAGATTATTAAAATTAAATACAGAATAACTTAGGCATAAATGAATTTGAATGAAAATTTTAGTTCTTACGTATGTAATCCATAATAACATCAAATGTCTGATTGCATATTCTATTACTTACTGAACGAGTTTGATTTGAACACAGTAATTTAGAAGATAATTAATTTAATTAAAATGAAAACGGAATTTTATTGCTACCTATTAAATTCAGAAAATTTAAAGGGTAATCATGTTTTTAATTCAATATCAAAATTCTCTAAAAACGTTAATTGTATTGAAGATATACTCTTAAAGAATTATAATAAATACGCTAGTGCTAAACTGAGGCACTTAATAATCTTCTTTTATTCCAAGATATACAATAGTTATTTGAAGGCCATAAAATTTAAATAAATTAATAACATCTAACATGAAAAATTAATTTATAGAAATCAAACAATAGATTTTTACTCTGATAAAATTGGATATGTTTTATTGTAATTATAAGATGATTTATAGAATTTGGTAATCAAGTAATATTCTAGTAATTTTTTAAAAATAATTAATAAATCAAACGATGAGAATAAGTTAAATTTCTATGATGTATTGCCTGATTTTATTAAAGATGCTCACCCAATTTTGGTTCAAAGATTTGTATAGACCGGTTAAGCTCGATTTTATAGAAGTTTGAGTTTGACATTTATTTAGTAAGATAATGGATTAGCTAAACAAATGGAGTAAAGTTTTGACACAATCACTCTTTTAAGTGATAACAAAATTGTTTTTGGTGCTGTGATTCAAGATGTTCTAGATTAGAAAGCATACTTGTTAGTAAATGTTAATGGGAATCTTTCAGGAATGACTTTTATGTGTTTAAGAAAGCTTGGATTCACAGTTGAGCAGATTTCAAGTGTTAATAACTTCTATTAATTTTACGAATTAGAAATTAATTAAATAGTCCCTAATTTTAATAGATTAATTGAAACTGATTTTGAAGAATAAAAGTTTGATAACATAAGGATTATATTTCTTGATCTTTCTTCGAATAATTCTTTAGATGTGATAACTAAATCAACTTAATAAGGAAATCAATTATTATCTAAAGTTTGGTAGAATAGTAATTTGGTAAAAGAGTACTTAGTAGATTTATATATAATGAAGAGAAATGTGTTTGGGTTCTTTTATTACATCATTGAAATCGAATCCGCTTATTAAATTGATTATTCTCAATATAATAGAAATCATAAATCACTTTTGTAAATTAGAGCCAGCAATGAATCAGCAGTCTTTGATATTGATTCTTTAATCCTCTCACTTTAAGACGTTAATTCAGAATTAGAACCTGAATATTAAGAGTAAGAAGGAACGAAGAAAATTAAATAAGTTACAAAAAATGCAGAGTTTTAAGGAATACTATAAAAAGAGTAAATAAATCCAGATGATACCAGAAAATAAAATTTGAATGAATAATAACCGCAATTAATCAAGTAAGTACAAAATAAGAATGCCTTACAGCAATAAGACTTTTTTTGTTTTGGGTCACCATAATCTCCGTTAGCATCTTAGGGCTAAAATTCGAGTAATTAGATTAGATCTTAAAACTAAAATTAGCTTGATGCGATTTTGGATTTGAATTCAGAATCTAGTTTAAATTCTATAAAAAAACCGTCATTTATAAAAAGATTAGAATCAATAGAAAGATTTTATTCTAGTTTTAATTCAAATCAATAAAAGGTCCTATTATTTTCATTACTTTTAACTTTGATTGTGTGTTTTATTTTCTCTATATTCATACTTTCGCTTCTACAGGATGATCTTATGAGCAAAATTCAAAGTATTTAAATGCTTTCTTTTTAAGCTAACATTTTGGCACCTTATGATGAATATTTAGGTATCAGAGCTTAAATTAATTATTACCAAGAATTGTATGCCTCTAATAAAATCAACTTTATCGAATAATTAGATTTACTAGAACCACTTTATTCGGTAATAGACATAGACTATAATGAACTAAGGCAGAATTCATATTCATCCTTATTGGAGAAAGATTTGAGCGGTTTTTTCAAGGATTTATATACAGATGCCTTTTTTATGGGTACAAGTGACAAAACAGTTTATTCTAAAAATATTACATTTAGGGAATTCATACATCAATTACTAAGTTATTAGTATGATTATAAAAATATATTGGATAAAAGAAGTTCTTCAAAGGGTTGTCCTTGTTAGGTTTTCTAATTTTCAAATTATTTTATTTTGGAATAAAATTTAGAATAGATTTCGTAAGAAATATTAACATTTTCGAAAAGCAATAGCGATTAAATAGTTAATAAATGGTGGTCAATCTGGATATCATTTGTAATAGTATGTTTTTTACTTTGTATTTTGATTTATTACTTAAGAATGGTGCTGGCTTTATAGTGTGATACGATAATGTAAATTGTAACACGTATCTAGGAATAAAGTTTGAAGAGAGAAATAGAAAATCAAAAGAATTTAATTTTGGGTATTATTTCAGATAATGATTTAATAAATACGTATTAATTGGATGATTAAGTTGAGAAATAGTAAGTTGATACTAAAATTGAAAATATGCAGTTTAGAAAACCAAAAAGAAAAGAACTAATTCGAACATCTAAATTAAAGTCTATAGTATTGTCATTAATACTCCTATTTATATATTTTGTGTATTCAAGTATTGCGATTTTTTCAAGTCAAAATTTTTTGAATCTTTACGAATCAACTTAAGAATTATATAAATTGATAGCTGATTTATCGTTTAGAAGTGGAAATTTATTTTTATATAGAGAGATGATCATATAATGGTAAAATGAAACCTATCTAAATAAATCTGATGGATAGAAGTTGTACAATCTAATTGATGATGCTGAAAAAATTATTCTAGACTACATTGATTTGGCTCCCCGTGTTTCTTTAGATGGTCTGCTGATATCTTAAGAGTTTCTTACTCTATTTGAGGAAGTACAGAATAATGATGTTTGCAACTATTTGGATGAATAATATGAGTAAGTGTTTGGATAGTATTGTTTAAAGTCTCTGGAGGGGTCTTTAATGAAAGGAATGTTAACTACTCTCCCATATATTTATCAAACAATAAAGAATTAATAAGCTATTAACAACTTTACATTTAGAGCAGAAGACATCTTCTATGAAGTTGAGGGTGGTCAAATAGTTAGTAGAGTGTTTTCAAACATAAAGCAGGAGTTATAAGATGGAATAATTGCTAAGACTGAAAAGTTTAATTTTCAAAATAGGGTAATTGTATTTAATTATTTTAGATATTTTCAATTCTCTTTCTTTTAGCTTTATTTTCGATATGCTTTTATATTTTATTTATTTATTATAATAATATTTAGCAGAATCTCAAAATGATGAAATTTAGTGTTTTCATGATCCCCTAAAAAGATATTCTCCAAAATGACATATTTGAGAAGTGCTTAAAATAAATTGAAATGAAATTAGGTTATAAATTATGACAAATTTATAAACATTTCTATTTCAATCAAATCTTTTCAGTGAATTCATATTATCTTAATGCTCTTTCCAAAGAATTATCCCCAAGTAATACTTGGATGGGTATGAGATACAGAGATTTCTTATACATAGTGAATTCATTCATCAGAGACTTCTTAAAACAACTTAGTATAGCAATTGATAAGGACAACTAAGTAACAAGGAATATATAAGATAGGATCTATTTCTAAAATATTTGTACTTCATTCGTTTAATTAAACTTGTGAGTCAAATCAATCATTCCTTATTGTAATATTTGGGATACATTAGTAAACACTTAACAAATTATTTAACCACCTTCCAATTCATAAAAATGGACTTCGGCTCTTTTTGTAAAATTATTGATGGCTTGTTGATTCCTTATGGCAGCAGAAATGTAATTTAAACTAGGAATCATACCTTTAAGTAACACTCCATCCAAAGCAATTGAACAATAACTTGTTATGTTGATGTATTACTAAAATTCATAATAAATAATTGTACTGCATCTATAAAATTGCATAGATTAGAATTTTCAACTTGAGTAATGTAATTCATATAACTGTCTGACAGTAGATAATCATCAGTCTATATATCACTCTGATCATTTAGATACTGTTGGATTATACTTTGCGACTTTTCTACTAACTAATACAAACGATCTAAGTCATTTGGTGTTAAATAAGTAAAGTTAGACCATCTAAAAAAGAGCTCTCTGTAAACATAGATTGTTCCACTTCTAAATCTCATTTCCTGAACTAATCTATAGAAATCAGTTGTTTGTTTATATTTAACTAGGTAATTCTTTGTTTAATCATAAATTACAACTGAGTAAACCAAGAAGTATGTGTACATAATAAAAATGCCCAAATATGTAAACAATTGAGGCAATTAATCATTACTCTTTCTTAACTTTTGCTACTCAATGTTTTATGAATGCGACTTGTTCTTCTTATGGTTCAATTATTCTTCTCTTTCTTTAAAATCGAATTCATATCTCTTAATTACTTCTTGATTTTAAATAGATATAGTTTAATGTAAATTTTTAAGTTTGAGAATTTCTTATTCCAAAGAATTCCTATCTGAATAGTAGAATAGACTTAACAATTTCTCATATGTTTTCAACATTCTTTTACGAACGATAACTAAAACAAATATTAGTAAAATAGATGTAATTTAGTAAATAATCCAAAAGATTAACCATTGTTAATTTGATGATACGCTTCTCATTTTTGAAAATTGTAAGATTTCATCAGTTAATTATTCCAACTAATCTTACAGATTTAAATAATTTGCAAATTAAAATACTTAGCATGGTTATCCTGCTGCATTCGAACGTTCATCAAAAATTCGTTTCAATTAATATTATGCATTTATTACTGCTAAAAGTTCCTCTCTGAATGACAATGTGCGACTATAAATTACTGTATCATTATTACCCATAAAATATACAGTTTAATATTTGTCAACAAAGAAATCAGTTAAATGGACATCAGTTAGAACTTCATAAAAGCTATTTTGTAGATCGAAGTAATAAGGAGCATTGAACTCAAATAATGGGTTAATCAATTTCAATAAAGTAGAATAATCTATATAGTTTTCTCTATACAATTGTTGATAAGCTGAAACTGTGACTTTTATTGATAAGTACATATCATGTGGTCCCATTATACTAGCATGCAAAGATATCATGTCGATTTCTTATATAAATTCTAATAATTGAGATGACATTGCAGTGACAACCACTATGGTGAATGATACCCAGAACATAGTCAACATAATCAGTAGCACTATATAAATCATCATTGTTTTAAACTTTTTGCTTTTAATTATCTTCTCTATCATCTCAAACTTCTTAAACAATTACGATTCTTTGACTCCTCCAATTGAAGATTATTAAGATTACACCTCTTCATTTTAATCTCTCTTCCTTTTACTAGTCTACGATTATTGAATTTCCATAGATGATTTTATATTTGAATCCATCCTCAGCAGATCAACATTGAAAAATTCCTATTATGTATCATTTTTTCTTTCGGACAATAATTGCCTTTGGCTTTAAAATGGGGCATGATTTTGTAACTCATCTTTTCTGAATGATGAAATATAACAAGCAGCTTCATCCTCTGAGTAATCATTCATTTGAATTTCTTTCTTTCTAACATCCATAACTTTTACTTTCTTTGCCTACGCTTCTACGCTTAAATTCATTAATGAAGCTATGCTAACTGAATTTTTTCTTTATCTATGAACTGGAGATTTTTGTGGAGTAATATCAAAATTTTGAATTGTCTAAAATTTCGAGGCATCTTAGGAAAACTTGGTGATTCTTGTAATCGATGACATCTCAATTAATAGATATGACTATTGTTCAATGTACCGTTTAGTAATCATTACAGATATATTATATAAACAAACTTGATCTTCTTTTTCCCATTATTCTATATCCAATATGTATTCACTCAAATTTGTACCTTGAACTTAGAGTTCTTTCAATTTTCTATCCATTAAGAATCTCATTTCTGTATTGAACTGTGATGTCTCTGTTTCTGAGTGCTCCATTGGAAAATCTGGAATTAGATATTACATGTTAAGAGAATTGATGACTTAAGTTGGTAAATTCAAAATAACTCTTTAGTCAAATCCAATTTTTAAAAAGAAGTTGTCTGAAAATATTAATGTTCCTTTGTTCCCATGTGATAACATAAAGCATTTTTAGTCTGGCAACTCTTGTAAGAATGCAGCAAATACTAAGTTCTAATTTAATATTATTTTGGTGATGTCATAAGTTAAGAACACTGTTTTTAACAGTCCAGTCTTGGTCTAGATAAAACTTTAATTAAAACTTTTATAAAATCGAGATTGGCCATTCATAAAAAATTTATTCAGTATTTTAGGATGGGAACTTCTCATAAATTTAGGCAATAATTAATAGAATTGAACATCCTTATATGTATCATAGCCTATTAATGACAACAGAAATGACGAACCTTATTCAATATTAAAATCATCCAATTCTCCTTTGATTGATAAGATTATATAAGCTGTTTATTCCACTTGAATCTCGTAATTTCTTATCTTCTTATTTCTAAAGATTTTATCATCTGTCATGGATGTAATTGAAGATGTTTTGCTTGCTTCATAATAATTATTCAATATTTCGCTTTAGAAAAAACACAAACATCTCTGCATGCTTTTACATGGATATTAATCGTAGATCTATTTGAGTCTCTTTTTCATTTAAGTTAATTTCACACAAATCTTTTTAGTCTAAACTGCTAAATTATTGAGGTTTCGTTTTTCATCCTCAATTATTGCATGATAAAAATTGATTTTCTCATGGATCAGATTTAAAGTCTAACTTTGTATATCCCTTAAACACTTATCGTATTTCAAAAACGACGTGATAAAATCAGAGACCATCAATTATTAAAATGCTTACATCGATGTTCCCAAAGATGATTTTAATTTAAATTTAGCTAGGTGTAAAACATAGTTTAATCTGCAATATTCTGTCATATCTAGTTAAATCTTCACATAAATGTATTAATGAACTTGTTAATTAGATACATCCTATTTCATAGAAGATTCCTTTAATGTCTCTTCTATATTTTTACATTTTTAAATAAAGTTCTTAATCACTAGATTTTAATTATTTTCAGAGCAACTCAATAGATGAATTACATTTTTAATACAATCCGTCAACCATCCAAAATCAAAATAGAATAAAGTTTGTACATAAAATAAATCAATTACTTAAGAATTCTTTGATAAATGTTTAGTGTCCATTATGTTATTTATTCTGGACCTGAGAAATTATTTCAGAATGGCTTGAGTGATTGCATTCGCTTGGGAGATTTCTAAAATGTATAACTTATTAGAGCAAATGCAATCTTCATTTTCACAACTCTTACGATGATAATTATTGATCAACGAGGATTTTAATGGGTTCATTTTGATGTTGATATCACACTGATTTAAGATCATTTTTAATTGGTGAATGAGTAGAGGTATAGATGCTGAATCTTTGAAGATATTAGCAAAAAGCCTATTATTAATTTCATAATCCAAAGCAAGAAATGCATATAATATGATAGGGTATATGAGTAAAGGAATAATCAGATATTCTGAACTAACAGTAGGCTGAAGGTAGTAGCAACAGAAAGCTATTTTAAATGCAATTGTAAAATATAGTAATAATCTAGACTCCTTGAAAATATATATATAATTTATGAATTAATTAGTAAGCTATGAAATTATTTCAATTAATAATAAAATTATGTTTACAAGTTTAATTTCTTGATTATCTTCAATGACACAAAATATTATAATTTACAATTATTAGAGCAAATAAATTATGTAATTTAATATTGTTACTTTTGTTATGTCTAAATAGTGATATTTATAAGTGAGAGGTGTGCTACAAAGAGATAAAGTAAAAATATAATCTACTTACCATGAGACGTATGTGAAAATGGATAGAAATAAGTGAACATATTAATCTCCATTTCTAAATGCAAATGTTAAACTCATCAAACAAAATGTTGAACTTAGCAAATGTAGGGCGGTTAATTATAATTACATTAAAGTAGCCAAGATCACTAATCCCTTCTGGATTAAGTTGCTTTAGTCAATCTGCTAGAAGTAGAGAGCTTTGTCCTTAATTCGAAAGAGATAAAAGGTAATAGAGATTTATAATGCCTTTTGAAATAGTTAGAATGCAAGCACAATCAAATAGAGTTGAGCCTAATGGAAATTCTAATCTAGAAGCAGTAAATCCTGTCTGAATAATAGCAGAATTATCAGATGGGGTACAGAATTATCAGTGTGGTGTATTTGTAATCCCGTTTCCATCACCATAAAGATTGGCTAAATTAAAATGACGAGTTATAAGAACAAAGATAAGCTTTTAGGGATAATTGTGTGATGCTTCAAAACAATCATCATTTAGATCCATTATTAGGTGAAACTAGGTTAATTTTAATTATATATCATATTTAATCAATAATCCCCAATGTATTTTTCATTTTTGATATCCATGTTTCTCGATATTTTTGCTGAGGTAATCTGTTGATTATTTGCAAGTGGCTCTGAAGCAGGTTGTAAGTATTTCTTGTCAAAAGGCCATTTCTCTATTGAGGTTTGTGGATCTTCGAAATAACTGCTTGAGCCAAAGTACACTTTCACATCACTAACTTTTCCCTAAATAAATTAATACAACATAATACATAGAAGTCTGCGAAATTTTAGTCTTTTACAATATAAAAATAGAACACATTCGGAATAACATGCAGGGCTTCGATCATTTTTTGTTATGCCTATTTGACTTATAAGGCATAAGCCAAAGCATTTCCTTTCTTGTATTGGAAAAATACATAAGTCCATTATAATTATTCAAATTGAATCTCTTCCACTTTCTATTCAAATTCTGGAGTGTCGAGTAATTTATATGTGTTATAACTCAATTTATCATTCATCACGCTAACAAGTAAAGTTCTATCTCCTAATTGTTAGTCTTTCATGAATTAAGGATGATTAGTTGATAGTCTGGCAATAATACGAGGAACTGTTGGCATGCCTGGTAATAAAGTTGATTATTGTATCCACATTCCATAGGAATATTCTAAAGATTCCTATTTATCCAAAAATTTATAATTGATAATTTCAGCATTTATATTTTGAGTTGTATCCATTTAAGGAACAGTCCACTTAAAATCAGCCAAATCAACTACAGGCAATGGTAATTTTCGATGAACTTTTTGAAGTAAATCCACAACCTTCTGACTCTCATTGATAAAGCTACCTTATCCTAAATATAGACGTGGATCATACAACCAACCATGAAACTAACCATGTCCAAATTCAGACACACCAATCATCAACTTAGCATATCCAACTAACGGTATGTGTTTTGTTGCGAATTCTACTTTCAAAGCTTTGGCTGTGTCTCTTACTATTATTATGCCAACCGTTTATCCATCTTTATATCCCATGTAAATAAAATTCCATGAACCTTCAATTTAATCATAGGCAGCCAAACTATTTGCTGCAAAGTTATTGGTTGCTATATCATAACTGCTGAAATCATAGGATCCCTTAATTAAAAATGCACTCAGTACTCTATCCTATATTTGCGATTTGTCTTAATGATCTTTTTTAGCAGTCAATCTAAAAATAGAATGTGATTCCTTTCTCTCTGCCAAATGATCAGGGAAATCTGTTAACCATCTGGTCCAAATACCCACTGCATATTCAGTTACTGAATCAATTTCATTAGTAAATTCTTAAACTATGAATTCTGGAGTCTATATGACCGTATCCTTATTTGAATTCCATTAGTATTGTTTATTAGGTTACACCAAACCATAATATGGTAGGAGTTGCTAATAGCCATTCTTCTTTAAACTAATAAAGCCACCTAATCCATATGCTGCTGTCCATTTGTTCATTGATCCAATAAATTTATTTGTAAACTTATCTTATCCTATGTACAATCCCAAAAAATTAGGCACATAATGCTATACTTATTCCCAAGTTATTGGCTTGTCTTCAATCAGAGTGTGCAATAGACAATGAACTTCACTTGTTCTTGAATTGTAACCCATATAGATATAATTCCAAGCATAATTATAGTCATTCAATTCTAGTTGACCATCTATAAATTTAGGTTCATTTGCATCTTTCAGATCTACAAGTGTGTAGGTAGAATACTTAATTAGTTGATTATTACAAATAGTAATGTGTAGAGCTCTGTCTCCTTAAGATTTTCTATCATTCAAAGTTTCTGCATTATTGTTCGTTAATCTTAAAATTAATTGGCAATCTGTGTTTCCAGCACCAGTTGGTTTAATCCAGCCACTAAAGGCATATTCACTGATTCCACTCCATTTATTCCCTTCAAATTCAATGCCATTAGTGACATCAATCTATTTGACATCTTCAATTATTTCAAACTTCCCGTGTTTCTCCTTATCAGTGTATTCTTATGTCAGTTAAAAGGGCAATGAGAAAGTAGTCTCTAATTAAGACTTAAATTGATCTTATTATCGAATGTAAGAGCCAGGACCAATAGATAACATAATTTTGGTAATGCTTCCTTAGAAACCTGTAATTGTATCTTCCTTGCCTAACCTAAATAATAAGTAATCAGTTAATGGTTTATGCAAAATCTTGTCCATTTTCATTTCTGCTATTGCAGAATCATAAGTGTAGCATGCGACAGTCTCGATATCCTTGCTGTACCCCATATAGATATATCTCCAGATGCCTTCTAATTGATTGTATTTCATAAACTTCTGTTGTATTCCAGCATCAGTGTTGAGATCATATGTGGATATTTGATAATAATTAAATACAATATGAGCAGCCAAAACTCTGTCACCTGTTTTTACGACACCATCAGTAGTTTATTTATTTATTGACAATCTCGCTAATTGCATTAGAGCAGGCTTTGATATTTATCTTTGAGGGATAGTAGTCAGATAACGTGTCCACATGCCAAAAGCATATTCTTACATTTAATCAAATGGATATTAGAAACCATTAAATAACTCAACTTTCAACGAACTTATAGTTTCATCACCATCTGAGACTAACATGATTGGTTCATTCTTCTCCCATGAAATTTTCTTTTGTTTTGGGAATAATTTGTCAGCAACCAGATATTCAGCCAAAAATGGTATTTTACTATTGGTATAAGCACCTGGACCTATCGTAAAGGCAATTTATGCTAGATTGCCTTCAAACCTCTGTTGGATATTATCACTGCCTACGTAGATCCAGAGTCTATCACTTATGGCATGAAGGATAACCTCTTCACTTTTGCATACATATTCATCTACTGAGAGATAGTAATAGAACTTTTATTTGCTCTTACTATACCCCATATAAATGAATGACCAGTTGTGTTGACTGAGTTCTGGTATTTAGCAATTGTAGGGAATACCAAAGTTCATGCCTTTCAGTAGAGTGTAAGTGGAAAACTCCATATTATCTTTGTTGATTTTAAATAAGGCAAAAGTTCTATCACCGATCCAGGATTAATCAGATACTTTACCCACAGGATTCTGAGTAACTCGAACTACAGTTTCTTTGTTGTCATTTATCTTTTGGAATTGCTTATACCATAAAGCCAAAGAATATTCATTTGCTGGGAAGTCAACCATCTAGGGATTATTTGGAAGAACCTTATAATTATCAATCTTTCCATCGATAATTGTATATTTATGAGAGACATCATAAGGAACAGAAGGCATTAAGTCTGAGTTCTTCATCCTTTACAAGATGTCATTCTTACTATCTATGTAAGCTCCATTGCCTAATCTAAATTTGATGCCTGTCAACTATCCATTAAAGTTTGGATAGTACTTTCCACTATGACCAATTGTAAGTTGAGCATAATTATTTATTGGATTGTGCAATGCATCTATTTTAAGTTCATCCACAATATCCATCCTACCTGTATATGCCATGGCAACACCTTGAGTTTGAGATATCCGTTTATAACTGTAATAAATATAAACCCATTCAGATTCATATTCCATTTGATATTAGAGATTACTAAAGATATTGGGTTATCCTATTGTGTAGGTTGAGAATTAGAATATCCCTTGTGATTTTTCATCTTCCCCTTTTCCAAAGAGTATCATCAGTACTCTATCACCAACTGCATCTGCATCTCTATAATCTCTATTAGTTGTCAATCTACTCAATCCCATCCATTTAGGTTGACTGAAGAGGATACTACTTCCATAGTACCTGAATCTCATCCACATTCCATAACCATAGGAACTGACTCCTTCTATTTTAACATCAGATTGTTCATTCAATTCTACCATCCAGGGAATATTTTATTTGTCTGCCTAGGACTCTATTACTTTATCACTATGATTTATTTCTTGATTTGCTGTCTACATTTTCAAATGGTCAGTTCCACTATTGAATCCAAAATTCAACTCTACAGTTTCACTCTATTCATATCCACTTTCTAAATATGAACCATCTCCAACATTCAATACCCATTATTTAATTTGACCCAACCATTGATTTGCCAATTGATACTTCTTACCCAAGAATACAGTAAATGTTGACAACAATATTCTGTTGATCTCTTAGAATGTCTATTATTATTAATTAAAAGTGAATTTGCATAAGGCAAACAACTTCTTCTATTTCTGAGTATACCCTATGTAAATGAAGGTCCATTGATTATAATACTCATTAAACTCAATGTTCTTCTCCTAAGATTGCGAACAATCCTCTCCATTACAATTATACGTTCCAAATATATAATCCTTATCAGTTTTTTATACATATAATTAACTATCTGTCTAGCCTGGCTTAATGTCTTATTACTTCTTCTGAACCATCATCAATATACTATATAATCCTCCTTGCTTTTAATCGCCTCCCCATTTAACCCAACCAGATAATGCATATTCGTTAACACCTGCGTATTATGAATACTCAAACACATTCTCAGGTTCTTTCACTTTGACCATATCGGTTTCTTAACCCAGCAATTGGATACTCTTTCGAACGGCTGAACTTATTCCCAAAACTGGTTTCTCCAACTATTAAAATTGTTCATATTATGCAACATCAACAAGAAATGCTCCATTTCCTAATCTCATTTGCACATTTGCTAATTTACCATTAAATTGAGGAATATTTGATTTTCCTACATTCAACTCCACATACTCTAAAATGTAATCATGTAACACCTCTATTGAACACTCCTTTACTTGTCCTCCAATTCCAAATTAAACATAACCTTTGGCTAAACCCATATTATTATTCATTCTTTTATATGAGAAGGACAAGTAATTCCATGATCCCTCTAATTGAGAATCTAAAGCAATCACACCTTTTTTAATGTCATTGCTTATTAGATTGTAAGTGGAGAACTCATATTCCTTCTTGCCCAATCTCATTTATAGTGTAGTATCCTTGATGTCATTATTAACTTATATATTGTCACTCTAGATTAACTTATTGTTCTTCAATTCTAACAACTTACTCTGAGTACCCATTCTAGCAATCTAATGAAAATCACTTCTGCTTCCTATAAACTTTGGTAGACTACTTAACCAACATGTCCATAACCCTATTGAATACTCACTCAATCCATTGATTCTTGTATTGCTATCATCTTAGATTAGAATCTAATTGATCAATGACTCTTTTTAATCAAATGATATTTCGTACTGATCCTATTAGCCTCTCATTACAAATGGTTTAACCAACTAAAATAATCTCACAGCTCCATCACCATATCCAAAATTGTAATCCAACTTCTTAGACTTTGCATAACTTTCAGGTCCCAAATAAACTCCAACCTGAGACACTTTGCCATTAAAGGATGCAACCGTCTGGTCTCCCCCCAAAGTAAAATACAATGAATTTGTATTCTTATGTTCCAGTCCTTCAATTACAACTTCCTCATTCGCTCCCACTCTTATCATTATACCTTATGCCTTCTTCTCCTCCTAATTGAACCCAAAATAAACATAAGTCCACACATTAGTAGTATAAGGTACTGATTTCACTATCATATCACTACCCTTCCCTTCATTTCCAACCACTGAATATGTATGAAAGTTCAATCCTACATTCTATAACCCTCTTATGAAATGAATTTCCAGAGCTCTATCTCCCAACTCTCTTTTATCCTTCACTCTTTATTTATTAGATCTCAAATTCATAATCTAAAATGAATTCAACTCCTTCACATCCAAATTATCAACCCATCTAAACCAACCTGCAATTGCATAATGTTCATAAATAAAAGAATCCTTAAATCCCTTCTCAAAATTGCAATTTTTATTTCCATCCATATCCACTGGTGGCCCCACTATCACCTCCTCGTGATATGTTTTCAATCCTTATGGCATAAAGGACATTGTCTCAACTAAATTAAACAACTCCTATTCATTATCGATCAATGCAGGTGATTCGATATCGTAAAAGATATTTGCAAATTAACCTTGCAATCCTGGATAATGCAGATGCTTTCCTCCCACCATCAATTACATATAAAATGGAGGTGCATGAGTGCCTGGGATCTCAATCCTTTAGAACTCCTTGCCCTTACCGTATGTTAGAACAAATCCTACTGACTTCTATTTACGACTGCTATACGAGAACGACACGAAATACCATCTACCATCGATATTCTGATTCAAACTTATTTAAGCCACTTTATTCTTCTCTCTTCCAACATAATCGTATGTAGCAAAAACAAATGAGTTATCAACCAAAAAGTTTGCCAAAGTCCTATCTCCATAATTCTAAAAATCCAAGTAGTCCTTCAATGAAGTCAATCTTGACAAAAAATAATATTAATTTTATTGCATCTTGAACTCTAAGGTACTCTAATATCTCACCCAATATCCATATCCATACTCTTCTGAATCCTATAATTCTTTATTTGAAAATTAGATTTCATAAGATGCTTTCCCTTCAACTGAGGAATCATAATATTTTGATTATCTAACCAAAATGTTTGCTGTGCTCTACAATGGTTTATGCTTGAATGGAACAAATTTAACTGGGTCAATAATTTGATCAGGATTCTCATCAAGTCCTTTCGTAGGAATTTAAGATTAGGTATCTGGAATCAAATCAGTTGGTTAAAGAGGTTTTTACTCACTAGGCTTTTGAGGTTGAAGTTGGTTCTAGTCAATTTCTATGGATTATTATGAAGGATCCTGTTATTAAGCTTGAGGTTATACTTATTAATTAGGTGCTTATTAATTATTCTCTTATTATGGTTGTGGTTATTATTATTATGTTGGTTACTACTTATCAGAAGGCTATTAATTTCCTTATTCTTATGTTTACTACACTGCTCCTTATTAAGCAGGTTGTTATTCGCTCTATAAAGGATTAACTTATTAAACCTAGGATTATTGCTATTAATTTTATTGTTAAGGCTCTTATTATTTAGGCTATTCTTTATTTATTTCTTAGCTTTATTAATTAGTTTAACTTTATTATGTAGGTTGTGATGCTTACTATTAAGTAGGAGGCAAATCTTTTGCTTAAACATTTTAATCTTAAGTTTACAAGGTATTTTATTATTATTACTGTTATGCATTTGTTTATGACTATTCTGTTTATTATTATTATTAATTCTACTATTAAGGCTATTGTTGTTGTTGTTATGGTTATTGTTGTTGATCTGTTTATGGTTATTGCTGTTGTTCTGTTTATGGTTATTGCTGTTGTTATGGTTATGCTTATGGTTGTTGTTATATTTATGGTTATTGCTATTGTTATGATTATTATTGTAATTATTATTGCAGTTGTGATTGTTATGTCGATGTCTATGGCTCTTGTTATTATTATTATTAAGCCTATTATTAAGATTACTATTATTAATCCTGCTATTAAGACTATTATTAAGCCTGTTATTACTATTATTATTATGATTGCACTTTTTATTATTGTTACTAATCTGGAGCTAATTATTATTCTGTTAATTTAAATTCTTCTGCTTGTGCTTTTACTTAGGTTGATTATTTCATTGAGTCTGGTATTGGCTAAATTTCTTAAAAGGATTCAGTTTATTCATCTTGTAAAGGATTTAATTATTAATCAGATTAGCTCTAATCATCATTTTCAATATAGATTTCATCGTTATCCTACTATTAGATTACATCTTCATTCTAAATTTAAGAATCATTCACTTCTTCTTAATCAATATATCGAACCTCTTAATCATCTTATAATTCAACATCATCAAGGCTAACTTCATCAATTACCACTTAATTATTTTAATCATCATCTTGACCTTAAGATTAAGAATCATCAAATTCATCAAGAGTTGATGATTCGGAATTTGGAGATATATTTTCCTATTCACTTTAATAGTCAACATCTTGTTGATCATGCTCATCATTATTTAATTTAATGAATCTTTATTATTTCTAATTTTGAACTGGTTAAATAGTTTCCACATCTAATTAATCTTGATCAGATTATTGAGCATATTCTTAATCCTCATTTACATCAATTTAATTATAATTGTCATCTTGAAATTCTTGGTCTCCTTAAGAATCTGAATATTATTAATTATTATCTAATTCTCCATCCAAATTAACTTAATCATTGTCTTCTAAAATGTCCTTAAATGAATTATATTCATCTTAATTGTTACCTTAATCTTAATTTTCTTAATCGTCCAATATATGTTAATCTTATATGATATTTTATTAATTCTAAGAATCAAGAGCCTCATATGGTTTTAAATCACTCACTACATAGTAATCAGCAGAGTCTTAAACCTATTGCTCTTCTTAGTCCTAAATATTAGATTAATAATTATCTTCTTCTTCATTATTTTGAAAAGGTGGATTTTGATATTATTATTATTAGTCTGTATCTGTAAAATCTTAATCCTACGGTTATTCTTCGTTATAATTTTAATTTTAGACATCTGTTTAATGAACTTCTTCATCTCTCCTCTTTTTGATTTATTTTTTGATTCTAAATTATTATGGTTATTTTTATTATTTCGATTCCTTTCTTGTTCTTGTTCTTGTTCTTTAGTTTTATTGTTTTCTTTACTTATTTTGATATGATCTTTCTTAATCGTAATTGTATTCATCATAATCATAATAATTACTATAATCATAATCTGAATCACTATCATATAAAACTTATTAGATAGCATCTTCATATTCATTAACATCATATTCATCATAAGTATCTGGCTTAGAGTGTTTATTTGTTTTATTTATTTTTTATTTGACTTCTTGTTATTAATTTTAGCATTATTGCTTAATTTACAAAAGTTACTTAAGATTTGATGTCAGCTACTCTTTATCATAATCAGTTGCTTTTGAAGATTGAGATAATATTAATTGCATTTTCTGTTTTGTTGCTTAAATACAAACATCAATTTCAGTTAATAGATCTAATTTCTCTTTTTTAGTTTGCTTTTGATTCATTTATTATATTAACTTCATGATTTTGGCCAGATCCATCTCAAATTTGGCTTGAAAGTCTTGTTTAATAGGCATCTCAATTTCAATCAATAATGATTAATGCAATAGTTATTGTTTAGTATTTTTAACAATTTTTTCGACTTCCAACAATCCATTTAAATCATCTCCCAATTAATTATTTAGCTCAATTGCCTCTTTCCACTATATGGTGTCGGAGATCATTATATTAATGTCATCTAGGTCTTTGCATCTCAAATTTTGCAAGTTCAAACTAACCGCTTATTGGAGTGTTAGCTCTAAATATTTTATAGCTTTTACTTGAAGTTGCCAAAACAAGCAAACTCACAATGACTATTGTTACGTATGCGTTTTTCATAATATTTATAGGGAACTATTAAAAGAATTTAATCAATAAAATAAACCAGTCCCTATTCTAACTTATTTGGATTTAGATGATATGTGTAAATAAGACTCCAGAAAGGTTGGTTACTTAAAGAATTAAAAATACTAACATTTGTACCCTAGAACAACGACTAACAAAATTCCAAAATTTTTAGTGAATCGCTTTGGAATTTTCGTAGTAATCATAAGAACACTAACAATATAATATAGTTTAAAATATTTTTATTTAATGGAATTTTGATTTTATAGAATTGATAGAACATTAATAAGGTTCTTTATCTAACTGTTTTATTAATATGTAGAACTTGCTAGTTAGATAAGATCTGATAATCTTTAGTTAGGTTTGAGTTAAAAATAACCTAATTAATTATATCTGTAATTATTGCTGAATAATCAACTGAAATCTCATTTTATGTTTAGTTAAATAAAAAAAACAAACTAGTTATAAGCATTGTGTTATGAGAATTCATAACATCTTGATTATTGTTGTATTAGAAACATTGTTACATATATTATATATAAATAGAGTCTAATAAATATACAAGGCACTGCAATATAATTTGATTAATTTTTTAATGAACAACAATAGTAACACTAAGTTGGATATTCTTCCAAAACTTATGTCTTCTCATCATAAACTTCTTGAGCCAGCTTATCTGAAGAATACTCAATTCAAAATCAGCCAAAATGAGAGCAAATTGTTACCTCTCATTCAGAGGAGTTCCATGATGCAGCCTAACTAAAGTTCAAAATAATTAATCGTTTAGAGTAAATAGAAATTTAATCTTAGGGTTGATAAGCAATTTAGAATTTAGTTCCAGGCATTTTGGAGCTGCCTGTGATAGAGGCTTTTAGGGGTTGTCAAAATACCACTATTCTCAAAAATTTGGTCATTCCGCTGTACGATTGGAGCCACTTAACAGAAATATTATTGCAGAACTCACAGATGCAGAGGATACTGAAGAAATTCCAAAGGATGAAAGGACCTATTATAAAAGAATATATAAATTTAAGAACATGCCAATTTTAGCATTAATCAAGTCTTTTGAGATAGAATGGGTAAGAGAGTTCGAAGATGAGGTTAATAAGAAATCGACCAAATCATTGCAATTAAGTTTTTAAACTGCACTTGCAATATTTAATACTTATCCTGATCCATTAGAATTTTTCCAAAAAAATCTGTAATTACTTGAGAGGAGTTCAGTTGCTTTAAAACAAAAAGGATTGACTTAATTAAAATATAAAGTGAAGAATTTTGACGAGGATGAATTTTAGAGGATGATTGTCATAAAAAATTAGTCAGGTTAAGGATACTTTAGAATTTATTTTCCAACAATTCAACTTTATTTATAAGAATACTCTCATAATTAAACAATTGATTTGTCACCTCTTAGATTATATGAAATCGTAAAGAATAATTTTTTTGAAATGGCCTCCATAGTGGAATAATTTGATTTTGAAAAGTTTAAATTATATATCCAAGATTCCGAAAACTAGGGAATTCTAGAACAATTAGAGGAACAAACGAAATAAAGAACTGATAACATTTAAAAGGTTGAAACACCGTAGCCATAGGAGATAGCGTAATAATCATAAATACAAGATAACGAACTTGAATAAACTGTTGATTAATAATAATAATAAAAAGCATAAGAACAAACATAATTATCAGAATTGAATTAATAATAATAAGAATCTACATAATTAGAATCAACATAACAATAGTAAGAATCAGCATAATAATAATAAGAATCTACATAATAATAATTATTAGAATCTACATAATAATAATAAGAATCAATATAACAATAATAAGAATCGACATAATAATAATTAGAATCTACATAATAATAATTATTAGAATCTACAAAATAATAATAAGAATCGACATAATCATAATTAGAATCTACATAATAGTAATAAGAATCGACATAATAATAATAAGAATCAACATAATAATAATAAGAATCGACATAATAATTAGAATCTACATAATAATAATAAGAATCGACATAATAATAATAAGAATCAACATAAAAATAAGAACAATAATAATAATAGGAATTGATATCATAATAAGGATAATAATAATAGAAGTAGTAATAATAGTAGTAACAATAGTAACAATAATAATAATAATAACAATAAGTATAGTAACAAAAATAATAAGAGTAAATTTTGATCGGTAATCCTGTGAACACTGATCTTAGCATAATTATTATTGAGGGTATTAGTAATTGCATATTTAGAAAAACATGAATTTCCAGAGTAGATTCTATAAAGGAAATGGATCAAGAAGGTTGTTGAAAAAGATAATACATATTATACTGTTGATTTCCTACCTTTTTAAATTTTATTGAGAGAAAAGAGATCATAAAAAATCATCAAAATGTATTCTCCATCTTTAAAGGAAGTGGATTTTATTATATTCTAATTAAATAATAAAAGCTTACTTGACATATTAAATGATAATGTGAAGACAACTTTTGATATGCCTCCCGAAGCATTTGATTATAAAGAATTTAAAAAAGGATCTAAAATTTCATTCCTTTTAGAAGAAATCGCAGAAAAGCCTCTTGAGATTACTGAAGAACAACTTAACAACGGTATATTGAGCCCATGGACAAAAGAGATTGAAGTGAACAATAAAGATTTGTAAATCATAATAGAGTACATATATGAATAAATTTAGACCCTGTATGCTCGAAATCTATAATTAACTTAAATGCAGTACGATTAAACGACCATGCACATCAAAAGAATTAACACATATTCTAACGAAAAGATATTCAATTGGTTTTAGATTAATATGAAGTTTATTAAAATTTTTATTAATTCAGACATGTTTATCACATTCACATTGACATACAAACTTGTTAATATATAACTCCTTAGTTTAATGTTATTGATGGCAGTCATAGGAGCATAATCGGCATAAGGATTTCTTGCAAGTCTTGCAACTATGATATTTAAATAATAATAATTACTTGAATTGAATTTGATTTTTATTTCGATCTCTGTTTGGAATTGATTGATTGCATGTTCCTAATAGATGACAATAACATCTATGATCATTTGAATTGAAAGATTCAATAAATGTATGATTTTTTCTAATTTCATTTAGAAGAATCTAACTCTGCACCATAGAGTCAGATCCATGAGTCACGGTCTCATAAGAATTAATAGCATTTTCACATTTAGAATGACATTATGTAACGCATGTACTGCAAATTTAAAATAAATGATTAAGGAAGAAAGAATGAGTTTTAGAACATTTGATACAGTAATACATTTTGCTTAATTTAATTTACTTGCCTTAATTGCATTTAGTGATACCATAATCTTACAGCTTTTATAATCCATTATTATGCATAATTATGGTTAATGTAGTGTTAGTTCCATAGAATTAGATGGTGAATTATGACAAGAATTGAAATTTCTTTTGAAGTTGTTTTATCTTTTCTTTTTCAAAAATTCGATCAAAGCTTAAGACAATGTATTTGAGAAAAGTGAGTTATTCAAACTGAGTGAACAGTCTCTCGAAGAAATCATAGTTGATAGTATTCCCAATTAAGGATAATGTCAGTCTTTCCAAGTTTTTTAATTTTCCAATGTTGTTTTTCAGCTTCTCCTAAACCAACTTATCATAATTGGTCATATAATCCAAAATCAAAACAAGATCTTTTAAGCTTTGTTTTGAACCCAAATATTCTAAGAATAGACTGACTTCAGAATTTTTAGATTGTAATTTGGTTAAATTAAATTAAAACTTTTTTAGATCTAAAGTTCTCAAAGATGCTACTAATAATGAAAAAGCTTATTATAATCCACAATCTTCATAATCCAAACTTAGTTCTTCTAAAGATGATTAATTAAATTACCAAAGCTATTATGTCTGGGTATAATTTAATTTAATTCTTGGAATTTTAAATTCGAAAGCTGTGCAGTTATATTTACTTAATTTCCACATAATAGTTCTATGATCCTATTCAGGCATCTCTGTTCCTATTGTCATGCTGACCTTAGGTATATGCTACACTTTTGTTAAGAATTAGATGATATTATTAACTTAAGAACTTTTATTATAGACAATGATATCTAACTGTGTTATGCAAGGGAATTACATATTACTTAAATTATCAGACCACTTATAGTTAGTATTATGATTAGAATCCTCAATTAGTTCCAGAGTAAGAATTTGAATATCATTCTGAAGGGATAACACTAGTTCAGGAGTTTGATTATTTAATTTTAATATAAGTGTTTTGCATTTGTTAGGCAGTTAACATTTAGTTTAGTGGTGATTTTGATTGTTTTAGTATAAACTGATGTAACTTTGATTTTAATAAAGTACGGCAACTTCACTGTAACTACAATTGAGTAAGTCATCTGTAGGTTTAAAATCATCAGGACCCAACATTTAGATCGAAGGCATAGTCTAAGAAAAGCTTTCAGGGTGCATTCTTTTAGATTCTACAACTGAATGATAAAACTTTGATTATTGCCATTATTATCTCTATTATAAGTTTTATGAACTATGGCTAGGAGATGATGGAGTTTTAATTTATCTAGCCTTGGTTGACTAAGGGAGCTTCAATGGATTGCCAGATGGCGGTTTGCTGCTAAATTATGTTTCCTTTGTTTAGAAATGTGATGGGGAGGATCTGTTTGGAGATCTTGATGCTTGTCTTTTTTTATTGGTGTCAACTAACAGATTTGTTGATGATTTCTATTTTTTCTGATTGCTAAGGTTTAGCTAGATTTATTTGGCTGATTTCTATCTTTCCTGTTAATAATAGTTTGATCCTGTGTTACGACCTCTACTTGATATGACATCTGGAGAAAGGTAATCAAATTATGAAATGGCCTTTTTAGGTGATTCGAATGATTCAATTGTTGTCCCTTTGGATAATACTTATTATTAATAGGATTGATTTTCTTTCAATTATTATAAAATGGCTTTTAATTCAATGAAATCAGGACGTTCATTTGGATTAATTTGCAACATTTTCTTTAGAATAGTTAGAATGATTTAGTCTGATTCAGTTATACGTTGAACATGTCTCATATAATCTGTAATTATTTCTTCTTCAATTTGAGAATTAATTTTCTATCTGGAATGCCATTATTAAAGTGTCACCAGATATAGGAAGCATAAGCCTAGTGAATAAACGTCACTTTTGAATGGATTATGCTTAAGTTTAGATGTTTCTGCATTCAATAATTCTGGAGCCAAATATGATTTAGTACCCACAACACTTATAGTCTATATTGTTTCAATCTATGTACTACATCCAACATCACAAGCTTTTATTTGAAATGGCTCCATTATCAATAGGTTTTCTAATTTTATATCTCTATGAGCAATATTCTTTTGTTACAAATGTTCAAAAATGTTTATAAGTTATTCTAAAATTTTATGCAATTCCTCTGTGTCTATGAAATGCTTTCTGATTTTGATATAGGAATCCAAATTCTGCTAACCTTTTTCCATTAGTAAATATGCAAATTATTGGCTTTAGGCATATTTGTCTGCTGAGACAGTTTCTAGTATCATGAAATCAATCAAATTAATCACATATTCTGAAGGAGACAATTACTACATGATTTTGATTTCGTTTTCAATATTACACTAGTTGATTATGACTTACTTAATACAAGAAATCTCTTACCTTAAGAGCATACTTCTTCCCGTTTACTATGACACTATACACTCTGCTATTACCTTACCCTAAATGTCCATTGTCCACCAAATTCTTACGAAAGTCATTTCCTTTAATTAATTTCATCTAGCTTAATTGGAGAGACAGATCCATTTTAATTAATATATAAAATAATTACAGATTTGCTTGAATCCTATCAATGCTCTACTGTATTTGATCTTTAGCTTCAAATTTTGAAGATAGTATACAATAAAAAACTAAAAAAATAAAATAGATGAAAAATCTCACAATAGTGAATGAAAGTAAAAGAACATAAAAAGTCACAAAAGAAACACAAGGTTCAAGCATAATTTATATTTTAGAAAAACAATAATTATATATAATAATTAATTGTGTTATTGGGAATCATCTTGGAGAATTTATCTCTTCCAAATAAGCAAATTACTTTAAAATTTATATTATTATTTATACAAGAGCAAATAAATTTATATAACTGTTCATATCTAATTACATTTGGTAGAAGACCCAATAGTATATATTAGATTTTACATAGGTCTAAAATTCAAAATGTCAAATTGTAAAACTAAAAGATGGAGTTATTCAAATTTTTTTTTTCATTTATTTATCCTTAATATCCTGAAAATTTCCCTTCCTTTCATTATTATATCCAAAACGTAAAAAAAAGAATTTTTTTGATTATTTTATTTCTTGAAAATTGAAGACTTACAACTACATTTTAAGAGGTATTTCTAAAATACTCTAAATTATTTGATTTTCAGATAAAATTCATTTTGGAAAGAAAAACATTATTTAAAAAATTGCAATATAATATCTAGAGTAAAAATTAATTAATCAAAGTGATATTAGCGTGTTAACAACAAAAGTTTAATAGATAAGTTCTTAATATGGTATTATTCTCAGGAATAAACTGAAATTTTATAAAATAATGATAATAAATAGATTCATTTAATTAAACTTTTTTTTTCCATTTATTTGCAGTCATATCATACTATTCTTAAAAGGATTTTTAATCTGATATGTTTGTTATTAGACAATAAATTTTATAGTTATAATTTATTAGACTCTGAAAAAAAGGAGAGAAGCTTTCAATATCGACTTAAAGTTTAATGTACTTTTAATTATATCATTTGATTTTGTTTAAGAATGTTTTAATTTTTAAGAAATAGCATAGCATTTTATAAGCAATTGAAAAATTGAGTTCAATTATTATAAATAAATATTTATGTCGGAATAAGACACTGGTTATAAGCCTATGAGATTTTTAGTTCAGGCTAAGAATGAAGTTTCGATTGGAATAGTCTATCAACCATCAGATAAATAAAAACCACCTATGATTTACAAGGTTATACTAAAGAATATTTACGAAATAGAGAATCCTACTCGAGATGGCATAAAAGAGAGGATATTCGCTGATCATCCTTTTCTTATAAGAAGTGAAGAATTAGAAAAACATGTAAGATAATATTTCTTAAAATTAGATGGATGCTGGAATATAAACGATATTCACAATAAGGGATGAAAAAATAAAGTTGAGTAAAAATTTGTATTTATAGTAGATCAATCATAAAAAAACGATGAACTAGACACTAATGAAGGTAAGGAAGGAATTGTAGCCAAACTCCCAACATCAAAAAAATGAATAAAATGATATTATAAATTAATAAGTATAACTCTCTTTTGTTTATTGTAATAATAAAATTATGAAAGCAAATATTAATAAATATCTAATCTTGTGACTCTAATAATAATTTAATCTACAAAGAATTATGAATTATAAAACTCGAGTAAATTCTTTCAGAGAAATTATCTTATAATTCTGAGGAGTGTTTTTATATTATTCAATTAATTGAGTGATACCATTTATTTTAATAATATTTATTAGAATAGTATGGGATGTTTATTTAGTGTATTTACTCGCTAATAGCTTGATAAAAGAAGAATTGCATTACTTTAAAAGTTGTTCTTATTATTATAATAAAAGCGCTGATGAAGTTGAAGATATTAGAGAGAAAATAACTAGTTATAGTATATAAAATTAGTACATTAATTAAGAAAGAGTTATTGATGAAAAACCTCATAAAGATTTTACAAAAGTAATGAATAATATAGAAATTAAAGATAAAATGTTTGACTAAAAATGATGAATCTAAGATATTTTTATCATAAAACAAATCAGATTAGGAATATTACATTTTGAAATCCATCAATAAATAATATCTCGAGTACTCAGGAATGCAATAATAAATCCAAAATGAAATTAAAGTTGGTAAGGAATGTAAAGGAAAATTTATCTAAAAATTCCATCAACATTTTATCACCAATAAAAAGTGTTATATAATTTTAGAGAATGTATAAGGAGGCAATTTAAAATCTCTAATCAAGAGAAAATAAATGAGCGTAGCTGAAATCAGATTTTACATAGCAGAAATTTTTATGGCACTTTAGCATCTTCATAAAAATAATGTCATATATAGAAATTTGACTCCAGAGAATGTTTTGATCGATAATCAAGGTCATATTAAACTATCTGATTTTTCCTTATGTCATTTCGGAACGGAATGTAATTTACTCACTGGGAATATTTATTACCAGGCACCAGAAGTTAGCAAACTATAATATCAAAATTATCTATCTGATTACTGGAGTTTAGGAGCCATTATGTATGAAATGCTTTTTGGCTACCCTCCTTATTTCCATCCTAACATAAACACGTATAAAAAGAACAAGAGAGAACAAATTATTACTATTCCAAACTCAATTTCAGAGTCAGCGCAATCATTACTTAAACAATTATTAAACAATGACGTATTTCATACTTATTATTACAGATTTAACAAAGAATAATGTATGAATCAAGTCAAAAAGTCTAATATCATCCATTTTTCGACGGATTGGATTGGTAGTTACTCAAAAAAAGATTAGAGTAAAGTCCATTCATTCCAGATTTAAGAACAAAATCAGATATTCATTATTATTTGGAAGAAAAATCAAATGAGAATATTATTTAACAATAAATTAACTGAAATAAAAGAGATTTTCTATCATATCATAAATTTTTATCATTTTTTTATATTAATAACCTACTCTAATGATGCAATTCTAGTTCATTTGTCCCAACTACTGGTTTATTCAGTATGGCCTTTAATACTCTTCATGAAATTGCTTAATCTTTGATTTCTCATCTTGTTCATTCCTGAACTGAATAAATGATATCCTAAGTAAGTAGTGGTTTCATTATGGGCATATAATTTATGAGCCTTAAACTACCTCTTAAAAATAATGATTATTCTATCAGCTCCACAAACTGGCCAACATTAATTTGGTAATTCTTTCAAATAATAAACATTATCTCCGCGAGCCAGTCCTCTTCTGCTTATTTTAATAAATAGCTTCATTGCCAAACTGAAAATACAAGAATTTATAATAATTTCTTCTTCAAATCTAATAAGAAATCTAATTCCCTTGAAATTCTCCGATAATAATTGAATTAAAATTATTATGATACTTCTGCAATTTTTGTATGTTTTTAATTTTTAAATTATTCGATTTATAGAATTACAGTCTTAATAAAGGCTATTTTATCAATGTTGAAATACAGAATCCAATTCATCTGTGAAGTAATTGACAATATGTTTTTATAACTCTGATTTCTTATTTTCTAGTTTATATCAAATGATTCTACAAAATTGGCATACTCTATCTAACAAAACTCAAATGCTCATCTATTATAATCAATATCAATACTGGCATTGGTTTTAGGTACCGAATAACTAAATGAATCAAAATCTCTTAATGGCAAACATTAGCTAATTGATTTTTTGAATGGGTGACCATGCAATCTAAACATAAGGGTTTGTGTCGGCATCCTTTAGTTGTGCATACCATAGTTGACATCTTGCCATAATAAAAGCTACGAATCATTATAATTATAATTATAAAGAATATAAGAAAAATGAGTAAGTATAGTATATTAAATATTAGGGGGTCATTTACAGAGAAGATAATGTACAAAATACAATAATTGATGGGTCTATATTTGGACTTAATGACAACAGCACCAAAAGTGGAATTGACAGAAAATTTATTTAGAGCTACCATAATATTTTAATTTATGTTCCGTCTTCACTATTTATTACCAGAGGATGGATGGGGAATATGGAATTACGAGGATTTTAAGATCAAAATCCCCTAATAAATACTATCAACGATATTTTAGCAAAATGCAATTTTACTCAAAGTAATTCTCATCATTTTGAATGGTTGTTGCTTATTGATGAGTTTTATGCGAATTAAATTGATGTACTATTATAACAATGTAACTTGGCATATCTTTTTTATGCCTCAGGTCTCAATATTGATAGATTTTGAATCAAATCCAAGCCTTTCAACAATAGCAATTATTTTGCTGCTAATTCAATCTTTCATTAATTTATACTTCAACAGAGCAACAAAATTCTTACACAACAATCCATTTATAAGGAAGTATACCAACCTTACTCTTGTGTCTATAGCTATTGATACTCTCTGCTATATGAACTTTCAATTTTATTTGATTAGATTGATATTACTTCATTTTTCAACAATAGTGTAAATAGTTGATGTCTACTCATTTCATCCCTACAAACCCAAACTTAATTCATTTGTGTTTTAAAGTGCAGTATTACAATACACTCTCATTTTCATCACAACAATATCAATCATCCAGTAATCAGAAAATAATTTATTTTATTCATATTTTCTATTTGGTTCATTTTCAGTGGCGTTATCCTAAATAATAATTGAAAAAAGCTCCAAAAAGTAGACATTTGATTAATACTTTGTTTTAGTCCAGAGTTAATCATTATATCTGGCATCAAACATATAGAAGGCGATCATGATTAGTTAACATAGATAAAATTGCAAATTCAAACATGAAAGCAACGTAATTGAAACCATTATTTGTATACTTGACAACTCAATCAAAAGAAACAAATAAGTCAAATTAGATTATGAAATTTTGGAGTTGGCGTTAATTAATTTCCTATCCTTATAAAAAGCTGCATTAACAGCCTTTTGTAGATTAAAAATGTACTATAATGCAGTAGATGATCATACAATATATTTTTAAATATGCTTTCCGAACATCGATAAGAAATTATGGAAGAGAGTTAGAGATGTTTAAAATAGAATTACTAAATAGATCAGATCAACTTCATATTATGATGAGAAGGATCTAAAGACAAAAGATATTTATGTTGCATGTTTGATGAGGGATTAATTTTATCCCAAAATCATAGAGGTATTGAATAAGAAGCTTGAATATTGGAATTAGTTATTGTCAGATCTTGCCAATTACGAAAGACTCTTTGAACATACCATAAAATGTAGCTAAGTGGTACATAATTTCAATATCTTTCTTTAAAATCTATTCTCATAAGATTTGGATGAAGTCTAGAATGTTAAGACTGTTATAGAATTGAAAATGTTAGAAATTTATTTTTGTGTGGTTAGAAACGATTAGGTTTAGGCCACTAAAATGCAGAAACTTATCATTGAGATGCTGAGACAGGAAACCCAACAGGATGGAAAGCTATTAAATTGTAGCATTCTGGAAAACAAAGTTGTCTTATTGTACACTAGTATAGTTAAAGCATAAGGGTTCATAATTAAGAGCAATAGCGATCAATTAGCTAAGTTTTGGGGATATGAAAGTGAATTAGATTTCCATGATATCAAGCATATCAACCAGCTGATGCCAAACTTCTGTGCTTCTGTCCATGATTAATACATAGAGAGATCTCAAATTTTAGGTCATAGCATTCTCTTTGGGAAGTGCAGAACTATATTTCTTAAAGATAAATATGATTTACTCATTCCTGCCAGCATTACTATTGATAACTTCTTCATCAGCTATGATGATTATGTCATCACTGCAGCCTTTGCTAAAAATAAAGAGACATCCTTATATATTCTATTTGATTGCAAAGGGAAAATACTGGGAGTCACTCAATTGATGTATAAAGTATTTCATACAATTGATTCAACGGTTACTCCAGAATTATTGAATACAGGATATATATTTCAGATTATTCCAAACATCTTCTATCTAATTAATAATCATACAAATGCAGAATTTGATAACCTGCTATATGAAGAGAGGATTCATTTAACTATTGGTAATCCTATTAAATAGTAGTTCGATAAATAAATAAATTTATCTAAACACAAGGGATATTATGATGACTTATGGACTCTGTATGAAGATACTAAAAATCATAAAACTGAGTTGTTTCTTTAGGAGTATTAAGATGCTTGTAAGTCATTCATAGATCATTAACTAAAAACTGTGAATTTCGAAATCATATGCCAACTTCATTATTAAATAATTGGACATTACAAGACTATGCCTATGTTTACATTGGAAATTTTGGACATCATCAAAGCAGATTTATAATCAAGTATACTGTATTCATCTGACATGGAAATTAAAACTAATGATATATTTGAGCCAGATCCAGTTGACTTAAGTTCCATTTAAGAGGAGAGCTTTCAGAAAGTAAAGAATAATGACATTCCATAATTCGATAATTAATTATAATAAGTTCCTGAAATAATTTTCCTTAAAGGAAGAGTTGAATAACCATTAAATGAATAGACTCCGAAAAACATTAAATAGAAATAATTAATGTAACCTCAATCCCAGAAAGCTACTTTTTAGGTGATCGAATAAAAGAGTTTAAATGATGATCTGAAAAGCATTGAAGAAGAAATGAAAATTATGAAGGTGAATAAAAGATATAGCTAGAAGCAAATCGTTGTCAATGAGAAATAAAATGAGGAACATAAAAGTTCAGAAAAGTTAACCAAAAGAAAAAACATCATTGATTAAATCTAAGAAAAACGCAAATAAGACATCAATGAAATGGATGCTGTCAATTCTGTTAATTCAATAGCTTCTAATTTGATCAACTACAAGTAAGATCTTGTGAAAAGTGTTTACAAATCAAATAAAATTCCGTATTCACTTAAGATGATCATAATTTTTGATATCTTGATCATCTCCTCAATACTAATCTTTAACATATTCCCAATCATTACAATTCATGATAACAGTCTCCATGCTATCGAGCAAATTGACGCTATAATGGCTCCATATTTGTATAATTCTTATTATTGTTAATTGTATGTACACAATCTGATTTTTGAATTACAAAAACTCTCGATTGTGAATTACAGTCAAGAACTAATAAGGGATATAGAAGCAATCAATAAAAATAATACACTTCTGTAAGATCTAAACAAATACTACCCTGTGTTTTTGGATATAGAGAAACTAGATTACTTCCCTACATTAAACATTCATTTCATAAACACTGCAGATTAATTGAATGTGTCATTTACTTATATGTACAGTGTCCTAATTGAGAAACTATAATATTTCACCTAAAAAGGATAGAACTTTTCTAAATATTAGATGAATGAATCAGAGATTATTTCATCCTTATATTTGTATGCTAATTTATAGGATAGTATAACTCTCTATTCAGAGTTGATTGAATTGATTGTACTCACCTTTTTTGAAGACATGGTTTATGATGAAAACAACTTCCTTAAATATCTAATAGTTGCCCTGTTTGTAATTATCTTTTTATTTTGGATCTAGATTATATATTTTCATTAAATCTTCAATTACTTTAAAAAGATAATATACCTAAATTGTAGACTGTTAGAAAAGGATGTTCATTTGATAGTATAGAGATTGCAATTAATTCGAGAGATTCTAATCGAACATACAGTTACAAACTGGAAAAAGGCTGACTATGTTCATTTGATGTTTCAGCAGATCAAGTCTGATCAAATACAAATTCAATCGAAAATCAATAAGCATACTCTTCTCTGCTCCAGAATTGCACAAAGTAGATTTTCTCTATTGGCCATCCTTGCTATGATTATATCCGTTCAATCGCTCATTGTAGGTTTCTGTGTTGGTGGGTACTTCTTTAATGAGATTTAGCAAATAGAATTAACTCCCTAATATGAGTTGATGTCCCAATTCTTTCAATTTTCAGTCACTATGGACTCGATGGTTACTCAGTCTATTAGAGTGAAAGGTCAGAGACTCTATATGCAAAATAATAAGATTAATGAGTCCATAACAGTCCAAAAAAAGTTAGTTGACTAAAAACTGTTAGTCATGAGAACTACGAATTTAACTTTTTATTCAAATTTATATGAAGATTTTGTTAAATCAGAAGAACTAATCATTAAAGGATTGATTAATGATGATTCTGTGGATCGATAGAATAATTCTACGTTGTATCAACTCTTCTTTAATGATCTATGTCCCATCGTATGTCCCAATTCTACTGATGAAAAAGATTAGAATAAATATTATGTGAGTGAAGGCATATCCGGGATATATTCAAGTCTTAGTAAATATATTAAGAGTTCTTTTAATTATGAACTCGAAAATCTGAAATAGGATCCAGATGTCAAGGCTCAAATAAGTGTGGTAAATTCCCATGAATTTATTGTGTTATTTTCAAGACATTTTATAAATACTAAAAAAGCTTTTCTAAAATTTTAAGAAGAAATACTTAATAAAACCTACAAAGTTATTGAAAAGAATGATAAGGAAATCTAAGCGTATTTTTCATGTGTGTTACTTATTGAAATCATAATAGCAGGATGTACATTTGTATATTGTATTAAATTGAAACAATACCAAATATAACTAATGAGATTGTCCTTAAGCAGTATTCCAATAGATTTATTAGATCAACAATCAATAAGTATTCTTAAAACATTATGAATTATTTTTTATTATTTTTGTTATAATTATATAACCTATTGAAGTACATAAAATGCCATTGCTCATAGAAATCACTAAATTTTCATCTAATTGTGGATTGTTTGATTAAAAAAAAGTTGTCAAAATTCTTGGGTTAAATAAAAATTCCATACTTTTTCGTAAATAGTATATAAGGGTTAATTTAATATGTTTAATTCATGACATATATATTATAACTACCTGTTCATACCTGTATCAGTTATTTTTGAGACTATAATCAGATGACGCTCTTTCAATGAACCCTTGAATCATTCTACTTTTTTACAATCTAACATCAAAAAACTTCCTTTTTATTGAGCAGCTAATTTGAATCTTAAATCAAAAGCATTTGCTAAATAAATTAATAAAATTAACAATAAATTAATATTTTAAATAAAATTACGTTCAAATCAATTCAGTTCGTCATACAAGACACATTGTGGGAATCAAATTCATAATTTTAAATTTAAAGGTTCTTAAAGAAAACCTCATCAAAGCATGGTTTACTTTAATGGGTGATATATAAAAGCATTAAACTGAACTCTAATTATACTTGAAGAATGAAAAGAATGCTCAAATAAAAACTAATTAAAATTTTTAGTGGATAATTAAGGAAATCATCTCAATCAATTAAGGATGATGTTTGAATTCGATAAATCAAGATCAAGAGGTTCAAATAATTGATTTAAGAATATAATTAAATTTACTCCTATTTCAAACATCTAATTAAATATAATTATTTAATTATATTTAATTAGATGATTAATTTATCTCCAAATAAATGTATCTTCCTAAAATTTTTTACTTATCAAATAGATATCATGAAAAACTAATTAGTAACTAATACCCCCCTATAATTTAGGTAGTTTATCAATAATATTATTAGACCATCCATTTTTCTGGGATATTTTAGTAATTTACTATATATTTTCGAAAAAATAAATAATATAGTTCTAAGAACAGCATAGGAATGTTTAGTAGCCAATTTTCAATAGAAAATGGATACATTGTTATTTTGGTCGAGGATATAAAATATGATTAATTATTTTATTTAATATGATTCCGTCACTTCCCTCAAGAGGCAAATAGCTTTTAGAATCACCTTTCATCTGGTTAAAAGAAAAGGCTGAAATGGATAGGAAAAGAACTGGGTATGTAAAAAGATGATTTTAGAGTGCCGTCAAATATGTGGTATGTTTAGGGGAAGATATACGATTTGTCTAAGTTCTTAAAGGAGCATCCAGGAGGTGAAAACTTTTTGAAGCTGACTCAAGGATAAGATATAACAGAAATGTATTTTGCTCATCACTTAAATTTGGATAAATGTTAGGCTATCTTAAGCAAATATTATGTAAGAGAGGCAGACAGAGTATAGTAATATTTTAACTTCGACTAAAATGGGTTTTATCGTACTCTCCACCGAAGAGTAGGCGATTATTTCAAAGTAAGAGATAAAGGACCATCATTGTCAATGAAATTAACAGTTATATCAGCTTTATTTGCCTTCTGTTTAACATTTGGATTAACTTGTATACATCAAAGTTTTTGGTGGGCATTGTTATGTGGTTACACTTTGTTTGTTTGTTTCGGAATTGCTCATAACTTTATGCATCAGGGTGCAAAATAACCATTAAGATACATGTCAGATTTACTCTTCTTTTCGCATTACCATTGGGTTATCACGCATTGCATTTCACACCATCACTATCCAAATAGCAACATAGATTTCGAGATGACTTCAATGGAGCCCTTCTTTATTACAACCAAATCAAGGCTGCCAAATAACCGTTTTTTACCATATTACATAAACATTGTTTTTGGATTTATTAGTACGCTTTAATTTATTTCAACTATCATTTAAATTATTAAAGGTGAAGAATAACTCAGAAAAGAATACTTGATACCAGTAATAGAGTACTTCATCATCTATTCCTTTTGTTTGGATGGAACTTTAGCATTTAAACTGTTTATGGCTATCCAATGTTTTGCCAGCTTCCTTTCTCTTAAGTATCCATTGATCATCCATCGAAACAGCTTTAATTACTCAGATGGTAGTACTATTTAGCCGTCAAATGATTATGGAATCTATGTCATATAGACCACAACCGATCATGATCTATGGATTCAATTTCCATTAAATATGTTTCTCTTTTAGAGTTTCAATCATCATATACTACATCATATGTTCCCTACTGTTGACGAATCAAGGATTCCTGAAATCCACCATATTTTAGAGCAGACACTCAAGGATTTTAATCTATAAGACATTTTGAAGAAATATAATTTTTTTGAACTTTATAAGTCACACAACGAATTTCTTTTAGAGAAATGATGAGATTCATTATATTATTAAGGATTTTATATTAGAAAACAAGTTCATTAAAATGCTTTTGACTTCTGGAAACAATTGCACTGTCTCTACTATCTCTTCTTCCTGAATGCAACTCTATTATTGGCTTTCCTTATATAGTGTGTCGTAATCTCTAGGTTATAGATTGATGACTTACTTCCCCATAATTTGGATCCATCTATATCTAAGAAACTTGTAATATCGATTCTTGACAGTGCTGAGTGATTTTGATGGAAAGTATGCAGAGATCACTTTGAATTTAGGGCCAAGTTTTAATACAGAAGAAAGAATCAGCTTATCTTCGCTTGTTGTAAACTATTCACATGCAGGTATCCGTATTATTTTCCGTAACCCACTTCGCTTTACCTTTGAATAGAGACGTCTTCTTTTCAATCTCTTTTTTACAATTCTACTTTTGTTGTTGATTTGTTAAACTACTTTTTGTACTTCTGCTTTTGAATTTCTTCGATTGGATCTTGTTTGAGGAGGCTCAAGATCGTTGGTTTTTATCTATATATCAGTTTCTTCGCTTATGCTTGACATGTAGAGAATCAATTAATTTTTAAGAATTTTAATAATTTAATATCTGTTTTGTGAAAATCAGTTTTGTGAATTTAAAAAGTATCCAATTTTCTGTTACGCTTGTTCCCATTAATAAATAATCTATTAAATCATGTATCTCAGGGTATTGACACTCTCTATACTACAATTTAAATAGATGATAAATAGTTTGATTCTTTTGAGGTAGAAATATTATAAATTATATTTAAATCAAAGGGTAACCCCTTTTTTAACATAATCACTATTACTATTTTGCTTGATGAATTTATAAACGCTATTATTAATTTATGATATTAACTAATTAATAATTATAATTGCTGCTTTTGCTCATAGAGTAAAATACTGTTATACATTAATAATTTAAGTAGTAAATTAAGTAAAATTTAGGAGGAAACTATTATTGTGATGCTGATATTATATGGCATTGGTTGTATCAGTTATGGAGATGCGAATTTGGAAGAAATTGTTGGTTTTAATTCATCTTATAATATAAAAATAAATAAATAAATGGGAGGATTCTGCCCAAACTCAAACATAAAAGTACTTCCGTCGCCAGTAATTCAAGAAGAGAATACTGTGGACCCACAAATAGAAATTGATACTCTTATTAATTAAGAAACCAATTACAAACTTAGTTTAATTCATAATTTCTCTCTAGAGAATCCCACGTTATAAACGTGTGATGAAGTAATCTTAGAAATCCTCTCCATATCAATTTCATTTATGGTTAAGGATTTTTCTGAACAATCCAACTTTCTTAAAATACAAATATAAAAGCAGATCTAAGAATTAGTTGGTCACAAAGTTGATTTTCAAGAGGATCTTCTAACCATGCTTATAAATTATTACGATTTTCTTAGTTATGTGTAGGAGAATGGAAGAACAAAGGTTGTTTCTTGGTGGAAAGATCCTGTCGGCGTAGTTGAAGTAGAGTAAGCAATAAAGCATTGGTCCCAAGAATTTATTAAGTATGGAGGCAAATTGAGGAGAGAGAAGGCCTTCAGGTAAATTACCAACGATCCCAAACCTCCCGAACGCTTTGTGAAGACTAGAGAATGGATCAAAAAACAATCAGAGGGTTAGGAAGAGGAATTGAAACCAAAAAGAGAGCAACTGGCATTAATGAACAACTTTGAAGATGGCTTTGAAGAATCATGATGATATTTTAGGATATGTTTAATAATATCTATTTATGAAGATGAAATACAATAATTATTCCAAAAAGTGAAAATAAAAACTGTTTATATCAAACTTTGTTTAAGTTGAAGATCATTACAATTGGAATTTCAATTTGGCTTAATTGAATTGGAAAAATACTAAAGATATATCCAAATTAATATAATCTCCTCAATTAATGTGAGTCAGACAATAAAGAATATATTTGTAATTAATATAATATAAAAATGGCTATCAATAATGGTATGGTTGTTCACTTTAGAGTTAACTGTGAATTTGTTTTTCAAGGGTATTGATAATGATTAGCATAAGATGGTCCACAACTGCTGATGAAACAGGACTATTCTTCTTTGGATGTCTCATTGTAATGTTTTATTGTATGCTTCATATGAATCTATACACTGTTAAGTTAATTTTACCAAAAAAGTAAGACTCATCTTTATCATAAGTCTGATTGTCGATATCTGTTGGTATTTGGTTTATGCACTCTCAGGAATTATGGTTATGTAATTGATAATGACGATGAATGGATGGGTGAACGTTGCTGTAGTTATAGGAAGCACCATAGGATACTCAATATAGGAATCTTGGTCATAAATTTATGAGAAAGAAAATCAAGCTCCTCCAGGTGGATGTGAATTTTGTAATTGAGATCATTCATATTTTATAATGATGTATTCAAAATATTATATATTACACTTTTTGAATTAATAAAAGCACAAGGATTTTAATATAGAATACAACGAATGGGATTGACAAGAATAGGTACTATTAATAAATTTATATTTTTTATTAAGTTTAATTGCATTATCGACTCATTTGTGTCTCTTCTTTGACTTCTCTCTTCTTTTTTATTTTTTAATTGGACTCTCCTCTCTCTTCTTATGTTTTTTGACAGACTTGGATCGAGACCTCTCTCTGGGTTTCTTGGTCGGTTTTACCTCTTCTACTAAAACTAATGGACCTTGAATACCTTTTTTCGATTTCCTTCTTTTGTCTTCCTCATCCTTCTCTACATGTTCTTCTTTAGGTTTTTTAGACAATTCTTCGCTTCTTGATCTCCTCAATTCTCCAAGACCACCACCGAGACGACGGGGTCTCCATTTCAGAATTGTTCTACCTCTTTCGATGTCAACCACCAACTTTCTCCCATCAATACGCTTATCTACTGCATATTTATAAGCTTATTTAACACTGTTCTTGCTCTCATACTCTTTTAATTTAAGATCACCCCCTTACCAATGAATGCATAGCCTCTAGGCTTATCTTATGTGGAATCACGTATGATTCTTATTGATTTGATTGGTCCATATTCTTCAAATTCCTTACGCAGTTTTTTATCAGTTGTGGCATAATTCAATCTGCCCACGAACAAAGTTTTATAAGGTTCAGATGTGATATTAGGATCTTCAAAGGGATTCCATAATTACAACAACTTCTTCAATTCCTCATTGTGTTGATGCTTCTTTTCCAATCTCTTTAGAATCTTGAGTGGCAATCTAGATGGCTTCACAATATCTTTATTTTTATAAATACAGCATTACCCTTCTCTCTTTCCTCCCTCTGCATCTGCTCGTACTCATCCTCAAACTTGTCCAGCATCCACTCAGCCTTCCTCCCCAAACCCAACACTGGGTCATAGGGTCTGCACCTTGGTTTTGGCTAAGATTTAATGTGCGCTATTTAAGGAATCACGAAAATGGGTTGCATCTAAATATGATCATAACATAATACATCAGGTGGGAAGTCAGGCTTTCTTATGTTCGTAGCCTATTGCATTTACACTGGGTTGTTCATCATATGAGCCAGCGGCATCATAGGAGGTTGTGATTGATAATACATTTTAATAAATTTATATTTATATATATATTGATTTTGAATTTATTATACTAAATATGTTCTAATTCATAAATACCATTGTTTTGGACTTAGCTTCTATTAAAATTTTGAAAATTCATAACTTTAATGAATGATAAGATGAAACTCGTTAGAAGCCTAGTGATTTTAAACTTTGTCCAATTCATTTCACACTTATATTTTAAGTTTTATGACTGTTAGTTTAATAATTGCGATTGCATTAATTTTATATTAATAATTCGTTAACTCATGATCAATGAATAAATGTTTCAAGAACTCAAAAGCTCAAATTTCAAATCCATCATGGATAATTGCGTTTACCTAAAGAAAATATCGAATACTCTATATGGAGATGCAGAAATTTTGATTCATAAGACCTACAATATTCAATTGGTTCTAATCACAAAGATTTTCCATCGAAAGGAGGATGCCAAGAAATTGCAGGATGAAACAACTTTGAGACTGAATCTTATTTCGGAAAGAATACTTCGTTTAATTTCATATAATAGTAAAATCAATTATTTAAACTAGTAAAGGAAGTCAAAGAATTATGCGGTAGCTTCTACAGAATCTAATGGATATACGAATTTCATTCACACACTCTGCAAGACAACATCATGTACAGAAAGAAGAAAGACCTCCCCTTTACTGAGGTTGAAATCATTAATCTCTTAGAATCAATGCTCTAAGGATTTCAAATTTTTAAATCTGTCTCCATACGGCATGGTTATCTATAACCCAAACATATCATACAGAACACTAAATCCCAAAATTTTTGCATATCCGACATCAAGTTTATTACTAAAATGACTGAGTATCAAGAAGCCTTGCAGAACATCGACTCTGTTCAACAATGCTTCTTGTCTCCTGAACTGTTAAAGGAATTACAAAAAGGTTCTTAGGAAAACTCAAGTTACGAAAAGAATGAGATTTTCTCTATTGGTTTGATCCTTTTGAATTGCATGTTGCTTGAATATCCAGAGATTTACGATCTGCCCAATTTTGCCATCAAACAGCAAAAGTTGTGTGAATATTTGAGGGTGGCTGAATAAAGGTACTAAAGTGCCTAAATTGTTAGAGAAATGCTTTTAATTGACATTTATCATAGGTATACAATTGATTGATAGTAGACCATCCTTAGAATAACTCATCTCTTTATTAATGCAATTGAAATTCAAAATACAAAACAGACCATCTCCAAAACCCTAGTCTAATTATATTCTGCATATTGATCAAAGCAAAGAAAACTATTCTTCATAAGTAGATCGGAGATATGCCACTGAGAACTAATACACTTCTAATACTCCATTGAAACAAAATCAAGAACGAGGACACTCTCGTAAAATATCACAATTAACTCCAATTACTCATCTATCGCATTCTCCTATCGTTTTCAATAAACAAGAAACCACTGAAATTTCAACCATAAGCTAAAATAGTTACTTCCAGATGGATACGTCTAACATCAATTCAAGTCTAAGAGATCCCTATAATTTTACATATCGAGATGTTACTCCAGAAAGGAAAACCAAACCCTGTCCATCCCCATTTAAGTAAATTTCTTCCAATAATGCTCAAAATTCATCAAGAACCAATTACTTTTTTCCAACCACTAAACAAAACGACAATTCATCCTTCTTACAATCAGAATCAATCAGTTATGATTTTGCTGAAGGAATCAAGTTAAATGTTCCGAGTTCATTATAACAAGAATTCACTAAATTAGGGAATAGAAGTAACCAATACTAGAACCAATATTAAAAGAAGTTATTTTGAAATATATATCTTTTAATTATAATACTTATTATACATATTTTATTTCTATCATTTTTTTATTTTTGAATAATAATTGATTTATCTCTTTTCCAATCATTTAATTGTTTCGAATTAAAAATATTAACATATTATGAATCAATTATAAAAAAGTCAAAAATGTATTAATGTGATATATTCCATGTAATATCTTTCAAACGTATAGTTATTTTAGTTGTTAAGAAAATAATTTAATATTTTCTTTCACTTGAGCAATTCTCATAATTTCATTATAGTCTTGTAATAATTCATAATAAAGTTAACAAATTTTAATGACTAAATATTAATTAATTTATTTAATACTAAATTTTAAATAAAGTTAATGACCTTCTCGGCAATAACTCAATGATATTATTGCAACCCATCTGATGAGAAGGATCTCTTCCCCATACATCTATAACATATTTAAATTTTTCATTTATTTAATTCAAAATTCTTTAAATTTAATTCTTAACTCCCAATACTCCTTAAGATAATCTTAATAAATACAATATATATGGTATTTCAATAACTGAGGTCGATTTCTTTTACATATTTAATTTAATATAAAATGACATGAATTTTAGTCGTTTTTAGTGAGTAGAATGTTTAAGCGAGATCTCAAATTTTTGTTGACATATTTGAAAAGTATATTCATAATATCAACATACATTTACTTTAATTTTACTTGATTTCGAGATTTATTTCTTAATGAATAATTATAACTAAAAGTAATCCAAATCAGTTAATTCATTTTATTTTGTGGTTTGAGAAGATTTTTCTAAATAATTCTAAATGAACTTTAATTACTGCAAATACGAATGATGCAATTCCTCGAGTCGACCTCAAAAGGAATTAAGATGGGCCAAAATAATATTAGTTTAATAACTATAATTACAATGATGGGTACAAATATTGATATTATATAATTCACATTTTGGAAATCATCATTTTTAAGTAGAGTAATTATGATTGAAGATCATTAACAAGGGCTATTTTGTATTTCAATTCCTCTTTGGCATCAATTAAACAATGGATAGATTATTTATTTTACTTTTCTCTTTTTCCTTATTTAGAAATGCCATTTTTTTTCACTTTTTTTATTAGTTTCTTCATCTTAATGGGTTTCTATGAGATTTTGGGAGAAATAAGTTGGTAAGAAACAGTACAAATTGTTTTCAATTCTTGACAAATGAACTCAATATTTTAACTTTCTGAATTTTTCAGTTCCAAATTTGCATAAATTGCTTTAGAAGATGGACTTGCTATTTACATGGAGACTTCTAAATGAATGGAAAATTTAATAAATTTTATTAATTAGTGAAAATATTCGTAAAATAGTGCACATTTTACGTTTGATCTATTTTTTAAAAAAGGAAATTTATTTGAATAAAATGATGTGATATATTTGATCTTATATAATTAATTTAATTATATAAAAATGACTGAAGAAATTTTAAGTCAATATTATCCCAAATATAATCCTTAGGCTGCTATTTTGAAGGACATCCTTCGAGATGGACTAGAGCAAGCATTCGTTGGGAAATTCAAGAACAACAATGATCAAATCAACATTTCAGAATTTAAATTGAGACATCATTTCGATAAAAAAGATAATGATCATCTTTTAGATTAAATTAAAAAGAAACTCAAACTCAACAATCAAAAGGCTGAGATGAGGTGTGTTAATACAATCCAGAATATAAGGGTTGAAACTGATTTAAATTACGATCCCAAATATTTCCAAGAAAATACATTCTACATGAATTAAAATTTAGATGCCATTAAATAAAAGATTATAGAAAAAAATGTTGCAGAAAGAGTTAAAAAAACATAGGAATTTAAATCTATGCAAAAAGCACTCAACATTTGGTTTCAACAATCATAATAGTAAAAGAATGAAGATCAAAACAAATAATAGTAATAAACAAATAAAAAATAAATGAATTCATCATCCTAAATTATTGTTAAGCAACATCAAACTGAAGGTATCTAGGTCTCTGGTATCATTACAACCAGATAAGGTTACAAAATGACCTATCCTAATTTGGCTTACATTATCAAAGCCACAGACATTCCAGAAAGGGAAGCTTAATGTTCTTTTGTTAAGAAAATCAGACCATTATAGCAACTAGATTTCGATTAGTTAGATGATTTGAGAAGATATGTTTGGAAATATAAGCAATACACTTAATTTTTCAAAATTCTACTTAAAGTAGCATAAGGAAATCTAGAAATTTCAGAAACACTTGTTAAAACTTAATAAAGAATGAAGACAGGTTTCTATCACGTTATGACCTTTTACCATATTTCCAATAGAAGTTGGGCAATTTGTAGATTAATCAAGGATCTAAATAAAAAGGGACTATATCAAAGAGAAAGGTAGAATCTATATGAAGTAATAATACTTATCATATGAAAATAGACAATGTTGGAAAATATTCAAGAGGATCTTGAAGAAATATTCAGTCCATTATTGTTTGAATCTGATTATGTTCCGATTGAGGAATAATTCATTTCATTTGAATAGTATAAAAAGAGACTCCAAGAAGTTATTTTAATGAGAGAAAATGGAGCTTGATTGGGTAGTTGATAGTATAATATTTATTTATAATTAAAACTTAATGATTTATTATTAGAATAGTTTGAAAAATATATGATATATAATTTAATAAAAATTAGGATAGAGAGATACTCAAAACAAAAGTTAAGAAAGGTGTAATTTATAAACTATATTTTTGTAAATGGATAAATGTAAAATTAAAATTTAAGATGTTTTATTATCTAAAATTAATAGTTTATATTTAAATTTCTTTGAAAAATAATGAAATATTTTATAAATATTGTATTTTATTTATAAAAATTGTGCATGGTTGTTTTAAATTCTTGTTTATAAATATATCTTGCGAATATAAACTTAATGAGAATTTCAAACAAGAACTGCAAGGGCTTCATTTAAGTAAAGAATCTTTAGTGTAAGAGAGGACTTAATATTATAATAGTGATATTTGGGAGAGAAGTATTTCATTAATGTGATTGAGTGTATAAATTTGATATTAAAGGAAAAAGTAGGTTTGGAGAAGGAATATCTTTGAAGAGTATTAAAAAAGGCTAGATTATATATTTTTAATAAAATGGAAAACTTAAAAAGATGCAAGATTTAAAATTTTATTGTAAAGAAAGGGACCATTTATAATTTAAGCAAAATATGGATTATATGTTATATAAATGATTATGATAATCAATCTCTATCAAAGAGTCTGTCTAAAAAGCTCTTTTACTTCTATTGTGGCTATTGGGGTGCTTGTGGGTTTGGTCTTGGATTTTAAGCCTGTTTTATTAAATGATGTTATACTTATGTTCTGTCTAATGGTTATTGGGGTCTAGCTTATGGGACTGTTCTGGTTGGTATTTGAGTCTAGGCTAATGGAAGACTGGCAACTGGAGCAGGAACATAGGAAGTTTATTAAAGTGGAGCTGGGGCATATTGAACTGGTTGTGGAGCGTATTAGACTGGTTGTTGAACATATTGGACTGGTTATGGGGCATATTAGACTGGTTATGGGGCATATTAGACTGGTTGGACGACTGATTGAGTGACAACTTATTAGACTGGTTGGGCAACAACTTATTAGACTTGTTGTTGATGAACGACTTATCTCTCGACTGGGTAATATTCAACTCTTTCTTGATATCTGTCAACTGGGACGTATTCTGGAAATTTAAATTTTTAAATGTCATACCTGTAAATTTTTCTTAGAAGACTTATGGTACATATTCAGTTTGATATTCAACTGCGTAATAATCGGTAACATATTTCTCTCTTGGCACTTAGATTCTTTATCTCACTTCTTCATATTCAAGCACAGTTTTCTCGTATGGAACATATTCGATTCTGCTCTCACCTTTGATTGTTGGTTATGCAACAACAGATTGAGCAACAACTGGTTGAGCAACGACTGGTTGGGCAACAACTTGTTGAGGCACATAGGTTTAAGGGATCACTTATTGAGGTACATAGGTTTAAGGAACGACCTATTGGACGACGGGAGGAGCATAGGAATATCTCAATGGTGAAAGAGGAGCACCATATGGTTAGGCATAGCTGGGTTGTCCATAATATGGTTGTGGTGCTTAAGGTGCTTGTTGTGCTTGTTATGATTGTGGGATATTGCTCATAATTATTTTATTTAAAAGGTGAGAGGGAAAAAAAGATATGAATTAGGCCTTATAATTAATTAATATAAAATGAATTAGGAGGAATAACCTAAAGACTCAATTGAGCAGGAATCAGATGAGAACGAAAAGAAAGATCAAGTCCAGCCACAGGAACAAAAGAAGAAAAAGAAGAAAAATAAGAAGAAAAAGAAATGGGGAGAGGAGGGTAATCTCAAATTAAATATAATTAATAGAGGAAATACTTACAGATTTCGATGATGATTGGCAAAATAAAGTTAAATAATCTAAAATCTTGTAAGACCCAGATTTACCTCAACATATTAAGGAGAAATATGCTATTTATGAAAATAATCCATTCATGATGATTATTTCAAATGTGCCTCTAAATGTGTAATTAAAAGAACTGGAAGAATATTTTAATACTCTCATCACTTCACTTGATCCTAAAATAAGTATGATAATCCCTGAATTTAGATGACAGACCAATCAAATCAATTGAATATGGTGCAACCAAGTCTTGGGTTGTATTAGAGTGCAGTTCTAAGGAAGCAAAAAGAGCCTTAGTGACTCAGGACTAAGTTTAATTTGTCAATAATTGCAAAATTAAGGTGGAAAGACCCAGAAAATTTTTGGAGAGAATCCTCAATCCATAAGCAAGGGATGGTGAACTGAATCCAGAATAGAAGTAGGAGGACAATACCAGATTATATTTGGGTGGATTGCCTACTTATCTGAGGGATGAAGATGTGATGAAATTAATTCAATCCTTTGGAATAACCAAGTATTTCAATCTCGTTAAGGACACTACTTCAAATACAGAAATCTCAAAGGGATACTGTTTCTTTGAATATGAAAGCGCTTAGTCTACTGCCAAGGCTCTGAAAGCACTCAATAACTTGTAGATTGGGGATAGGAAATTGAAGATTTGCAAGGTTCAAGGGGAAACTCAATAAAATAAAAAAATAAATGGCAAGGATCAGCCATCCAATTATGCAGGTTCATTCCTAGCTTCTTGCGACTTACTAAGAATACCTTAGGTTCAATAGATGCTCACAATTCCATAATCAGCCTTGATACCTAGTAAGGTTGTTCAATTTTTGAATATGGTATAAATGTTTCCTTATTCACTTTAGTGTTCCATTTAGGATCTATACGAGGATGACATCTTCGAGGAGTTGATGGAAGATATAAGGAGTGAGTGCGTACGTTATGGATAAATCGAGAAAATAGAGATTCCAAGACCTGACAAGGAATCAGGGTATTTATACTTATGATTGTAGTTTCTGTAATCCTGCTGTTGGGAAAATATTTGTTAAGTTTTATTATTAGATTCCGGCCAAAAAGGCCAAGTTCCATTTGGCTGGACGCACTTATAATAAGAGAACTGTTATTACTTCATTCTACCCTGAAGAATAATTTGATTATAAAGACTATTTGATAAATGGGTGATTTAATAATTATGATATAAATTGTTAACGATGATCTGATCCCTTAAAATATCAAGGCGAATTCTCGATTAAGGGATGCCTACATAAAGTATTAGGAGTTGGTTTCAAGAGGCAAAATCAAATTGAAAATGAACAAATAAATTAATTGCGATATAGGCTAACAACTTTATTTCTTCAAACATAAGGATGCCCTGTTTTTTCAACATCCCGATAAACAACAAGAATACTATGAAAGTTTGCTGAATAGTCTCACAAAACAAATTAAGTATTTTGAAAATATGAATTAGACCTCAGAAAGCAATTTCATACGAAAAGCAATTACTTTTATAAATTTAAGCTCTGAATCAACAAAAATATACACCGGATACTTTGAAGAATGAAATAACCTCACTTTTCAAAAGAAAGATCTCTTAATTAAAGATCAGAAAACAGAGAACCTTTTAGCAGGAGGGTAATATATAAAAGCCAGAAGCCGAGTCAATTTATAAGTACAGAATACAGTGGATTGACAATTAAATAATAAATTTGAATTAACGATTGGAAAGACTTAGAATTGATGATGGGATTAAAATTTAATAAGACAATCAATAAGCATTATATAGTAATATCTTTGTGGATGATGTTGAAATTTATTTGAGGAATAAGATTTATTTTGATAAAATCAAAATGCCATTTCGCAAATTGAAGTATGTTTTAAAATGGATGCATTTCTTGGATCGATTTGAAATCCAAGAGAACGCAAACAAAATTGTAAATCAATTAAGAGTCCAAAATGGCGAATAGAACCAATAATACTTTAATGATAATGTGACCAATATTGAAGGCAAATTAAACCTGAAATATTGTAAATATATGAATTTATTTAAGAAATGAGTAGAGATGTTGTACTACAATTATAAGAATATCTGAAACCACTCAAATTTTCATTGGATGAAAGTAGAATAACTTAAAGATTTGACCGTCTTCCTTTAGTAATTCTGACAGATTATGAGATGCATAATAGATTGTATTAAATAGCCTCTAAATTCCTTAAAAACCCTAGACAATTTGGAGAATAGAAACTTATCTTTCACCTATGTAATTTATAGCACATGCTTGATGGATACTAGAAGTATCTCTACGCTTGGGATAAATCAGAGAAAAATGAATACGATGGCTATAGTGGCCTATAGAAGTTAACAATAGAACTAAGTGCTTTTGATGACTCGGAAGAACTTATCAAATAGTTAAATTACCCATTACCAATTTACCCTAACTTATCACTAGTATATGTCAAAAACGATTGGAAAATGCTGTTAAATTGTAAGAATATCGTCCCCGACGAATACTAAACTTTTATGTCAAATAAATTAAACTTTGTAACTGTTGATGCCTACACAGAAAAATTGATATAGTTATTACCGATTCATTTGAATAAATCCATGTAAGCCTATATAGATTAACAAATTAAACAAATTAGAAGTGATAATTACGCACTTTTCAATATCATTGAGAATAACGATTACATTGAATACACAAGAGAATCTTTAAGGCTAAAGTAGATTAATGAACTTTATGAACAAATATGCAATAAAGAGATCCACTATAGACATAAGACGAAGTTCAAATCAGACCTAGTAAAAGCATTTGAAGAGTTAATGATTGAATTGACTCCTAAAGAAACTCATTTGTAAGCCTACTTTTCAACAATGGTCTGCAAGATGAGAGAATTCCATCGCAAAATATTTTATATTGTTAATGCTCTTTAGTCAATCGAAAGGAAACTTACTTTTAATTTGCTTTCTTTGAGAGAATGCAAAGTAAACACAACTGTGGACACCTAATTTCTGATCAAAGTTAATTAACTATAAAAATAAGATACTGCAGATCAATAAATCAATCAATTTATCAATCAAAGAAGAAATGCAGTAATTTCTTATATAGATGCTACTGAAAAATCTTCTTAGAAAGTCAAATAAAACCTATCTCCAGAACTAAAGTTTTGTAGAGTTGAAGATGAAATCTAATATTCAAATGAAGAACTGCCAGATGTTTTTGTCAACCAAAAGATTCAAAATCCTATCTACGACAGTACTATTGATGAATTCAAAAGGATAATGAAAAGAATAGTTTAATCAATATCTCTCTACATCAATAAATACGAGAAAATCAGTAGCATCAAATCTATAAATCCGATAGTTGATAGATTTCAATGTGCACTTGATTGTCTAGAACAGGAAGCTATATACCAATTTTAGAAACTCAAATTGGTTTAAACTTATATGAAGATATTTGACAATACAGTAGATCAATATCAGGCATCAGAGATAATTGAAACTATCTTTGAGATTATCCAAGCCATTCCATTGTTAGACTTAGAGTCATTTTACTTCAAAGACAGCTACATTCTTAATTAAGATTTATTGAAAAGCCAAAGAGAGTTTATGGAACTATTAATTAACAAACAATAGGAACATGAGATTGCATAAGTCAAATAAATACACGAACAATACTTGTTAATGCGGATGCAACAAGATGAGATTGAAAGAGTACTCAGTAGAGCTGAAACTCCTAAGATCGAGTAAAAGTCTGCCAGAGACTAAAGATTGAATGAACAGTATGATTATTACAATGTAAGCAATAAGATGTCTTAAATCTTCTAAGAACTTAATACTACTAACAAACAATCTGCAGTCAATCTAAATTCTAACTCAAAAGATCTGAAAATCATTGATCCTAATGCCATATTACTACCATTTCAAATTCTAGAGGACTACAACGGACTCAATTTTACGGAATCCTTGTATCTAGTTACTTTTATCATCAAAACTTTCAAAAACAGCTTTCAAATGCTATTAGAATAATTCCCTCAGAATTCTATTTAGGGTTATTTAAGTCTTTAAATAGCGTCTATGAAATAGGCACAAGTATACGAATTTTAAGATTAAAAATTACCTTATGTTAAAAAATTTCATGAAAATACTTTCTTTGAATCTGAGTATGGATTGATCTAAAAGTATTTTGATAGAATCAAATCTACAGTGTAAAATGACATAAGTCCATATATTCTGAATGTTTCTTTATATGATTTAGAGAGGACTTTAAATTAACAATAGATTCAAATTACAGATATTGGAGCAATCAATAATCTCATGGAATATTTGAGGTTGAGGAAGCACTTCTTAAATATCTAATTAGAGATGAAGGTTCAACATAGAATACATAAAAAAATACATGGATATCAAAAAATGAGCAAAACAAATGACTTGTATTTTAAGAGCAATTTAGTGGAAACGCAAAGCCAATATAAGAAGAACCAAGCTGTAAAATATTGTTTTTCTCCATTTTGTTTTGAGATTGATGCGACCTAAGAAGTGCCTTTTATTTTGTTAAAACAATTTGAATTGTTAGTATTCAATGATGTGATCGAAGAATTTAGAAATATCTTATTATACGATTAGATCAATGTGATGTTTCTCTAAACTTAAAATGAATTGAGATTTAACTATATTGATGATTATATCAAAGCTTAATTAGATCTGAAGCACTTTGCATAGGTTGGGTACTTGCCCCAAAACTCAAAATTAACCATAAAGCAAATCAGTTAATATGAGTTCAATGATAAATTGTAAATGATTAACATTAACACCTAGATTATTAGCAAGTCTGCCGAAGAAGCCTACAGAAATAGATGATTATTTGAAATAAGCCAAGTCCGTGAAAGCTGAATTATTTATCAAATACGTTAATAAATACAAGGAGAGACCAAGAGTCAACTCTTTCCAAAGTGATAAAATGCAGATTTTAAGTATAAAAAAGGATTAGAAGTAAATCATCTTACATATTAAAGTTTAAAACTATATTTAATAAAACGCTTGATTTAAGATTTCTTGAGCATCACACAACATGAAGCCATAAAAGTTGATATTTTCTCTAAGGAAATGAGAATTAAGAGAATTTCATAAGTAATACCTAGTTCAAGCTAAATTGATAAGAGTTTCTTTCTCTCTTTCTAAGAAGAGCAAACAGTTTATGTGCAATAATTTAAAAGGATTGCTGAGAAATTGGAAACTCACATTCACATTGATCAATTTTATTCCAGAGATGACTTTTAAAACCAAAAGCAACAGGATCCAAATAGGGAACTCAGGTAATACTATAAATCCATACATTAATACTTGATGGAAGTGTTGAGACACAACACAATATTTCTAAATTGGTTTGAATTAATGCATATGAATGAGCTGTACTTATTCAATCTATCATTTGATTACTATGATCAAACTAAAGAGATGCTCTATTAGGGTAAACTCGGAAAAAATCCAATTAAAAGTGTTTTGGAGTATGATAAGTAAGATATGCGTTGATAATTAGGAATCAAATGGATATTAAATAATGCATATCAGATTAAGTAATAGAGCAACGTCCTTTGGTAGCTTAGGCAATTGATAAGATGATAGATAAAATTAAATCCTTTTATTAAATAAACAAAGCCTTTGAACCTTTTCTTTAGTAAATAGAGTTATTCAAATCGAAAAGCAAAATGACTGAAATCACACCAGAGATTAAGCAATCATACTTAAATCTGTATTCCAAAACCTATTACATTTATAATCAATGCAAATTCTTCATATCAAAAGATGTAATAACAATTATAATATTATATTAGTATCCAGACTCTGAGTATTACTACTAGTATTAATAGATCAATTAATGTCTTTTCTTGCAACATCAATTCAGCGCTGTTAATCTAAATTTCTTCAAAACCATATATGTCAGATACCAAAATATGTATAAGGTTAAGCAAAAAGACTTGTATAGAAAATTCAAGAAATTGAACTCCAATACATACTCTGATGAAATTAGAATGATCAACTTAGTCTTGCCCATAAATAATGAGAATCTGTTGACTCATTATCATAATGAATAACATTAAAATGTGAGTTTGATGTTGTAGGTCCCAGGAGTAATTGGAGTCAATGAAAGGATTATGCTAAGGAAACAGAATGTAAATGAGATTAAAGAGTAATGCATTTCAACTCTTTTGTCAAATACATATGTTTTACTACAAAATCCCTATATCTATAATATGAGCAGTGTGGAATTGAAATTGTACTACAATGATCTAGAAATATAATTGAAAGATTAAAAGATCACTTTAAAAGAATTGGTGTATAATCAACTTACCAATACTTCAATAAAGGCCATGAATGAGAATGTTCATCTGTTGCAATAATACTTGAACGTCGCTCCAGAGTACATTGAAAAAGCAGAGATTATGGATAAATTAGTGTCTAAAATAAACATTGCTATTCCAAGAGTGAAATTCATACAAAGTTTACAAAGCACTCTAAGTCAAAAGAGTGGAGAAATACATAGCGCATTGAAGATAGCATTCATACAAGGATTCTTGAATAGATTGAGGAACAAATCAATTCAAACCAATCTTTTGGTTAGTGGAATGGGTTATTCAATAAGTTCCTAAGACATCGAGGATTGTCTCAATATTTTGAATAGAGATTTATACACTTTTGCTGAAAATGAAATTGCTGCAAGAATGGAAACGTTCAATTTGATTTATGAGTAATAAAAGACTTAGATTAAGTAATTGAATAGATAATTGAAAGAAAAGACTTTGGAACATGATTAATTGAAGTAATCTTTTGATGAAAGATTATAAGCACTTGTGATAGCAAAAAGTAATAAGATTTTATTTGATTTGGATATGCTAAAATCGAAATTTAAGGATTATCAGAAGTATCTAATTAATTGATATACATAGGTGTACATTGGGATTAGAGGAGAATATTAGAGAGTAAATTGAGAGTAAATACAAAATTCATGTTGAACAATTGACTTTCGAGAGAGACAGAGTAATCGAAAAGTTTATGGACCTAAAATAATAGTTGATAACTCTATTTACTCAAGAAGTACAAACAAATTAAGACGCCCTTATTAAATTCATTTAATAGAAGACCAATGAAATGTTATCAGAAATTCCTTTGTATAAGAGATCGCATAGTTAGGGTAATGATCTAAATGAGAATGGTCATCAGGGAGAACAACACTAAAAGGTTGAATTGCTTTTTGAACCCTACAAATTCACCAAGGCCTTGCATCAATTAAAGGATAAATGGCAATAAGAGACTGAAGATTAGAAGATCAATTATGAGAAATAGATTTAGTAAACTTTTAAATTCTATTCTTAGATTTTATAAATAACAATGTTTGGAATTTGAAGATTTATAATTGTAATTGAATGAAAGCAAAAGAAAAGAAACTACTATGAAAATGGAGATTATCACTTTACAATAGACAATCAGTCTATTGATCAAGTAGAAGGATGAATATGCTGAATAAATTGATTAATTAAAGTTTGAGAAAAAGCGGATATTGAAGGCCAACGATGATTATTAATAATAGTTGAAATAGTATAAGGAGAAGTTCAAAACTCAGGAGAAGAAACGAAATGCAATATCAGTTGACAATTATTCCATGACTTAATCAATTGTTGAAAGGAAAACCTTGCCGAAACTATTCAAAAGTGAACAAAAACCCAAATTAAAATTATGATTAAATAATTTAATATGCAATAATAGACATACATTGAGAGTAGTTACAGTAGTCATAGCAGTAGTAGCAGTGAAAACGAGAACAAAGATGTTCTTTTCTCGCCTGTATTTAATTCTTAGAATACATTAGTTTAGGGATGCAAACGAGATACAATTGTTATCTGAGTAATTTGATATAACCAAGTGGTCCAAACATGTTTTGCCGCAGCAATCTTAAGTGGAAAAGACTCCAAAGCCCAATAAAAAGCAAGTGGGCAAAAAATCTAAGAATAAAGTCAATACATCTTCATCCATTTCACCTTAGAAAAAGAAATCAAAAATCAAGAGAGTAAATAGACCAACCCTCTATGTAGCCCAAAATGAAGGACATCAAGCCTTTAAATTTAGAAAGTGAGAAGAATCTGTTTTTTACCATGAAAGCTGCATACAATCCACAATTTGAATATGTTGAAGTCAAGGTTTGATCTAAATTGTATTCAAAGGAACTTGGTCCAGAACAACCTCATCGCAAATATGAAGAAATTGCATTAAAAATTATTGATCAATGTATTAAAGAATTTGGTTCCGATTTGAAATATGCAGAACAAGAAGGAGGGAAACTACTGTCAATCGAAGAAACTGAACATTTCTTTAATGATTATATCCATAAGTTAGGTGTCCAAGAACTTATATCATATGAATTTCAAGATCACACTGTGGCTCCAACAAGTGTAGTTCACCATCCAACTGATGGCAAAAGTAAAGTTATTATAGGGTTGCCAATCAACTATCGTATCAATCGGATTGAAGGAGTACTGAATCATGAGATCGGAACTCATTTTATTAGAAAAATAAATGATAGATAATAACAATGGTACAAGAAGAGGTATTAATTAAATTGATCAAGAGTTAAATATCACATGGAACCATACTTAAAACATGAAGAAGGGCTGGCTGTGCTTAATCAATTACTACCGTAGGCTCTTAAATAGAAAGGCAAACCTTACTTATTCATGGCTGCTTTGCATTATATTTCTGTATATTTATATATGTTAATGTCAGTCAATATTGGCTAGTTAAATGAGTTTTGCAAAGTTATTCCATGAACTAAGATACTTTATTTAAGATGATGAAGCCAGATTCAGAGAATGTTTGAGAGTCAAGAGAGGAATGAAGGATACATCATAACCAGGAGGAATGTATAAAGATCAAGTGTACTTGACTGGAGCAATCAAAATATTAAAATATAGAGGCAAACTAAACTTTATTCATTTGCACAGTGGAAAAATAACAATTAAAGATTGTATTCGTTTTGGAGAAATTGGATAAATATATACAAAAAACATTTATATCCCTCCATTTTTACAAGAACTGGAGCAGTATAAAAAAGGTTTGGATAAGATAGCATAATAAAATTTCATTAATTTTGCATGTTGAGACTATTTATAAAATATAAATTAATTTTTTGATAGATTAAATTAATTTACATATTTATATCCTTAAATATCATTTAATTGTTCAGTAATTATTTAAGTTTTCTTAATATTTTAATCTCTATTTAATGTTTGAATCTTTTGAACTAGAAGATGTATCAATCTGAATTTAAATTAGTTTATTGAATTTATTCTTTTTTAATTATAACATATATAATAATAATAATAATCAATGACTTGTTAATTTAACTATAGTATAGATAAATGAACACAAACCTCCACATATTCCAAATGTTAGAATTCCATTATAAATGAATTTACTCTTTCTTTTTGTTTCATCTTTCTCAAAATATTTCTTGTGAATCAATATTGGAAATAGAAAATTCAAAGAAGCTCCCCCAATGGCTCCAAGTATGTTCACAAAGTAAGCAAATTTAGGTATAGAATAGCCGATCAATCCTAGTAGTAAATTGATAAATGATCTGATTGCTAATCTACGGAAACTTGAATATTTGAGTTCAGGATTAATGTAATTTTTTAATTTTTCGATTCTCTCTATTTATTAAAATGCTGGCAACACTTAAAGAGGGTATGAACAGATCAATCCAAAAGCATAGCAAATTTAGATTACATAAGATAGAGGGTTTTTATCAAGGCAAAATAAGATGATTTATTGAGTTTCCATTCTACTGCCCAAACCCCAAACTGATAACAATGTAAATGCTAGAAATAGTCCTAAATTGAAATATGAAACCACATTGAAAAGCTAATGGATAGAAATACTGCCTTACATTTTTAAATTAAGTAGGTTCTGACATTGTGACTCTGATTGCAAAAGCAAGGGGAAGCACTCCAAAACCATAAGCAGTCACTCCTATAATCATAGGAAATTACTCAAAGTGTGCCAAATTCATCACGTTCTCTTTGATTCCTTCTCCCTCAAGTATTTGATAGAAGTCATAGACTAAACAGATAAATTCAAACTTTCTTACAAGCAATGTAGACTAAGCCAACGAGGATGAGAGTATTAGCAAATAAACTTAATTTAGCAAATCGAGCCATATTGTCAATAAAAGAAAGAGGAAGCACAATACAGAATGCCATTATCAAATATATCCAATTACCCGCTCCAGATTGACTATCAACATTTGAAAATATGTGAGCAAAGAAGGAAATAAAAAATATTAAATAAGCCACAGCCTTCCCTAATTGATAGGCGATCAAAACGACTTTAGTAATTTGTTTCCCCTTCTCCCCATAAGTGACTTCTGCCACTTCTGTGAGACCTTGATTTTCCTTGTTTTCTGCATTTGCCACTTCGATCAAGTAATGAACGCACAACATTAGCATGTAGGCACTTATCAAAAAGATGAATACTGCCAAAAGCCACCCTCCAACATAAAAACTAAATGGCATTGCCAATATTCCTGATCCCACATATCCCTTAATAAGTGTCATAGCACTGTCCTTGTATGTTCCCTTCACAGGTGCCTTACCTGTGTACGGTTTTTAATGCATATAAACTTGATCGAATTTTTTCTCTGCCTCCTGGTTTTAGTTATTAACGCTCTCATAAACTTGAGACATTTTTTAATAAATAGATTTAATATAACAATTCTTAATCATTTTTAAGAAGTTTAAGTCATTCCATCAATAACTTAATGATGCCGAATGAGAATAATAATAATCTGTATTAATATCATAGTCATTATCAATTCTTGCGTATATTCTTATTGATTGGATATTGGGGTTCGCCAGTTACCTCATCAAGGTCTGGAGCTGCTTCTTGCTAAACTCTTTGAAATTCATACTCTTGCTTCCAAAAAGAATTCATTATAACCCCTAAACACTGTATAGACATTGTAGGCGATAAGACACAGGATCCCATTAACCACATATACATGAGCCTTGTTCGCCATCTTGAAGCCCTTAGCCTCGGCCTTCGATAGCAGAGCATCCAATTTTTTCCAAATCATTATATAAAATAACACAATTATATTTAGAATATCAGAATTTTATTATGATCATAAAATGAAAGACACACACCCCCTCCCCAATTAAAATTAGTACTCAATCATAATAGATTTCAATCTATATAATATATTCATTTCTTTTATAAGAATTTAAGTAATTAAGTTCCTTAAGTATTTTTAAGGCGTCCATTAGATATTTATTTTTACAAAGCCATCAAACTCTTACCAACCTGTTCGAAACTCTAACTCGAGACTGTTTGCTCTTACTTCTAGGAGTCAAACTACTGCTAAGATAAAACTATTAATCAACCTTGGACAATCCCTTATACTTGTTCATTTACACTTATTTTTCAGGACTGGTTGCTTAATGTTACAATTCGTTGGTTTTATCCGAGCGTTAGAGTTTGTGCCTCACATTTTCCCTTTATCTTTCAGTTTCTGTAATTTTGGATTCGAGAAATTGCTGAGTCTCATCATTCATTCTCTGCAACCCTAATTCTCTTTTGGCAGAAAGTTGTCTTCTTCCTTTTGATAGGGATCGATCAGCATCTGTATGACAGACCTTCATGAAAGTCTTGAAATTCGCCTCGTAAGTAGAATTATGAAAATTCTTTTGGACCTTATTTTGAACGAATTTGCCCAAGCGCTCAAAAGCAGATGGAGTTTTCCTATGAATAATTTCCACAGGGGAGTTCTCCTGCAGCTTCTTGTTTTGTTCCTGCCATAAATTATATTAGATACTTTAATAATCTACTCCAATGATCTTATTTTATCTTGTTACTATTACATTAGGAGATCCTTCTCCGCAGTAATTTCTTCTATCTTCTATATCAAACCTTCGATTTAGAGTTTCTGCTGTTGTTCCACTCTGATATGGGAACGTACTGAGGCTTCAAGATTTTGTATAATGGATTCATAATCATTATTGATGTGTTCTTCCAGTTACTCCTCAAACAACATCTTGATTCTAGTATGGTATTAAATAACATAGCAACCGATTCAAATACGCTACAATTTACAGAATGTATTCATATTATTATATTTCAGACTATCCACAAATCTCTTTGGTAGTCAATTTATTCATTTACTAATAAGATTCCACGACATCCTTATATGTAAAACATTATACTTTGTCAATTATATCGAGCACATCTATTAATAGCTATTTTATACTTTGCATAAATATATATAAATTAATAAAAACAGCAAGATCCTTTTACTATAGAAGTGAATGAGAAAAGAGTGATTATTTATTCTTGGCTATGAAATCCGAATTGTCCTAAAATTATTAATTAGAAATTAATATGAGGAAATTATGCAATAAAAGATGGTCACTGATATTTATAATTGATAAATTAATATATATATAAATGTTGAGTTTGTATCGAAACCAGTTGGCAGGCCAATAAAAGAAGGTGCTTCTGATTGGAAGTGGTTTGATGGCAGAAGCTGTCATTGATTAATTATTGAAGAGAAATGACGTACTATATGGATACATTTTTAGAATTTTGTCGTTGTTGCTTCAGCTCATGTGGAAGATGCTAAAAAAGTGACTCAGAACAAGGAGAGATGTTCAGCCCATCATTTAGACGTGACAGAAACAGATGAACTCAGAAGATTTGTTAAGAATTCCGACATTGTGATAGCCTATATTCCACCATAATTTATTGTTCCTATAGCCAAGGTATGTGCAGAGATAGGCAGATCCATGATTACATCACAATACACATTCCCAGAGATCAGAGCCTTGGAAGAGGAATGTAAGAAAAAGGGAATAATCATGTTGAATGAAATCGGTTTGGATCCAGGAATCGATCATTTGGCAACAGTGAAAGTGAGAGATGAAGTGTATGCAAAAGGAGGAAAGTAAGATAGAGAATATAATAAATTTAAGAATCATCGAATATGAGTCTTGGTGTGGAGGTGTCCCAAGTCCAGAGTTCTGTGATAACCCTTTTGGCTATAAATTTTCATGGAGTCCCTTTGCAGCCATAAGGAATATCAACAACGATGCCAAGTACTTAGAAAAAGGAGTTTAAAAGTATATTCCAGCATTCTGAGTTACTTTACTCAACAGAAATCATCCATGTGAATCCATCACTACAGATGGAAGGATATCCAAACAGAGATAGTTTACCATATTAAGAATTGTACGGTTTGAAGGATTGTTAGAAACTAGTGAGAGGCACTTTAAGATATCAAGGACATTGTGTGTTGATGGCAGCAATGAAGGCTTTGGGATTCGCATCAGAGGAGGTCATCAAAGTTGATAGAGAGATAAGTTGGTTCGAATATTTACTGAGCAATATAAGGTTTGAGTCTTGTTCAACTATGTTTTTGGCCAATCATCACATTACTCAATTGGCTAATACTATCGATTAGAAGGTGTTTACGTTAGCTTAATTGGAAACATTGTTGACCAAAGTGTTCAATCGTGTGTTCTCTTAATACTATTACAAAGATAAAAGTGAAGAATAATTATACAAGGATGCAGAATAAATAACTTATACTTTGAAGTGGATGGGAGTGTTCGATCCTAAAAACTTGATATTGAACAATGTAACTCATGTCCACAACTTTGCTGCTCATCTATAAACTCTTATGAATTATAAATAGGGTGAAACCGATTTGGTAGCCATGCAACACATCTTCAAAATTGTTTATCCCAATGATCCAAGAGTGTATGTCAAAAAGTCCACTATGGTGAAGATTGGACATCGAAATGGAAAGTATTCTATCATTTATATCCTTTAGATCTGCCATGGCCATTACAGTGGGTGTCCCAACTGCTGTAGCTACTTAGTTGATTCTGGATGGATAGATCAAGGTCACTGGAGTTCATATGCCAAACATCTCAGAGATCAACACTCCGTTGTATGAGGAACTCAAGAAGGAGGGCATCTATTGTGAGGAGGAAGATTATTGAGATTGCAGTTATCTGAATATGTATAGATTATTCCAATTTAATATTTTATCATGTTGTCCCTTTAAAAGAAATAAAAAGTAATTAACATATGCAAATATATATATATTTATATGTTATACTAAACAAATCATCCACTTTTGAATAAGAGTATTGCAACTTATCCCATATAAAAATAAATGAAGTGCTTTGTCTCATGTGTAACGTATGACCCAAAGTTTCTGCCAACTATGCAATGCCATGTTGGATTGTACTTTTTATCGAATTCCTTTTTGATGAATGCCTACATTCTTAAACATTAGATTTACAGCGATATCTTTTTCAATGTTGAATTTCTCCAATGCCTGATTGGCACAATCGATAGCATCCTATTGCATTTCCTCTGACATGTCTGCATTCTTTACCACTGCCTTTCTGTCTGCTTGAGCCATTGAACTTGATTTAATTTTTAAATTTATTAATAACTATCTTCATTTTATATGATGCAAATTTATATAGTACTTTTAATTTGTGAATTTATCAGTCAAATTTTACAGGTTATCTACATTTCGGACATTCCAATCGAGCCTTCAACCAGTCCGATATACAACCCTTATGATAAACATGATAGGGATGACAATCCAATCTTACGAACTCTTCCCCTTCAATAAATTCAGACAGACAAATCACGCATTCGTTATCATCACTTATCTTGTCCAATCCCACCGTCTCCACCTTTAGCTTATTTAGGTTTTCTTGGCTTGCCCCAACTCTATTAATTTTTTAAAGACTTTGTATATTGATACAATAAGCAAAAGGTAACACCACTACATAAATCACAAATATTAATATGGGAATCCCTAAAGTGATATACCTCAGTATCAAATAAGTGAAGGCCACTCCCCAAGTGAAATCAAATTCAGAATCCCCAATTTTGCAAGCTCCATACAAGTTCTTGTACAATTCCACCTACGTGAACAGGAAGACCACCACGTCCAATCTACAAAGTCTTAGCAATATTCATACAATATGGTCAAATATTTAATGAACTTGTAGCAATTGTGATAATCAGATATAGCATCAGATAAGTATTTAGTATTAGCGAACGAGTATTCAGGATAGGGTAATCGATTCTCAGTTTCACTTGAGTCTATCTCTCCCAAATCATCCCATATTATCAATAATAAATATAACATTTGAAATGCTTACTATATTGAATTTTTAAAGTACCATAGCATTAACTATTATAGCTAAAATGAAAAATTCTCTTAAAGATGTATCCACGCAGGGTTCCGGCAAAAAACCAAAGGCCAAAAATAACAGCAAAAGCTCTATAAAGGAAAATATCAATTTGAAAACAGCCTCATTACGCAGGTTCTTCAATACAATTATTTAATTAGATCTAAATGCTTACATATTTGCAGTACTCTAAGCCATCTAGTTTTCTTATTAATGTTAAATTAAATCAACATACCTAATTGTATTATATTAATAATCTGTTAATCAGTTAGTTATTCCTCAGGAGAAATCTACTGCATAAGTTTTGATCCTACTTTTATATTAATTATAATATTTTATTCAATTCAATTAGAACTTATTTTTAGTGAATGTTAGATACAAACGTTTATGAATCAGGTAGACACTTAAATTCAAATTGATTTAACTATGTTTATTTGTGACTGTTTCATTTTTTCAAGTCTAGTAAAAAATAAAAAAGAAAATACATTTTATTAGCACCTAATAACTTTAAAATAAGAAAACAATATAGGATTTATGGACAATCAATAATTATGTGTATATTTTGGATAAATCTCATAATTTATTATTAGGTCAAGATTATTAAAATTTTGGTGGAGAATAAATCTATATACCAAAATTCTAGATGTTTGAATATTCTTATTGCGTTATTAATTAAAACTATACTATCAGTTTACTTTCAATATATTATTAACTATTTCAATATGATTATTGTAAGAAGAACAACAGGAGGTATCTTTACTTTAAAATCATTCATCATATATTAAAACTATATAAAAAGATCTTTCTAGAGGTTCAAGACCATTTGATAAAATAGATAAGGGTTTTTTTCGTTTCAAGAAAATGCAAGGATGAAAACCTATGAGATTAACAATAAGAGAATATAGAAAGTATTTAGAGCTATTAATGATTATTTTGATATTTTCAAACCCTATAAAAGTTAGATGGAATTTAAAACTGAAGAAGGTGGATCCTTAACCTTATACGAAGTTAATATTGTAAATCGACCATATACATTTTATATTTGAAAGTACCAAATTATTAAAGCATTTTCCAACTTAATTTGATGTTAAATAGACGCTTTTTTTGATTGATTAGCTGTTAAAACCATCTCTATAATCCATTATCTATTACAATAAATAACTCATAATAACTATTCTTGTGAAGTTGTTCGATATAATTTTAAACATCAATATTATTTATTTAACGAATTTAATATAACATGTCATCCATACCTTCTATGAATTTGTTCAGTGGACCACAAATCTAAAAGACTAGATCTATTTATCGTCCTTTTGGAACTCATGAATCTAATTACTATTCATAGCCTCCCAAATAATTCTATCCGGAAAAATATTCCTCAATTCCATCTTATCATGAATATTTGGCAAATCAAGGAAGACCAGATTATAATTAATCCTATCCTGAATACATAGATAAAGAACATTATGTTCCTATTAAACATGAAAGTCCTTTTTAAACACTTTACAAGTATGATAAAACTAATCCTACTCCTAAAGATGCCTTTATTACTCCGTATCGACCTAAAGTACCAACAGATGAAGAAATTTAAGAGCATATTCCTATTATTGATTTAGTGATTGAATAACAGAGGTTTTACTCTCATTTTTCAGATCATGGTCTCCCTAAAGGGTATGCCGAAAAAGATTATCAAAGAGAATTAGAAGACAGATATAACAGAGATCTAACACAACAAATTAATAATGGCTTTAAACTACAAGAAACAAGAACTAAGAAGGAAATTGATGATTTTTATAGAAATATTAAAGTTGCGGTAGATGAAAGAGGAAGAGTTCAAATTAATAATATTAGACAACCATAACAAGTCTAAAAGGGAGTTTCCACTATTTATAAGACAACTGAAGACACTGCTAAAGTTGCCAGCAATTTACAACCATTTGATAATAATTCCTATCAATAACCTAACAAATAATAAGAATAACAATAATATATTAACCACTTTTAAGGATCTTTTCATCCTTATTAGTAACCTACTTAATAGCAATAACAATAATAGTAGCCAATTCATACAGAAGAAAAGGCTCCATCTGAAAAAAACTCAATTGTAATACCAATACCTGGTGATTCAAATTTATAATAATCATAACTTGAATAATCGAAGGTAATTACTAGCAATGATTGATATATAAATAATTTGATTTTCAACAAGTTTTTGGATATAAATTATTGTTGTCAATTTCTTAAACTATTTTAAAATTGCCATGATTATCTATGCATAATATCTTTAAGATTTTTGATCTCTAATAATTTACATATCTTGTATTAGAGACTCCATTAAAATATATATTAATAGACAAAGACAAAGAATTCTAATTATCTACTTCATAATCTTGCAAGAATATTATAGCATTATTGATATATTCTTAGAATTAAAGTAAAGAATCTAAAATTATTAAATAATTATTACAATTCTTGTTTTATTTGCTTTTTATGTGTCCACAACCAGTGAAATAGCCTCCAACTTGGCAGCTAACATTTTTTCCTATTTTTTGGTTTGCAATTAAGTACACTGGTGTTTCTTATTCATTTTACCACTTGACTATTATCGTAAATTTGTTGTTATTCAATTTATAAGGATTAATGGTCAATTTTTCTTCTGAAATTAAGAAATTTCCACAATAATCAAAATATTTTTCATTTTAAAACACTATAGTTATGTATGATCCTTTTTTAATATTGTATATTATGTTCTCATCATCGATTGATTATTCAAAATAAGGTTGATCTTTTATGTGAGCACATTATATAAATTCTTTATACACTCTAAAAGTTCCTTTTTGAATTATTCTATTGCTTAATATGTCCATAAATTTCAATTCTACATTTAATAATTTAAATTATTATTATAAATTACTTTAAAGTAATCTAATTTTTTATTATTTAACTTATTCCACTTAGACATCCATTTAAATTTAAGAATTATCAGAACATACCTAAATATTATTAAGCCCTTAAATAACTGAATTCTTATCCCCTTTGATAACAAGTTATTGATGAATATCCTTTTTGTTGAAATATTGATTGGTAAACTCCTGATTAAATGTTTTCACTGAGTTTGGTTCTAATTATTTGAATAAACTATTTTCGCTTGTTAATGCAACAATAAATTCATATTATTCACAACTTGTATCACAATTAATAGCTTGAAATTCATTAATCGTTTATAATTAATTGATTGTTTAACAATCTTATAAATTAAAGCTATTTGCAATTTGGTTAAAATTCACTTAATTAAATTCAGGTAGCATATCCGATTCAATAGAATGGTCCATAGATGGCTAAGTCTGAATCTTTGGCAAAGGGATTGATTCTAAGCAAACAATCCCAACTATTGTTGTTAAGAAAAATAAGCTTATAACTATCTTCTACGTGAGTGGATTAAGCAACTTACTGATTTGATATTTGACCGAAACTGTGTACATTGCATAAGTATTCATAAAAAGCAGAGATGCTTCAAAAAGAAATACTAAACCTAATAGTAAATTTAGATTCTTGATATAGTTTATTGCTTTATCTTCACAAATTGATGATAAACACTTCAGTTCATTGTTATACTCCCAGGCCTCCACCTAATACACCAACGGACATTGTTCATTGTTGATATATTTGGAACAACCCATATCTTCAATAACGTCATTGTGTAAGGCTCTCAAAGCCAATTAATCATTAGTTGGAACCCAAAATTATCCATTTCTAATTACTAGGCAACCGAAAACTGTATGCAAAATCGATAAAAGCAAGAAAACAGTTCCCAAAATATTATATGCCTTTTTATTGCCCATATAGTTGAATAACATTGAAATAGCCAAAAATAAAAGAGTAGGAATTTGTAGCAATGTGTTCCATTCAATCCAATAGTCAGCTGTTTATATTTAAGATGGTAACTCTTGAACCTAATATATTTTAACCCAACTCAAAAATATTACAAGGGAAAGAGTAAGACTTAAATTATATTAATGTTAAATACCTTTGGAAATAAATTGACAATCTCAATACATTTGGTGATTTACAAAAGTAACTATTGGTTATTAAAATTACAATTTATATTAAAATTTAAATTGAAAATCCGATGATTATTAAAAAGATGAATAAGTCCTTCATTGCTTGTTCTTAGATTGTTATTAATAGGAATCCCATAAATTCATAAATAAATACAGTTGTTAAAGTAACACTGAAGACCAATTAAAATCTGGTTAAGAAATTGTTTGTAGTCTCGGTGTGTTGTTATTATGCTTAAATTGTTTTTCGATTTTAATCATAGGACCAAAACATTCTCTAATTTACTTAGAATGGCTTACAATAAAAGTGAATAAACTATTCCGATTCCATCCACTATCATATAATTAATAAACCCCAGATGCAAGTACATCAATCCTCCTGAAACTATTAACTGTAATAGACTAAAAAAGAATATTATTTTGATTCTTCTGAATATGATATCAACATCATCGGAATCCAAATCCTCTATTTCCTAATTTGGCTGTTAATTTATCATATTAATATTAATTAATATATATAATGTTTTCACATTTTTAATTGCATTTTTAGCATTCTATTTTCTTCTTTAACTATATTACAATTCGCCTATTCGATATGCAGCTATTGTAAATTGGTTTTTAATTGAAATTATTTAGTTTCGAATTCTTACTCGCATTGCTAAAGATTATGATTAATATTCATACATCCAAAAATTCGAAATATGATTTTACTTTCTCACTTATTGTTCCTTCATTTTGAATTTGATAATTACAAAACCTCTTCACATTGATGTTCTTAAAAAAGTCCTCGAGTATTTTTGTTTCATCAAATAGCTATTGATATTCCCTTTCCTTCTTATCTAATTATTGTTTCAATTGATTAGTGACATTGATGTCTTTTCTTAATTTATTTATATCCACCTAATACATTAGTTTTTCTTCATATTTTTTTTACATTAGATCCTTCTCCTCTTACAGTTGCTTATACTGTCTCTATAAAGTAGCTAAATCAGTGTTAAGCTTCTAATTGGCCTTCTACAACATAAGAACATTATCTGATAGCTTCTTTTGCTTATTATCATCCCCCTCATTTTGATTGTTACATTGAATCTATTATATGGTTTATTCCAACTCTGTTTTTAAATTGGATAATTCAATCTTGGCTGTTCGTAGTCTTTGATATTAATGAATAATACTTATCAATTTCCTCCAAAGACTTGGACCTTTAAGTTTACTCTAGTTTCAATTCAGACCTCAGTTTCAGTACTTCATTTTCTTTCATAATTAGCTTTTGATTAATGATATCGAAACTATCTAAGAACTTACTCAACTTCTCCTTTTAATACTTAAACTCTTCTTACAATTATCCATACTTTTATATTTCCTCCTGATTTACTTTATTTTTTTCTAATTCTAGTAGCAATTCTTAATTTTGTCTTTTAGCTTCATCCAAATTAGTCTAAGCTTTATGAAATAAATCTGAGTAATAAGTTTTCTCATCATTTAGTATGTTAGATTCTTACTATTATTTATCAAATTGTGTCTTGACATCTTGAAATTTTGATAATACTGCCTACTTAACAAAATCATTATTCAACTTTGTCTCTTCCAATTCCATAGAAACATTTAATTAAGATAGGAACTCAATTTATTTTTATTCCATTTGAGTAAAGTTCTCCTTCTACTTTTTTAAGACTTTTAAGGACTTTAGATACTTTTTTGAGTTAAGATCACTTCTTTTCTTACATTTTAATAGCTCTTTTAATTAATCTTCAATCAAGGTTTCTTTTAATAGCATCTATTCCTTTAGATCTGAACATTCAGATTACAATTTATCTACTAAAGATTTGTTGAATTCAATTTCATTCTATAGTCTCTCGATTTCTCCACTCTAAAATTCAATAGTTTCTGCATCCGTATCCATCTAATCTTTATTGATTTATAATTAGTCAGTTAGTTCCGAGATTTTATATTCAAGTTCTTGTAATTATTAAGCCTTGTCTTCTTAGAATGTCTCTAACTGGGTTTCATACTTTTAGGTTAATTGAACTTACTCTGCAAATTATTCCATCAGCATTTCCTTGTCCTTTTATAGTATCTATAAATTCTACTCCAATTATGTGATAAGCAATTATTATTCATTCCTTCTGTGTTTCAAGATTGTTTCCTCTTACTGAAGTTCCAAGATTCTTTAATTCAACAATTCATTTTTATATTTCAAATCTTTTTAAATGTTTAATGCTTATTCCAATTGCAAATCTTTATCTTGCATGCCTAATTATGAACACTTATGATTCTTCGTATTATAATCTTCCAATTCAGTTATTCTGGATTCATAATAATCTTTCATTTATTTAAGTTCCTTAGTCAGCTGATCCTAATATTACCCACTTTCATTTAATTGATAACTGAGAGTGTTTATTTGTGAAACCAATTCAACCTCCTTTTATTTTTTAGGAATAATCTCAGATTGAAACACAGATTATTGTAATTCATTCTTCAATCGTTTTATTTCAGCCTTCAAGGATTCCAAATTACCACCAACTTCTTCATTAACAACTGCTTAATTCTTAATATTTTTGGCTCTTGAGGCAAATTTCAAAGTACCTAGAGTTTCCTAGAAGGAAGAACTGGCTGCTGAAATGGTTGCTATCATAACAGTTTTGGAATTTCCTCCTAAACTTTCTCTTAATAGGAAAGTCAATTTGCTATCTCTATAAGGTATGAATTTCTTGGGATTTTCAGCCAATGAATTAATGACTAAACCTAACACAGTAAGAGACTTATTGATATTAGATGCTTCTTTTAATCTGTCACCCGTGGCTGCTGTTAATTTTTATCTTTCACTTCCAGCCAAATCGACAAAATTCAATTTACTTCTCCTTGTGTACATTCCTTTTGTTCGCTATTCCAATTGTAAAGTGAATATGGAATGACTTCTAGAACTCTCCAAATTCATTTGAGTTGCTGAAACATGTCTATTAGCCAATCCTCTTTACATCAGAGATAAAACATCATTGAAGGATGAGGCTGCTATTTCTGTGATATTTTCAACATAAACTCGTTTAGAATCTTCTCTGATTGTTAGTGGCATCGGTTTGGCATCATTTAAGAGATCAATCAATTATTCATTATAAATTTCTAAGTAAGTACATTTGATTGCCCAATTATTCTCCTTAGGCAATTCCTTGAATAATTGCTGAATCAGACGTGGTTACAATCCCAAATGTACACTATCATGTGCATTGTCATCATAACCCTTTCCTTGCATTGTGTAAGTCTTGCCAGCACCTGTTTAACCGTAGGCGAAAATGCAGCAATTCAAACCATCAAGAAATGATTGAAGTGTAGAATTGCCGATCTTGTCAAATACTTACTCTTAAGTAGAATCAGCACCCAATACATGATCATAAGAGTATTCTTTCTTATTATCCAATGTAATGGAATTAGCAGTTGTAGAAACACAAGCATTTGCACCCAAATGAGTTTCTCTGTAATTTAATGGCCTAACCCTAACTAAGACTCGAATATTTTCCATCAATTTAATGAGTATTTAAAATTTGTTTAACGAATTAATTTAAATTAACAAATGAATTAAATGGATGGATTGATTGAAGAGAATACACAATTAAAGAAAGCCATCATATCCTCAAAAGCTGTCATATCACGCAAGATAAGTAAGACAATCATAGCATCATTTAGATGAATTTGAAACATTACAAGCTATAAATGATGAATTAAAACAACACATTGATAAATTGAAATTGGATAATAATGAATTGAATCAAAAACTTAGAATTGCACTCCACGAAAAAAAATAAACTGAATAGCAATTTGATAATGCCAGCAAAAGTTGGAAATTACTAATTGAGCAAAAACAAAGAGAACTAGAAGAAATCTAAAGCAAATTAAGTCCTTCTTTTGATTAGGACATGATTAGAATCAAATTGTTGAATGAATTAGAAATACCTCATAGATAATAACTTGAAGTTAAATAGAATGAAATTGAAAAGCTAAATGAGGTTATCTATCAACTTAAAAGAAATCTGGATCTTGAAATTGCTAAAGTAGAAACTACTAAATTAGAAAATGCAAAAGAAATCAAATTGATTCAAGAACGATTCAAATTGGACAACTCTGATTTGCAACATCAAATAGAAGAACTAACCAAAATAATAGAGGATAGTAAAGATAGAGATCTCATAAGAAGATTGAGAAAGGATTTGGATGAATATAAATTGAAATTTAATAATGCAGACACAGAAAATGTAGAATTAAGAAATGAGAGAGACAAAATAAGAGAAGAAAAAAATGAAATTATGATTAAGTTTGCCAGATAAATAGATTAAGAAAGAAATGATAAACGCCAATATAAAAGCGATTTTGATAAAATATAAGTGAGAACCAGATTTATTGAAGATGAACTAAGAAAGGAGAAGTAAAGAAGAGAGTAACTGTCCACAAATTTTGAAATAATGAAAACTGAAAAAGATTAATTACTGACTGAAATAAGAAAGAAGGATGACACTATTCATTATTTACAAAGGAAAATTGGAGATATGGAAGAAGAATAATTAGAATAAGAATAAAAAGTTCAAGATAAATTAACTCGTCTTTATCAGGATGAGCATGATAAATATTTACAAGAGAGAAATAAAGCAGTTACACTGCAGAAAGATCTTGATAATTTGAAGAAGAGATTTAGTGATTTGCAAGACGATTACAAAATACTTAAGGATAGATATCAAAAGGATAATACGGATAATAAGGATAACAGCAAAACTTAAAATGAAGAAATAGAGAAATTAAAGAAGATTGTGTCTTAGTAACTCAAAGACATTGGTGATTTAGAAAGATCAAATAAAAATAGAGAAGAGTAGATACATGACATTGAAAATGAAAACGAAACTTTGAAGAGAAGAAATAGAGAATTACAACATAGAATATAATTGATTGAAGTTAATCCTTTACCCTCCCCCTAATAATAAACATAGATGATATTTAATCAATCATAATATCCAAGTTTCGCTTAGTCTCCTCAATACGTTTAATAGATATAAGATTAATATGAAACTAAACCTAAGCAAAATACTGCAGCTTAATCAGAAAATGAACCCTAGAATTAAACTTAAGCATAAAAATAAACTCTCTAATAGATAACAGAAGAAAATAGAACATTAATTCAAAAAAATAAAAAGCTTAGCAAAAAATTAAAGGAAGCTAATGATAAAATTTTAGAACTTTCTATGAAAAATACTCTTTTAGAAAAGTAAATATAAAGGTAGCATTCAGTCCCTTAATATTCAAATTAGGAATATTAAGGTAATTACACTCATTCTTAATCTCCTCTTAGATACAATTACGAAAACTATGATTAATAAGACACAAGACAGGCGTAGCAAACTCATACTGACACTAGATTAGATAGATTTGACAAGTCGGATAGATATGGTTAACCAAACTAAGATAAATATCGATCTCGAAATTAATCAGGGATGAATTAACAATATAATTAAGGCCATTATAACTAGATTCATGAGGATGATTTACTGAATAAGGTAATGATGCTGACTAACAATAATACCGGGTAAACAAAGTATTGGTGACCTTCCTATTTTTTTAATAAATGCTTAAGTTAACATATTTATAATTATAATTCAAATAATGTTTCTGTTTATCTTGCTATCATATGCATTAGCTTGTTCAGGTATGCATGTGAATCTTATCTAGATCAGAATTGCGTAGAATGTAATTAACCTACAATTTGCACTGCTTGTGTATCAATATTGACCAAACTCTTAGGTTTCTCCTCTAATATTAAGCAACAATCAATGCGTATTCAATTGTCCATCAAACTATTACCCCGACATTGTAAATAATGTGAGATAGTGTCTGAAATGTAATGACAAATGTTTGGAGTGTTTTGATGGCTCACCATCTGGTTGTACTAAATGCATGAAGCCTTTGAGATTGATGTGTGGCAATTGTATTGATAGTGTGGCAGATTCTGGGTGTTCTGATTGTAGTTCTCAATGTGTAATGATCCTATCAAATATTTCAGATAACTTGTTTTGGCAGAACCTCATCGGAATGCTACCTTTGTAAACTTCCGAATTTCCATTCTCCAAACACTGACAGTTGTGAATTAATATGTGAATACCCATTGTATGGAGACGTGAATGATTTCTAGTGTAAAAACTTTTGTCCCCAAGGCACCTATGGCTAACCAATCACACGATAATGCTTGCCAAATTGTCCAGATCCTTATTTTAAAAATGAATTGAAGACAAATTGTGTGAAGGAAGTATTTTTATAATTTCAATATCAAGTGTCCAATGGGTACCTACCCCTAAGATAAATCATGTTTGACATGCCATACAACATGCGAAACATGTTCTGGTGGAAAATCAACAGATTGCATATTTTGCAAAGAAGGCTATTTTATGTATAACCAATAGTGTGGATATTGTGAGAACTTATAATACTCAAACAACGAAACAAGAACCTGTGTAGATTTCATTACATATTCCTTAAATATTTTAGAAGCCCATGATTCAACCATAGTATTTGAAATTTCATTTTCAAGTGGCATTAATCCAGACACTCTTGATCTTAAATCTCAAATTGATGTTATGAATATAGATAGTTCATAATATTAAATGTAAACAATAATTAATATCAATTAGGACATTAAGTTCTGTTTAAGATGATTAATTCTTTGTCATTACTTTAGATTTTGACATATCTCATAGGAACACTCAAATCTCCTGTAATTTTACTAACAATATTATGAATGAAAATAACACTCCCATTCTATTGTCTACTGCAGTTTAAAATTTGGAAATACCTGCATAGTTTATACCACCAAATTAAGAAGCAAATAGTAATACAATTAACACTTATATGATCATCAGTTATTTGTCTTACTTTTGCTTTTTGTTTCTCCTATGTCTACTCTTAAGAACCTAAAGAAGAATGTTCTACTTAATTATAAATACCTTGTAATTCATTCAAGTAATGATTTTTATCAATTTTACTTTTTCAACACTTACGTTGAACTCCCTTTAACTGTTGGATGTTGTAAATTTAAGGAGAATACCAGCCTTGGGAATTTCTTATGATGGAACTTCACTACATTTCTTCAACACCCCAATTTACAATCAAATCCCAAACAACAATTTTCTTTACAATGCAGGCTATTATTATAATTTCATAGCCAATGGAGGCATATAAATCCTTGGAATTCTAATTATATTTTGGATTATTTGGGCAATTAGCTTTATTTTACATAATTTTATCTTGATCAATAACAAAATAGAGACATTGAAATTTTATAGAACAATGCTAGAAGGTAGCAGTGATTTGCTAGTACGAGTTAATGAGTTTCTCTACTTTCCATTGATTCTCATTTCCATTTTATAACTGTGGGGATATGACTTTAGTTCGGATATCAATATAGCCTCATTTGTATTGTCAATTGTCACTATATTATACTACCTGATATATTTCAGAAGTGTATACAAATCGTAATTCCTTGATATAGATCAATAGGAAATGGAAAACAAATACTTCACTTTCTTTGCTGATTTCAAGCAATCAAATGAAATCAAAAAGAACTATGAATTTATTAATTACTTCTTAAAATCGAGTACTGCTTGTTCGTTAATTTTACTCAATAATTTTCCTTTTGTTTAGTTTTCAATATCATTTTCTTTGATTTCACTCTACTTCATACTTCTGATTCAAAGAAGACCATATCTAAGAAATATCATGAACTATTCAGCCATTTTTGGATATCTCATAATTATTGGATTGTATATAACATCCATTATATCAGAAATAGAATATCAATCTAAGATTAACGACATAGCAATCACAAATAATTATGTTGAAAAATAATACATTTTCGGATTATCTTTTATGATATTAATTTAGATTGTTTTAGGGTTTTATGCAATTACTTTTAGTTATAATAAATTTCAAGATTATTTAAAGTTTTTAGATAAAAAACCAGATTGGGGTAAGAGTTTCTTATAAAAAATGGAAAAATTCATGTTTTCAGATAAAATTCAAGAAGTGGAAATGGGCAATATATCTTTAACAAATTGAATACTTTTAATTTGTTGTTAATTATTAATTTAAATTATTATTTTTGACTAGAATTATAATATATTAATCTTTTAAGTAGATACTTCATATAATCATCATTAAATCAATAGATAAATATGATAAGTTAATATCATCTATAATATATTATAATGTTTATTGATGATTTTAATTAATAATTAAGAATTTAGAAGCATATAGTTTCTTGAATTTTGATTTATTTTCATAAATGAGTTGATTTGTTTATCCTTATATAATCTGAGAAAATTTCTACAATAATCTACAATTTTTATATATTTTTACATTTGAATGTTCATGGTTCATTAGAATTATGATTATTTTCAAAGAGAATCAAAATAATGCCTTAACAAATAATTTAAATAATATAAATTTTATTCTGATGTTTCTTATGAAACCTTAAACCCCAACATTCGGAGATAAAAATAATTCAAGAAAACCTTAGATTTAGATCAATGAAATAAATAGTAATTCTCGCTTTTATAGTATCCCTACTCGCTAGACAAATGCCCAAAGCAGAAGTTCATCTTAGAGAAAAAAAAAAGATTAAATGGTATTAAATTTTCGAATTTTTAGATTAAAAAATGGAAGGAACTTTATGATGAACAAACCAATTTTTACATGAGATTGTTGAAAGTCAATAACATTGAATTAATTGAGTTACCTAAGTTTTAACTATAAAAATGATATATGCTTAATTAATTTATAGAATTTATATTTATTTTTCATACAAAATTATAATGCCTACCCCTTTTTTATTAAACTCAATAGATCATTAATTCGTGATTCAAATCATGATATATAATTTAAGAATTATCATTTATCTTAGAATTAAATTAATTAAGTTAATGAATCCTTATGCTTCTCGTTTAAAATTGTAACCCATAAAAAATCTCAATAAAAGGTCAATTGACCTAGATTTAATTGAATTAGAGAAAATACACTTCGTAAATAGGATGGAAAAAATGATTAAATCTAAGAGTATTTCTCCAGAAGTTCGAACTCCAACATTTTCTAAAAGCCTAGATAAGAAAGATGGCATAAAGGAAGGCTTCCCTAAAAAAGTGAAAAATAATAATAAGAGATTGCTCAAAATATATGATGAAAGTAAGGAAAGTGAAAATAATGAACAATCAACTTTTCCATGTACCTAATAAACCAAAAAGCTATAATAAACAAATGATAGACGACAAAAATTATGATAAATGAATAAAAAATAAAATAAATAAATATCACTTAGTGGTTTTGTAAATAAAATTTGGATTTTCTTTATATTTTTGTTATAATTTTTATAGCCATATTTACAGGACATTTGCTGGAGTAATCAAAACATCTACTTCTTATCCATTTATTACAACTTCTTTATTATAAGCCGTCATGAAGTTATATAGGTTTTGAGCTATTGTCAGACCGTATTTTAGCTTATTTTAAGCATCATTTGTTAGTTGCACTAGTTCTGTGATTTATTCATTAATAGGTTCGACACTAAGAACCAATTTTATTTAGTCTTGATCTGTTAAAATTTAATTGAAGGAAGTGGCAAAAATATCTGATGGTCTTTGATTTGCAATGGCTCCCAAGAATGAGATTCCATCAAATGGATACCTAGAGTAAAACAAACACACTGCATATCCTTCAGGAATTGGATTGAGTAAAAATAGAGCAATTGAATGCACTTATTAAGCATTTTGGATGTCCATCATATAATAATTTCCATTTAACAAAAACTAAGTCTAACTTAAATATCCAGGAATCATGACACCGAATGGTGCTTGCACTAAATTAGAACCTATTTGATTATACATTTTACTAAAAACATAATAATAAAATTAAAATCAAGGTGTTTTCTAATTCTCAAATAGAATGTTCCAGGTGTTTCTTTTTTGTTTAGAGTGTCTTAAAAAGAAATAAAAAAATTGAAAATTATATAATAATAAAGTTGTTATCAATTTAAATCATCTTCGTCCTCATAATCTCCATATACAAGCTAAGATGATATTTGCCCTCTTAATGGTTTTTATTAAAATTATTTTTAGACAACAGGAGTTAAATTCTAAGACATTTAAGATTGCTATTGTATTTATCTGGGCTAAGATTGATTAAAGCTCTTTGACATAACGAGAGATCCATTGTCAAGATTATTATCATCTTGTTTAGGAGAATTCATTTCATCATTTTTAGCATATTTAGACAGATTTTATGAAATCTATTTCATTTCTTAATCTCCTATGCCTCTAAGTAGTTGTTGTTATCTGAGTTTTTCTTCGTTTTGATGCTTATGTCTTCTGATTTTCACATCCACTTATTCCTATTGCAATAATCTCTTATGACGCAAACCCCTCATAATATTGACAATATTTACACTGAAGGTATGAATGCTAATAACTCAGTTTATAGATTTGTTTTAGTCTAATATAATTTGTCTTCCTTTGCGTACAAATTCAATTGACTACATGAATTTCAAATAACATACCTATTTCTATTTCTTTACAAAATTTCATTGACTTAGTTCATATAATCTGAATACTTTTGCTTTTGAGAATTCCTGATGAATATATTTATAAGCATAGCTTTACTTTTCCAATTTTAATTATTTTAACTATTCAGTTGTCAACTTAATAAGAGCCTAATTGATTTTGTGGTCACTTTAATCTTGCATGGAATGTATACTCTCATCGAGAAACTTTCTCTTGGCTTGTCTGCATTAGAATTATCTATTTACAATTCGTTGTAGGTAGCATCGTAATCTGTGACAGCAATCATTAATAAAATTTAAAATATATATATATTCAAGCATATTTATAAACTAACACAATTGAAATACCAGTCAAAAAAATAGCAAAAACAATTAAGAAAATTACTTTATGTTATCTCATCTTTGATTAGATTCTTGATAATCGACTATTGGATTCTCCCAAGTCATATTAAATTTCTGGCATTTTATTGATATTCCTATCCAAGGTTTCGGATTATCCTTTCAATTGAACTTGGATATTGTTAGAAATAGATTCTATTTCAAAGCACACTTTCTTTGCATCTTCCAACTACAATGTTTGTTTGACTAATTTATCTTGGGTATTTATAAATTGTATCTGTTGATTATCTTATTCACCAAATAAGGAATCCTTAGTTTTTTGGGATGAGATGTCATCTTGTAATATTCTAAATTATTTTTTTAATGCTTCAGACTCTGATTTATATCTTTTCACTTTGTTCTTTAACTCTTGTCTGTCTGAGACTGCAATACTGGCTGACTCTATATCCATTTATTGTAACTACACACATAAAATAAGTAATTTACACAATTCTGCAAATCACTAAAAGTTGACTCTATCTCAGTTAAAGCTTCATCTGATTTATTAATTTATATCTATCGAATTAATGAACAGACTTATTGTTAATATTTTTCAAATTCCACTTCATAACTATTGAAAACTTCAGACATTTTTGGATATATTTAAATGTATAAATAAAATAATAATAAAATTATCAAAAAATAAAGTTGATAAAAATTAATGATCAAACTACCTGCCTCCTACGTACATTGTCTTCAGATAGAACAGCTAATTTAGTTTCTAAGTTCCTTATTTTCTATTTATATCCATTCAATGCCCCTTCACTTCTTTCTGTCTCTTATGATTATAATTGATCTATCTTCTATTTAAACCTAAATAATTATTCCTCAGAAGCACTTAGCTAATCTTGCAATTTATCACTTAAGAATTTCAATTATTCATTTTCATTTAAAATAAAATCTATCTTTTGATCAATATCACCCAAATTGTTCAACTCGTCTTGACTGAATTTCAACTATTCTGTTAATTCAGCATTTCTCTCTAACAATTGTTTAATATGCTCCTCTTATGCTACAATAGTCTCTTTTTTATTCTCAACCTATTAATCCTTATAATCCAACTCCTTCAGAACAGCCTAGTATTTGTTCTCTGACAGGATTCTATCCTCTTCAGATTTGCTGTATATTTAAACATATATATTACATCAACTATTCCTTAAGGATGGCTACTTCTCCTCTTAATTAACTTAATTCTGTTTAATCGCATGACCTTTATTTCTAGTATTTAGACTCCTTTGTCAATAGCTATTTTATGAGTTCTGCTGATTTCTCATTTTCTTCTAGAAGTACTATAATCTTTTTAACTAAATCCACTCTTTATTAATTAGGTGACAGATTCTCTTTGTTTTTGGGTGATTGCCAAGTAGCATACTTGCAGTCAGTACTAACAGAGCGAACTTGCTGAAATGGATGTCTTAATAGGGCTGGCCCTTAAACTTTGGAAGGAGAACACACATTCATTAACGGTATATTTTATATAATTCATTTATATTCTAAACTAAATTTATATATTGCATAGACAAACTATTAACCAATTACATATAACAACTTCTAAATTAAGAATATTTTATTGTTCAAGATTGATAGACTGTTCAACTTCTAATTATGGGTTGTAAATTTTAATTTATACATCTTAGAATTTATACATAAATAAAGAGAACTCTTGTTGAAAATCAAAAAAAGAAATAGACATAGATAATGGAAGAATAAACAAATATAATAGAGATTTAGATAGTTTATGATAGTTTCATTAATAACTCATAAAGTTATTTTTAACAATATATACCTAAAAAGTTGCAAATAACAATTGAAAATTACGACTTTTTGTTAAACAGTGATAAAATTAACATAATAAGCAATGAATTTGATTTTGTATATTTATTACTTGTTTATGATGATTTATCTAACATATCTTAGATAAATAGGGATATTATATAATTTATTTATACATAAACAATAAAATAAATAACAAAATCATAATATTTAAAATCCAACATATGTTCTTAGTAGCCATTTTATTACTTCAGCTATAGTTAGCAAAAGCAAACAAAATGGAAGGCCTGCTGAACCTAATAATTCCCAAGGCATATTAACTGTCTAAAAAACCTATTAAATTCCTGGAACATAAACAATAATTGGTAATATAATTAATGATATCGTTAATCCATATAAGGCTAAAGTATTAATTCGAGTAGAATTATAAGATTTAACTAGAGTTCTTAATGCAAAGTAATTGATACTATTATAAGTAATTATTTTTACCATTACGATAATACCAAGACTATATAGAAGGATGTCGATGCATATTCACTTGATTTGGCAGTATAACAGTATTAAGAGTTGCTTAAACAATTAGGGTACTCATATTTTGTATTCCAGCAGTCAGTTAAATACCCATTTTGTTTTTACATATCTGAACAGGTGCCACATTCAACAAATATTAACCTCTGATCAATAGTATTATTAGGAGAACTCCATTGATAATTCTACATCTCACCATAATATTAGCAATTATCCTGTAGATTTGAATTACCTAGAGTATTACTTTATGGATTATAAATATCTTGATCGCCAACAGGATAGGCACTAGCAAATCTTGTGAAATAGAGATTCTATAAATTAAACCCAAAATAACGATAAGCACTGAAACTTGCCATAAGTCCTCCACCTGCCTCAATACAACCAATAATCAAAATAGCAAAGAGGAAGAGATTGGTTCTATTGGGAATTCTGTATTCTAACTCTTCTCTAGCTAAACTGATTCCAAGAATCAAATCAACGGAAATGCTAGTTAATAACATAAGGTTTTGTGAAAAGGGTAAGGGAGTTCCGAGAAAACAATAGACGAATAAAGCTAAGATCATGGCTGTATTTGATGATAAACAAAGCATAATAGATTTAGTAACATTATTGACTGCTCTTTTTGCTTCCAATATTGCTTAATAGCTATCAAGAAAAGTTTATTTACTGGAAGTAAGGATCAAATCACTAGAATTGATAATCATTTGTAATGATCCATGTTTTTTACTGATACTGATGTCAGCCTATCTAAATGCTCCTAAATCAGTTAATCCTTCTCCAGTGATGGCAACTCTATAATTTAATTGTTATAGAGCCTTGACAATGCTTAATTTCTGTTCTGGGGATGTTCGAGCAAATACGATTTCTTATTAGGAACACCAATTTCCTAATTTGTTTTCAACAGAACTTAATCTAGTAACTTCCTATTGATCATCGACATGTAGATACAACTAATGACCTTCTATGATGGTTGGATTACTGTAATTCCCTGTATTTTTGCATATGACTCTTGCAGTTTCTGGGTGTTCTCCAGTGATGATCACGACCTTAATATTTTATTGTGATAGTTTCTCTAGGATAGGAGTAGCTTATTCATTGAGACTGTTGTTTAAATACAAAGTGCCTAAATAGATGAAGTTTTATTTGTTGAATTCATAATCATTTTCATTAATTTTCAAATCTTATTCGTTTTCAATTTCTAAATAAGCGAATCCTATGCTTCTAAGTCCCTTTGAACATTAATTCACTAATTAATCATTAAATAATTGAGTCTATTTGATATCAATCTTGCCAAATAGAGTCTTATTACAGTAACTCCATATTACTTCAGGAGCTCCCTTGATGTAAACAAAATATTTGTTTCCCTATTCCACAATAGATAATGAATATTTCTTGCTGCTATTGAATGGCAAACGATATTGAATGCCATTCACATAGTATTTAGTATTTTTAATTAAACCATCAGTATCCTCATCTTTAAAACAATCCATTATGCTCTTTTCTGTTCCATCCAAATTTCCATGATTACAAGTCAGTATTGCACAATACTGGAGGTGAACAGAGTTTAATCCACGACATTCATATGATAGTTACTTACAATCATTGAATGAATTGAATGTGTAATTCTTACTAGTGATTACTTCATTTAATCCAATACATAAACAATTGATTTCACTTAATCTCTCAATACTTTCAGCATCCTTAATCAAGAATCTAAGTTTGGCTAATCTTCTAATTGCCATTTAAAATGAGATCGTAACAATCACTAATAATCCAACTGGAACTATTGCAATGATCACTTATTCAACCACTCTAAATCCATATGCAAACACCTCAGATGTATCCTTTTCAGTCATAACGGCACTCCAAATTATTACCAATACTATCACAAATAATGCTATTAGAGTCATTATTTATTAGAACAAAATCAACTATTTCTGCAATAACTTACTCCCCTATCTCTTTTGAATTTAAGCAATCGTAGTACTTGATCCAGTCTTAATTACTACTCCCTTTCCAAATCCACATCTTATTAGTGATCCACAAAATATCTATGACCCTTTTATTGCTTAGGTTATATCTTGATTCATCTATATTTATAAATCCGAGGATTCCAATACTCTCATGTCACAATAGATTACTAGACCCTCCTTGATTACACAAATATCTCCTGAAACCAGATTCTGAATCAAAAGATGTTATATTTTCCCATCTCTGTATACAGTGATTGTTTATTCATTGTCTTTCTCTATTGCATACTAGGATTTCTTTCTTTGTTGATATCCCATCGCAAAAGTTATCGTTATTACTATTAACAATAAACAAGATGTAATTATTTCTTCACCACTAAATTCAAGGTTGTTTTGACTTCCATAAATTGCTAAGCTTATCGAAATTATTGTTGCAATAATTAGATCAAAGGCAAATAAATTCAATTCTTTTATAAACATTTTCCAATCACTTACATCGATTGCTTTTGATTATTATCTTTTCGATGCTTCCTCATTTGAAAGTCCAATACCAAAATTGGTTTTCAAAAGTCTCTCCAATTAATCCAAAGGACAAAAGTATTCCTGCATTTCTGTGTACTTCTCATACACACTTGGTGCCGGTCTCTCTATTTATTCTTCTTATTCAGCGTAATTTATACTCATTTAGAGTTTAGTCTGGATATCAGGTCCTTTCTCTAGAAACCTAAATTACTCACATTCCTACCTAGGTTTGCATATCAGCATATCCTACATTTCGGAATCAGTCATCTTCTATTTATTAACTAAAATATATTAAATTTTGGATTTTATATGGAACACAGAAGTATCTAAAATCAAAAGATTAATATTTATGTGATCATTCTTCAACAATTAACTAAATTTATGATGTATTACATTACAAATATCAATTATTGTAATGTATCACAATACATAATCAAACTTCTAGTGTTATTTATTACAATTACAATAATACTGGCGTATTAAATTGAATAGATGTAATTATTTTACATATATTGTTTGGATTTTTGATAAACAGAAACCATTTAAATAAGATCTATAATAGATAATATATGAAATATATTTAATGGGAGAAATAAAATAGTTTATTGATAACGATATTTTAAATTATCATTAAAATGGAAAAAAACTAAGATTAATAAGAAATAAGGCATCTTAGAATGCTGGTATTTAATAATAGGATATTAAATTACTCAAATAAATTAATAAATTTCATTAATAGCTTTAGTAATATTCTGAATTTCATTTGATACATTTGAATAATCTTATTCTAATTTTAAAACTGTTTAGAACTATTTAAATATATTTAATAAATCAGATTCCATCTTATCAATCTAAATAGTATTTAATAGAATTATACTTAATCTTTTTGATCTTCATATTCTGTTTATACGTCATGTAAAACTCTAGTCAAGACTGTGCAGGCATCTTCAACAGATTTGATTCTTTCTTCTTTTTCAGTAAGATCATTCTAAATTTATTCAAATCTCTACGGTATAGCAACTAGAATCTGTTTGCCGGTGTCAGTTAATTCTGCAATCTATTATTACAAAGATTCAGGAATGACTGGAGTAATGCAAGTTAATTTGTGTATGACATCCTCTAGATTTAAAATTCTTTTTTCAAGTTCAAACAATTTATCATTACTATTTTGCTACAATTGCAACATTTCTAATTTATTAACCACAGACCACATTTGCTTGAAAGCAAGATCAAAAATTTCATAAGTTACATATTAGTCAGGACAAATAGTTTTGAGTTATTCAATTGATAATGATCCATCTGATGAATGGATTCTTTTGGTATTTTTCTTTTAACTCATAAATTGAATAATAAATTTTATGGGAAATAATTGTTGTGAATGTTGTATAAAGAAAAATTAAAAAGATAATAACAATGACACAAATGAAAAGGAAATTGAATAGACAGTGGATTATAAAATATAAAAAGGACCAACTCATATTAACGTTCTACATAAAAATCTACAGGCAAGTAATTGCATTGTATATGTATCCTGTTGCGATGATAGAGGGAGAAACTCATAAAATTAATTACTCTAAAAAGTATTTAGATCAATAACGATTAGAATGAATAAGTTGCAGAATAATTGTCGAGAAAGACAAATCAAATAGGGCAACTTAGTGAAGTAACAATAGGGAAAGTCTTTTTTTACTTTTTCGTATTACCATTATACTTGGGGGAAGATCAGTAAGTTCTCCTATTAAAACAACAAATAAAACAATTGGCTTAAACTATTATGGACAAAAATTTGACTGAAATTGCAATCGAAGATATCGGAGTCTAAAGATTTGGCTATCCACGACAAGTAAGTGTAGATTAATTATTATAAGCTAGTAGCTAAATTGATCATCGAAACATTTGCCAGTCTATTACATAGGATGGTAAGCTTGAACAGGATAGATTTTATGATCAATGACTTAAAATCAAAATCATTGTTTGAAGAAGAAATTCAAGCCAGAAGGGAAATTTTAATAAAAGGGGATTCCTTATTGAAGATTGATTAGACAGATGAGAAATCACTAAAACAGCCTTTGATGGTTTGAAATATATTATAAAACAATTAGTTTTTATTAATTATTTAATAATTAAAATACTACATGCATAATAGAGAGTAGCTTTGAAAGATAATAAACAGTAAGTGCTAATTAAGGTTGCATAAAGAATCAAGAGATGAAGAAATCTTGGAATATAAAGATTTCTCTAACTATTAGATGATATTTCTAATTTATTCAGAAGTTTTTAATTGAGAATGAATACGCAATATCTTTTTATTGGAATTATTGATTTGCTCTTTTTCTGCAGTATATTAGAATTAAGGGATAGAATTTTCAAAATTTTGGATTCAAAATTTATCTTAAATTGCTAGTTTCAAATAAGGGATGTAAGGAGTTGAAATTATTTATACTCCATTGAGTTCTATAGGAATATCTATTTTTAATAAGTTAAATAGTTTTACACTTTACATAAGATAAATATTTTTATGATTTCATGATTATAAATTGGCAAGCTTGCAGAATAAGACCATCAAATAACCTAAATTAACTTATAACTCAATTGAATAAAGAGATTCAATTGGTTTGATTAGAGATACTTATGGTGGTACAACTCCATTAAGTCCAAATCTTATAAATTTTATATCATTAATTTAGATTTCTAACTGGTGTGATAGCATCCAATTTTCCACATAGAACAATTCCTAATGAATTTGTAAATATTCCATAAGGGGACTGTGAAAAAAAAAGATGGAAAATGGGTTATAATAGTTTGAATCAATTTCAATTAATCGGTATATATCGTTTCGAATTGTGAGAGAAAGGATTCTTGAAAATCAAATTTTATGCATAAAAATATTATAAAAAATACATTAATTTTAATGCACAATTACCAAGATAATAGTTAAAAACTCTTTTATGAATTGTGGAAAACTGGTAACAGAGTGTTGTGTTAAGGAAAGATATTGGTTGGGTAAATAGTAATTTTATCAAAAGTTCCGAAAATCATAAATTTATTGCCTCTCTTGTTCTAATCACAATACCCACAGTTCTGTATTATGTGTTTATGGCACCAGTAATAAAGTATTAATACTTAGGCATTGGTTCAAAGAGACCAAGTTGTTTAGGTGGTTATTTTTGCAATTCTGAATTGCCTTGTTTATATTTTGATCACAATTACAGTTCTAATGGATCCAGGAATCATCCCTAAAATAGTACTTATTGAAATATTAGCAGACAACAAATTATGAAATGGATGAATAGCTAATTTTAATTCCTTAAAAATATTTAAAAGTTGATCCTTAAGTATTATTTGAATCAAAAACCCTATAAGTGAAGGGGCATCAATTTAAATTGAAGTTTTGTAACACTTGTAATAACGAAATTAATAATTTCTAGGTGCAATATATAGACCCCCTCGAGCTTCACATTGTCCTGCATGTGATAATTGTGTGTTGAGATTCGATCATCATTGTCCATGGGTAGGAGCATGTGTTGGAAGAAGGAACTATATTTATTTTTATCTTTTTATCTTCTTTCTCTCTGCTACCATGATTTATGTTTTTTCTACCTGTCTTGCATATATCTTTGGAGATATGGACGATGACAAGGATAAAGGGGAACAGATAATCTCAACATTATCGAGAAACCCATATTCATTAGCCTTAGCAATATATTGTTTCGTTGTAAATTAATAAGAATTAACCAGTTTTCATTTTTTGTTGTCGGCTTGTGGGGATTCCATACATTTTTAGTTATAACTAATATGACGACGAATGAGTATCTAAAGAAACATTGGGTTATTCAAAGTAAGAATCCATTCAGAAGGTAATGCAAATATCAATAGAATAGAAAGAATATCTTTAAAAATATATAACATGTCCTAGCTTGTATTAGAGATGTCAAGTTTTTAGAGCTCCGCTAATTTGTATTCGATCCCAAAAGTTATAATTAGGTATTATCAAATTATTCAACAAGCCCATGACATAAAATCAAATGAATGAAATTGAAAATTTAAATGCAGTTGAAGATAATCAAAACAATGTAGCCAGAAGATAGTCCAAGTAAACTGTTGATCATGTGGAAGAGCAATGAATATTCAAACTCTTAATATTTTAATCCATTTGAAAATCAATTCCTTTCTTTATTGAATTAAAGTATATGACACCAATATTCAATAATCTCATTTAATTTTTAATGTTTCGAGTAAATTGATAAATATAAGTGAATTATATCATTTATGTAATCATGGTATCGAAGGCAATTTATATTAGTAAAGTAGCTAACCTTATTATTGTTGAGCAGGAATTTAGCCGTTAAAAGATTACTAATACTATTTAATTACTCTGCCAACCCTTTTTCTATGACTTTCACTTGCAGTCTGTCGAAATAATTTCTCTTATGTTTTGAAATCCTAATTTAACTATTGCCAATACCTTTGCAGTTTTAGGATCAAGCAGAGCAACATTTTGTGAAAAGTCAAGCGGTTATACTTTTTTTAATCTCCATTTTGGACTTAGATTTGAACTCCCTTGAGTTATTTGAACTCCAAATTATTTGGCTAAAATTCCTTAAGCCCAATCAGATCCATATGGATCTTTTTTCTAAGGATGAATAACTGTAGACTATTTTATTTAAAGAAAGATAACTTCTATTTGATCTCCCTTTTGGTTACTCTATTTTTTCCAATTTCTCCGTTTTCAAAGGTTTTTCCTGGATTTCTTGATTCCCTTAAGACAAATACTCCAAAATAGATAAAGGCTCACAAAGTTGTGCCACGAATAGCGAACTTTAAAAAAATATTTCATCCTTTTGCTGTTTCATAATTTAATTATTAAATTCCTAAAGATGAAGTCTGATAATCTTTGATAGAACTGAAGAATTATATTTGATAATTAAATTCTTTAACGCAATACGTCTTATAATCTCTTTTCTTAAATATTTCTTTATTGAGTAAGAGGATTATAATATTTTACAAAATAAAAAAATGTTGTTTTATATTTTTCATATATTTATGTAATTAAAATAATAAGGATTTGTGTTTAATCTTATATTACCTTGAGCTATATTTAACTTATGCATTTAGAGATTATTCTTTATTTCATCTCATAGATTTTCAAAAATTAGTTTTAGATTTTGTCTTGAACTTGAGATACTTGTTACTATCCATGGGTTCTTAACATTCTATGTAAATTTAGCAATTCCATAATTGTATCATCAAATTCTAGTACTTTTCTTAATTGTTCCTATATAAGATTCTCTCAATTTAGTACTATGGTGTTAAAATTCTCATCTTTTGAGTGTATTGTGTTTCTGGCGGTTTTGGGGGTTCCCATATTAAAATAATTTGAATTACATTGCTATGAGAAACTACTTATAAAATTAAGCATGTATTTAAATAAAATATGTTCAATTATTCAACATCCTATTTTGCGAATTCCAATGAAAAAAACAACTAGTTGAAAGAGAAAATCTATAGTGCTCTTTATTAGTCTCCAAACACATCCTAGTATTATTTTTGTTATCCCAATTAGTGATGTTATGAAGTGGATTCCGAGCAATGATATTTCAAATCTCTCTGTGTCGATCGAATAGGAAATCGATAAAATTCTATAGGTGGTGCCTCCCTTTCAATTTTAACCTAATAAACAGACCTCCTTTCAAAATTTTTAAACCTAACAATATGTTGATCGACAACCTCTAACAAATTTGAATTCAAGTTAAACAAAGTATTCTGAAAACATTTGTGAACCTGAAGTACAACAAATCGAATATCCCTAAATGTAAAGCAATTCGAAACAAATGAGAAGAGAACAACAACCTCCTTCGAAGTAGAATTAATACATTCAGGATTTGATAAATAGATATTAAGAACCTCCGAAAAATGCTTTTTAAGAAGATTACAATAATCCATCTAGCAATATTGAGGAGGAGTATGATGTCAATACTCAATAGTCAGTCACTAATAGAGATTCTCGAGATAAAGGAGGCTTAATTAAATAAGGAAAATACAAAAGTAATGAATTTTCTAAGTTGACTGAACAATAAACGTGTTTAAATTAAAGCGTTGGTAATTCCTTTATATTAGACACGTTAATTAGTGAAGAAACAATCAAATAAACAAATTCAGTAGAAGTTGAAAACTAACCCTTTAACACAAGTTAGAATTGGGCAAAGATGAAGATAAGAAAAGAGGCCAAATAAAACGAAAACTATAAAACACAAAACTTTTAAGATCTTCTATATTCCTTACCCTCCTTCTTCATTCATTAGACTGAGGGTGAAATAAAAGTTGACAAATTAAGAGCTTAAGATAATCAAGAAGGATAGTATTACCAATCCTTTGAACTTACTGTCAATCCATTCAAATTGATTGGACCAATTAATTTTAAAAAGCATCTTAAAATTGTAATTTACCATAATATACCAATTAGCATGTGAGATTCAAGAAAGGTTACTAGGGTGTAGTTTATTACGATCGACAATTGTAAAATGTTATTCCACAAAATTAAGTTGATGGAATAACATTAAAAAATGAACCATTTTTGTTGGCAAATAATTCTGACAAACCCATTAAGGTGATTTGCTGCATAGTTGGAATTAAAAAATGATATTTATTAAATCTATAACTAATTTGATTTAGCTTTTATGAATATATTTACTTACTAGAAAAACGATTAATTTGATCTTTGCTTTTAAAAGTCATGGTGGTACTCCTAACCAAAATTTATCGATTTATATATGAAGATAGATATTTAATTTAAATAAATCTAAGGAGTGATCTTAAAAGCTTGAATTGAATTTTGAAAAGCCAAAATTATCTCGGATAATTGTAGAATTAGATATAATTTATGATTTCTTTTGGATTCAATAAATTATTTGAAATAGATAGTAAAGCCTATTGAATGATTATAAATAAGGAAAACTTAAACGAAAAGATTAATATGTTAGTGTAAAACGGATTTTATTGTTAATTATAATATAAATGTAAAAACCTTTGTTTCTTATATTGTTGATTGTGGGTTGTATGGCAACTGAATTTGATGATCAATTTGCAGAACTTGAGGAAAGTTAATTTGGATAAACTATCTTATAAACAATTTAGATGGAAATGTAAACAGATGATCCAGTTGTTTCTAATTTGGTGGATATTATGCAACATTTACAATAAACATTAGAAAGCGAGTAAAAAAGAGATGATGACAGGATTGTCAGATTCAAATAAAACTGTGATATTGCTTTAAGCTAATTGACAGAGATTATAAATACTAGTACAGTCTCATCACTTACATTGAAGAGTGACTTGGATTCATTGAATCCTCAAAAGGTCTAGGCTGTGGCTAGTTTGGAGAGAAAAAACTTAGAAATTGCAGATTTGAAGGCAGAATTAGATTACTAAACATTGAAAAGACAAAAGGAATCAGCAACTTATCAAACAATATTGGATAACCTAGAATAAGCTCTGTTTGGTGTCAATTAAGTTAAGGGATACTTCAACAAATATTTAGATGTTTTAGTAAAGAACAGAAATAGATTCCAATAACCCTAACCTTCATTCTTACAAGAAGATGCGAGTTTTCAATACAATGATGATGAAGTAGAAGAGGATATTGACACTAAGGGTATTTCATCATTTGCCCAAGTAGCTCAAAAGGTGAACAAATTGAAGCATCATGTATCAAATATAGATTCATTTTCAGGTTCATTTGGAAGGTTACAAATCTATGATTGAAATCTTGAGTTAATTGGCTAGCCAAGCTTAAACATCAGCTGATGAACCAAGTCAATGTGAAGTGTTGACAAGAAAAGTGTTATCCATTCTTAAACAAATTGAGAGTTACATACAATCAGAAAGAATCAGAGAAGATCAAGCTGAGAATTTGAGATAAAGCTCATATGAAGACTTAAGAACTTTGTTATCTGACCAATTGGTTAAGGCTAATCAAGACAAAACCTATATGGAAGGTAAATTCAGCTTAATCTTTAGGATTGATTGACTCATTGTCAAATAGAATTCAATAAGGTAAAAATGAGAAATTTGAAGTGGATTAGAAGATTACAACTAAATCAAAGGAAAAGGAAAATAGAGAAAATGATTGTAGATTGAAGAGATAAGAGTATGAAACAGATACTGCAAGCAGGTTCTATTATGATCCTATTTATTTAGAATTAAATAAAGGAGATCTGTCGCAGTTGCTGTAGATCTAATTTCCTCGAAATTAGGCTAACTCAAGAGGAAATTGTTGGAAAAATGATAAGAAATATCAAAAAATAATTATCATCTATTTTTATTTTATTAAAATAAGACTAATTCTTTTGTCATTTATAATTTTTATTAATGGATTAAGAATTAATAATCAGCCCAAATGATAAAAAATAATATTCTTTAACAACACTTCCAAACCAATTAGAATGTCTAATAATATCAGATCCAAATACAAAAATATCTGGAGCATGTTTAGAAATATGTGTAGGATGGGTAAATAATTAATACAAATTTTAGCTTGATGATCCAAAAGAATATTAAGGCATAGCTCATTTTTGTGAGCATATGCTTTTTATGGGATCTGAAAAATATCCAACCTAAAATGATTATACCTCCTTTATCTAATTGAATTCAGGATCATACAATGCATCAACTTGGCTTCAAAGTATAAATTTTATATAATAATTAAGGAACAAAGTACCATTTCAGTATTTAGAATGATGCCTTTGTTGGAGGTTTAGATAGATTTGCATAATTTTTTATATGTCCTCTTTTTGATAGTAGTTGTATCGAAAGAGAAATGAATGCAGTGGAAAGTGAATTCAATTTGTCCTTAGCTGATGATCAATCAAGACTATGGGAGTAATTATATTATTAAATGCTCTCTTTAGAATCTTTGTTCAATAAAGTGATCCCGAATCTACCTTTAATCGTTTTGGCTGCGGTAATCTACTTACTTTAAATAAACCTGACATAAGAGATCAGTTGTTAGCATTTTATGATAAATATTACTGTTCCTCCTTAATGAAATTAGTTGTTTACACGGATAAAAGTATCCAGGAAGTTGGATAAATGTATTTAATATATTAGTAATCTAGAGTTCACGATATTTTTTCTTTGGTCCCAAATAAGGGTCGAAATAAGCCATTACATCTTGATAACCCTTTCAGAGGATAATTTCCTAAAGTTGATGTAGTTGGAATCAAATAAGAAGATTATCTATTCTTGAACTTTGTCATTCCTAATTATGAGGACAAATATTTAGGACAACCAGAAAGCTATATTACTCATGTCTTAGGACATGAAGGCTAAAACTCATTGGCTTCTTTTCTTAAAGATGAAGGGCTTGTCACTGAATTAATCGTTGGATCTCAAAGGCTAAATGATAAGGTCTCAGAGATTTATTTAGAAATCGTTTTGACAGAGGAAGGATTCCAATCATACGAAAAAGTCATAGCCTTTGTGTTCAAATAGATTGAGAAAATCAAGGAAAAAGGAGTCAAAAAGGAAATCTTTGATGAACTTGCCTAAATTAAGCATCTTGAATTCAAATTTAAGGAAAACACATCCTCTGTTTTAGAATACATTGAAAAACTCAGTGAAAACATGCACAAATACCCTAAAAATCATATTATTTATGGAGAATATGCTTATGAAAAGTATGATCCTTAATCTATTAATGAAATACTCAAATATCTTAATCCAAATAATATGATTATTTTCCTCAGAAGCCCAAACTTGTATTTTAATTCATAAATTATATAGTGCTGATGAAAAAGATAATGAAGATTTCATTACTGAGCCCTTCTGTAAAACTAGGTATAGAAAATAGTAAATTTCAAATTCGATCTTTTAAATTATTAAAAATTGCAATAATTTAAAGGGAGTCAAAACACAAAAAATAATTGATATTTTCCCTCCAAACCTATATCTCCCACAAAATTTTGATATAATTAAAGAGACTGATGATAATGAATACCCAGTTAAGATCTTTGAAAATGATTATATCAGATGCTTCTATTTGAAAGATAATCAATTTCCTATATGCAAAGGTTCTTACGGGATTTAATTGTTTCCAAATTAAGATTTTGTGACAGATGAAAATGAAAGGGTTTTATTTGATCTATGGTCAAATATATTCTATTCTTAATTTGAAGAAACTCTATACAATGCAGAATGTGCAGGAATCTCATACAATCTAGATTCAGCCTATAACTGTGTTTCTTTTAAAGTACATGGATTTAATGATAGCATTTTAAGATTTTACAAAGATTTTATTCAATATTTATTAGATTTTCACAAATAACCAAAAAATTATGTTAAGAAACATATATTTCATGTTCAAAAGGATGATTTGGAAGATAGATATGAGAATTATTTTATGAAAAGCCCATATGATTTAAATTCTAGTTATTGGAAATGCATGGTTTATAAAACAGGAAAGTTTATGAAAGAATAATTGACTGAAGTTGAAATCAAAATGAATGATTTCATCTCTTTCACTGAAAAACTATTCAAAACTGTAAGAATGCAAATATATATTCATGGCAACATCTCAAAAGACACTGCCTTGAATTTGTGTTAAATTACCCACGATCTATTTTCTGAATTTTCATAACCCAACAAATCGATACAACCTTTGTAAATAATGAAGATTCAAAAAAATTAAACTTTTAAATTTGAGAAACTAATTACAGAAAATCCTGATGAACCTAATTCAGGCTTGAGGATATCATATTAAGGAGACTAATCGCTTGATCCTACTCTTCTTTTATATTTTGATTTGCTCAATTCAATCATTTCTGATCCATTTGAAAATTAACTTAGAACAAATGAGTAGCTTGGATATGTAGTCTATACAAATAAAAGCAATAGAAGAGGAATACATTTCTTTAATTTTATTATCATATCAGAAACTAAGTCAACCAAATATATTGCTAACCGTATTGACACTTTTCTATAAGACTTTTTAGCTAAAGATTTAGCTGAAGTAATTATTACAATTAACTTTAGTTTAATGAAGAGAAATTTGAAAAGGTCAAACTGAGTTATTATAAAGACTAATCATAGGATTTTTAAAATATGAATGAAAAATTCAAAGATTTTTGGAATGAGATTTTGATTAACTAATATGATTTCGATAAAAGTAACATATATTTTAACAATTAGAATAAAAACTAAAAGAGAGAATAGATTCAATAACTCATGAAAAATTCTTAACCTTTGTTCAAAATCTATTTAAGGACTCAAAGAGACTAGAAATTCATATTGTTAATAAAAGGCATTTAGATTGGGAATTAGAACATGAAGAAAAAATAACTGAATGTGAATGGTACAATGATTTATTTTAATTAAATTGAGTTTATGAAAATTTATAATGATATTATCTTGGATTTTTCATTTTAGAATAATTTGAGCATTAATGAAATATGTTGTTATAAAAATTAACATTAATTTATTTTACTTAAAACGAAATTATTATGAGTTTAGATTATATATATTTATTTCATTAATTTGATCTATTATAAAGGGGGTGGTTAGTTTTAAATATTATATTTAAGTTCGAAATCTGATGCTGTTAAACATAATTAGGCAATAGCTTTATTAAGTGGTTTGTTTGAGGATACATCCATAGTTTTATTGGATATTGAATTTCTTAAATTTATATTAGCTCTTCATTATTTCTTTTTCTTAAATTTTCAAACTAATATATTTCATTAATTTTATGTTCGAGTTAATCAATCCAATTAGAACTTTTAATTTTTCTATTTTTCAGAAAGATTTTACTTAATTTATTAAAATGCTATTTCTAATCGACTAAAGATTTTAGACGCTTTAATGGTCGAGATATAAAAATTTATGCTATGTAATTCATTACTACTAATGATGATAGTGATCCTAGACAAAAATATAATTGATAAAGTATCTATTAAGATACTCTAGTTTGCATTTAACTAATAAGCTAATCCAATTTTTATTAATAAACATTTTCTTCAATTTATAAAATAAGTATTTATGATTTTATTTATTGTGTTCTTATGAGTTAATGGAATGTTTCATTTGTTTAAAGGCAAAGTGTTTGCTTTAGTTCTGGTAAACACTAAGTTTGGAAGTCATTTAAAATTGTATATTTTAAAATATCCTGAAAGTTAGTTTCATTTAAACCTGTTAAACTTTGATTTTAGATAAATTTAAAGTCTAAGGAAAAATTCTTATAATAAGAGCTAATTAGGAGTCTTCCAGCCATGTCAATTAATGATATTTTGATTCCATCTATTTAAAAGTTAAAGACAGAAAAAGTGCTCATATTGTAATCGTGCCCAATAACCCCTTTTTAAATAAGGTCTTAATCCTTCATGGTTGCAGTTTCAGTGAACATAACTCCACTGAACATTGAAATATATGGATCGCTTAATACATACAAACTTGTATTTTATTTAAGCTAATGATTCTCATACCAAGGTCTAGAATGAGGAAAATAATTTTTTAAAATAAATGTTGGATAAATTGAAAAATATTAATCGTCTTGACTAGAAACAAAATATAGTTTCTCAACAGGTATTTAATGTTTCAAAGAGTCCAACACATTTGTCAGTGTAAAATAATCGCTAATATTAGTTAAACTCGATTAGTTAGGTACTAAATAGCAAAATTAATTGGTTTCTTTTTTAAAATATTCACAAATTCCGCTGTTTTCTTATGTTTAGATGTTATACTATTTCATTAACAAAAAAATTTCTTAAATTGATCTTATTGATTATTGGCTTTAATAGTTTACTTGTTCTATGCTTCTAGCATAAATTCTCAAAGCCTCTGTTGTAAGAATTTCAATATTAGATAAAAGCATTTTTCTTTAATTTTCTTCTTGTTATTTGAGTAATAAATTTTGAACAAATAATAAATACCCAGTTACTAAAGTAGCCACAAGTAAGTTTGCAATTATTTGTAAAATTAATATTTGTGATCTAATTTTCCATTGCCTCATTAGTCAAATTTAATAATAAAATTAATGAAATTATGGATATATTATACAGGATACAAAGGAATTAGTAAATATTTCTTTGAAAACTGGAGTATTAATGATTAATTTAGTTGTTTTAATAAACATAATACTTAAACGTATAAATGTTTCTTTACAAAAAACTAATTTAGAAGTAAATCAAAAATTACAAATATATACTTAAATATAAATACACTGACAAGTATGTAATTTTTAAACATTAATCCAAGGATAGAAGGTAAAATTATGGTCGAGCAGGGATTCTTTTTTTTAGCATTTTTTCCTTAAAAGAAGATTTGTGGAAAATTTCAAAAATAATGTTTTCCTAAAATCAAAATATAATTTGCAAAATTAATTCGAATTTCATTGTCTCTTTTCAATTTAAAAAGATTAGTTCTAATTATAATTTAATTTAATCGCACTTAAATACTATTATTTTCAAAATACTATAAAATTAGATCTATGAAGGTTACTTCTAATTTAAATTAGTTTATAGTCTTTAATATGCAAACTTTTGTTAACTTTGTTTCCAAAAAATCTCATTTACCTATCAATTGGATTCAACTTTCTTATTCAATACAATTAGTATGGAAACCATTGACTTACTAAAAAGTCATAATAGTTTTTGTATTTAATATAAGTTCGAATTTCCTTATTTTCTTATATCTAGGCCTTTCATATCATTTATATTTGTGTAAAATATTAAACAAGATATATAAATTGAGAATATCATTTTTAATCCTGAGATGCATTTTATTAAACATTATAAGCATCATAAAATTAATCAAAAATTAATTCATCTTGGTACATTTTCAAACAAAATGAGAATTAATGGTAATTTCTCAAAAATTAAAAAATAGATTTCTTGAACCTAATATTAGGATTATTTCAATTTAGATTTTAAACTAATACATTTTATTTTACTACCTTACGATTTTCTTAGATATTTTTGCTTAAAATATTAATTATTCTTGAATATTGATTTATGTTTTCGAAAAAATAATAGGCTCCTTTTAAGGTTCATTTATCAATGATAATATTACAAATATTTCATTTCATAAGATAACTGATATCTTACTATTATCGTAAGGATTAATTTGTCATATTTTTGATGTCGAATTGTTTATTCCAAATGGCATCAGAAGTCTTATTAATTAATAAGATGAAATTTGGCTAAAAGAATGTATAATTTGTATTCATATTGATTAATGTTGTTCTCTTTTAGGTAGAATCAATTAAATATGGCTTTGAAAATGTGGAATGTAATTCATTGTTTATCATTATAATATTTTTACTGAAAGATTGTTAACACTAACATACTAATACTGAAAAAAAAATTTAGTAAGCGATGAAAATTGGTTTACTTTTAGTTATTTTTTTCAGTTTCACACACTTTAAATTGGATATTGAAGATAATAGAACTATTTTTTATTATTTTAGAATTTTTAATTAGAAGTTAAATGTAGCACTTTCTATTTACCTATTATCGGAGGAAAATGAAAAATAAGATTAAGAAAAGAAAATGCATTGTTTGTCGATTATAGATGAAAAAGTTATACCAATGTAATAAAAAGTACTGGAATAGAGGGAATGTCGAAAAAAAGGAACAAAAAGATATTCCTTTTAGGAATTAAGTGAGTTGATTACTGAAAGAAAATTAACTTATTAAAAATACTAATCTACTTTTTCTATTGATGAAAATATATTATTAGAATTTTTATCAGAAGCAGTAATAATTATTAAGTTTGAGAAAAATGAAGACTCTATCTATAAACCTCGAGTTGATTATTAAAATTCAATAAGTAAAGTTATGTTTTAGAAGAGTAATTCAGATTTAATAACATTTTTTGAAAAAATTTCCAGTGAAATTCTAAGCGATGATTCACCTGTTAATCCTAGAAGCTCTCTATTATCATTTTAGAGTCTTGCATAACAATAGTATAAAAATATGAAAAGATCAAATAAATTTAACCCATAATAATTTATAGTAACAGAGTTAAAACCAAATATAAAATGTGGAGATCAATCTCTCTCGCCAAGATTGAGATCTTTAACCATTTAAGTATATCTATAATTAAATTAGTTAAATACTGTTTAGAAATGTATGTACTATGTTTTTAATACAAAGAGGTAACGGTTTGAAGTGAATGGCAAAGCAGAAGCTTTGATAATTGAAACAAACTTTGAGATTGATGGCTAAAAAAAAACTGTAGAAATAATCATTACAATTGGGGGTGAAGACCAAATACTTATGATAGCGAGAGATGTAATGCATAGAAAAAACATAAAAGAACTTCTAGAAATAAATTAATCTAAATCTAAGATTTTATCATTTGTAAGTCATGAATTTAGATCTCCATTAAATGTTATGATAAATGTTCTCTAAAATATGAAATAGGATAATAGTATTAGTGATTCGGTATTGTAAAATCTTACAATTGTTTTGGAGAATTCTTTTTACATGCTAAATTTGTCCAATGATTTGCTTGATTTAGCTCAAATTAAAAATGAAACCTTTAGTTTAAATTTAAAAACAATGGATATTATACAATTAGGAGAAGAATGCATCAAAATGTTTTAATTATAGGCCAGACAAAAAAACATATTGTTATTTATAAAGACTAATATTAAACCATTATATTTATACACTGATAGGAATAGATTGAAATAGATAATTATAAATCTATTAGCAAATGCGATGAAATTCACATCTAAAGGGAATATAATAATTAAGATTTAATAAAAAGGGTTGTTAGTGGACATTGGAGTTGAAGATACTGGCTTAGGAATCTCATAATAAGATCAATCTAAACTATTTAAAGCTTTTGGCAAACTCAAAGATAGGGAACATTAGAAATTAAATGAATAAGGAGTTGGCCTAGGTCTAGTAATTAGTCATAAAATAGCATAATAATTATCATTTGATGGATAAGGATTATAAGTAATTTCTAAAGATGCAACTTAAGAAGACCATGGATCATACTTTTATTTGACACTAAAAATTAAGTATTTTCACACAAAAACCAATTTATATTAACTTTAGCAAGTCTAAATTAACGATAAAGAGTCTCTAATATAAGACACATAAATAGAGTTTTAATAAATTAGACTAACAATTAATAAAGATGCTCATTCTTTTGCTGATGCTGAAAAATTTTCTGTTAAAAGCACTTGTAAACATATCCTAATAGTTGATGATAACATATTCAACTAAGACGTTTTAGAAATGCTTATAAAATAATTGTAAATTCTATTTGCTTTTATGATAGTACAAATACTCAAATTGATAAAAGTAATAGCGGATTAGAAGCAATTGAGTCTGTGAAATCTAAGAAATGCAATGAAAGCTGTATAGGGTATTAAGCCATATTTATGGATATGGAGATGCCAGGTTTAAATGGAATGTAAGCATCTGCCCAAATTTTAAAAATTGATCCAAAAATTAAAATATTCATAGTTTCTGGATATGATAAATCTCAATTTGATGGGGAAGTCAATACTATTAGGATTAAAGATTATATTGTAAAACCAATCCATAAAGATGTCATTTAAAAGATAATATTAGAAAATTATCTATGAATTTTACAAGCAAGTGAAAATGAAAAGTATTATCAAACTTTATTTTTTAAATTCCTAGCCAACATCTCTTATTCTTTATATTTATTTATTCTTCTCCTCAACTCATCCTACTTTTGATCGGTTACCTTTTCTTTGAATAATTCCGGTTACACTATTATTATTTAATTATTATACATTACATAATTTTGTTATCATTTTATCCTCTTTCACAAAATCAGATGAAGTTTTTAATTAAAGTGGAAATCTGCCTTTAGTATTGATTAATTATTTTGTCGGGGATGGTAACTAATTTGCATAACTATAATACTTTAAACATTTCGAGTTATTGTTCTTCCTCTTTCAATATTTATTCAAATTCTTTTATAGATCTGCAGTTCAAATTTGATTTTGGAGGTTTGTTGAAGCTTTTGTAATCGTATGATTTTGAATCAAATAAGTTACTCATGTCTTTATAATGCTACTCATTGTTTAAATCTAGATTCTAAGCATTCTACATAGATTGAAATTGCTCTGGCTCAAGAAGACTTTGGTAATTTGAGATGCCAGTTGTAATTTTCATTTAAGGTTAGTTCTTTGAAAATGAAACAGGAAATACAAATTATTTATCTCTCTATGTTTATGACATAAATGATTTATTTGTCGTTGTAAAATGTTCTAAATTAGGAAGTTGTTTAGGTCTTGGACATTGAGAATACCATAAAAATTTATTTCCCTTTGGAGTGTAGTAAGTGAATCTAGATTGCAATGATTTTGCTTTAGCCGGTAAATATGAAGGTTTAAGAGCCAACTTTAATCGTTATTTAAACCCAACACGTCCTGTCAAAGAAGGATCGAATTCTTTAATATAATCTCCTGTCTTGTAAACTCTTTACTTTTCCCCAGTCTTATTGTTTATTAGGTAATAATTATTTGTTTCTTAATCATTCCAAAATGAGATCATTTTTCTCTATTAAAAATTATATTATAATCATTTAGTTAAAGCAATTTATTGGTTATCTTTTTAGTAACCACTTTATTCCTCTTAATCCAAAGTAAATTAGCTTAATGAACTGAGTTTTTCCAAAATTTCATTATAATTCTGTACCTAAGTGGTACCAGCCTTTGGACCATACAGAGGAATTCGAGTAACAATAGATGACTTCTGTTTATCTCGACTTATAAATTAACAATTAGGACTACTATAATCCTAAAGATAATGATTAAAGGAATCTTTATTGGGACTTTCTTCAATTTAGGAAGTGTTGAATTCACACATTTTCTATTTATTTGCTATTATCCATTATTGTGAAAGAAAGGATGTTATAGGCATTATTAAGAAATAAATCTTAAATTGAAATTAGTGTTTGTCATTTTTAATCTAAGTTAAATGTGAATATTTTACAGTAGATCTTTAGCATAGAAGTCTAATTATTGATTTTGGTTTCGAAAAATCCACTTAAACTTAACATTCATTGTTCATTTTTTAAATATCCTAATGATCACTCCCAATAAATAAACCTTATCCAAACAGTAATGCATGAAATATCACTCCTGCTGAAAAATATCACAGGCAGAAGTGTATGGCTTCGTTTTATCAACTAAGTTTACAATTTCAGGAGCTACAAACCCAGGTGTGCCATATTTTGGATATATATAAGGATAAGCATCAACTTCTACTGAAAATCTAAAATCTGTTATAGCCGAAGAATTTAGATTCCATTTTTCTTTAAATAAAATATTTTCTGGTTTTAAATCTCTATGCAGATTCGTTTAGAATCTATATAGTGTATGCAAAATCATATTCTCCAAAAGAATACAAAAAAAATATAAAAAATTCTATTATTTTTAATAAAAAATTAATATAACATATCATAAATTTGAATGCTCATCTTTGTATTTTTTCTAATATTTGAGCCTCTTTTTAAAAAAACCCTTATAGATCTACTATGATTTTTCCCCTAATATATTGATTTATAAGATATTTATTTATTTAATATAATTATCACAATCAATAATTATTTCCATATAAGTTTTATATTTGGACAGAGACTTTTGCCCTTAGTAAATCTTTTTAGTATCTATTCATTTTCCACTTTATTATGAATTATTCTACACTCACTCGTGTTCTTAAACACAAATAATTTGATAATATGATTTAGTAGATATTTTTGGTACTCAATGGATTATTATTTACCAATTCTTTGTCCTAAATATTAAATTTGTTCTAATAAACTCTCCATTTTTAATTTACAAATTGCATTATTATCTAATGATTTTTGAATGTGTCTAATTTGTGAATCTCCAGACTAATCGCTTTGTATAAGAACTAGAAAAAATCCGATCAGGCTTTTTATATTTGAATCCCATTAGTAAATATCTTTCTGATATCTACTTTATTTGCAATCACACAGTCTAGAATGATATAGAAATACTGAATGGATGAACCAAGAAACAATTTTTTAATAGACGACATTGATATAATTCATCACAAGATTTAGAAAGCTTTATTATTAATGATTATGTCTTCAATTGATGCAGTCAACAACTATAATTCTTCTTGTTTAATCTACAGAAGTTCTTCATAAGCTCTTTTAGTTATTTCTAATTATTTATTCATTAATGATGATTGACTTGCGTGCACCTTCTTTTTCTTCTTACTTTTAACTTATTCCTCTGTTTTTTCTAACTTATATATGGTTTCTTCCAATTACTCTTTAATTAATGGAAATTCCGCAAGTTATTTATCTTACAAAGCTATTTTTTGTAAAGATTACTCAAACTAGCTTCTGATTACATTATTATCCTAAAATACTTATTTTAATAAATTACTTCAATCAAATTCAACACTTTATCTTTTGCTTCCTATAATTCTTATTCATATTTATGTTATTCAACAAAGAACTATTCTAATTTAATTTATAATTCCTTCATTTCTTTCTGTAATTCGTTTTATTTCTCTTCGTATAATGCTCTCTCCGCCAGTAAGTCAGAACATTAAGTTTTCCAGAAAGATACTTAAGATGACAAAATTTCTTCGTCAAAACTTGAATCCTATTTCTTAATAGAATTGGAACACTCATATTTTTCATTAGTTTATGTGTGTACATCCAATTTCAATTTTTGATCTCCTTCTATTAAATAATTAGATTTAGTTATTAATTAAGACAATTCCAATCCAAGATTCCTTTTTTGAGTGAAAATTCCACTGAAATTTCTTCTTTCTTCCCCATCATTTAAGGAAATTAACATAGCTGAACTATTTTCCAATTAAGATTATTCTGTTTTATTGTGGATATTGTGTTCAAGATCTATGATTTCTTATTTCAATCTGAATATTTCCTATTCTCTTAATTTCAATTATCTACACAAAGATTCATTCTCTGATCTGGCTTTGGAAATATCAAATTCTTATTAGCTTTAGATTTTTTAATTTTATTTTTATAATTACTTTTACTAATCTAATTTTTATTATAACTAAGTGACTTTATTATTCAATTCAATGTTTTCTTCTTTCAATTTTGAGTTCTATTTCAAATTTTCCTTATTTTTAGTTTATTCTTGTAGAGATTCAGACAGCTGAGTTTTAAGTTATTCACAATATTTTTCTAATTTTTGCATTTAGGTATATTTTCTATATCCTGCTTCCAATTTATTTCTCAAATCTCTTACTATCTCTTCATGAACATCTTTTTCTTATTATTAATCGTTTTTTAAAGTTTCAATAATTTATTACATCCCTTTGATATCATCAATTCTATTATGAATATACTCACAAACTTCACTAACGGAATTTGTTTATGTAACTTCATAAATTTGATTTAAATCGTCATTCAATGAATTTATTGTTCTCTATCGTAATTCTAAATCTGCTTGTACAACTTCAATATCATCTTGCATCTTTTTTTTCTCCATTTCATATTATTCTTTAAAAAGTATTAATTCTTAATTCAATTGCTAATTTTCATACTCTAATTCTTCAAATTTCCTTAATACATCATCAGATATCTTCGATTCTTGATCTTATGAGATTGAGGATTATTCTTCTTGAATTATTTTTAATAGAACCATTTAAGTTTCTTAATCCAATTACATCATAGGAGTTACTAATTCACTTGAATATGTAGAATTTGTAAGTCCTTGAATAAGACTTACCATCTAATGCTAAATAATAAGTTTATACCATCTCTAAAATACACTACTCATTTCTATTTTTTACAATTTAAAGAAAATTTGGCTTTTATTAAAGTTTTAGTTTGCTTTCAAATGCACTCCATAACTCCTTCATTACTTTCATTTACATTTCCCAATTTTCGCTCTATTCCAATTAAATTTCAATTTCAAAACTTAATTATGATAATTGCACATACATGTGATATAAAATTTATTATAGAGCAATACCTGAACTAAAATCTGCTATTTGATTCAGTTTAGGTTGAATAAATTCAAAAGAGTTGATCTACTTACATTCGTATACTTACTAAATTTAAAATAGATGAAATTTGCTTCTAATTTTTACTATTCATAAAATATAATTATTGAATTTATTGTAAATAAAACTAGATATAAAATTGATAAAGAAAAGCAATGAATGAAAATTTTAAGTTTACTAATGCAATAATAAGGTTGATATTTATAGATTGATTTAGTATTATAAATACATAATTTGACATTAAACTATTGATTTAACATAAAATTGTAAAATCAAATTGGAGCAGTTTCTTTTGATAATTTTTGCTGCTGCAAATATTTTTATAGTGTAAGTTATAAAATTGATTAATCTCTCAATTATCACAAGGATTATTCTAATTAGCAAGTGGAGACACAAAATCCTTTAACTTTAAATTAATCATCCTTAATATAAAACACCTGAATTAAATTGTTTTATTGCTACATTGAAGTGTCTAGTAACATAATAATAGTTGCAATTATTAGAGAAATAAAATTAATCGAGTCTCTTCATATTTTTTATATTATGAAATTTTATTCTTTGTGCCATCGACCAAATCAATAAGTATTTCAAATGATAATTAGGACTTATTTTGGTAGCTTTATTTCAAATTAATTGACTTTTTTAATTCATAATGATATTGTATTTTACTGTTTTTTAAGTCATACTTTATACAACTGCCAAAATTAAAAAAAAATAATACAATGAATAAAATCAATAATAAACTTATGTAGAAAATTTTAAGGATCGAATGCTAATAAAGAGTTTCATTCTTTGATTGAACATCTAGCTACATTAATAAATATAAAAATATATTAGAAGCTTATTTTAAAGAACTCATTTGTTAATTTATTTAATTATAATCTTCATAAATAATGAATAGATCTTATATTATTTATCTAATCCTCAAGAAGAAAAATGTTTAAATTAATATATAATTCTGTGAAAATACACTATCAAATCATGCAATTAAGGCTAAGAGGACAAATGCTCCCAAAATGACTGAATTACTCATGTCATCGTTGTCAACCAAATCATCACAAGCAACACATTTATTGTCTGATGACCATTTGTAATTTCTGAAAGTTCTTGCATAACAGTTATCTTTGGTGAAAGCTGAGGTATCAGCAGCATCAGCGCAAGCATTATTAGCCCAAGAACATAAGCTATAGGTGGTATCACCTGTGCTAATGGCGTTACATGTTAATTCAGATGAGGCATCTGAGCATTTTTCAGCACGGCAAGCAGATCCTTCATAGACACAACTTCCTGAAGCGTTACATAAATTTGTGAAGTTATTAAGATCTGAGCAAGCACTGACTGCTCCCAATGATTTGCATGTGTTATCGTTAGCCCAAGCACATCTTGTTGTTTTTGTATCATATCCAAGGCATGTGGCAGCAGTTGTGAATGATGAGCATGTAACAAAAGTGTAGGCTGCGCAAGATCCTGAAGATGCTGTGCACCATTCGCTTCCTGGGCAGTTTTCTGCGGAGTAATCAGTACAAGCTGAGAAGCTAGCACAAGCATTGCTCTTGTTCCAATAACAATCGTCAATATCGTTACAAAGGGCGGCGGTTGTTCCATCAGAGCATGAGGGGTCCCAATCTTCACAAGATCCACTGTTCCATTTGCATGAATCGGCAGCATCGCAAAGAATTTATGATGCTAAATCTGAGCAACCCAAGCTGTACTCTTGGCATTCAGAATCTGATGTATTCCAAAGACACCAAGATAAGGCTAATGCACAATCTGTTTGATTGAGTTCTGTGCAGTCACAATGTTGAGAAGCATCAACTGTGACAGCTGCTGATGTTAAACCAATGAGGCAAAGTGAGATCAACAGTTTTCTATACATTTTTTTAATTATTAATGAGTATCTTTAAAAACCCCCTTATAAACAGCGACAGGTAAATTAAAATGGCAACAATAAATAAATTAATTTGAATTAATTCAAAAATAATATATTGTACATGATTTCAATTTTTTTTTACATTAATTATTTTAAAATTTTGAAAAAAGCATAATTTTTATTTGTGTAATTTATGAGATATCTTTATTAAAATGAATACAAGCATGTATTACATTACTTTTATGATAAAATGGCATTTTCTTTTTTTAACAAACTGTCTTCAGCATCTTATAAAGAGTTTGATCATACTTTCAATTATAAATGAGCTTAAGTAGAACAGTCAGGAACTCAAATTTCGAAGCTGCTTCTCACTCTAATTATTATATGTATGAATGATTTTGGATTACCACTGCTTTTCATGAACTTTTCATGACTTGTTCGTATTTTTTTTTAACATAAATGAACTCAATTTTAATCCTTACTAGAGAAAATAGTACAAAGAATTGCCTTTCTCAGGTTTTTGCACTTAATATTAATTAACCATAAATATTAGGGCAAGGTTTTTTTTTTACTTTATATTGTTGACATTCATAGGGCAACAGTTACATTTTTGAAAGAAAATAGAGTTATGGTATTGTTGATAAATAATAGGAGTGATAACCAAAAATAAGAGAATTAAGTTTAAATAACCCTAAAAAGAAGGACTTATATGAGCAAATATATAAAATACAAATAATTGTCAACTGGAAATTTAAATCGTTTAATTATAATCACAATTTTAAATTAAAAATAACGAATATTTTTTATTTAATTAACAAATAAAAGCTTTTGTTGTTAAATCAAAATTTATTGTTGATCAATTTCTTAATAAACAATTTGTGTGTTATCAAAGTGATTGTTATTAAAGATTTTCATTATTCCAATATTTGTTTGCAAAGTGAACAAAATAATTTATTTGTTCTAAAAAACAACTTAAATGTAATAATGGTAATTAATTTATAAGCTCATTCTAAATTAAGTGAGATGCCACTTTTAAATTAGCACATTTAACGATGATGATCAGATAATGAAAAAATGTTAGGTGAATATAAGAAATTGGATGACATTAAGAAAAAAAATAAACATTAAGAATAAAAACAAAATGGAGAAATTTATGAGATTAACAAGGTAGCTCTAATTTAATTTAAATTTAACGCTTATTTTTATTTATTTTTACAAGTTTTGAATAAAGTGAGAAATGAATTGTTTTATGTTATAATAAATATACTCCTAATAGGATTGACATTAATGTATTATCTCATTTAGAAACAAATGAATTATAATATGAATAAACTTAAATGAATTTCACTTTTGCTCTAATTATTAACTTTATCACAAAAATTTATAGGTTTATTAGTAGTTGATCAATGTTTATTAATTATTTCTTAAAGCTACACATCTATTTTACAGAGATAAGCGCACTTTTACATTATTTCTAGCAATTATTTATCTAATTTATGAAAATAAATTATTATCAAATAGATACATAAATTAATCAAAAGTAGGGGAAATTGAACTACTTCTGAGATCGCAATATAGTTCAGATATAGAGGATTCTGAAAGACTCTCATAACTATAGAATTTAAATTCATCATAGTTACTGCATATTTAATGATAGGTAATAAAATTATATCTTAATCAACTTAATCCCATAATTTGAGATGAAATATGACTAAAATTTTAGAGCATTGAAGTATATAATGTAAATTTATGTTATGTGAAATATTTAATTTAAAATTATATAATGAGAGATTAAATATAATTCGAATATAATGAGTTAGTTAAATAAACAAAATTTTGAATTAAATTGAAAACATAATGCAATCAAACAAAGGGCATAAGTTAGATGAATTACTCACATGCTTTATCTGTCTATCAAACCTAACGAATCCTCATATATGTCCATGTTGCTCGAAATTATGCTGTTATTCTTGTATTACGAAATGGTTGACAGAAAATAGACAGGTTTATTAGTTGTTCTTAATTAGAATAGTGTCCACATTGCAGATCCTCTTTGAGAATTTAATAATTGGTAAATTGTAGGTTTTTAGAGGACATCGTGGCATAAAATGATCCATGTCCCCTCCATAATGCTCAATTGTAATATTATTGTGTCACATGTGCACATCCTATTTGTTCTGAGTGTGCAATGTTTTCTGCACATAAAATGCATGAGTTTGAACATATTTAAAAGGTTTTCGACTCAAAAATCAAAGATGTAAAAACAAAAATTGAAAATGTTTAAGATAATTTGAAAACTCTGAAGCATTCAGCAATAATGATCGATGAATTGATGGATGAATTGAATCGCAGCAAAGACGAAAGAGTTCAAGAGATATAAGCATACACAGAATAACTATTGTAAAAATTGGAACAAACACACACAGCAAGAATGGGCAATCTATAAATGTAAAGATAAAGATTAAATGAAAAGATTCTAATAGCATCTGCTGAATTGGATACTATTTCATAATAGATAAAAGGCTATTAGAAAAGCAAAACAATAATGACAGCATAAGAACTCTTATCAAGAATAGAATAGGTTGATGTTGAACCAGAGTAAATAGGTGGGATATCAATGAACTTCTAATCAGAAATAACTCCTCAGTATGTTTGTGATAGTTTTGAATTGAGCAATTTTAGTCAGAGCGAGGAAATAGTTTATTCTGATCATCTAATTACAAATGGAATCAAGTGGAGATTAAAGATATATCCACATGGCAATGGGAATGCCAAAAATATTTACATATCCATATTTTTAGAGATGGATTCTAAATATTCAGAAATTAGAAGATATGAATACAAAATAGAGATGATTAATTAAAAGAGTGGCTAATCAGTAATAAGGGAATTTGCAAGTGATTTTGAAGGAGGGGAATGTTGGGGATACAATAGATTCTTTAGAATCGATTTATTATTGAAAGATGGATACTTGGTGAATGATAATTTATTGTTTAAATATTATGTCAGAGCTCCTAACTATTACACTCAATGTTTGGATATGCAAAGATATATCAAGCAATTAGAATCATAAGTCAGCATTTAATAGACTACCAGAAAAATTGAATAGCAATCCTCCATTTAAAAGTTGAAGGAGGAGATAGAATAATATGCAGAGAAAATAGAATAATTAGAATAATCACAACCAAGCAATACTTCTGAAATTTAGGAAAGTGAAGACGATCATCAATTATAATAATAGGATGAAGAAAGCAGTTTATCGAGCAATCATTCAGACTATTATTTTGATGGTTAATTTTAAGAAATCCCCATCTCTTAGGATAGCTTGCCTGTGAGGAGAAATCTTATATAAAAATTCAATTAATCCAGCTTAGTTAACACATCTTAAAATCTGAGGAGTCCTTTGTCAGAATTTAGCGAAAATTTATATTCTTGAATTAATTGCTTTATAAATTAATAATATAAAAATTATGTTTCAAGAACAATCATTCGGAGGATAAGACAAGTCGACTATAGAATGTCGAAATTTAAGGAGACATGGCAAATGCACAGTTTCTGGTTGTCCATATTCGCATAGTGCTGCATCTGTCAAACCCAAAGTTCTAAGGAAGGTATTTTAAGGATAAGGTGGACCTAATTCTGATCCAAATCAGCAATAAAACAATTATCGTAACAATTTTTGGAATCAAAATAATTACAATAACAATTAAAATTACCAAGGCAGAAGGGATTTTCAATTTAATCGATTAAATCAGATAAATAACAATCAATAAGACAGATTTAAATAAAATACCTATACGAATTAGAGTAATAATTAATATTAGCAATCTCAACCCTTGCAACAATATGATAATAGATAACAAAACTAACCATCATATTAGGGTTTACAATAACAACCCACGATTGGACTTTAGTTATTATACAAAATGAATTTCGAGAATCTTAGAGGCTTTTTGAGGATAATCAATATTAACAACAACTATTACTTTGGTCTCATTCACAATAAAGGTATAACGTTCTATCCCTACAATGAAACCAAAGGAATTGATATTCTATCAAAGATTGATTTCGTAATTCAATTCGATGTTGAGGATGCCTTCATCTAAGAATATACCTAACAGAATAATAGGAAGGAGCTCTACTGTTTGGCAGTTGTGATCATTGAGTCGAGTTTGAAAAGCGTGTTGATTTATCCTGATTTTTTAAATTCTTAGGCTAACTTTGTAAAAGTGTCAGACATTTCTAATACATACTTAAAATATATACATGTTAATACATTGAATAGTGAATTATACACTTTTAGTTCAGATGGTATTCTATTTGCTTATTGAAGGATTTATCAGAGTGTTCGACCTTCAAAACACTCAAAATTAATTAAAGTATTATGCTTAATAGACAGAAGTCTTTTGGTCCATATTTTTCCTTAATGAAACATCAAAGGGCAGCAATTTCCTTATTTCAACTAAGAATGGAAACATTTTTCATTACATCAACCAATAATTTACTAAATTGCATTCCCTAACTGAGCAAACATTAGTGGATGTAACTATTGAGAATGATTCGAAACGAGTCTATTTGGCCACTAAAAGTCAGGAGATGTTTTTTATATATATAATAAACGAAAACAATGCTTTTGAAGGCCCAGTTTATACTCACAGATACCCTATTTAAAAAGTGATTGGATTCAAGGATTTCGACTAAATTAATTGTTTACTGGTATCTGATAACAGGGGTCAATTGGATATATTGAAGGAATAGCCATCAAATGATTAGGTGAAATTCTTAAGATAAATACAATGTATGAAATATAATATCTATGATAAGATAAACAAATCATGGGAGATGTTAAGAAAATTATGTTCTTTAAAATGAGTAACGTCAATTAAGTTGTTGAAAAAATGATCTTTGTTCAAAGATCAAAGGATCCATAAAGACAAGAGTCAACTAATTTTGAATTTTATAGGTTTTATTAGATATTTTGAATTTATGATAACATTTTACATAAACCATATATATATCTATTATTTATATTAGATTTTTGTTGAATAAATACAATTTTAAAATATAAAAAAGTAGAGAAATTTTGAAATGGAATTATTGAGGGATTCAATTAAATTGCAAGAGGAAAACAAAATGATGAAGAAGCTTGCACTTTTATAACAACAAGTTGGATATCCTTTAGATACTTTAATGAAGGATGAGTTCATTCATAAATTACCTGAAGAAAGTTTTATTTGGTAGGATGTCATCATTATTAATATTTAGGACAATAATCTCGAAGAAGTACGAATTATTAACAGGGGAGAGAGCGAATAAAGAAATGATCATTTAGGAAGAGTTATATAAAAAAATCACTTATGAAATGTTTGTAGATGAATGTTTTTAAGCAATATTGCATTTCCATTTAGTAATTACTGACTATAAATTCAACTTACATATTATTCAAGATTCCATAAGAATTCTTAAATAATAAATATCATTATTGGAAAGTCACAATCAATTAAAGTTTGATTAACCAAATAGATTATCAATCAGTTATACCAGACATAAGAGTTTAAAAACAGATATATTCAATCATTATCAAATTAAATATAGAGCATATCTTAATGGATAAGAATAAAAATCGATCTATGCAAGAGGAGATGAATTGATCTGTTCATTTCCAATTTTAGAAGAAAGTTAAACCCTAACAATAGCTGTGTTTGGTAAGAGAAAGGAAACTGGAACAGAATTTAAGGTTTTAAGTAAAATCGAATTAGATTTGAATGAAGTGTTGATTTCCTTTCCTTTGCAAAGTTACTCTAAAGAAACAATATAACCTTGCTTGTTGACTTTAGATTATTAAGATGAATCACTAGATGCTCCATTCCATGGAAAGAACCCAATAGAACTTTAGTATTACTTGATTAAAATTATAGCTTTTCGCTTTCCATGCCATCAGAGCAAAGAATACAAACGATGAAAATTCTTAAGTTGAGGCAAGAAGAGTTTGGAAATCAGATCAGATAAGAAATAGAAGGCAGGAACTCTTATATTTAATCAATCATCTAACCTTTTAATGATTTGGTTTATATCCCTGGAGAAAATCTAAAAATTAAAAATGAAGTCGATTAATAGAGATTTTCATGCTCAGCTTGTCAAATATTCTGATATTTTAATATTCGTAATATATATTATTTTAATTTTATACATTATATACAATAAATCTGATGAATACTGCTCACATTTTAATTAATTGTATACTATAATTTCCTAATAGGAAAAAATGAGAAAAAATTAGAGTTTAAAAATGAATATCTGAGTATAATGTAATCAATAAAATAAGAAAAACAATAAATAATCATAATGGGTATTCCACTATCTACTATATTTGATTCATGGTTCTCAAAGAAAGAAATGAGAATATTAATGGTCGGCTTAGATGCAGCTGGCAAAACCACTATTTTGTATAGATTGAAACTCGGAGAAATAGTTCATTCTGTTCCTACTATTGGATTTAATGTTGAAAAAGTTGAATATAAAAATATCAGCTTCACTGTTTGGGATATTGGAGGTTAAGATAAATTGAGATTATTATGGAGACATTACTTCACTGGTACTTAAGGAATCATTTTTGTTATTGATTCATCTGATAAAGAAAGACTTAATGTAGCCAAAGAAGAATTAATGAGATTAATGGGTGATGAAGAATTAAGAGATGCTGCACTTTTAATTTTAGCAAATAAATTTGATATCTCTCAAGTTACTGTTGATCAATTAATATCTAAATTGGAGTTATAAAGCATGAGAAGAGAATGGTTTGTATAAACCACTTGCGCAATTACTGGCGATGGACTTTACCAAGGATTAGATTGGTTATCAAAACAATTCAATAAAAGAAAAAACTGATTAATATTATATCTGTATTTAATTATTAGTTTAATACATTTGATACATTATGATTCTATAGTATTCAATTTAATGCTCTCAATATTTAATGGAGAAAAACATTTAAATAATAATCTTATTACCATGTTAATATTTAATTATTTATAAAGGATTAATAAATCTTATAATTAATAATATATTTTTATTATTATTTCATTATATATAAGATATTCTGATATTCTGTTATATTCATATCTAAAGTTTAAAATAGTTAATGAAAAATGAAAACAAATATCTTAATAACTGTATAAAAGATATAATGCTAATAACATCTATTTCAGTAATTACATCTTAGATGCAAGGAAATGATAATAATGATCGATAACATAAAATTCTATTTACTCAATAGTTATATATAAATAAAATTTTTGACTCTTATGCAAATTAACAACAAATTAACCAAATATTTAATTTGCTTCAATCATAGCAGCTTCTTTATTATAATGAATCTCACAAAATAATAGTTTTAGTGTGAAATTAATTCACGTCAATAAAAACTTTATTTCTAGTATATTGACATATATTATTTAATAATTATTAGAAAATAATTAATGAAATAAATATAAGAGAAGACATATAAAGAGTTTGCTGATATTAAACATCACGTTGGTACATTGCAGAGTCAATAACTCTCTGATGAAGAACTATCGCTTCTTTATGAGAGATTGAAATATCAATTTACGAATCTTAATTAGCAAGTTGCAGTTACTTAAACTCTGAAACCAAGTAGTGAGCCATAACCAATTCATAAGAGATAAAAAATAAAAAGAGATAAACCATTGATCCAATAGTAAGGGAAATCAATAGCACTTCCAAAGATTTTGAAGCAACCATCTACAGAATAGAGACCAAAAAAAAATAAAGGGAAGCTTAAATCTGCCCATATTTATTAGGCTAATATCCTAAATAGAGAATTAAGATTAAACCCATTTTCAGATTTGCCAACAATATTGGATGATGATCTGAATAAAGGAGTTAGCAATCTAATATAATCTGGTTTGATACCAAGAGATGTGGATGTAGGTCCAGCTTTCAAGAGAGGGGAGGAATTGCTTTCTATATCGCAAGTGTAAGTTTAGAACCCTACAGAGAAAAGCAAGTATTATAACACAGGATTGTCTGAAAATCTATCTAAATATAAGGTTGCTCCATAAAAGCAGGCAGCTAAATAGATTGCAGATTATTCATCTTCTTTTGTTGAGAGGCAATCTGTTCCAAGAGAAAAATTACAGTAAACCAAAATTGTAAGAAAAGCAAAGTACATAATAGAAATCAAGAATGGGCATTATGTACCAGACTTTCACTATCAGATCAGAAATCTCATGATTTGGGGAGGAATCATGCACATAATAAAGAAATTAGAGAAGATTGCATCGGGATAGTTGGATGGTGATAGGATAGCATAATTGGCTTAATCTTAATTCAAGGTTCATTTGATTGAGTTGTATGAGTGCTACATTTCCAGACCGATAATGGAGAGATTATACATTATAAATAAGAAACAGTTCTCAGCTGATAGTGCCATAGTGAAAATCTAGGCAACAGTGAGAATGTTTGTTGCATCTAGAAAGTACAGACATCAAAAAAGGATTGTTTAAAAGGTTATTAGAATTTAAAAGGAGTTCAGATTAAAATAGACATATGTTTATACAATCAATTAAATCAAGAAGAATATGGGATAATTAATTAGTACATTAAAAAATAGATAGTAGCAATTCTTATTGGAGGATTTAAACTAAAAGAGAATAGAAATTCACATTCCCTCGTATTCCATTAAAGAATTCTAAAGATTATCCATGAGTCATTTCAAAAGTAGAGAAGGTTTGCAATTGACAAGACTATTTGCTTTGAAGGATCCTAATTTAAGTATAATATTTGTGTGTTCACCTTTGCAAGAGGAAATTATGGCATATTTCTATAAATTATTAGAAGTTGCAGGTATAAACCCTGAAGGCAGATTATTCTTTATTCATCCAGAAAATATTAATAGATTCCCATAACATTACTCATTGGCATTGTTATTATACTTGTCTCCAAAAGCCATTCATTAAATATCCGAATTGATCAAAGGATAGTTATCGTACATAGTGCCAATGAGAGTGGGAAAAGAAGAGTTCTTGATTGCTGAATATCTAAAAACAAATATATATTCTGGTCCATATGAGTTAATAGAGAAATACTCTAAAAAGTCTGAAGCGATTGAACTGTTTCGATAATTATCATTTCCTGTGGCTCCAGAGTATCATAAATTTGTTAGCAAAGACGATTTTGTGGATAAATTAACTGTGTTGATTATGAAAAATCTAACAGTATAAAAATGGATGTTTAAAATAGACATTGAATTTAATGGAAGAGGAACAGCATGGTTTAGTTTAGAAGGAGTAAAACAGTTTATTGAAATCAAAAAGTTTCCGCATAGCATTGAATTTAAGGTGCTCAGAGAATTAGTTTAAACTGTAAATTAATTAATTGTAAATATTTAGTTATTGCCAATAAAAACTGTACTCGCATTTCCTTAGATGTTCACTTTTGAGGAATACTTGGACAATTTTATTAGAAATGGTGGAATAGTGGAGGCTTATCCAAATGCATCGAAAGTGTAAACGATAAACATCTAAGTGAATCTTGAGAATTAGGGAACGTATTAGATAATGAACACATCTACAAGCATCATAATAAAAGAGTAACTATAATGCATGAGTATTCATTAGAATGTCTAAAGTGGGTTGCATATATCCTTAGAATGTGCTTAATTTGAATGTGGATTCTCTAATTTAACCATTAGTTGAGGAACTATATAAACAGAACATATTTGGTTATTTTACACTCTCTTTGTTATCCTTTAATGGAGCCTTCTATACTAAATCATTGAAATTCGGATTGGACGAATATATAGGGGCAACAGTATTGGCAACAGCTATGGACACTGATCAGTTCACATATATACCTTTTGTTTATCATCCAGGAATAGCAGAATAGAAATTTAATGATTTATTTATAAAGTGTAGGAAGGAGGGAATATCCTTTGATATCGAGAAGAAGGTGGGAACATTGATATGGCTATCGGATTAGATCGAAAAAGGAGTGTTGTCATTGTTATGTTTGGGTGCACCTAAGAAGGCTGTAAAGTTGACTACGGATGCTTTGAATTTCCTGTAATAATTTGGTGGGAATATAATGAAAACTAATAGTCATTAGAAACAGGACACATTTTACTTTATAGATATAGTTAGTAGATTAAGATAATTAAATAGTGAAGCTTAACAATGATATTTATATTGTCATGATTATAATTCTAATGTTACTCCTTGTAAAGTTTTCTCTAACTAAACGACCCGATTTGTTAATTATTATTACTTGTTTTCCATATTCATTTTAGCTTTCATCAACAACAAATACTCTTTGGTCAATCTGTATTGCTCTTCCATAAAGAGAACATTGTCCTCCTTGATCTGTCGATACTTCTTATTGAGATTATCTCTGAAATTCATTTCAATGTTTTTCAAATCCTACACATGTCTTGAATTGATTGAAGACATCTCCAATCTAATTTAATTGGCCTGGTCTCTCAATTAAGCAATATTCTTCCGACTTTCAGCAATATAACTCTGGATTAAAATGGCATTACATTAACATGTTGTGTAGGATGATTACAACTCTCCAAGAAATGAATTTGAGAGTTCTGATTCTAGTGATCATCCACATTGAAACCATATCTAAAATTATTCACAATAGGTGTTTGACTATGGATGGTTGTAAGTCTGAAATCACTCAAACCTGTCGATCTGAATCTATTCAATTTGTGTTAAGTAGTTTTGACAACTCGTTATGTATGAAAAGGAGTGCCTTAAATATATGTTTTTTGATACTAGAATCTTGGGATTTAAAATATAACAGTTGTCTAATGTTGATTTCAGAACTCATTGATTTTTTATTTAATTAAGTAATTATTCAATAAATTTTAGGTAATATTAACATCAATGTTTAGCCATGAATTTATCATTCATCCATATCCCTTCAACACTATGACTCTAATAATAATAGATCCCACTTCCACAAACACCATCATCAACGAATCTACCCCTAAAATAGTTTTGATTTTTAAATCTCAACTCTCCCTTCCCCTATTTCATCCCTTAAGCAACCTACCCCTTAAAGTATTCCCAATCAGATAAATCCACATGAGTTTTGTCATCTTAAGCATCTTCTCTCCACATTTCTATGTCATCCCCTTCAGGATAATTATTCAGGAATGTTCCTTATATCAAATTATTCCCATCCTTAGAGAAGAAGAAGATCCCTCTACCCTCTCTTTTTTTTTTTTCGCATTATATAAACCAACATAGTAGCAGCCATTTGTATATGGTAAATGGCCTTACAAAATTTCGATTTTTGCAGGTTTTGGCAATTCTAAAACTTTATTCTTAGGAGTCCTAATATCTATAATGGATTCTGTCGCATCAGGAGATTAGGCAGTTTTTAAGATCTATTTATTGTACACCACCATCACTGTCTTTAGTTCAGGCAATTTGTAAGCCTTGGTGTAATTACTGACTGATATTGATAATTGAATTGGGTCTGGTCTACCATACTTATCCATTTCTAATATTGATCGAAGCAATCTGTCAAAATAGAGAGGAGAGGCAATTTGATATCATCTAATAATTCAAAATCAAATCCCTCTTGTTTATAAAGAATTTCAGTCTTCTTGAATCCCAAAGAATATACACAAACTAATCCTAATATATCTGATTTGAAAAGATCATGTTCTGGATGAGTCTTATAAAGTGATAAGCATTTTAATCTCTAATTTTTTAAATTCTCTTTGTTAATCATATCTTATAATTATTATCAAATTAGTGTAATTTTAAAATAATTCTAAACGTATACTGTAATAAAATATTGGACTGCAAAAGTTCTTCATTATTTAATTATGAAATAGAAAAGGATCCTCTAATTTATATACATACAATTATTCAATTGTATAGACTCTAAAGATTCCCTTTGGATTTATATTATTGTAGTGCTGCTTCTATTATTACAATTTGGCTAAAGCTGCAGATACATATCCTAACATAGACCAGACTTCAGGAACTGTTAATTTAGTTGAAACAAAGTCATCTAATCTAATTGAAAATCAAAGAACATATTAATAGATATGAAATAGCTATCATATTTATGAATCACTTTGTTAAATGGATCCTATTCACGTTTAACTAAATATTCTAATTAATCTCTAATTCTGAAATAAATATCATAGAGTTTGGCTCTAACCAATTTAAACTGTGGATCTCCTGTATGCTCATACACTTCCATTTAACTAAATTTTAAGGGCTTCATTCCTATATGGATAAGGAGGTCTGAAATCCTCTGTAAAGGCAGCAACATCAGCACTTGTACACGCTTATCCCATTTTAGAATATAATTTATTATTATATTATAATAATATTAACTCAATAATATATTTATTATGCATCTAATATAAAATGAAACTGATTATAATTCATGTTTCTATGAATACGCTTAATTTGAAATTTTATCTCATCTCATTTGATGACACTAATCTCTCATATCACAAAATCTCCTTCTTTATTAAATTCATTTTTTTCATCCAATAACTATATTTTCATACGTAAGTGTAATCTATATTCTATCAATAAAAATGCTTAATGCCAAAATTCTTTGAAATGATATGGATCCTTTTTCAGCTATCTCACTTCTTATTCTATTTATTAAATTAGCTAATATGATATCAATTTCTTTACCAAAAAATGAGGAGAATTGTTAATTAAATTTCATTATAAAAAAAAATAATCTTCTATTATATTAATATTTAAATTTTCTAACGTATCATAGTTTCTTGATATGGGAGAAGTTCTTAGGATTTTTGATACCCTTATATATCTATTGACGATATCGAAGATGCCAATTATGCTAAACTATCTTTGAATTAAATATATAATTAATTGCGTACTTCTTTACGAAAATACGACTAAAAGATAATAGAATTAGGGTTACCTTAATATTCTAAAAGTTTGATTGAATTCTTCCTCATGAGGGTCCTCAGATTAAGATAGTAATCCACTGAAAGTGCGAATATTCATCAACTTCCTCTTGTAGACTGTGATTCTTTCTAAAAATTTGACTACCTTAAGCTAGTCTCCCAGTATTTAATGACAAAGAGCTGGATTTTTTGAAGCAAAAGTGATTATAGCCTTACAATAGTTCTTGGGAATGTTTTTTGTGTCCTTCTGTTCTTGATTTAACATTCCTTTTCGTTTGTGGATACCTAGTTTAATGGACACACATTATTAAGTATTCAATCTAGGCACAAACTGTTACATATGTAATTATTCTTAGCAATCATTCCTGTCAGGGGTATTGGCAACATCAATTTTATGTCCACCTAAGTGTACCTACCTATTTAATAGAGATAATACCAAAAACTCATTGTATTAATACTAAAGTACGAATGGATATGATGGAATGCCAAGATTTTGAGAGCGATGTTAAGCCAATTAGAGGATATGCAGAGCTTGTAAGAATTTACTTACAGCTTTTAAATAAGCTTATTAAAAGGATTGATTTTCTTCTTTATCCTTTCTTTTATTTAGGTTATAAGGCTCTGTTTTAGAGGTACTAACTGGAGTTTAGACATTTTGCTCCTCCTCCTTTACTATACAATTCCTCATTGTACAAATCTTTTTTATTATATACTATACAAATCTTTTTTATAATATACTAACACCTTTTTTATAAATAGAAATTGCTTCTTTAAAATAGAATGTATCCTAAAAAGATTGAATATATAATAATAATTTATTAAATATTCAATTGAAGACACATTGTTTACACTCCTCATCGATTCTATAACATCAGCAGTAGATCTAAAATAATATAAGTTACTTAAAAATAAGGCACTTATTATGCTAATAATATATAAAAGAGAGCAAGAATTCTGACTTCATTTTATATATTATTAATTTATTATTATTATTAATGGAACAATACTCACAAGAAAACCCACTGTTTGATCTGCTATACATTTTAAGAGGAGGAATTCCTTCTCATCCCTACTTATTTCATCATATCTTTCAATACTTTGACAAGGATCAAAAATTAGCCATAAAACTCTGCAGAATATTGATGAACTATCAAGATTGTAATCAGAAAAACCAAAATGGATTCACACCGCTCCAAATTGCTGTTATTTACAATCAAATAGGCGCTATAAGATATGCATAAAAAGAGGGTCGATTCGATTTCAATGATGAAACGTTAATGTAATTAGCAATCACTTATGTTTAACTTGAAATAGTCGAAATTCTATTATTGGTAAGAATATTGTCCATAATGTTAGGAAGAAGGCTTATCAGTAATTGAAACAAATTACAAAAAATTGAATACTTAATCCTCAACCTATTTAAAAATCCTAAAAAGGTTAGAGAAAATAGAAATTCAAAAGGTGTTGGGAGAGGATACATCTGAGTATTAAGAAATTGTAGTTAATGAAGTTCCTTAATTCCCAATTGCCAAAACTCCAGGTAAAATTATGTCGGATAATGTTAATGAATGTCTCATCTCATCTGCCTAGTGTATATAAACATTAGAAGACATCAACCACGATAATATTTAATAGCTGAAAATTAAAAAAAGCAACCTATGCACTTAAAGTTCTTGCCAAGAACATCAAATTTAAAAATAGAACAACAATTAAATCAAAGAACAATAAGAAAATCGAATCTCCTATTAGAATTTATTTAGATGCGAAATCGTCGTTGACTAATTACTTTCTGCGATATTCTAATTTAAATATGTAATAAAATATGCATAATTAAGAGCCATAATTAGATTATGCGATCTTATTGTTTCTAACTTAAAACAAATCGGATTTCTACTACACGAATTTGGATAGCTTGATTGAATAAGAATTAATGGTATTCCCTAATAATTACTAATTTTCATATTCAAACTTCGATTAAACTTAGAAGATTGATAATTATTACAAAAAAGTAACGAAAGAAATTTCATAAATCGTTCATGAATATAAGTAGGTAATTTTATTTAATATCAAAAGTAACTAAAAAAAAAGCAGCATCACTTTGACAATCTAAAGGCTTTGCTCTCCTATAAACTAAAATATGATATTTCATATCAAGGCCCAGGTGGGGACTTGCTCATGAAATTCTAAAATTCACTCCAAATTTATAGAGGTCTCTTTTATATTCTCCATAAACCTTGCATGAATGTCAATTGCACTTTTTTCACTCTAGAATAATTTGAATTAGTAAATAAATTAGAGTTCAGAAATTCATTCTAATAACTTACTACTAACCAGACCCTATAAACAACCAATTAATGATTAAATATATATATATAATGAATTAAACTACTTTATCATAATAAGTGAATTCATTAAATTTTTATATAAAATAATTTTTTCGTACCACATTTTTTATTATTAATACATTATATATATTAAATTATAATGAAATAAATTTAAAAGTAAAAAAATATATCCTCTATAAATCTGATATATAAATTGAACTTATGTAAAATCTTATTTGAACATAAAGAAACCGTTAACTCAGACAGATTGAACTGAACAGAGTTTGATTGCTAAACACCAGGATAGAATATATTGTATATATATTAATAGATCAAACCAACACATAATAGCTAACGATAATAGGGACTCCATGCAATAAACTAAACCAAAAGTAAATCAACCCTATCCTTGTGTTCTTTAGGAATCTCAATGCCATCATAACTGGAACTTGTAACAACATGATGAAAGTCATAAAAGGAGTGAATTATCGTAAAGCTGCTATCAATATTATCTCATGAAGCAAGGCTGAAAATGCAAAGGTAAGTACTTTTGACCATACTCGAGGTACTTTCCATTCTTACAATTACAAATATACATGTGTATGCAAAAATGCATATACTACTGTATTCCATTTTGCATTGAATTCTTCAAAGGTTGTTGCATTCCACCTAATATTAAATGATATTTAATACCAATCATGATAGAATTCCCTATCCCCAAAATATGTGATTTCCGCCAATAAATTTAATATGTTTTCAAAGGTTAGGAAGAAAAGAACTATCCAAAATGCAGTCAAGGGAAATAACAGCAATATTGTTTGTAGAATCTAATCAGAAGTTCCTATTATTGAAGGCTCAATGTGCTTAGCTATTATTACAGCACCAAGAATATCAAAATACGCTATATTAAATAGCTTTGCAAAACAATAAACTAATCTGATCTTCTTTGTTTTTGGATAATCGTGATAGAATACCAATGCAGGAGTAATCATATAAATAAAGAATTCCCACAGACCTATTGGTTTTTTACAATGTTTAAGATAAGAAACTTCCTTCATAAATCCAATGCAAGCCATGGCACCAACAAAAGCTCCAGGTATAAAGCCCAGTTAATATTTAATTGTAAACCATGGAAATATCACAAATGGAAGAGAAATGAACAATGTTAGCAACATCTTCTTACCATATAAATGTGAAAAGTAAACTGTGTATGGATAGGTGAATGACTTATATAAGTTAGTATTATTTACATAAATAGCCCAGATTATCATTAGAATGCCATCTCTCTTTACGGCTTAGATAGTTGGCGAATTAGCTAGTATAGTCCCTAACTAATTAAAATAGATAAGCTCAAGTAAGTAATAGATTCCCAACATATGTGCATAATAATAGAATCCATGCATTTTGGACTTAGACAACACTGAGTGATCATCCATATCATCTAATTATGATACACGATGTTGGTAGGTATAAGGTTTCATAATGATAATAAATTTATTTCATGAAATTTTTTTGAAATCTGAATCAAAAAATGTTCCAGGTAAAACTGCTTTTATGTGTCTCCCTGTTGTTACTAATTTCATGTTGTGTTCCTCGTAAATATCGCAGACTGAATAGGCTACATTTCTGCCTACTTTTTGACAAACTGCATGCACTAACAAAGAATCATTTAATTTTGCAGGACTTATAAATGATAAACCCAATTCAATACTAAAAAATGTCAAAATGTAATACCTCACTGTCCTTGAGAGATTTTTATCTCCTCTTAAAATAGCGATAGTTGTTGCACAATCTAAAATAGTAGCTAATGCTCCTCCATGAACTGACCCATTCATATTCATTATGGTTTATGGTACCTTATATCTCAAAACCAAATGGTTTGAATTTCTTTCTAATGCGTGTCCTGGAAGGAATTAAAATGCTGAATAGAAGTGTTCTGCAAATGTATTTTTCAGAATGGGAATTTAGACAAATCTCTTGAAGATATCTCCAAATTCTTTATGTACCATTTTATGAAAATAAAAAATTATTATTTTCATAAAGTCAGTCAATCTCCACTTGTTAAATAGAATATTAGTTAATCATGCTTTCTTAATTGGAGTTTGCTTTCTCTATCACTTACAAGACCTACTTTGTTCAATTCTGTCACTACCTCTTATCCTTGTTAAACAACTTCAATAGGAATTCCTAAAAGCTCATTTCTGAATGATCCTAAGATGTTCATTGTGCTATAGCATACCTATTTCACATGCCTCATAAACAAATTAATATGCCACAGTATCCACTCCAGCACATCTGCAATCTATCAAATGCAAATGTGGATGAACTAGATAATCATTCAACTTAGGTTTCTATTTTGCATAATCAATACCCACCCAATCAAAGAACAGACTTTAGATTGGACAAATGCATTCTTTCGATTATTCAATAGAAGGCTCTTCAAATTCAATTGTGTCTGGATCAATGAATGTCATTTTGTTATAAAAATTGATTGCTATCTTAACACAATCTCCACTCAAAATTGGTTGCATGTTCATTACTTGAGTTACACTCTCGAAATTGTGTTTGGTCTATTCTCTGGCAATCCAAATAACTCTCTTTGAATTCTGCGGTAACACATCAAATTTATACTAACTTCTGTACTTGTGATTATATTTGAAGGCAATAGTAATGCATTTCCCATTGAACCCACTCATGACTTCCGAGATTATGGTTCTATCCCATCTAAATAATTTCTTAGTTTTAGTACTGTCCACCCAAAAGCTTGTCTATAAGAAATCGCTATTCTTAAATGAAAGGATATGCAAATGTGCTTTGATAAATCGATTATCTAAATCCTCAAGCCATTCTTTCAACGTCTGGTGAAATCCTACATACCATTGTCCTGAAACCAGAATCAGTTGTGTAAAATCTGCAATCAAGAACCCAAGAATATTTCGACGTATTCTATCCTAGCCTTATTTAATAAAGAGAAATCGAGTAAGCACATCAGTAGCCTCTTATTGTTGAAGAACTCTAGCCATCATTTTGGGGATCGTGGCCTTTTTGCTTTCCTTTCGCTGCATTTTATATATTATATATATAAATCATTTTAAACCATAATTATGTACTTCGAGCACAATTTCAGTACAATTCTTGATACTTTTGAGTCCCAATTCAACTCATGATACTCTTTATGACTTTATATCAAATTCTCAACTTGCAGTATTTCTTCAAAGTAATTGAGATAATAGTTTATAAACACAAAATTATTATAAATTGCCTATAACACCCATTCAATAAATTTATTCATATTTATTAATATGTAAAAAACGATTTTAGCTTTGCTGATTGTTATGTGCACAGCACTCCAAGTGCAAGAGTTACAATAGGCCAACAAATAATTCGATAAGCTATCTTAAGACTCTCCTGTGGGAAAATTCTTAATGGATTTGGCTTAGATTCATGCTGAAGTGCAAGGACCATTGGATGATTTAAAAGAAACAATTGAAAAATTTTATGAGAATTTGCAAGACAGTCTCTCTCAATTAGATGGTGAATTTCAATCTAAATAAGCAATTCATTTGAAGTAGTTTAAATTAATAGAATAGGGTTCTTCAAAATTATGAATCCAATTAATAAGATGCTTAAATCGACATAGCTTAATCGCAAGATCAATTAGATAATGTATTGTCAAGAAACAAGGAAAACATTGAGAAGAGATTGAAATAGATCCAATAAAACATCAATGACAATAGATCAAATATTCAAAGAGACAAATTATAAAGAAATCAGTAAAAGGATTAAAATGTCGAGCACATCCATGAGCATCAATAGGCAACCACATCAATCGACGAAGCATTGTCTCTGGTGTAAGGTTTGAGCAGTGGAAACATTGCCTTTGTTGAAGCCCCAATGAAAAAGACTCTGGATTATATTAAATAGAAAGTAAACTCAAGAGAGGAATATGCTCCATTAGTAGATGCATTGATCAGTTTGTCTGGAACTTAGGATACAAAATAAATTAAAGAATTGTTGAATAAATTGAGAAATTAGATTGTTGATTCTATGATTCAATTGACAGGAGATGAAAATGATGCTTAGAAAATGTTTGAGGATCGTTAAAAGTAATTGGATTCAGAGTTCTCAGTAATTTGCATTTTAAATTTGATAGGAATTCTAAAATCAAGTGAATTAGGCAACCTATGATTTGGCATCTATCTCAGCTAGAATTGATTAGGAAAAGGAATTCACAAAGCAGAGACAAAGTGATTTGGACATGTACAATAGCTAAATTGGTATTTAATGTGTTAATTTAAGAAATGGAGAACAACAATTTCGCTGCAATTACTGGATTATACAATGAGATTAGGTCTGTGAGATTGAAGGAGTTAAAGATTGCTGAAGATGCTAAAAAGTATGGAATTAATTCATTATATTAAGTTTCGCTTATTCATCACAATTTAGAGAGTTGTTGCAATCAAAATTGAACAAATGAAATTTATATATATATTGATATATAATAAATCATATTAATGATGGTTTTGGTTCAGTATTGTATTGCTAGGGGGATTGAATTAGATGTATCGATCTAGATGGTGTTCTAGTTATAATTTATTTCTTTGATGAGGTTGGCGTTTGAGGAGTGTCACAGATGGCTTCATCATATAATTTAGACAGTTCTTCAAATTGTGATTTTAAGTTCTATTGTTTGACACGAATCTTTTCAAATAAATTGGGTGAATGAGCAATCTAAGAGCTATTGTTCGATAGACTGATTTATTTATGCAAAGTCTTAATAGATTCTGTTTGATCATCTATAATCTATTACAAATTGTAGGTTCTTATTTCATATTAATCTTTGAGATCCTTCAATTGCTTATCTTTATGATCAATCATCTTCTGTTGCTCCTTAGTGTAGGCTTCGAATTATGATAATCTGGATATAGTTTTATCCTTTTCATCTAATTACTCACGCAATTCATCGATTTCAACTTTTTAACAGACCTGCAATTTCTATAAAGCCATCTAGAGTTCTTCAATGTCTTTTTATTATTTAGCATTTTACTACTGAAGCGTTTCGATTTCTTGATCTTTTTTGAGGCTTTCTTTGTTATCAGGAATGAAATGAGATTGTTACAATTAAGAGAATAGGGAGTGCTGACTTTCATTGACTTCTTCGATTTTACCGAGATTCGACCTCTCGAATTGGCTCATTGAATAAGTAAGTTGGCTATTTTGTACAGCTGATGTATTGTAAGAGACCGTCTCTTCATCAGGTATTACACTGTTGATCTTCTTCTGTAATTGAGAATAAGTCATGAAGTCTCCTTTTTTGATTGGAGATGTATCAGTTATTTTGGTTGGATGCTACTCTTCTATTTCCTCTTCAGAATTAACTTCACTCATTAATAAATTTTATTTTCTTATTTCATTAAGTTTAATTTCTTAAGACAGAATACAATTAAGATTATCTTATTTATTTACGTTAAATATAAATTATAAAATCACCCCATGTCCCAATATCCCCAAACTCAGAGACAACAACGATCAGTAACTAATGTGAACAATGTTTCCTTCGCTGGATCTCAATTTAGCAATGTAATTACGATTTGAAATAAGAGTAGCAAAAATAAAGTGAAGCTTCACTTTCTCCAATGAAGAATCAAGAATTTGTTAAACCCAAAACACAAAGAGTCTATAAAACATAAACTATGAATTCCATGCCTACAATGTAAGGAATTCCTACGATGACAGGAATCCCAAATGCATTTACAGTATAATAAAATTGTGTGGCAGCTCAACCCTTATGCATGAACATCATAGTAGTTTCTAAAGAAGAAATTGAAATGCCTTGGAGACTTGAATGCGAGTATTTACAATCACTAATTACTGAACTTCAAAATAAATAACAAGGCAAATCTGTTTAAATTGTAGAGAAAACAATAACGGACAACTCAAGAGTCGAATTGTTAGAGTCATAACTCAAAGAATTAAGAAGACAAAATGAATCTTTATAGTATGAATTGCATACATCAAAAATTAATTATGAAAAAGAATTACAAAGAATAAATAGCACATTTGAACTTAGGAGTGCCTAAGTTGAAGATATTTCATAAAAAGAAAGCGAATTTTATCTTATTAGAATCAAATTAGAAGACCAAATATCCCAATTGGAAAGTAAAATAAAATAATCAGAATTTCAATTGAGAAGATCATCAGATGAAAATGTTAGATTACAATAAATAATTAAGTAATTAAAATTAATAATGTAGTTCTCGAGAATCTGAAATCAATTCTCTTAGAATCCAAATTACTTCCATTTAATCTAACACTAACAATAGCGAACTTGCTAGAATCAGAGAATTGGAAACACAAATAAGATACTTAAACTAAGAAATTGATAATGTTAATTCAAAACTTATTAATTCCAATAATGAAAATTAACAATTAAGAATTCAAATCTAAAGTTTTGATTATAAATCAGATTAATAAAATAACGAACTTATACTTAAATTACGAGAATATGAAAGCAGAACTACTATGCTTACATCTGAAATAGAGCGTCTTATTTATTCACTCAAATAAAAAGAAATTGAATTAGAGGAGTGGAAGTCTAGATATTAGTAATTGGAAATGTCTGGATCTTCTGTTTTCTAAGAAAAAGTAGAATATCTATCCTAAGAAGTAGAAGTTTGGAAATCTAAATTCATCAGAGCAAATCATGAATTCAATAGATGCTAAGAAGAAATCACTATGTTATAGGCTGAATTAGAATCATTCAAAAAACAAAGAAAAGTATCTTCAATAATTTATATTTTTAGTAAGAATTAACAATTACTTCGAGAGTAGTTACTAAATAAGCAACGACTTAAAATAGTGGTTATAAATAATACTAACAGTGAATATATTAATGATATTCAATATTAAAAATCAGATTACTACTCATCTTATACTTATACATCTGAAACGTCTGGATGTGGTGACTAGTATGGTCTATCATTCACTCTTTCAAAACATTTAGAAATCTTAGGATTCGATAATGGCGATGGGTTCATCTAATCTAATTCATCATAAACACTTCTTATAAAACTAATCATTTTTAGACTTATTTTTACTTCTTTAATCCATCAGATGCACTTTATCCTGATTCTGCTACCAAATTTTCAATAAACTCAACAATATTGTTTAATACTTAATCATTCTCTGCTTTCAATGCTAATCTTATACTGTTTGCAAATATTTTGTCATGATTTTCAATCTAAACTTCTGCTTTAAATTATAAATCAAGCAATTGTTTTGCTAAATCATTAGCATACAGCAAAATAGTTGGATCACTCAGTCCCAAATAAACATATTCTTTTGTTACTTTAGCAATCTATTCACATGATTCCATATTTTATATTTTAAAGTCTGTGTTTTAGAAGCACCAATGTAGTAATTCAAAATGACCTAATGGTAAATTTAACAATTTCTATGTATTGAGCTATAAAATAATAATTAATTTATTACTAATTCAACTAAATGCAATAGTATCGAAAATGAAACTTATTTTACATATTAAGAGTTGATATTTAGTTTGAATTTAAAGCTTTTATCAGAAGGGATAAAGAAATCGTATTCATCAGGTTAATCTTGACTAAATAATGCCCATTATCTTGACTCTTAAGACACTTCAAGAATGATCTTAACGAACAATTCTAATAAGATTTTGCTATCCCCCAATAAATCCACGATATGAATTAATGATTGAGTCATAAGGATATCTGAATCTATAGGCAAGGAAGCAATTTCTATTCCTTTTGAAAAATGATTAACTTATGCTTTTAAGTCAGAAATAATTCTGTCATTCTCAATAGAAAAGAACTTCTATCCCTGTTAAGGAGACTTAATTAAATTTTAGTAATTTGGTGTTTTGATAACTGCTCTAATCATTTCACTAAATAATATAACACAGAGACAACGATTTTGCCACCATCTATTTTTTGCCAAAGTCATGACATGTTTATCAATTTTCACTTAAGAATTAGCTTTTGCTGCGTTGCACAAAATTGCTAAAGCGCTTGAACTCAAAGATGTTGAAGAAGATGAAAAATAGATATAACCATATCGTTTCATTTCGTTCCATAATTCTGATGTTTCTTATTCAAAACTTGAAAAGACAGCTAAACATTACATAAAATGTTCAACTGATAAATTCGACTTCATGGTTGAAATAACCTAATATTTAAACATAGGTTCTTAAAAGGAACATATCATTTAAATTAGTAATTATTTCTTTTCAAAGAAGACACTCTATTTTATTAGTATACAAATTTCTGGTAAAAAGAACTCCAAAAATAGAGATCTTGTTTTCAAAGCATCCTTTTATAATGATCTTGCACCAAATTAATTTACCAAATCAATACAAACATGAACTCTTTAAACTGGTAAATTTTAGATACATTAAAAAGTAAATTTAAAAAATTTCCATACTTCATTTGTGTCTTTAAATATGAAATTTATATATGCTTCTTTCTAAGTTATCAATTCTTAAAAGAATCCATTTACAAAATCATCAGGATATATATCAATTAAATCTATAAAGCTTTATAAAGCTGTTGCATTCTATTTGAATTATACTGTTTATACAAATTACGGAAATTATTATCTTTATGATAGAGCTTCATTTAGAATCTACATATGTCTAAAATTCGTACATCATAGATAGATTTATCTAATTATTTTTCTCTTGTTGATGTTGCTTCTCTCTTGTTTTCATCCATTGGCGTTTTTTAAAATGAATCCTGTATCTATCTATCATTGTTTGAATTCAGCTTTTCCTATTGTTTTTCTTACTATTATTGTTCCTCCTTCAATTTCAACAAACTCCCTTAAACAGGTCTGTAACTGATATTTTTGACTTCAATCTAATAGTTTAGGTTCTCCAAATTTTAACTGATCGGTTTGCTTGGAACTCTCATAAAATTAGTTCTTTTAGATGAAACCGACAATGGAGCATGTTTTTCAGAAAGTTATTCTTTTTAGAATTAATCTTCCTGTTTCTGCTCTTCTTGCAATTTCTCTATTCCCTTTTCTTTTAATAAGAATGTCTATGTATTTTGGGTTGATGTAGCAAATTCTTTAGAATTCACATAAGATGCCAAAGGAGGATTGATAACCCTTATTTAGACAAATTCTATACTTTCTTTAAGTTAGGAAACTATAAATGCTCACTAGAAAGTTATAAAGCGCATTCCAATCATTATCTAAAATCTCAGCAAATCCTTTATGATTTGGAACCACTATATCATTCTTTTTAAAGAAGAGCTCTAATTGTTTATAATTGTTCTATCTTCTTTCATCCTTTTGTGAATTATCAAAAGAGTGCATTTAAACTCTGCCTGGGTAATAACGAGAAAATATTTCAGCTATCAAAAAACCATTACTCAAATCTCTAAATAAGTTATCAATACTAGTCTATACCTCCTAGGATCTTTAACAGAATAACTTAAATCAAGCCCTTGAATCCATTTGATAATCTCTCTGGGTAATGCTTTTCCTACAGGCTGAAATGCTTGAGTATTTGTGTTAGAACTCATAAATTTTATTAATATTTTATTATATAAGTTAGATTTTGATCAAGAATCAAATAATGAATGAAATTTACTGTTACATAGCTTAGTGGCTCTGGAATGATTGCAAATGATACACTGTACATATTAGAGCTAAATATTAAGATCCTATAAAATTATATATTTCTAAAGAATTTTAGTTTACGATGAGTAAATTCTCATTCATACATAAATTAATGATATGTAGTATATTCGTGAAGATATTTTATTATCTCCAAAATGTATTAGATGAAGAACCTCATTAAAAGGATTAAATTCTCTCTATATTCATAACAATTTAATATACTAAATCTTATATAAGTAAAATTCATAGATTGTAATCTCTAATAACTTTTTCAATTAATTGTTTAGAGATTGGTTTAACTAAAAACTCTTTGATTCCAATGTTTTAACCCTGGTCTTTGAGTATATTTTCATCATACCCAGAAGTGATAAATATTTTCATTTGCAAATAAGTCTTTAATATCTAAACGGAGGTTTGGATACCATTCAACCCTGGCATTTCCATATCCATAAATATAGCTATATAACCTTTGCAAGATTCACAACATTTTTTTGACATAACCTAATCTAGTGCATCAGTTCCATTAAAGGCTTTATCTATCTAAGAATTTGTACTAATTTTAATATAAAATTATATTACAATTGCTTAATTTACATTTCTAATACTTATTAATTAAACACATTATCATCAACTATCAAAATATGTTTACATTCATTTTGATTGTCTTAAACTACATTTTTATTTTCAATAGATTGTGAGATACTTTAATATTCACGATTTATATTTATTTAATATTATTATTAAGTCTAAGCTGTCTAGTTATTTAATCTAATTTCGTTTAAGCATGGCGTATATTCATCTTCCAAGTATATTTATTCGGGCTTAACACAAGGACACTTGTGATGTAATTATTGAATTCTTAATGTTAAGTAAAAGTAAGATCCATGCTTTGCTTAAGAAGTATCTTGAGAAATTACCTTCAATCCAGAGTTATCATGAGATAATTATTGAGCTAATTTGTTACTTATCAGTAGACCCAGTCCAACTCCTTGTTCATTTAGATTCTCAGAGAGTCCTTCTTTAATTTTACCAAAAGCTTTGAAGAGTTTTGTTAAATTATTTTAGGATATTCCAACTCCTGTATCTTCAACTCCAGCACTTACTAATAATCCTTATAAAACTAATTTGATTGATATGGCTCCTTTTTAAGTAAATTTTAGAGCATTTGCAATAAGATTGACTAGGATTTATTTAAGTCTATTTCTGTCCGTTTTGATTTGGAGACATTTCACATTTGAAATAACATTCAACTTAATGTTTTTTAATTCCGCTTGAAGTTTAAACATCTATAAGCACTCTTCTCCTAATTCAGTTAAATTGAATGTTTTTTATATTAAACTAAATTTATCCGCCTTAATTTAAGCTAAATCAAGTAAATCGTTAGCTAAATTTAACATATAATTAGAGTTTTCCAATACAATTGAAATATTCTGACAGATATAATCAAAATTGCTTAGCTATTCTTTAAGTCTACTTAATATATTAATAACTACATTTAGCGGAGATCTGAATTCGTGACTTACAAAAGCTAAGGTTTTAGATTTAGATTGATTAATTTGAAGAAGTTCCTTGATATTCTTTCTATGAATAACATCTCTCGCAATTATGAATAATAAATCTTCACTTGCGATTGAAATACTTATTTCTATTGATCTTTTTGTATTCTCAATTTCAAAACTTGTTTCAACAACCAATACTGGTGCATTTTCAACAGTCTCTCTTCTGAGCTTTTTTGCTCCAAACACATAAAGCAAACATTTATAGATAGTGTTAGCCTAAATCATTTATGTAATAATACTTAACTAGTCATTGATCTATATCTTGGAGATTGACTTTATTCGGTATTTCTTAAGGTAATGTGTTAATCTTAAGAGTAATATTTAAAGAAATTCATCTTTGAATTTTTAAGATATTTTTTTTATTGCTAATTCAGACTTTACAATGAAAATTAGGAATCTCTAGGATAAAGCGGGGATTCATCCCTAAATATTTCACAAGGTAACTATTCAAAAAGGGTCAATAAATCATGGTTGTTTTTTTGAAAAATCTTTTTGCTGATTTAATTTTAATATTCAATTCTGGGTTTTGAGATAGAAACATGATCAAATTTTCCAAATTAAACTATTATGACACCTTCAGAGAGGACATCAAATAATAAACTATAATCAATTTGTGAGAGCGCATCATTTATTTGAATTTTTTATTGCTTATCTGTACTGATAAAACTTAAATCTTTGATTATAGTTCTTTTAGGATTTATTTTCGTTTGAGTTTAGCGAACAGTTGTATTTTGGAATGTATCAAAGGGAGTTTCATGATATCCATTCACAGTTGACTGATTGGGCTTTTGTATTTAAATGATATTTTTTTAAGGGAGTAACCACATTAAAAGCAGCATATATAATTTTTGATTTGCAATTACAATATATTATTAATTGTTCTAATGTGATATGCTACTAATTAAATTTAATTAATATGTAAAACTCAAAAGTAGTATTATAAAAAAAAAAATCCTAATTGTCTTCCATATTCGACTATTAGTTAAACTTATCTTGATGTCTGTCTCTTTATGCACAATTTCTATATAAAAATAAACTTGATAAACATTATCTACACCATACATAAATGATTCTACATAAAATAAAATAATATCCATTAAAATAAGAGCAAGTTTGATTTCTGTTTAGAATAAGCTTTTCTTTTTGAAACACAATAATTCCAAAGCTATCTAGACTAACAAATTAATCATCAAAAAGTTAATATATTAATTCTTTAAATCCTAATATTAGATGGCCACTCTTATAAATTGAAAGAGCAAAGAAATAATGATTGAAATTTATAGTTTGTTCGAACTTGATTAGTTTATCGGCATAGTCAAATTTAAATATAGTTTAATATATAATAAGAAATAAAAATTTATTTTTCCCCATTTAAGGCATAATTTGTTTTTCACAGAAAATATTAATTTTAGGGTAACCTTATCAATGGTGTTAAAATTCTAAATTCTTATTATCATAAATAAAAATTGATTTTTTTGTAATGATTAAGTTCTCCTTATTATTTAAGATGAAATGTCCATAGAATGATAAGTACTCTATGTATAGAAGAAATTCACATAGTAGATGATTTATTTTACAAATGTAAACTTAATAATTTTAATGTCTTCATTAAATTTAAAATAAACATCTAATCTTAATTATATAAAAAATATTTCTTTTTCTAATTTAGAGTGAGAAGAAGATGTTATAATTAAAGTAACTTCTTTTCATTAAAAAATTCTAAATATAACCGAATAGCACTCAAGTCTATTATCATACTAATTTTAAACATTTCCTTGTCTACCTTCTTTTGGGATAAACATAAAATTTAAAGTAATTATTAGATGATTAGATAATTTGCTGTAGTTTTTTCAGAAATATTTTTAGAATAAATCATTTATCAAATAAATTTATATTTTACCATTCAATAACTAAAGCAGCAAAAAGATAAGACTCCTGGTCAAATTGTAAATATTTTACGATAAGTTTTCAACTTTATGGCTTAATAACCTATGTAACAAAAAGTATAAGTATTACAAATTTTCAAATTAGCCCTTATTTTATTTTAAGATTATATTCTTATTCATAGACATAATTTTTTTATACTAAAATAATTCAAACAAAACTTCAAATTTATAAAATTGATTCTAAATTCATTCATCCTCTATCATTGAAATTTTTATTATATAAGACAATAAAATTTAACTACTGATCTATAATTAGATTTATTTTATTTATTTTCATTCAAGTATAATATTGCACTTATTAAGTTTATAATTTATATCATATATTTCATTACTTATTAATTTAGATTAGATTCATAATGACTTTATCAAATGTAGTTTCATTATTATCAATCTTATCCATGATTTATATATAAGACATTATTTTAATAATATTCAAAATCAACATGGTAATATGTTATTTAGCTCTTTTTTTTACTTTATTAATTCTGTGTTTTTATTTACCATTTCTCTCACTTTTTTTGATTTCGGATGAGAAAGATCGCCTAATTGTAGAGACCAATTCTGTTGATCTATTGGTTAGGAATCATCATTAAAATATTAATAAAGTTAATCCTTAATTTAAGATGGCTTAATTGGCATACTAATTTATTCATTTTCTGGATTTGTATTTTGAGTTGGCTATTATTGTTCATCTTAATCAAGATCATTTTTAATGAAATCAGGGAATTACTATTATGCAGCAGTCTCCAAATACTTATTATCTAATACTGGATCAGATCTGATCTCTTGGCCTGATTCTAAAGCATCTGATAGAGCTGATTATTGACTTTAGGATTCAATGTCCAACTTTAAATGTCTAAGAGAAGTGCTTTTAGAGATGGCTAAGTTATATTTTGAAGGATCCTTAATTTGAGTAATACTGATTAATTACTTTGATTCGATTTAGCATTCTTTATTGGACTCTGTGGTCTTACATTTTAAAGTCATCAGCAATGATATTTTCTTTCTTAATTTTTTCATCAATAGCAGCCGTCATCATCTATTAGACTTATTTATTACTATCCATTTATTAGATGAATTATATGTTGTTTTTGATTTATTCCTTTTGTACATGTTGTTATTAAATTTATTTTGATTCTTGTTTGATTTCTGCTCCAAACATTTTATTCACATAGGGTTTGATCAATAATGCTTGAATTTTATTGGTAAATACAGTGTATCTTTCAGACTTGATAGAAGAATAGTGTTCTACAGCTTACTAGATTAGTAGATGAGATTACACTATATAATTATAATAGCTCTTAAATTTCTTCTTTTGAAGCAGCATTCGATTCAACATCTAATTCTAAGTTTAAGACTTTCTCTGCAAAATTTGAGGGGAGTTTAGGTTATTGTACTGGCTGTTAAGCTTTATTAAATAACCAAGACATAAAAAATATAAAATTTAATCAAAGCTTTTGATTAAGTAGTATCTCAATGAATTCTTTTTCTGTGATTTCTCCTTCTGCTTTGCACTCAGTCAGAATCTATTACCAAAGTTCCTCATCTATGCTCCCAATCATAAGTTCCAATTCTTCTTTAGATATTTTCCCATCATCATTCGCGTCGAATATCTTGAAGGCAGCCTTAACTCGTTCAAGCGAAACCAGTTTTTCTTGATTCATTGCTGCCATTAAAAATTCTAGGATAATTAATAAATTTCTAACCCGAGAAATCAACTTATCCACTTTAATTGAGATCTACAATCTAAAGAATCTTATTGACTTCTTTGATTGCCAATTCCTTATCCTTTAAAACCAAAGCATAACCTTCGATAAGTTCATCCTTTGACAAAATCCCATTCTTATCTTAATCCAGAGTTTGGAACGTTTTAACTAATTCGTCTTACTCCTATTGAGAGGTCATCTGACAGGCTATATAAGAAAGAACGGCTTAAGTAAAAATAGATTTAGCCTAATGAGATCACAAAATTAAATTACTTGGAATTTTTGTAAATTTTATAACACAATTTAATTGACTTTTTCATTTAAATTGTGTTTATCAATCCATGGATCATGCAAGGCTTGTTTCGCTGAGATTCTTTAACTTGGATTAACCTGCAACATTTTAATTATCAAATTTTTAGCTTCTTCCGAGATAAAGCCCCAATCTTCCTCTAAACTAATTTTGAATTATTAATTACAATCAAATTTAAATTTGCCCTCACTCACTTTATGCATTATGTCTTTTTCCGTTTTTCCTGTAAATGGAGGATATCCACATAGTAGAATGTAAAGGATGACACCACAAGACCAAACATCGCATTTCTCATTGTAATCTTATTTTAAAACCTCTGGTGCTATATAATAAGCCTATAAATTAACGATAAACTTACAGTGCCTAGCTTTTTGGTCATTTTCTTCTCTGTATCATATTTTCTGGATGTTCCAAAATCAATAACTTTTAAGGGTGAATTAGAGGATTCGTTAGCAAATAATATATTTTCAGGTTTTAAATCTCTATGTACAATTTTTTATTCATGACAATAAACAACAGCAAGTAAGATTTATCGAATAAATTCGGCTGCTTTTTTTTCACTAAAATATGACATTGATTTGATTCTATCAAATAATTCACCTCCTGATAAATATTCAGTTATCAAATAGTAGTTCTATTAATCCTAGTACAATTCGTATAGTTTGACAATGTGAGGATGATCTAAATTTTTTAAAATGTTCATTTCTGCAAATAGTCGTTGTTGTTCTTCCACGATTAATGAACTTTTTTTTAATTGTTTCATAGCTCTAATCATTCCTACTATTCATAAATTTAACTACCAGTATTTTTATGAGTAACCTTCCAAACTTTCCCATAAGCACCTTAACCTAAGACTTCTCCAGTTGTATAATACTTGTGAATACTTCCTTACTTAAGATTCACAAAAACATCGGCTCCTAGCTTTACTGTTCCAACAGAAGAAACAGTTAACTTTTTCTTAATCCCATACTTAGGCAAAGCTACATTATTAATGTAATTATTACTATCAACTTTACTTTCTGATTGCTAAAATACTTTACATTATTATCCAGTCTAGTCGTCCTATGGAGTCATACCCTATGGAGAGTCTGCTATGACTTCGAAGTCTTCATATTGTTCCTTTATCTCTGGAACATTGTCCAATCCAACATATTGATCATTGTTTACACTTTTCTTTGATAATGTATGTAAGCTCCCTTTCACATCTAATACTATTTCGTTTGTTATCTGTTTTTATGGATATGAACAGCACGAAGCTCCCATCTTATAATAAAAATTTTAATAAATAATTGAAACATCATAATAGTTAATAATTCACCCTATCATTGATTTCCTCAAGTACTTCATAGAGAAATTCTTCTTTAATGCGTGTGCTGCTCTAAGATCCATCTATTTTGGCATTGACATAGTTGTTATTTTCGATTTAATCAAAGATTCTCTTTTCATTTAGCTTTGGGTTTGTTTTTCCTTAACTTAATCTTACCATTCGACATTTCTTTCATACATAGGTTTTCTTCGGTCAAATATATCTTGAGTCGTTTTCAGAATTTTGGGTGAGAAAGTACACTCGATCAATTCTTATTCAAGTTTCATAGTTTGTGAATCCACATTGAGAGTTCCTTCTTTATTAATGTTTCTTGTGGAATGATTTATTTAAGAAACATTTAATCGAGCAGATAGTAGACGAGATGTTTATGATAATTAAGGTTGAAAAGTGCATTTCTTTTTGAATTCCTCTTCCAATCTAAGTGACAGATAGTCCTATTTCTCTTGTTTATGCTTTAAAAAATTTATTCCTGATTGATACATTTCACTATTTGGTCGGACTCTCTATGATTTAATCTCGTTTTAACTGATTAGTTCAGATCCCGAAAAGTATTTTTATTTGATATATTTTTGCTTATTTAATGATGATATCGTATGCTTTTCGTGAAAATTTGATGTCGACAATAAGCTTAAACTAGCCTCATCATAAATATTAATATTCATTAATTAAAATATTGTTAATCAATATCAGCAAATTAGATGACACCTATAAGATTAATAATTCGGAGATGCATGATGACTCAATTCAAATACAAAAAGGATTACTTAATGAACTACAAACAATTTTATAACAAATAAATAAATCAAATCTGAAAATGTTATTTAAGAACATTAGGTTTTAAATCTATACTCACTTATTAAATACAGTTAGTACTAACTAACAATTATTTTGATGAATGATTAAGAAATAAACGTTTTGAATATAATGATATTTATATTTGATTTTTATCATTATTTTGCTTGGTAGTTGTAGTTTTTCATTTATCATATTTCATATATATTTTATGTAATGGATTACAATATAATTTTGATAGAGCTTAAATTGAATTGAGATATGAAATAATGTTTGATGATTACTATAACATAATTAGTATTGAACCAACATTAATGAATTCTAAGGTAAATCGTCAATACGGGTTGTAGATAGGGTGAATATTAATTGTCTAACTGATTATTCGATAATATTTATTCATTAAGAGTGTTGAATTTAATAACGAATTTTTATATTTAAACGTGCCTGTAGAGTGGGTCGATTGTATTATAATTGTGAGTTTAATAAATTAAGATTAATGATGAGGACTGGGTATAAATATTTGGTTTCTTAATTGAACTTTATTATGAATAATTATATATATTAAATCAAAAAACAAAAAGAATAGATGACAACTACTCTTCCTTTTATATCGAAGAATAAGAACTAGTATTGAATTTAAAAATTGTAGTGTGGAAATGAAGGCAGTAACTTGGTAAAAGGACTCTCATGGACTCTTTGATTATGAGACCAAATCTTTAAGCGTTAAAAAGCATAGAGTCGAAGGATCGTGCAAAGTCTGCAGAGAAGGTTTGATAAGTCGATTTATAATTAGACAACGAGATAGTTATTTAGGAAGGCAAAAATAAAGATGAAGCACACATGGCATTAACATCCATTTAAGCTTAAGGAGGTAATATTAAAAATGATTTTGAGACTAATATTTTATATAACCTAATCAAAGTTCAACAGAGAATGACAATTATTTGATTGTTCGTAGTTTAAAAAATGCAGATGGAGTGTAGAAGGTACGAATCTATATTTTATACGATAGGGTTACACTTTATAGGAAGGGGACTTGTTGAAATTGGGCAGAGTAGAGTATCATGTCATTGAGATTCGAGATGCAAAGGGATAGATCAGATCAGTGAAGGACGTTTTCTAATCGGAAGCAAAGTTGGCCCCCCCATTAGAAGGTGGTGTTGCTAAACAATGCAAAATATGTTTATTGGAAGAGGAAACCCCCGAAGATCCCTTCATTACTCCTTGCAAATGTAATGGAAGTTGTGCCTATGTGCATTTCAATTGTCTCAAACATTGGCTCGACAGCAGGGGATATAAGAAGGAGTCTGGCAACACAATTTCTTACAGATGGAAAAAGTAATCACAATTAATTCTAAAATTCTAGATTAGAATGCGAGGTTTGTTAGGAATTGCTGCCTTAATAGATCAGATTCAAAGGGAAAGTACTCGATTTGGCATCTCTGGAAAGGCCCAATCAACCATATATAATATTGGAAAATACGCAAATTTCCGAAAAGGATAAGAAGGCTCAAAGAGGAATATATTTGATCAAAGGGACAGCAGAAGACTAAGTTAAATTGGGTCGCGGTCATCAATGTGAAATTCGTATATCAGATATCTCAGTGTCTAGACTCCATGCATTTATTAAATATGAAAAAGGCAATTTTGTTATAGTTGACAACAACAGTAAGTTTGGTACCTTAGTTCGATTATCAACACCATATCTTATCTGTATGGATAAAATTGCAATTCAAGTATGAATACTCATTTGAGACATATTAGGTTGGAAGAACAGTGTTGACATTTGTTATGAAATCTTTTTCAAGTTTAAATGGAAATACTCATGCTGGACTTGCAGCTCTACACAATGGAGAATAAGGCAGAATTATGTTTCAGACTGGGTTTTAAGCAGGTAGTAACAAAACCTCGTCGATTAACAATAACTAAAAAAAGCATGACAAGCACACTGGATAATGATTTTTATTTTAAATACAATCTACAAATACACTCTATATGACGTCAATCATAATAAACATTCTATCAAGCTCTAGGTCATGAACTCAATTGGAAATATCAATGGGAAGCACAGAAATTGGGTGTATTTACTAAAAATATAAACACAATCATATAAATATACATTTTTTTGTAAATAAATCAAACAATGTCATTGAAAGACTTTAAGATGTTATCTAAACTAGGTAAATGACATTTACATAATAAAAGGCGATGGCGCTTTTTCAAGTGTTTATAAGGTAAAAAGGATTGAAGATCATCTTGAGTATGCTTTGAAAAAAGTTAATCTTAACAACTTATCTGATAAGGAAAAACAGAATGCCCTAAATGAAGTGAGAATTTTGGCATCAATTCGTCATCAGAATATCATAAGCTATAAAGAAGCTTTTCTTGACCCAACCAGTAATTCCTTATGGTAAATTATACTTTATTCATATTTCTGTAGTATCATTATGGAACTGGCTTCAGATGGAGACTTGTTATAAAAGATCAAAAAATAAATTAAAGCAAATAGTTCCTTCAAAGAAGCCGAAATTTTTCGATATGCTTTTTAACTATTAAACGCTTTGAAATCTCTGCACGAAATGAAAGTCATGCATAGAGATATCAAGAGTGCCAATGTTTTCATGATCAATAACGAAGTCAAATTAGGAGATATGAATGTATCTAAAGTTGCAAAACAAGGCTTACTCTACACTTAAACTGGCACCCCCTACTATGCCAGTCCTGAAGTCTGGAAAGACCACCCATACGACTGTAAATCTGATATTTGGTCATTGGGATGTGTTCTCTATGAAATGGCAGCACTTAAACTCCCATTCCAAGCTGAGGATATGGATGGACTCTTCAAAAAAGTAGTGAAGGGTACTTCTTATTCGTATAATAGGATTCTATCCAAAATTACCAGCCGCTTACTCCTTTGATCTATAAAACCTCATAAGGATGATGTTGTAAGTGTCAACAGCATTGAGACCCACAGCTGTCTAATTATTAGAATTACCCTTTTTCTAGAAATACAAGCTAAATACTCCAGATTCAACTGCTTAATTACTGAATACTATTTAGTTTCCAAAAAACAAGAGTTACATTAACATTTTCCCTAAGCCTAATTATAAATTTAAGACTGAATCAACTGATAAAGTCGATCTGGAACAAGTGCATCGCAAAAGATAGGCAACCTTGGGAGGTAATGCTTCTATTTTCTCAAATCCCACTAGACTATCTTAATACGAAGAAAGCAGTAAAATCTAATATTAGCTTATTTTAGATCATCAATCTTAAATACCAATAAAACAAGAACGATTAGATTAAATTTAATTAAAATCAAATCGTCACTCTCTTGTTAAATTACTGTCTGATGGTTCTTTGCCTCGTTCTAATAGTAAAGTCCATTCCAATAAGATCATTCAAGACAAGATCAGAAAACGATTGCCCATTCCAAACTTATTAGAGAATATGTCTCCGATACTCTGCAAAAAAAGTGTGAGAGTTGGAAATGATTCTAATTCTACAATGCTACCATAAATTGCTTGAATATTTAGTATTAAATAACTAATTTTAACGAATATATATATATAAAATTAAGTTGCCCCAATATTAATGCAAGAAATTGACTTGTTAAGGTTACATAGAGAAACGCTGAAGTATCTGGAAATCGAAAGCATCTTTAAACGCTTAACACAAACCTTCATCAATAAAATTTACAATCTTGTTAAAGACATTTTTGCTGAAGAACACAAATTCACAATTTAAGTATATTCATAACTGAAAATAGGAATTATTGAAATTGGCCAACTATAAGGAAATTCCTCTCAAAGATTTCAAATTGGTCGAGCACTACAAACTCAATTCACAAATTTTCAAGACCAATCTATCAACTATTTTTTCTATTATCATCGATGATCTCTAAAATACATTCAATAAATAAATTATAATTGAGGAAAGATCAATTCTAGAACCCAGATTACTCACTTAAATTGATGAAGAATCCCAAATCTGTTTTACTGAAAATTGTAATGAAATCTCTCAAGAATACTCAAAAACACAAAGAGATGATGTGAAAACAGAAGAAGCACCAATACTTAATGAAGAATCCAAATAAGTCTAGAAAATCCCATTAGCAAAATTGTTGTCATTCGACAAGATAACTAGTTTATCAGTCGCTAATTCCCCTAGACATTCCAGAGAAAATAGTTTAACTACTAATACTTTTAGATAATCCAACAAACCAATCTAATAATTGATGCTGAATGCTAATAATGGATCTAAAAAACAAACTGTTACTCAACTGGCCAAAAATAAAAGCTTGGAATTGAAGTCCATAGCTGAAACTTTAATAGCTCAAAGCAAAATAAGTCCAAAAGGAAATCAAACTATTATCTTTAATAATTTAATGTCCAAAATGAATAATCTCAAAGAAAATGTTACAAAACTATGAGATTAATTTACTATATATAATATTCTTTTTGAAATTTTATTAATCTTAAGATTATTGTAAACATGATATCTCCACTTTAATAATGATTAAAAGTATATAGTTTCACCACTAAAAATTACTCTCATTTTAAATATGCTTAAATTGAGTCAAATGCATCTCCTATTCATTTGATTATGTATTTTCCAATTATAATTTCTAAGCTATCATTATATCTTTTAATTTTGGTATCTAGGATAATATACATAAATTACTAAATCATTAGCTTTTTCAGTATTTTTTTATATTAGAATCTGTCCACCCCCATTCAGACATCCTAATGGACAAGCCATGATTTCAACGTATTTATATTTACATGTCTTTGTTTTGATTTAAGAAATCAAATTTGCTATATTCTTTAAACCAAAAACACGAGCATAAATGCCTTATAATTACATATCTTCATTGTAAATTGTAATTTCAATAAAATCTTTGTTCTTCCTTATGTTCTATTTGACAGTCCAATTAGGCTTCACAGAACTTTAGATAATATAATCTAAGTAGTTGTTTGATGAAATGTTATGATATTCTTAAAAATTGATCGCCATAGTTGAAAGTTGAGTTTATTGAGGAGTAATCTATGATTTCTGAATGTAATCCTTTATGTATTACTCAATCTCCCTTGTACTCAGAACAATATTGATGTCTTCGTTATTTTCTAGTCTGACAGCTTCTAGCTTTTTGTCATAACATGGCATTATCGTAGCAATGTAATCATGATTTTTCTTAAGGATTGCTCCAAAAATTTGTTATGGACTCTTTACTTTACTCATGTGATTAATTATAGATTCATCCAAGGTCTTTTCAGCATAACATACCCATCCTGGACATTCTGAACAAAGTAATGGTGTTATTTTTGTTTATTTGAACTCTTAAATTGAGTTATTAATAGCTATTTTCATGTACTCACTCATGTCGTACAATTTAACATTCAACTCTTAGAATAGTTAATGCAAAATCGAATGCATTTCTGAATCTGTAAAGTTTAGTACATGAGATAAGGAGGCTCTTGATTAAGGACTAATCCCAATTGCAGGATTTTGATGTTTTTTAATTGCTTGCAAAAACTCATCAAGACTCTAGGTTTAAATTAAGATAGTTTCTGCAGTAGTAACACACCCACTACAAGCAAGACAATCTTGTAAAGAGACTTTAGCAACATTATTCTAATTTTTAATCAAATTAGGTAGTCACTAACTGAGGAAATTTTGATGGTGGAAGAAAACATTGTTAATGATTTTATTAATTTATGTTCACCCATAGTGAGAAGAAATATAACTAATAATTAGATGGGTATAATTTCATTCAGAAATTTTGCTAATTGGCTTTTTGATTCCTACAAATAGCTACAAACTAAATGATAGAATAATACCACATCCTAAAGCTTGTTCTTCTCCATTTGGCTTATGATCCATCTTGATAGGGCATTTATCCTTGCCGGGACATTTAGGTAGTTTCTCTCTAGGGATTTTGGACACGTAATCTCCGTTACATTATCTCTTATGACAATCTTCACAAAAATGAGTTGTCCCCCTTTGAGAATATGATAAATTTAATTGTTTACCAGCAAAACCACACAGCAATTTAACAACAAAACTTGCATTTGAATTCTATATAATCTTTTCCATGAACTTAACATGTTTCTCCAACTGGTACATCACAACAATTAGCACAAATTAATTCTTCGGGTTTATATTATTTATCCCCTTCATCCAACGCTCTTTGACAATCTTTAGCACCTCCGAAATAAGGGTTCTTGCAATTGAAACATTGATAATAACAATAGATAGCCATAGCATACTCTTGGGGTTTCCCATAAAACAATTCACCTACTTTACTAACCTTTTCATCTTTATCCCTGCTTTCATATTTCAATCTATCGAATGATTTCTTCATGACATCTTAAAAGAGAGTATAATATTTATTGACTAGATCTTGTGGCAAGGATTGTTAGAATTCTAACCAAGTATTACAAAGAGGACACAAGCAGAACTTGAAAACAATTCTTGGTCCATTCCATTTCACATCTAGTCTCTTGAGAATACAAGTATAATGAAAGATCTATTATTAGAATACTCGATACATGTCCGCATTTTGATTGGATTACAGGGGCATTCTTTAAACCCTCTACAAAACAAATATTACAATAGTCATCTCCTTTTTGATCTCCTTTACAGCAGTTCTCATTTAGACATGTTGAACATATCTATTCATTTATGAATCCTGGACAAGGATGTCTACATGGTAGTAATTTATTGCATGCAAATTAAGCCTTTTCTTAGCACTCCTTTTCTTAACAGATGTCCTACAAGGCTTCTGGTACATTAACTCGAACATTATGAATAGGTTAATCACAATATCTGCAACACCTAAATAAATGTTACAAATCATAATTACTTTGAAGACTTCTTAATCTTGTATTCTTCGCAATTCATACCTAAATGATAGGGGATTGCTTTGCATTCTTTGCATTGTTCAGTTTTACAGGCTTAATTGAAACACATGAACCTATTATTCAAGTAATGATCCACGTATTTTCTAAGATGATAAATACAATGTTAATACTATTGTAATTATTAATTTGTGACAGGATCTTTCAGAATTGAAATTGAACTGCCCTTCTCAAAAGCTCCACTTTCAGAACACGCCGTACATTTTACGATGTTGAATTGTCTTTCCAACATTATTTAGGAGTATTAGTCGTGTTTCTCTCTCCCAAGGATTTACTTAAATATTATATAAACATAAATACTATTAATTCTTGTTCTAACATTTGTTTTTTGCATAATTGGTTTGGACATTAAAATACTATATTTGTTTTATAGTCTTTTTCTATCTATTTCATCAGGCAGGGTCTGCAGATCGGTTAGAAACAATGCTCGAAATAAGTAATAATATCTGCATCGACATTTTTTGCGCAAACTTCACATTTTTGTAGTTTTTGAAATTATTTGAAAGCTTGAAAAACATTTTCAGTATTTGCTGGTGCTTAGTTAGGTTTCTAACCAATTTGGCTAAAATTTTGTTTTTAAAATTGAAGTATAGGTCCATTGGAATGATCAAAGGATTTCGATATTGATGAGCTTATAAGGCGAATAGCGGGTGGGTTTAATAAGCTATCTACTCTTTCAATAAAAATTAGGAACTCACTTTTTAAGGCGATTAGGTGATGCTTTTGCATTTATTCAAGCTAAATTTAATGAAATGTTTAGAAGAATGGCGATTATTGTTTATAATTTGGGCAATTCTTGATGTGATCTACCATACTTTGTTGATTTAGTTGAATTATTTGTTTGCAGAAACAATTGAAAGTCGTCTGATCTAACAAAACTGGGATCATATTTTTGTTGAAGATTATAAAAAATAATTAATAGGAAAATCATAAATAATCTCTATCCTTTTAGATATAATCATTTGCAATGGGAATTAGAAGAAAGCCCAATTATTTGAAATTCTATTAAAAGCAAAAAAAGGCTCGAAAGGTCTAAATCTGAGGATACATGGAATGCCCATATTACAGATTATTAATATTGTACAAAAACAAATCAGGCAATAAACTATAAATAATTAATTGTTTAAAACTGTTATCGTAAATCAATTAAATATTTATATCATATTCTAGTTTTCCACTCCAAAAAATAGGCATTCAAATAAATCATTGTAAAAGGTTGGAGTGTATTTACATGCTCTTGTGCAATCAGGAGAAAAGGTCATTTCTAATAATTTTGGTTAGAATCCATTGCTATCAATCATCAAATCCATTCCGTAAACACTTCTATTCTAATAAATGATCAATCACTCTTTTACCTTTGTGTAATTAGCCATATCCGGCTAATGAGTTCTCAAAGCAATGAATAACTGTCTAACCATCTCTTAAATTGACTCATATTATTTTTCCCATGTATGTGGATAGTATTCCTTATTGAATTCCTCTATAAATTCTTGCATAAAAACTTATGTTAATTTATGACCATAATTCATAACAGTAAAATGAGTTTCGTATATGGATAATGTACTAAAATATGATATAATTAATTACTTGACATCTTCAGTATATGGATTATTAGAAATTCTGATCCAAAATGTTTTATATAAGTAAACACTCAAGGGTTCAATGGATTTTAGAGCAACTATGAATCTCAAATCAAATTTTCTATTTCTCAATGTTAGAGGTCTTTCAATATATTTTTGAGCTAATTTAGGTCCTGTTTCAATCAGCCTTAGTACGACATCTAAATTATTTGTCACTACCATATCCATAGATCTAGCCATATTAGGAGGCTTGATAATCCATAGGTTGTTAAGATGTTGGAGTTCTCTAGTTTTATATGCTCCCATGAATAAGGGTAATTGGGTTTGCAAATTAAATGTTTCCTATAGCCAAGGTACATCCCCATAAGTACTTTAGATTGTATTGGCTAATTTCTCTTTAGAGATGATGGCATATTCATGAGGATATTGATTAATAAATTTGTCAGCATACTTTTCATTAATGTCATCATGGACACCAGCACTAAAGAATACTAAATTGGCTTCATCCAAGTCCAAAGTAAAGGATACGTATGGCAAAGTAAGATTTTTGGTGACCATTTCTAAATCTGTTATGACTTTGACATTCTCCTTAGGCAAATATTCAATAGGTTTAGCTATTACATCAGGCTGAGCGATCTTTAAATTGTGTAATTTGGTTTTGTATTCATTATAACCATTTAAGATAAAGTCGTAAGGAATATCAAACCAAACATTCAATCTATAAGAACGGAATTTGGCTTCATCAACCCCTGGTAAGTAATCTCTAAAAATTGGCTATTCATGAATATCTTTAATTGGGAATATAATACTATAGGCAACAGCATCGTCATCTATTTTACCATTTGGTAAATACAAAAATGGCACTACACTTACATTAGGTGTATCTGAATGTTAAATGCTTGATCCCAATTCATCCATTAAATACCATACTGCAGATTCATCCATTTAGTCAGTTGTTAATAATCTATAATTGCCTGTCAATTTAAATAGATTTTGCTTGATTAATTAAATATCATTTTGTTCTTCCTTAGCTGGTGTATATGATTCATATCTAATATCTCTCTGGTTTACTAATCGTAAATATGGAGACACTGCGTTTAATTTATTGGTTTTGTGTAACTCATAAAGTACATCTTCAACTTCCAAATCACATGTCAAATATTCTACATTTGGTAGTAGACTGAAAAAGGCATTAACATCCTCTAAATCATTTAATTTAGTATTCTTGATATCCAAGACTCGTAATTTAGGGAACCAATTTGCAATCTACTTGACAGATTTCATTCTCAATACATTTCTGCCTGAGAGATTCAAATAGTTAAGTGGTTCTTAACTGCTTGCCTTTTTGGTGTCAAAATCAGCTGTAACATACCTTATTACCCATTCAGTTGCATTTGATGTAAATGACAAATCCACTAGTTCTACTTGTGGACATTGTGCTTCAATATTTTATAGTAATTGTTCTTTGTCCTCTGCAACTGGATTGCCATTTAACCATATTGCCTTAATTTATTTATGATTATTGAGAAAGTGGATGACTTCTTCTATTTAAGCTATTTGATTTCCAAAGAAACTTATTGCGAATGTATCTTCTTTTGGTTTAACATCCTTCAATGTTTCTAATGCCATTTCATCAAAGTCTTCAGTATGATAATACACCTTATCTATTTTGAATAATGGCTATTTTTTATTCTAATATTTAAGCATATTCTTCAGTCTGTCGACTTATTTAATTGCTGTATGTAGTTCAGTGTATCTGAAACTCAAAGCATGATCAATCAAGAACACTTGTTCATATGCTTTCAATGGCTTCGTGCATTACAACACATATGATTCCTGTTCTTGATCATCGACTATCTTAAAATATTCTCCTGCATCATATATTTTATTTTCCAATTTAGTTTTCAGTTATTCTAATAACTCAACTTTAGGTGGGAAATTGATTCCTGCCAATTAGACTCCATGATTATTGTAAAACACTTCTAGTTCTCCTGTTAAATTCTAGAAATTCATAAATTAATTTTTAATCTGAAATAATTTTTAAGAAATTCATAATATAAATTAAGAAAGTCAAACTATTTCTTAGATAGATAACAATTTGCCGCCGTGACAAAATGTTGATCGAATGTTTTTTACTATTGAATGAAATGAGTTTGTTGATTCCTTCTTGTATTAATGCTTTTTAAGCAATTCATAAGTTGTTATTCCTGCAATAATCAAATAAGTGTGGAATATGAGCATCCCCCCTGCAAACATCAAAAATAAGAACATTATCACAAATATCACAATGAAAGCTCCGTATTCTTGTCCGTATCTCTTTTTGTCCTTTTCATAATAGTCATAATTAGACAAACCATCCTAACAAAACCATAACAACATTATCAAAGCAACAGTCTAAACAAGCAAGAATAACCAAAATGATCGTTGATTCAATTCCCCAACACATCCACCTATCCAAAAACAATGATGATCATATTTTGCAACGCATCTTTTGCAAACCTTACAATGCTTTGCTCTATTGGGTATATTAAATTTGCATATTTTACAATATCGTTTATTCAGTTCCTATTCCACTATTTACATTTCAACATCCTCTTCATTTGTACTTACTATATATCCAGGGTTATTTCCCACCGTAACAAATAAATAGTTGGAATAAAATACTAATATTACAAATGATATCTATAGCACATCAAAAGGATTTTACATAAAAGCATTCTGCTTGTAAACTATCAAGACTGTCCAACATATGAGATGCATCGTAAAATAAAATAATCTTGACATAAGTGAGGCATCAAACTCATTATTCATATTAATTTATTTGTTCAATAAATATTAGTAATAATTATGAGCATTAATAAGTGAATTCCACTTTGCATATAAGGTTTAATTTATACATTAAAATCATAATTAGAATAATTTGAATTGCTCTTCATTGTTTGATCAGTATTGTTAAACCCTAATTTAGGGTTATTTTAATGATATTATAGATAAATGTAAAATATTCACAATTCCTTCCATTTTTAAGTTACCATTACATCGTGATCAATATACGGTTTTATTTACTTAGCTTTGGTCCTTAGAGGTTCTAAATTCATTTTCAGAGTTAATATTTTGGACTCATTTACTGATTTATTGGACATAGGAATATATTTTATTGATCTTTCAAGTAATTTTGCTTATTGTTGTTGTTCCTCAATGAAGGATTATGCTCGATACCTTTGATTGAGAGCTTAATATAAATGAACTTTCCTTTTGGCCTTTTGGTATTCTTTTTCTCTTTGGCGAAACTCTTTCTCTCTTTCTTCTTGGTAATCTCTTAATTTTGATAAATTCTCTGCAATTTATATTCTTCGATCTAATAGAATATCTTATAGATCAAACGAAGATTGAGACATCGATTTCGAAGGGTTCCTATAGAGAGAATTTTATTGTCTTTTGTAATTTGATTTACTATTAATGGAAAGCATAAAAGTTTATTTTTTTAATATCAAATGGTTTTATTATTCTTAGTTTTATTTGGATATATAGATTTGGAGATGGTTCAGGCTTTAGAATTATCAAATTGAGTTTATTATTATTTATATAATAATATATGAAGAAAGGTCTGAGTAATTTGATTCCAAATAGTTTGGTGAAGAAGTATTCATTCAGACCACCCAATCCACCTTAATATACATTTGAGTTTAGGGATGGGAAATACTAGTTTTATCCAATTATAAAGGGAGTGAAGAAACAAATTTTCAGTTATTACTTACTCATAGATTCATACATACTAAAGAATGATCAACTATATGTTCCTTTGATTCACATATCAGGGTATTTGTAGATGCAAACGTAGATTGTAGAATGCGAAATCTGAGAAATCCTAATCAAAGGAATGCTTACTTAATTTAAAGTCCTTTTAGTAAGAGACAGAGAAATAACCCCAAAGGTACAGAACCCTAATCATATTTTCCCACGCAAATGCGAGTGATTTAGGAGATGTGTACTTTTTTGCTGAAAGAATAAGCATTGAATATGGGGTAGATATCATTGCATACGATTATACTGGTTATGGAATAGGTTTTGGATAATATAAAATTAGCGAAGAGCAAACGTATGAGGATTTGCAAAGTGTATTATCCTTTGCGATTAATAGATTAAATTATTCTCTGAATCAGATTATATTATGGGGTTTCTCGTTGGGTTCAGGTCCTGCCACAGAAATAGCCACACGTTTTGGGGGATTGGCAGGGCTGATATTGCAGGCACCAATTGCATCTATATATAATTGGTTTGGCGAAGGGGATTATGGGGAATAGGACATTTATGTTAATTATAAGAAAATCCAATATGTTCGTAGCAATATATTGATAATTCACGGGGATTCAGACAAGATAGTCGGTCATGAACAGAGCGAGAGGTTGTACAATAAATATTTGCAATATAATGCAAGAGGGAAGATTCAATTTGCATTGGTGAAGGGAGCTGGGCATAATGATTTATAGTTCCATATTGAGAAAGGGGATAACTAATTGGGAGTTTAGATACATAATATGTTGAGACAAAAAGGTGTGGGGTTTAATGAGAAAGAATATACATTGTTGAATTTGTGTTATGTTAAGGAACATGTTCCTGGACAATATATGTACTAATACAATTCGTTGAAAAAGTTTACAAGTTCCGATGAAATTCAGAGAAAGAAAGCTGATGGGTTGTTCTTTTTATGTACTTGCGATTGATTTTATTTATTCTTGTTTTCTATGTATTAATTTCATATTTATTATTTGAATAATAATGGAAACAGTGACTTTTGGAGGTGACAACCCTTAACCACGGTTTGGACACACAATTTGTATGATAGCTCCTAACAAAATTGCACTTTTCGGAGGTAGAATATTGTATAGAGGAAGGTGCTGTTGGGGATACTGGAAAATATATTATAACAGGAGATGTTTATATAGGGGATGTTACTTAGAGAAAATGGAAGAGAATAGAAGCAAGTGGAAGTGTTCCAACGAATAGAGCAGCGCATTAGGCATTGGCCATTGAATTGAATTAAATGATCATATTTGGAGGAGCAGTGGGAGGTGGTGGTTTAGCAGATGATAATTTGTTTGTTTTTGAATTGCGTGATGAAACTGGTACCTGGGTTACTGTGCCTGTCATTGGAACTACTCCAGGTAGAAGGTACGGTCACACAATGGTTCTCATAAAACCATATCTAATTGTTTTTGGAGGAAATACAGGATAAGAACCTGTTAATGATGCTTGGAGTTTCAACTTGGAAAAATCGCCTTATTCATGGTCTAAACTGGAATGCCCATCCGAATAGCCATGTGTGAGAGTCTATCATTCAGCTGCCCACTGTAATACGGGATCAGCAAATGGAATGATGGTAACATTCGGAGGCAGGACAAGTGATTAGAGTGCTTTGAATGATGCTTGGGGATTGAGAAGACACAGAGATGGTAGATGGGATTGGGTCAGAGCTCCTTATAAAAACTAAAATGAAATACCAGCCCAAAGATATTAGCATTCAACACTATTTTTAGGAACATTGATGTTGGTAATAGGCGGTAGATCAAATCAAGTGGGGGACACTCTTCCATTTGAAATATATGATACTGAAACATCTGAATGGTATAAATTCCAATCAATCCAGAGATTCAGACATTCATCATGGTTGGTTGATTAATTTCTATATTTACACGGTGGTTTTGATTCCGATCAACCAAATATTCCCACCGAAGGCATCTTGAGATTGGATCTTAACAAAAGATTTGCATAAACTCCATAATTGTTAAGGTAATTGAATACTATAAGAAATGATAATACTTTCATGGAATCATTTAATCCTAGAGCCCCTCCAAATTCAAGCAATAATAATACTCAAGATCAATTTAGAAGAACTAATCAATAAGCTCAATAAAGAAGTATAGTTTATATAATTTATTCTAGATTAATAAACATAATAACAAGTGAGGGTTTCATCTGCTAACAACAAGAACATTAGATTAGCAAATTAAGCCTTGGTTGCCATGGTATATGGTCCTGAAGAAGACATAACCAATTAAGTTAAGAAGGTTCCTATTGATAAATTGTAAGATGAACACAGAAAATTGGGTGCAGGTTTCCAAGATCCTAATTCGCAGAATAAATCTCAATTTGTTGAATAAATGCTCGCTCCCTTTATTTAAAATTTATTATTGCCCAAAGATTACCAATCCATTCCTCCAAATTCAAATCTAATGACAGGCATTAGAAAGGACTCAATTATCAAATTATGTGATGAAGTTTAGAGAATTCTTGAAAAAGAACCTATTGTCTTGAGATTAAGAAGACCAATCAAAATATATGGAAATTTAAATGGATAATATCTAGATCTCATGAGATTCTTTGATCATTTCAAAGCTCCTTATGATAATCTTTATAATGGTGACATTGACTCTTAAGATTATTTATTTTTGGGAGACTACATTGACAGAGGCACAAGATCTCTTGAGATTATTCTACTCTTATTCACTCTCAAGGTAAAGTATGGAGATTAGATTCACTTATTAAGAGGACATCATGAAGATCCTAAAATTAATAAGATCTTTGGATTTGCTGACGAATGCTATTTAAAATATGCAGAAGATATCAATGACCCTAATAGCATCTATCAAAGAATCAACAGAGTATTTCAATACATGCCATTGGCTGCAGTCATTGAAGATAAAATATTTTGTGTTCATGGTGGAATTGGATAAACTATACGCACCATTGATGAAATTGAACTCATTCAAAAACCTCTCCAAATTATTCACGATCCTGTTACAGTAAAGTATTTGCAATATTAACTTAGTATCAATAAAAGATTGCTTTAGAATTGTTATGGTCTGATCCCTGTTTAAATGAGGATGAATTGGAAAACATGCCAAATGTTGAACATGATCTTTTTTAAAATAAATCTATAATTAGATTCGGGAATAATAGAATCAACAATTTCCTTTAAGAAAACAATTTAAATATGATAATAAGATCTCACGAACCGACTAATGAAGGATTCGAAAGACTAAACACTAATGTGATCACTGTATTTTCTTGTAGTGATTATGGCAATTGTGGCAATAAAGGAGGTATTTGAATTGATAATAACATTATTTTCTAGCCATTCTCTCTATTACAAAGCGAGGAGATATAATACCAAAAGTCATTCCAACTGCAAATCTTATAAATGAGGCTAGGTGGTTGAATTTAGAGGAAGCTGCTTAAAGAGCTTAAGGTTTTGCCAAATACGTAGATATCAATAATGATGAATTACAATACAGAAGAAGACCGTTTACTCCATCAAGATAGAAAAAAATTGGATCCCAAAAATAATTCAAATGAAATAATTCAAGTTATTAGATTAAAACCTTTTATTTAGTATTTTGCAATTTATTTATTTGCAATCTTATTTTATTTCATTTCAAATCAGCTCCCAAAACTGTTGATATTTTTATAGTTCTTTTTATACCATATAATCTCAAATTTAGATCGTTAATTTTGTGAAACCGCTAAAATCTAATAGTTTCTTATGATACTACAAATCTGTCTTCAACTAAATTATGATATTAGCTTTCTACATAATACTTAATTGTTATAGTTAGACATTATTAAAAATGTTTGATTAATAAATTAAATCTCTCCAATGTGCAGCATTAGAAACACAAGCCTATTATGATGTGTATTGGCAAATACCTTAAAAGTAAGCTGCTGCCTATAATATGCTTCTCGATAAATTCTAGAGCCTTAATACACATATTTAAGCTGATTTCAATTAGATTCAACTGCATCCATAAATAATGGAGATCTTAAACTATTTCAATCAAACTTAAACATCTGTTATTCCAAAAATAAAAGAGACTACTCAAGTTCTATTTTTAAGCCCACCTTCAGAAGATCCTAAATAACATTACATTAAATCTATTGAAAGATTGTGGTCTCTATTATTAAATAAGAACCTTTAAGAAGATTTGTGTTATTTTGAGGCTGAAAAGCAAGTATTTTAGAATCTGAATAACTTTTTGTAATGTAAAGGCTTAAAACAAGTGTTCTTAGAACCTTGTACAATTCCTGTTCTTAACAACTACCCCAAATGGTTTAGTCAAAGGTTAATTAAAATACTTCAATCGTATTAAGGAGGATACCTACAAATTGCAGATATTGATTATCTTGCAGAACTTCAGATTATATTCATTCACTAAAACTTGAAAAACAAATTTTCTTAGTTAAAATTAAAAAATAGCAATAGAAGTAAAAATGAACCAAATACACAGTCACAATCTAACGGACCTAATGCTCGTGATTCTGAATTGGATATTCAGTAAACTTAATCTCAATAGATATTCTTATCAGCATAATCCAAGCATAGGACTAAAAACCCTCTTGTTTCAAATTGGTTTCATTTCAAGACCTACTCAAATCTCAGATCCAAAGATACTCGCGCTTTAATAAGGAATCATAAAGCAATATCAAGTTCTTAAGTAGATTTACAGACTCCCTTTAGTCCTTAAAAGTAGAGTCCCTTTAATTTAAAGGCTAATGTAAATCGCAGATGGTTTGAGCATTATTATTAAAAATGATACTAAATTAAATTAGAAAATATTTCTCTAAAATCGCTTAGGAAGCTTTAAATCTACGACACAAGCACGTCAATGAACAATATTCCCAATACAAATCGAATCCTAAAATTTTTAATCCAAGAAAAGGAGATAATATCCAACCTGATTAAATAAAGAAAATGAAATAAGAGGCTATGCAAGAAATTGAAAAATTCTAACAGAATTACTTATTTGATATTACTTTCAACACTAAAGGCTTGGTCAAATTGTTAGGCTAAATTAGCTATGTGTATGATAATCATGATCTAATATAATCTCCTTAATTTTAAGAAATCATCAAAAGTTCCAAAGACAATTTATATCAATTTTAAAACATAAGGGAATTAGCCTTACTATTGAATTTTTGCTTCAAGCATTAATTGGGAGATGAAAATCTATGGTTTGCTACTTATTAGCACCTACTCAATACTTAATCTTAAATATAAGTAGAAGACTTACTGTTAATCTTTGAATCAATTAATGAGTCCAACTTTGAATATCTAAAACCAATCTTTAAGCAATTCGAAAATGCGATCTTAGAAGAAGTACAAAGAAATAATCACAAAATTACTATCAAGGCACTCCAAATTTATCGTAAATTTTAACCAGACAACAGCAACTTCTTCTATTCTATTAAAAAATAGATAATTGAAACACTGCCCTAAACTAATACTGATTCAGTTCTGAATTATCTTAGGTATTATGGTTTGGGCAATGAGCCAATTGAAGATCGATAAGAGATCTTAAATGCCATTATGATTCATCTATACAAATTGCAGAAATTCTTAAACAAGAAACAATTGCTTTAAGTCTATTATACTTATGTAAGAACATAGTTAGGATCTGAAGTATTATATCGTTTAATTGAAGATAGGGTTGCATTGTTAATAGATGAATTTTAATTAAATGAAATTGAATAATTGTTAATTATAGCTGCTAATCAAAAGAACCAAACCATTTTTAAACATGCTGAAAGACTGCTCAAATAAAGATTGCTTGACTGCAATCCTGCTGATCTTGTATAGATTGCTGTTCTATTTATTGAAAATAATTAAGGGACCCCTGAATTTATTGATTCCCTAGAATAACATTTAATCTAAGCCATTTATACAACTGATGATATAACAGAATTACTTTGGGCCTTAGTCTAAAAATAGCACAATTCTAGATGGATGGAGAAAATAGCAGATGCTTGCAAAGAGAGAGTAGCAAAATTGTCAGTTAAATAATTGACTTCAATTATATGGATGACAAGTGATTATTTTAAGAGATTAACCAATAAACAAAAGTAATCATCTAAATACATTGATTTGTATGAACTCATTGAAAAACATTTAATCTAGTATTTTGAAGAAGGAGAAGTTAAAAACAGGGATGTTGCACTTGTTATGAATGCATATATAAGAAATATTCCAATTTCTAAGGATTTAGTAGATTTAATGGAGATTTATATTCTTAATTCTACAGAGGAAGAACTTTAGGAATTAGATGGTTGGAGTGTCTCCCAAATCATTTGGGGATTTAGTTAAATTGAAGGTAAGTATTCATTTTAATCTTAGACTATCTGAATCTAAAGGAATTTTTAAACTTTATGGTTAAAGTAACTATTGAATGTATTGGTGAAATGAAAATTGATGAACTCTTTACAGTTTTGAGAGTTTATGTACATGAGAAATAAGAAACTGAAGAAATGATTAAAGAGGCTATTGAAAAAACCAATTTTTGGATGGATTAATTAGACCTTAATCAAGTTTATTTAGGAATTCATATTTTCACTAACACCTAATTTACAAAGTAAATTACAATTGTTAAATTCTTAGTCTTTAAGGAATTAATGAATTAATTAAGAAACTTTTAGATAGGTTAGAGTTCTTAAAGTCCATAAAACCATAAGTAGATCCAGATGAAGAGGAAGAAATAGACCATGATAAAGAATAAAAAGTAAGGCTTGAAGTAGAAAAATATAAATATTCTTGATACTATTATGAGTTATATAATAAATACAAAGATGTAACTTCATCTCTTTTTTAGTAAATTGCATCAAACTGAATTTTTTTAATTATTAAATTATTGATATTTCTATATAAAAATTAGTTTAAATATAACAATAATTCAAATACAAAAACAAAACAAGAAGACATTGAAAATTTCAGAAAGCCTTCATCATCCAAATATAATATTATTTCTATCTTAATAATATATGAGAGACTATTTAAATAAATTTTAATTTTATAGTTTTTAATTTTTACAATAGGAAATGCATCATCTCTGTTTTATTAAAATCTATTTCACATTGACAATTGTTTATAACCAGAAGATGGCTAAATTTATATATAATTTTATACTCAAAAATATTTCCCATACTATCTGAATTATAAATTATTTTCAATATTTTGATCATTTTACAGAGTTGCTTAGAATTTGTATATACATTTTCTTAACCTACTTTACCTAAAATAAATTATCATATTTTTTCATAGCTAGACGATAGTTAAATTTAATATTTTATTTATTTCTTAGTATCATAATAATGTTTATACTATTTAGAATTCTCATGAAGTAGTTAGAATTTAGATTAGGAATTCAAACTATCCAATTTGATTTTCGAATTAATTAATCCTTTCAATCATGAAGTTGTCAGAATTTTAAAAAGTTTCAAAAAATAGAGATAGAATTTAAAAAATAAATTATAGCATAGGATTAAGATCCTATCAAGTTATTAATAGGTTATTTACTTTTTGTCATCATTAATGTTAGATGAATAGAAGCATGTTTATAAAACTGAGGAGATATTTAGAATTTGTTAAATTTTGCGACACTGAATTTGTTAATTTTGTATATAGATATTTTATGATTTTCCAGAATATTATAATATTAGATTTCTGAGCAGAGAAATATGAATCATAAATTGAAAATATCTTTCGTTAAATTAATTATATTGATGTAATAAGCAGAGAAACAAAGTTCGATAGTATTTAAAACTTTTTTAAACTATATACAGAGAGGCGTTAAGAATGAAATTAAGAAAATGGCAGTTCAAAATATTCACTAATAATGATATTCCATCTCTAAATTAAATTCCATATGAGTTATTTTATTGATAGTTGTATTATTTTAAAAATGAATATCATTCAGATGTGCAACTATATTAACATAGCAGTCATATTGTCACATCCATAACCAGTAGTAGTATCGATAGCCAAAGAAGAATCAAGCAAATTTTCAAGTATTAATGGTGGTTCCATACCCCTTTCTAGTCGTTCTCCAATGAATTACATCACTTTGTAACTATTCATGGTTTCGAACAATCCATCACAACCGAGAAATAGGAATCTAGATATTAGCAGTTATTCTTACTTGTCTTCCTTACTCAATTTTATCTTTCTAATTTCAGGTTCAGCAATCACCATTTGTTAATTGGCTGGCAATGGTTCTTATTTGAATTCAAAATCGCCAAAAGCACGTGAAACTGAGAGTGTTCCATTGAGACGTCCTTCTTCATTAACAAATCCTCCTGCAAATCTGATTCTAGCCAGTTCATTACATGGAAGGTGATCTTTTGTTAACTCGATGGTTTCATCATCTCTCATTAGAAGACAACGAGAATCGCCTAAATTAGCAACGTACAAGGTCTTCTAGACTACTAAAGCCACCACTGCTGTTGAACCTATAAATGTATCTAAAAAAAGAATATAGGATTAAAAGGATTACTTTTAGCCACATTAGTTTTGATCATTTCATCCAAATGTATGAAACAATCATGTAAAGCTTAAGTGTAATCTTCACCTATGAATGAAGGCTGCTAAACTAGGGCTTCTAGAAAATTGTCAGCCAAGTAATTTGAAATTCCAGCACCACCGTGTCCATCAAATACAGCAAATAATGAGATATCTTCTCTAAAGTCTACTTTCATAATGTGAGCATCTTCCATTTAAAGTCTCCAACCTAAAATTTATTAATACACACTCACCTTGCATTGACGCAGTATGGCAGTACAGAATTGCATTAGACTACTACTCGTGCAATTTCTGGGTGATTGGTTATGACAAAAACTAACCCATTAATTATATTATTTATGCTTTTAGTATCAATTTAATTGCATTTAGACAAGAAATTTAGAATCATTTTATAACAATATCTCATTATATTTGTATTCCTTTTATAAATTTATTATTGAATCAATAAAATTTTCAATATTTTTATTACTAAAATCAATCACCCGTCTCCCTTTGCCCTTATGGCATATAAAACAGTCATACTAACATTGTTTTATATATTAAAAATTATAAAATATTTAATAATAATAGAGTTATTCCAAATTTATTATACTAATTATAGAATTCAATTTAAATAAATTGAAGACAATGATTAATACTTAAAAATATTGATCAGATTATTAAGAACAAAAATAAAAATAGAGAATTACAAGATTCTTGAATTGGAATAAGATAATAATATATTATTATTTAACAAATATTTTAATATAAGTAAAAAATAGACCATATTTAATATTACTGATGATGGAATAGCGATATCATCTTAAAAACTAGAAAATAATATAATATTATGAAGTTATCTTAAAATTTAACAAAGATGTAATATAATTTATATAAAATAAAATAAATTTTATATGGGAAATGCATTAAATGATATTGGTGAAAATTACGACTTTAAATTCATTCAAAAGGTTTAACATCCACTTTTTGGTCAAATCGACATTCTTGAATGCCAAATCTAAGATTTTCCTGATATTGAACAATATATGAGAGTTATTCCAAAATTAATTAATCAAGACTATATTGCCTTTATTAAAAGGTACATCAAATTGTAGAATCTTCATAAACATGAAATGACCTCTCCATTTCTTATATACATCTCTAACAATATATTTGAATGCCCATCACATTCATTATTTGATGAAATCTAAGTAAAAAGACAGCAAGGAACTCAATTTGCAGAATCTGAATTATGGTACCTAGCAAAGAGCTTGATCGCTGGATACTCCATATATCTTTAAATTCCAGAACTAGTCAAATAAACACAATTAACACTACATAATATTTTTATAACCAAAAAAGGTCACATAAAATTAAGTTTACATACATTGTTTTTAATAAATGCAACTAACTTCAAAAATCAATATATTGAAGAATCATAATATAGTCATAAGATCAGCAAGGAGATAGGGTTGGTTTTGCTTGAAGCCAGTTGTTTATCATTTGAAGATAGTATTAAAGTCATGGATATGTAATATTCTATTGAATATTCCAATTTTGTTAAGGATATGATTGGAGATACAAAGTCATTGTAGTATTTCTAAAATTATCAAATGAGCAAGAAGATATCAAAAACAATCTATGGGGAATCATAACTAAAGAAGACAGCAACATTACTTGCTCAATAGACTAAATCATTAAAATAATCTTAAATCATTGAGACATATCATGTTAAATCACCTGTCAAAACAGATACAAATCAATTTGATTAAGTCTCTAAAATTGCAAGCATCCCCGAGGTAAATGAATAAGATTAAAAGAAATCATAACAATTGGAATTTTTTTCTGGTAGAAAATCAACCCAACCTATCCCAAATGTCCAATCTGAAATTTATTACCATTCTAAATAATAATCATTATAGATTAATGATTAATCGCCTTAAATGATTCAACAATAACAGTTCTTCGATCATTAAAATGTTTAATATAATCATAATTAACCTGTAATGCAATAATTAGATGTCTTAAGTGAAAAGTTCAATTAAAGATTTTGGAAAGCTATTGATTAAGCAAAGAGATAAGTCTTAATTTATGAATAAAGAAGTAAATAGATATATTGATTAAATAATATCATTATAATACTAATTTCAAATTATCTTTTCCTAAATAAAAAGGGCCTATAAATATAGAATTTTATTTTTAAAATCCAGATATGCAATTTTTAAATATGCATTCTTAACCATAGATGAGAATTTCATCAATAATGATTTCCGATTTACATTAAGAAAGATTTAAGATCACACCATCTTAAAGTATTTCCAATTTGAAATCTATTAATTAAGCTTGCATAGCTTTTTCTTCATTTTCAAAATCCTCCAAATCAGCGAAAACTCCAATAGCAACCTAATTGGAAACAGCAGCTATCAGCCGATAATGATTATCCAAAGATTTCACATTATTGATTGTTTCTATTGTATTCTACAGTATCAAGTACCCACTTCGAATAAATATGGGTGTTAGATCAGTATAGGAACAAAAAAGGACGTGATCTTATTAACCTTTATAATCTAACCCCGTTGTAAGGTCATACCAATCAGATTCTGGAAAGTATGCCTTTCTAGTCATTGATTCCTCTAAAATAGGAGCCCCCATTAATTCGTTCCCAATTATGAATTAAGTATCCATTACAAAATCTCTATATGTTAAATTATCTTCAGGGAATATAAAAAATAAGGGATTGATAACTAAATATAAAGGAATAAAATGTACTTGTGCCATGATTTTATTCTCTTATGAAAACAGAGTAAAACCATTTTAAGAGAGAATATCGAAAATGAATATTCTTTTAAGCTGTTTGAATGACTTTGTGATCAAGATTATAAAATTCTTATGATTTAGATAAATCATTATTGTGATTTCGAAAGAAAGGATAAAATATTCCTAATTAAATCCATCTTTAACAAAGCTTAAAGTTAGTATCCCCCATGAATCCACAAACATCAGCTCCAACCATGGGAATTCCATAAATTTAAAATGAAAATATCTACCCTAAGGATAAGTAGAGAAAATCCCATGATGCTCCATTGTCTCCTGTCCAATGTTAAGCATATTATCCAGAACCTGGAAATGTTGACCTTGTAATTTAAAGTGGCTGAATCTTACCCAACTCCTTCAAGGCTTGATATGTATAATAGGAATCCATGATACCATAGAGATTATGCACATCTTTGTGTAGGTAATTTCCATAATGAAGTAGATGAGGTGGAAGTGTCTTATAGGACAATTATGTGGCTCCAGGAGTATAAGCAAAATTAATATTTTCATTCAATTTGTCAAATCTTTGTTAATGATCATGTAAATTTCTATTTAGTTAACACTCGCCATCACAAAAATTGGCAGGCTCATTCATATCAACCCATAGTCCATCAAATTACACTTAGTCATAGAGATGTTCGTGCATTTCATTCCAAAATTTACTAATATTAGGGTGAAAGAAATCAGGGAAGTATGATTCTCCTGGCCACACTCGTCCTTAAAATCTATATCCACTCTCTGGTGAATATGCAAACACATCATATTCTATACCTCTTTTGTAGCCTTCATCTAGTTCACCGTACTTAACACCTACTGCCACATCAACAATAGGTATATATCGAACACCCAAGCCTTTTAAGATTTCATAATCTTATTTAGTGAACCTATCTGAATCAACAGAAAATATTTATCTATCATGCATATAATCTATGTCTGACCAAATTGTATCAAGAGGAATTTTATGCTTTTAGTATGATTGAACCACTTCTACTAATTCGCTACCTTAGTTATATCCCCATCTACTTTAATGAAAACCAAAACTCCAAAATGGAGGCAATAACCATCCCCCCAAATAATTATGATATTACTTGATTACATTTCTAGGGGATTAATCTCCTAAAAACAATTTTATGTGAATTATTCCTCCTATCGTTATAAATTTCATTTTTTCCTCCTAATAAATAATGTCCATTGGAGAAGAGGATTTATAGAACATAATATTGAATTTGCGAGCATCCTCCATACTCAACAAAACTGGATGACTTGAATATACATTCTTTCCTGGTCTCTCCCCATCTTCAATAATGTTTGGTTCATCTCTTGCATACAAAGTATATATTCCTTATTTAAAACGAAATCCAACTTGGTTTCTTTCTCCCAACCCCCACATCTCCTTGTTTTGAGGATAGTGTGTGAATTCTATGTAATTTTCACTAAAAGCCAATTCTGAAATAGTAAAGATTGCTCTATCATCTCTGTAAATCTATATTTTGACTGGGTCGTTTGTAATATTCACAGAGTAGTTATATTTTTCCAAGGGCAGAGGATTTTCTACATCCTTGTAATTGAATGGCTAATGTAATTAGAAGCATTTACAGGTTGTTAAGGGATTCTGAAATGTTTACGATCCTCATCATAAATCTAGATGTCAACTTATGAGTCATTTTCAAGCCTTATTTCAAGAATTAAGATTTTATTTAATTTAATGGATTAACCATTCCTCTCGATATTCTTATTAATGGTGTGTAATTTATATTGTTGAATTTATTTGTCATTTCTAATTTAAGTGGCAATATATTATGTAAATGTAACTTAAAAGTATAAACAGATGATTAAAAACATCTGATATTATTTATAATTAAATTTATAATATGAGATAATATTTAAATTAAGACTCTCTAAAATATATAAATAAGGATATACTATATAACATAGAATGTGTTCAATTCTATCAAGTAGATGATAAATATCAAACACTAATTTTGTTAATAAATAAGTTTTTTTATTCTACTTGCTTATAAAATCCTGTAGCTTATTAAGTGTATCACTCTTTTATTGTTTATCTTTATTGGAATCAAGAATATATTTTCATTGGGAAGTATAAATATGTTTTTAAAATAATAATAATAGATTAACATCCACTTTTAAGAGTAAAAAGTCAGTTGCCTATCTATAGTCGATTAAAGTTTCATCTACGTATTCAGAATACTTGATATTATTTTTATTCTATGTAAATCAATTTTATATATAATCACTCTTTATCATCGAACAAACTGATAATTTATTCTTATAATAAAAACTATCTTTTAAAATGAAAGTCTTATTATATTGAAGGTTTGTGGGAAAGATTATGGACCGAGGAATCTGACTCACTTTCTGTCCCCCAATTCGAAATTCTGCTTCGACTAGAATACTTGAAAGTGTTCAAGCATTCCAGACTAATAATATACAGTTGCTACATCTTGGAAAATGATTTTTGTAGATACTTATAAGACTACATTAGCAAAATTATTAAGAAAATAATTTTTGCATAGTGCTGGATAATCCCACCATCCACTCAATTATAATAAATTTTAAATCAATTTTCTTCTTCCAAATAACCCTTAGATTAAATTTATCGAAAGGTTATGGGGAATTGTAAAGCGATACTTCTCCAAAATATATGTTGCAAAAGTTGGCTAAAAATTTCATAAAATGTGCTTTCGAAATTTTTTTCATATGTTCAATAAAAATAAAACGATGTGGATTGAAGTTCAATTACTAAAACAATAGTATCAAGCGATATTGGCAAGTTATGATTTACTTGGGTAGCATTTAGAAAATCTTATGAAAACAAGAATAGACATACTTACTTTAAATTAATATAATATTCTGAAAAACTGAATTACATACTAGAATTTAAATTATTTATAAATGAGAATTATTATAAAAAATTTTCTTTCAAGCTTGCTTGCTTTTAAATAAGTTTATTCATTTTACTTGGCTGTTATGAAAAACAAATTAAATATGGATTTTGCAACTCAAAGTAAATGAAGGCTGAGATTCTTTTTGGCTGTATCAATAAATGAGAAATTGAGTGGAATTTATAAAATATTTAAATTATTATTTTTTTGTTATAAAAATAGGAAAACAATTTTATTTTCTTATTGGATTTGTTTTGGGTTTCATGATAACTAGGAGTATATTTAGAAACGCCTTATTTGATAAGATTGCTATGAAGTATTATGATATGGTGAATGAAAATTGATATATTATATAAAATTGTAAATAATGCATTGTTTGTGGAAAGAATCACAAATTAATTCAAATAAATAAGCTATAATTTGTCACAAACTAAAATAAATAATTTTAATAAAGTTTGATATAGCAATGGAAGACAAAATAACATCCATTGTCGCGGATGATAGAATTGACGAGATTTTACATTTGAATGCTACTAAGGAGGAGTTAATTATCATACTCAATTACATTATTATGGATTATAAAAAGTTCTCGTTGACAGATAAAATCTTACTGCAGTCATAAAAATTACAGAAACTAGCATTAGAAGAATGCATTGAAAATCGATATGTGTATATCTTCTTGCCAGGAGTAAAGAATTCTATGGACATTAAATCCTAAAAAGAAGTCAGATACACATATGAACCTAAAGAAGGGAAGATTTTGAAAGAAAAATATAGGAATGGTCGTAAAACTGAATCAACTGAGGTCACTTATGAGCAAATCAATAAAATGTTAGGATCCTTCAATCAAAGTACAGGTGCCTTCTTATCAAGCAAACCTAACTTCGCTGAAAGCAGATTCATAGCTCCACTTTTATCTTAAGAGGAGGTGTCCAAAAGGGAGAAGGTCTAAGTGAAGGGAGGACAAATTCAATTTGTGTAAATACCAAGAAAAAATAAACACCCCTTTAAAAATTATACTGCAGAAGAAGTCTAAAAACATAATAAGCCAGGGGATGTATGGACTGTGTTGAATGGTAAAGTTTATGACATTTCCCTTTACTTGGATTATCATCCTGGCGGAGTCGAAAAGTTGATGCTTGGAGCTGGAAAGGACTGCACAAAATTATTTAATTAATTCCATTCTTGGGTGAATGGACATGCATTTTTGGAATAGGATTATATTGGTAACTTAAAATATTGATAATTATATATATTATGATATATAAATTTCAATAGAGCAAATAAATGACCAAAACCATAGCAACGATAACTGCAGCGATAAATAGTTTTGTTCTTAAAGCTCTACTTTCCTAATCTTTTCTGACTTATGTTGCCTTGGCTGATAATAAAATTAATTTACTGTTGTTTTCATTGCACCTGCAAATGTAGTCATGGTTTAAGTAGTATGTACTAAAATCTAAATTTAATCTTCTCTGTCTAAGATTTGGTCTAGAAGTATTATAATTATGGTTTACCTAAAGTCAGAGACATTTGATTTGCTACATCTGTCAACTGCTTTTATAATCTGACAATTTTTTCATTTTCTGGATCACTGTTATAATAAGTCTTTAAAATTGCATAATGATATTGATACCATCTTGGCTTTCAAGTACTCTACAAATTAGTTTTGAATTCCATAATTAACTGCTTGTCTTCTAACATTTTCAGGAAATTTCTCACAAAACAATTCTTTGATTTCTTCTAAAAACGCAAAGGCAGTAGCTTTTGACAATAATGCATCTGCCAAACATAAGTAAGTGAAATCATTTTCATTTATGTAATGGAAATGGTAACTAGTATTCAATCTAAATTTACTCATTACTTTTATTCATAAACACATGTTTGGCGAGTGTTCTTTTTCAGTTTGTCAAATAGTTTCTTAGCTAAAGAAGGGAAATTACTGGTCATAGATTCATAATCAACAAGTGTTATATTGTTTCCCCTCACAATGACGGCATAAATCAAGGACATAGAAAATTTAAAATTATTTAATAATGAATATTCGAGGATTTAAGTTTTTGGTTGAAGCTACAATCATTAATGTTTCGATAAGTGTTCAATTTAGTTGTAAAATATAGGTCATTCTAAAAAGAGGTATAGCATATCATATTTATTAATTCAAAAAGGATCATCGAAATTGGAAACCCAACCTACGTATGAATTACACAAAGGCCTTGCAATAATAAATGAATCCTTAAATTTTAGCATATCAGCCAGTTTGGGGTTGGATGGCAAATTTGAAGAGAAAAAAACTCAAATAATTGTAATTCTAGTCACCGAAAAAGGATAAAAGAATGCTGGTATGCATAACTTGAATATATCGCAATATCTCAATCAACAACAGTTTGGTATGAGAATGTTCTATAAAAATTACTAGAATTTTAAGAAGCCTTGCCATTAGAAAAATGTCCAGATAAAAATGCAAAAGTTGTAGTCAACTTTAAAATTAAACAAATAGGAGAAATAGATTAAGAGTAATACTAAAATTTCATCTAGATTGGAAACTACAGACCAGTCAATTGATATGTCATAGATTTCAACATATACGCCAAACAAAATACTCTAGGAATACAGCGATAAAGTACAATAAAATTATCTTAGACTTAAAGAAGTAAGATTCTGAACTAAATCTCTAAATTTAAAAGCTTAAATAGAAAGTAAATGAAATGATTGAAAAAGAACATCATCAAGAAATCGTACTAAATTATGAATAACAATTGTAAGAATTAAATGCAAAACTCAAAACAGTTTATAATGAAAACACTATGATTCAGGCCTAATTAACAGCCAAATCCTCTGTTATTGATTAATAAAACTAAGAAGTAGCTTAGTTGAAATCTAAGTTAAGTGAATATGAATTTGAATTTTAAGAAAAATGCAAAAGTTAATCGATCACTCTGAATCAGAAAAATATTGAATTGCAAAACCAAGTAATTGAATTAAATTAATAAATAAATAATTTGAATAGTACAATCCAAGAAATGAAGAATAATTCAAAGGAGTTTTGCAATTAAAATGAGAATAATTAAATTGATCAATTAAATTAATTAATAGAAAATCTATAAAATTAAATTAAAGATAAAAATGAACACATTTAGAATTTAAAAAACCTAACATCAGGAACAATAATAGCATTATAATAAAGAAATGAAACTTTAGAAAAACGATTGAATGAACAAAAAGATATAGTTGAAAAATTGAAAAATGCAGATGTATTTTTACATTATAGAAATAGTATACAATCAAAGCCACTTCTAGCAATGACTCAAGTATCTTAGTTGAAGAATTGTAATCTGCCTTAAGCATTAAGAAACAAGACATTGAGAATTTGCAATTGAAATACGAATAATAATTAGCAAAGAAAGAGGAAATAGTATAGAATTTATAGCAAAAATTGGAAGAATCAATGAGAAAGGAACTTGACATTAGTAAGACAAGTTAGGATTCTAAAAATTAAGTGTATTAATTAGAGAAATAAATTGAAGTGTCAATAAATCAGTAAGATAAATCCAAAGTAGAACAACTAATGGCTAGGCTAAGAAGTCAAGTCCAATTTTGACAATCCAAATGGGAAAGCAGTCTAAAGGTACATATCAATTACAATAATAAAGTCTAACAAATGCAAAGATAAATTGCAGATACATCCTCATTTATCGACGATCAAAAGGAACTTCCAGATCAGTTGTTGTCATTGAAAAGAACAATATAGAGCAAACTTTAAAGTTATCAACAGGCATAAATATCCTTAGAGTAAAAGGTTCAATAATTGCAGTAAGAGTTGGAAATGTGTTAATAAAAATTGAAATAGGAATAAAGTTAATAAGTAATATAATTATAAATATGGAGTGTTCTGAATCCTAATTCCAAGAGTAGACGCACACCTCTAGTGAGGAAATCTAAAAAATAACATCGGCACTTGAACAGTATAAAAATATAATACTTTCTTAGAAAGACCTAGGAATTGTTGTTTTTGTAGCAACAATTCGAACAGCAAAAGTAGTCAGGGTTGGATCTTTCAAAATAACTTGAGGAAACAAAATCTTAACTAAATACCGTTAAGCAAAATTTATTGAAATCCAAATAATAATTGGCTGAGACCTTATAAGAGAAAGTATTGCTTTAGGCTAAAATGACTGAATAGCAAAAATCAATTAAAGAAAAGAATTCTGAAATTCAGAAGGGATAAGAATTAATTGCAGAGCTTGAATAATATAATATTCAAATGGAAGAAACCATTTCCTAAACACTCGAATAATACAAACTATAACATTAACAAATTAAGTAAAGCTATGAGAAAGAGAAAAAATGGAGATAAGAACTCTAAGAATAGATAAAGGCACTAAAAGAGGAATTGTCTAAATTTCAATAAGGAATAGGCAATGATGTATCGGATAAATAGCAGTAATGCTAATGCAAAGAATAATTATAACAAAATTAATATTACATAGACGAATTATAATAATAAATAGCAGAATTATAGTTATTAAAATTGGAACAAGGAATTCAAAAAAATCGAGAATCATTAATAAAAACAAGTGTTTAAGCAAGTAGAAGGGAATCCTTGGCTTACTTACAATATGATGATTTAAATAAAAAGGAAGAAACTAATGCTATTTAAAAAAGTATTAATTCAAATGAAATTGGATTGTTTAAAGAATTGGAGGAATAAATTCATCGATTAACTAATGAGAAAATTAAAGTATCTAGAGATTATCAAAACGAATTAGAAAGAGTTCTTATGGCTAATGAAGAATTAGAGAAAAAATGTACTATGCTCCTATTTGAGTTGGAACATAGTAAAATAACAATAGGTGAAATATTCAATGCTGCTATTGAAATTGGAGGAACACCTTTAGTTGACCAACTTTAAATAGCATTCGGTATAAAAGAATGAATATTTATATATAATTAATGAATTAATAAGTAGTCATACCCAAATCAATCTATTTCAAAGATGGATCCTATTATCTCGTTATCAATGCAAAGCCAAATTCGAAAGTGAGTCAAATTACTGGCATATCTGATGAAGCTGTTGATATTAACATAGCAGCACCACCTAAAGATGGAGAGGCTAATGCTGAATTATGCGATTTTGTTGCTTAAACTTTAGGAGTTAAGAAAACAGCCATATAAGTTAACAAGGGAGGCAAAGGAAGAAATAAGCTAGTTTCAATTGAGAGTAAGTTCAAAGATATAAACGATTTTTTCGAGAAACTAAAATAAGGATTGTGAATATATAACTATTTTACCATAAATATGGATTTAATCATCTTTCTATTATCTTGCTAAATATTATAGCATATGTTAATTTTCAATATTCTGAAGTATAAGCATTTTGAATGACCATCTTACAGAATTGTTATTATTAGATCTGATGATCTTATGCTGATTTAAAAGCCTAAAATTAGGAATATAAAAGTGATTTAAATTTCAGGTTTCTAAAGAGGTCCAACCCATTTCTCTTACTCATTTATAAAATACATAGCAATTATTAAAAATGTTCACACATTTATGTTTTATATTGTTGATTAATATTTCATTATTTTTTATTAAATACCGCCAATTTCTAATGAGCACAATAAGTAGGGAGGAATACGCAAAGAAAATGAGATTAGCTTTATCTGACAATCATATATGTAAACCTGATGGAACTGTTAACCATTAATATTTCTTAGTCAAAAAAGGCTAATATTGGGGAGAGGAGAAAATATAATACTTGATAGAGTAATTAGAGAAAATTGGAGTGGGAAATTGGAAATAAATGTAAAAGGGCCTCTTAGAATAAACTGTAAGTTATTTTTATTGATCTTTAGAGTGAAATTGAATTAGAATTAAGAACCTGCTTATTATTTAAAACAACAGACATTTAACCATATATGGATAAAAAGTTCACAAAAATTGAAATCGAATAAATTGCCTAGCAGAATATTGAAAAAGCTTAATAGTTAAGTAAGTTGAAATATGGAGTATTTGTTGTTTGATATTATATTATATATTAAAAATAAATGATGTTTTAATTTACTTCTCATTTTTTTGCATATTTTACTTTGAGTTAACATTCTGGAGTTACTTTAAAATTGTTCAGACCTTTCAATGCTACAGTAGCTTGGTCATCATTTTAATATTCAACAAAGGCCAAGCCTCTTGCACTTATTAATTTGATTAAAGAATAACCAGGATATTGTCTAAATAACTCTGATAACATAATTTCGGTGACAAATGGGGGTAATGATTCTATCAATAACACATTATTAACTTCTCCTTAATTGAAAACAGGATTGTTATTTAATTTATCTTCTAATTTTTTTTATTTCTTCTCCTTTACCAACTCTGTTGGCAAGGTTGGTTGTAATTCCTTTTGTTGTTTCTATTTGTAATAAAATTTGCCTTCCATCCTATCAAAAATAACACTCTTCTTGTATGCAAATTCAATAATCTAATTTAATTGACAAAAATACTAGTGGTTTGTCATAGACCATCATTCCAGTCAAGGCTGATTTGGCATTGGTGGCATAAGTAATATTTTAAAATACAATAAAGGCTTGACCTCTTAATTTTTATGTTTTTTTCATTACAATCTATAAGACTTCTCCAAATTGAGAGAAGAGAATGTATAACACAAATTTTAAGTCTTCCAATTTGATTTTATCATTTAATCCAGTGACATAAAGGGTTTCTTTGGGAGCAGAGTCCTAATTAATTTGTTGTGCCGGATGAAGATAAGGTTAATTCATTTAATAAAATCGAATTTATATAAATTATCAAGCATCAACTTTTTCCTCATCAACATCTCTTACAAACTGTAATTTTAAATCATGATAAAATTTAGTAAGATGCACTTGTGCAATGGCTGTGCTATTTGCAATGGATTGAGGCTGTTCGGTTACCCTTTGCTATTCTTGGAGGGGGATTGTTTGAGCTATTGCATTTTTTAAGGCATTGAGATATTGTTGAATTGGCTGAACTATTTTATCATTTTATTGAGATGTATCTTGAGGGACAGAAAGAACTGAGATTCTGTCCTCATAATACCCTTCTCCCCACCATAATTCTGAGTCTTGATCGAAGTTTTTGTCCATCAAACAATTTAAAATGATTATCGTCTCCAGCAACAACTTATTAGTTAAAAAATAAGTCTTACTTGCATAGTCTCATGAGCTATGAGTTCCTTCTTGCTACTTAAGACATGAGCTTGCTATTTTTATCTTAAATAATTCTCATTGTAGTATTCTAAGACCTTCAGCTTTATCTTTAGAGCTTTCTCTGTGAAATCATTATAACATCTCAATATTATTTCAGATTTGCTCTCAATAATAGCTGCCATTTGATCACAAGAGTCCACCTAAATTTACTTCTTCCTCATTAGATCAGCAAGAAAAGATTTGACTGGTTTTGTTCTCATGAAAGTTGCCAATTCACTTGAATCCAAGTAGACAAGGGCTTCTTTTGACGTTACTTGATTTTGAGGGGAGGCTTGAGTTTGTGATGTGCGAATTTCGAATTGCTCAGATGGTTTGCTTTTGCGTTTAGAACATTGAATTCCCATTTATTTTAGTATCAACTTTATTTTTATAGTTTATGAGTATATTCGAATGATAATATCAATAATTTGAATCCCAATTTGGATCTCTAGCTTTTTCTTTTTTATAAGGTGCCCCGATTTAATTAATTTCTTTTGATGCCAATTTCCCATTGGAGAGGGCAGTCTATATATCCTTCTCCTAGATCATTCTCGATTTCTTGGGTACGAAAGGAGCCTTGAGTTCCTTATCCATCAACTTATCCTAAGCCAATATCATTGAAAATTACCCAATCAAATTTGTCGAACCAAGAATTAGCCTTTAAAGAAGCATACCCTCCACCCAAACGAGCCTCTGGTGTTTTCAATAACAATTGTTCAATAAACTTTTTGGCTTTCTTGTCTTTCATAAAAGGAGGGAAGGTAATTGATTTTTTTTGAATTTCCTCATAGATTTCATATGGATCGTCAGCATCTTCGGCATAAGGTACTCCGCCGCACATAAATTCAAACAAACACACTCCAATAGACCAAAGATCAACAGTAAACGTGTATCCCTTACCTGTAATAATCTCTGGAGCCATATAATGAGGAGTTCCAATAATAGTATACGTTCTAATAGATTTCTAATTCAAAAACTTTGCAGTTCCCATATCTATCATTCTTAGATAACCCTAATGGTTCATAATTGATAAGATACCTTCTCATCAACCATTATATTCTCTGGCTTAATATCCCCTGTAAATAATTTACAACTTATGCAAATATTCTACACATATCAATAAAGAACCGATGTAAAACTGGGAATCAACAGTGGTCAACAATCCTATTTCTCTAATGGCATCGAATAATTCCATTCCCTTAATAAACTCTACCAAGAAATAAATGTAATTCTAATCCTTCATACTTTTATAAAATTGCATCAAGAATGGAAAGTTAATTGTTGACAGAACCTGTTTTTCTTACTAATTTTATATAACAATTCATTACAGCTAAATGCCTTTCCAAAATGTTATTCAACAATCTAAGCCTTGCTAATACATTTCAACGCATATAATTTTTTCATCTTAAGCTGTTCTCACCAAATAGACATTCCCAAATTAACCCTAACCTAATTTCTTGATGCAAATTAAATTATCTAATTTTAAATTTGAATAATCTTTCTTTTATTATTACACACTAACTCTATTTAGATACTTCTATTCATGTGAATTTTCATTCTTCTATATCATCTATTCCACACCCTACCTCCAATCATATCAAAAAACATCTTTATTTCAAATTCTGCAATGATTGATTCATCTGTTTATACTTAAATTGTCTCAGGAAGTTTGCTGTCTTAATTTTACGATTTCAAAAACTATTCTCCAAAGATTTTGCCTTTGCCCAATACCTATTGTTTAGAGGGCATCTATAGACCTTATAATTACGAAATAAAGTGTTACTGTAGCTATTTCTCCTTCTAAGATTATATAAACCTTAGTGCAAGGCTGTCCTGCCGTTAATAATAACCTCGTTCTTCCTTCATAGTGCACTTATCTAATGTTTTATAGAATCTTCTCAATCTGAATTGAAGTTAGTTTTCCCAACAAAGGACTCTGTTACAATGCCCCATTTTTAAGTATTGATGTACTTAACAGTCTATATTTTTTAGCCTAATATTCTCTGGATATCATCCTTTGACAACGAGAGACATCTCACTTCTTCTTCGGCTGCCTTAACTGTAGCAGCTCTTTGACAACTTTAATACAAGGCAGCTTCGCCGAAGGATTCTCCAGAATTCATTTAAGATACTTCTTTTTCTCCCTTGATGATGGGCTACCTTGCCCTTTTTGATTATGTAAAATGAATTAGCCACATCCCCTTCAGAGACTATGATTTCTCCCTTTTTAAAAACCGAAGTAATTAAAACACTAGAAATTGCATCTCTTTATTCTTCAGTTAAAAAAGCTATAAAATTAATTATTAAAAATTACAAAAAAATTCAACCTTCTTCATAAACTCTCTATTTTCTTCATAACTCCTCTAATTTTGCTATTCTACCACCTTCCTAAAAGTATTTCTGTCAATGGCCCAGAATGCACAATCTAATCATGTATATTTTAAAGTATATACCTCCAACGGCTCTGACACTAGCACTCCTAGGTGCATTGTACAGCATAGCCAATTCACCGAAGGCGTCTCCACTCTTTAGCGTTTTTTTGAGTTCGCCATTAATGATAATCTGACATTATCCCCTCTCAATCAAAAAATAGGAGCTAGCCTTATCTCCTTACTTGAAGACGAATTGGCCATCAGGAACGGTACAATAAAACATTTGATCAACCACATACTCTATGTCACTCTAAGGCACCGATTTAAAGATGAAGTGCTCATTGAAGGCATTTAACATTAATTAGTAATCG